CAAGTCTGGTTCTATTTAAAAATATTTAACGCGTTTGCCCGATCGTCGCCATGCGTGGCGGCGGCGGCGCGCGTGATATTAAGAACAGCTGGTTGATCCTGCCTGTAGTCATATGCTTGTCTCAAAGATTGCATGTTTTCAGCCGAATTAAAGTGAAACCGCGAGAGGCTCATTAATCAGTTATGGTTCCTTAGATTGTACCCACAATTACTTGGATAAATGTGGTAATTCTAGAGCTAATACAAGCAGCAGATGTCTTACCGGTAACGAAAGGACCGCTTTTATTAGATCGAAACTGGGTGAAACTAAATAACTTGAAGCTAATCGCACGGTCTCGCACCGGCGATGCATATTTTAAATTTGTGCCTTATCAACTGTCGATGGTAGGTTACGAGCTTACCATGGTCGTAACTGGTAACAGAGAATCAGGGTTCGATTCCGGAGAGGGAGCCTGATAAACGGCTACCACATCCAAGGAGGGCAGCAGGCATGCAAATTACCCACTCCCGGCGCGGGAAAGGTAGGGACGAAAAATAATGATACGGAACTCGCTCGAGGCCCCGTAATCGGAATGAGTACACTCTAATCCCTTTAACGAGGATCAATTGGAGGGCAAGTCCAATAGCGTATATTAAAGTTGTTGCGGTTAAAAAGTTCGTAGTCGAATTGTGTCTCGCGCCGCCGGTTCACCATTCCCGGTTTCAACTGGCGCGTCGCGAGACTTCCTGCCGGTGGACTTGGCTCGGTCCGACTCAATCCTGCCGCGGTGCTCTTCACGGAGTATAGAGGTGGGCCGGTACGTTTACTTTGAACAAATTATAATGCTTAAAGCAGGCTAAAATTTTGTCTGAATACAGTATGCATGGAATAATGGAACAAGACCTCGGGTCCGTTTCGTTGGTTTTCGCATGGTAATGATTAATAGGAGCGGATGGGGGCATTCGTATTGCGACGTTAGAGGTGAAATTCTTGGATCGTCGCAAGACGAACGGAAGCGAAAGCATTTGCCAAAAACGTTTTCGTTGATCAAGAACAAAAGTTAGAGGCTAGAAGGCGATCAGATACCGCCCTAGTTCTAACTGTAAATATGCCAGCCAGCGATCCGCCGAAGTTGACTCGGCGGGACGCTTCCGGGAAACCAAAGGTTTTGGGTTCCGGGGGAAGTATGGTTGCGAAGTTGAAACTTAAAGGAATCGATGGAGGGGCAACACTAGGAGTGGAGCCTGCAGCAAATTTAATTAGAAAGGGGAAAACCCCGCCGGTCCTGGACTTCGGAGGGATGTACAGATTAGAGCTCATTCTTGATACGGTGGGTGGTGGTGCATGGCCGTTTTTAGTTAATCGAGCGATTAATTTCTATAACGAACGAGACTCTAGCCTGCTAATTTTTACCGTCTGAGGACCAACAATTCTTAGGGCGACAAAGCGGCCTTTGGCTGCACGAGATTGAGCAATAACAGATCTGTGATGCCTTTGGATGTTCTGGGCCGCACGCGCGCTACTCTGAAGGAATCAGCGAGCAGTCTCTAGATTAGAGGCCAGGGTAACCCGCGGAAAATCCTTCGTGCTAGGAATTGGGGTTCCCCAAAAAAGAGGAATTCCCAGTAAGCGCGAGTCATAAGCTCGCGTTGATTACGTCCCTGCCCTTTGTACACACCGCCCGTCGTTACCACCGATTGAATGATTTAACGAGGTCTTCGAACCGAACCGCCGATATGTTCCGACGTCGTCGATGTGTTCGGAAAGTTGACCGTACTTAATCATTAGGATTGTTGTAGTGTTAAAAAAATAACTAAAATAAATAACTTGTACTTTGTACTCGCCGAGTCGATAATTTCTCGCACCCGACGCGGACGTTTATACGAACGAAGTCAGTGGAAGCGGAGACATTTCGGGTACCTGGACGAGCTAAAAGCGCGAGACCTAGCTTTGCGCTTACCGTCGACAAGGTGTGAAGGATTTTCGCCCGAGAACGTATATACATATTTGTTAAAAGTTAGGCGCGGGTCGTCTGGAAATAAAAGTTCTTTCGGATAGACCGGCCCTAAAAATTAAAAGTTTGACTTCGAAGACCACTCTGCTCTTCCGTAGAGATACAAGTTGAAAATAATGCGCAGGTCGTCCGAACACCAAACTTCGTTCGGATAGACCGGCCCTTGTCAGAAAAATTTTACGTCCAAAGCGAATGGATGCTCTTCCGTAAAAAAGTCCTATATATATAATACGAGAGAAACCGCACCCCTGAACTAAGCCAAAAAGGCTTAAAATAATGTGCGCCGGTGGTCGCACCATTCCTAGTGGATTCTTATCAATGTGACGAGACCCCTGTGACAGGGAAAAATGACACAAAGGTACATGGCGAACGTAAAAGAAAAACTTTTGCGTTCGCCCTTTTTTTTAAACAGTTTTTTTTGAGACCTTACTTGCTTTTAGCGACCGTCGTTAGTACCCTCAATGTACTTAAGGTGACTCATCCCATTGGTGGTCCCTTTGTTCCGATAATAATCCTGCCCTTAATACTAGAGGATCCGCATTTCGCAAACAGAAAAATATATGGCGAACGTAAAAGAAAAACTTTTGCGTTCGCCCTTTTTTTTTTATTTTTCTTGAGACCTTACTTGATTTTTGTCACCGTCGTTAGCACCCTCACTGTACTTAAGGTGTATCACCCTGTTGGTGTCCCGTTGCTGCGATTAAAGACCGAAAAATACATAGCGAACGTAAAAGGAAAACTTTTGTGTTCGCCCTTTTTTCAGTTTTGTTGAGACCTTACTTGATACAATGTACTTAAGGTGACATCCTATTGGTGTTACGTTGTTGCGATAATAATCCTGTCCATAGCACTAGATGAGCACTTCGAAGGCAGAAAGATAGATATGCGTGCTAGTGCGAGTGGAACGACCAGGTCGCCACGACTACTACTCCGCCATCCCTCTGCAATAACACTTTTGCTAAGTGAGTGTTATCCACTTATTGAATTTGAAATGCTGCCCCAAGGCAATCATTCACAAGTGCAGTGAACCAATGCATTGGACCACTTGATACATTTTATCACCACGGGGATGTAGCGCTCCAGGTTAGGCCAAGGCACAGCCAAAATGAAAGCAACAGGAATTGCAAATTCGGAAATTTGTTGCTCGGACTCCCGCAAAGAAAACTTTACTGATGAAGAGATCCCGGAACATAAAGAAAAAAAATAAAAGTCCTTTTCGGGACCTCTGTATATTTCTTTATTAAAAGAATTCGTTTTACATTTACCCACTACGCAGTACACATTGGTAGAAAATATAGACCTTTTTGGGCGGTTGTCCTTGCGCTTCAGACAGTTTTGTTTATTTTCTCTACCAGAAAACTCGGGTAAGATTAGAAATGACCCGTAGAGGGAGCATTGCACGCGGCGGTTTAACCTCTGTTCGCTCCCGACAGAATCCCATGTATTCGTCCCAAGAAATTTAATATCGGTTTCCACGGTGTGGATTTAGTGTTTTGAGTGTTCAGTGTACGTCTTAAAGTGATAATCGTCGTCGGCCCCGTCGTTTTTCCCCGTTCACGCCGGTATGGAGGCCGGATGGGCCCGGATGGTCCGCGGTGGAAGCGGGGGGAAGCCGATTTTTTTGGTATCGGTCAGAATCGTTCTTTGCTAGTTGAGCAAATTATTGGTTATTTTTCTTCTTTGTACGTGGTGGTCATTGACCAGAAGCGAAAATCCTCGACGGAAGTCGGCAATGGGCGAATGATCCTAGCAGTCGAGCCCAACATTTTTTGTGAAACGCATAATTGAATTGAATTGAAATGACCCGTAGAAGGAAAAGTGGTAAAAGGTTTGGGAAAAGGCGGTGCCAAACGACATTACAAAGTGTTGAGGGATAACATTCAGGGAATAACCAAGGGGGGCCGTTAGAAGATTAACCCGTCGCGGAGGCGTGAAATGAATTTCTGGATTAATTTACGAAAAACAGTAACTGAAAGTGAAATAAAACGGTTCTTTTCAGAATCACAAAAACACGTTACAAAGATAATTCGTTTATCGAGAATTATTCGCAACAAACAATTATTTTCGTCACATTAAGGCAAGGTTAGAATGTGCTTTTGGTTTTTATTTTCTTTAGTGTTATAGTGATTATTAAAATGAAAATGAAAGAATCAAGTCAATTTTGCCTAACAAAACCGCATGAAAATGGTAAACGTGCTTTAAAAAAAAACTGTTGGCGGTTCCACGTAAAACAAATTTTGTAAAAAATATATCCGTTTAAATAAAACGGTATCTCAACTAGAAAAGTTTTCATCGCGGCCATTTTTAATTAGCTTTGTTGTCAGTTTTCTTGGACGGATCGCCAGTTGTAAATGGCGAGTAATAATTTTGGTTTTCTTATCGTCTGTCGCCGCACGGTCGATTAATTCCAAAACTTTGGCAGCCAAATATACCGAAGATCCGGCGCCGACCTCGGCAGAGTTTCCTTTCCGAAATAATCGGTGAATTGTACCGACTGGGAACTGTCCTGCTTGAACGAAACTTTGCCTTCTTTTAAGCTGAGTTACTGTAAATATTATCAAATGTATTTTAAAAACATTTTATTTTAAACAAATCGTAATTATTCTCTATCGAGGATGATGGGAGGTGGGGGATGGCGAGAAATAAATATGACGTATTTTTCAGAACCGAAAAATTGTTCGGCGCGTCGCGGTCGGGATTCGAACCTCGAACCTTTGGGTAAGCGCCGCCAACGCGCAGTTCCTATAGCCTAACTCGGCCCACATGAAATCGCGTTCGTTTATGGGCCGTGATCCGTTTCGCGCGCGCCCTAGGTTAGTCGAGCTTCGCCTAGCCTAGCCGACGACTACCCATTTATTTCGCGGCGGCGACCATAAAAGAATTCAACCCGTAAAATATAATTCCATTAAATAAATGCGCATGCACAATTGAATCAAAAATTCAAAACTTAAATTTTGTATGTCAGATACGTCACAATTGAATCAGAAATTCAAAACTTAGGCCATCACATTGTTTATGTTTTATTTTCAGAAGAAGAATAATTTATGTTGAAATTTAATTGAGATATCACCATACTTGATGGAATAGCTGACATGATCGGAATCCTCGATTTTTCCTTTATTGGTGCGATAAGGAAAACAAAAGACCTTATCATTTTTTTCCAGTTCCTCTACTTTTGCTTGGAATTGTTGAAGACAATCCAAAAAGGCAACCATGCCATTATCAAACTTTGTGTCCCACAAAAAACGGAAATCTCCAAGCGCCATAGAGGGGAAGCTCCTTTTGTTCCTGGATATCCTAAAATAAAATACTTTACTAAAGCAAATATATAAAGGGATAATTCTTAAGCTATTTAAGAAGCGAATCTAGATATCTTTGTAAAATTAGGTAAATGCATTCTGCTCAAAAACACACTATTTTAATTTCTGCCAGTGGCGGTCCATATGTGATTTGTATGGCATATATATTTCAACCTAAATGGTAGAACATATTATCAGGTGTATATTTTGTTTAGATAGTTTAACCATTTCTTGATAAAAATAATTAAATTAATAATGCCACACTTCACTACAGTGACTAATAATCTAAACTAAATCTTTTATTAACCAAAATCACTTACTTACCTCAATATAAGAATGGTTTCCATATGGAACTAGCCTCTCAAAGGTTAAATCAATTTTTCGAGCTAATGCAGATCACAAGAAAGCAGTTTGTCCCCAGGCTGCATTGATTTCTGACCAATCAACAGGCGCTGAAGGCAGTCTTCCCAGGCAAAAATTATTTATCGTTCTAAAATGTCCTTTGTGCCAAATGTGAAATGTAGCATTTAATACATTTGTTCTCTTCAACTTGTCCAATTGATTGTTAACGTGACTTAATTGGTAGTCTAAAAGTATTCAAAAAATTACATAAAAGATAAAGGTGGTTTTCAGTTATGTCTGAATGCATCAGGAATGGTCCGAATGTAAAATTTAGGAAAAGGGTTTTAATATAGAAGGATAACGCTAAAAAACCCATATTTACACAGTGAATAACTGCTATGAAGCTCGGTTTTAGAAAGTTTTAGGCACCTTTATACACAACTTGGTCCAAGTCAATCTGAATTTAGCTCAATAACATTTTCTAAGAAACTGCTTCATTTGAGAAAATCACCACTTGATATGTAAACAAAACCGTGTTATTTTACTCTCATTATGAAATTCCAACCAAAATTTTTATTTTTTACTTTTGTCGCCGCTACGCCCTAATTACCATGTTTTTTCTTCTTTTTAGTCCAGTAACTTTTGTTTTCTACCAACCTGCAGTAAGTAGTTTAAACAAATACTTATGCACGCCTTGGCCATTTTTTGGAGGAAACGGATAAGTAATTAAAGTAATTAAAATCTTCTTCAAGTAAACGTCGAGTTTCTTCGTTGACATCTTGCAATGCTTTTTCTAAATCCTGAAGTTTTATATATATATATATATATATATATATATATATATATATATATATATATATATATATATAAATTACGGTATTATGCATTTAAATGCATTATATCCATGTTTGCAAATAAGTGCAAGTTTAAAATACTTAACTTTCTGCATTTGACACCAAAAATTATGTACTGCTAGTATTGGCTAAAAATGTCTATCATTTACCATCTATTCTTGTACCCAGCAAAACTGTAGTAAACAAACACTAGTTTGCATATCTTAAATTGATGACTTAGTAAATCCACCTCATTTTCATCAGAGATTAACATAAAACCATTAGCTCCATTTCCAGAATCTGATAGCCTGCAAGGTGGTACATAGTGATCAAAACTTGTTGCTTGAGACTCCAATTCTACGTCTGGTTGAGAATGTATAGGTACTATAAAATCATAAGAATAAATTCTGAACAATAAAAGCTCAATAAAGCTTACGGTTAAGCTCTGCCGAAATATGTTCACTGAATGAATTTAGAGAGTCCTCGAGCTTCAACGGCTGGGAACATCGTTGACATGTAAAGTACGTAAAAAGTTTATCGTCGCACATATTCAACTACTTAACTATTTATTAAGGTAAAAAATCGTAAAACTAGTCTATGATCACAAAATTAAAAGTATTTTTAATACTGGTTGAATAATTAAAGTCTTATTCTTTTCTTTAATGCGTTGTATAATTAAAGTTTTTTATTTTTTATTGACCTTTTTACTTCTATTCAATAATGCGTTTCACTAATACAGTTGGCTGACTTTTTACGTCTATTTATATCCATACCATATATATATTTAAGTAAAGTCAGGCCACTCTGCCGTGGGTGATTCGCCCAACCACGACAGTTGGTAGCATTATTGTAATTAAGCAGTGTAGTCGTGTTGGTTTCTGGGACACCAGATATTGCTTAAATTGTGATTTCCGTCGATGTTATTTGTAAACGACCAGCAAAGGTTCCACTACCTATAAAAACAAAATTCCATCAAAATAAACAAAGTCCATTTTGTTCGAAAAAAAATGGAATTGTGCCTACTGTCAAAAACTCACCAGTTATAAATACATACACTTTTAAAAGCAAAAAATACATGCAGAAATACATGTGAAAATTCGATCGTGTCTACCGAGTTTTAGTTTGCATTTTGACTGCCAAATCTTGCTAAATTTAAAATCAGAAACGTCAATGCATTTATAGTTGATTCCCAAGGAATTAATTGATAGAATATAACAGACCCCTGATTAACTCTTTTTTGATCGAAATTGACACGTTCGGCAATGGGCGAATGATCTTGGTTAATTGGATTGTTACATATTTACTGGCCAGAAAAGAAGAAGAAATCCTGATATTGCTTTGAACAAAGAAAAACGACTCTTTTGTAACGTGTATTTCACAGTGGTGATTATCATTTGTGATTGAGGCTGCAGAAGTAAGATTTAAAAGTAATTTTAATTGGTTAATAGGAACAATATACCCGTGTTAAATATTTTTTTATTTCCATTATAACAAGATAGAAACGCTGTGGCACTATGAACGGGAATGACACGTGTTCCGTGAAAGTTGCTGTGCCTGTACGGCCATTAGTCCCGTTCGAGATATCCAGGGGGTGTAAAGAAGTCCTGGAAATAGTTCCGGAAAATGAACAAATTTTATTACGTCCAATTCACAAGCCTTTTACGTTTAATTATGTCTTGGGCATTAATTCCACCCACAAGAGATGCGTGGGTGGAATTAATTAATTTTTAATGTTGTTAATGAATAAAACAAACAAAAAAATCATCAAAATCCAAACTGTTCTTGAGGACTTCCGACGAAAATGCTTTATTGACACTACTAGAACTGCCTATCAAGAAAAGGATCATATGGGGGTTATACCTAGGACTGTGATACATATATTTGATTATATCAAGGACAATTTCTCCATAGATTTTACTGTTAGTATGTCTTTTATTGAGCTTTACAAAGAAGGAATTTTCGATCTCTTATCTGATAAGCCTCGAGACCAATGTGTAGAAATCAAAATAAGAACGCAAAATTACACCTAGTTGACCTAGCTGGATCCGAGCGACCCAAGAAAACTGGAGCAGTTGGCACTACATTTAAAGAGGGCGTAAATATAAACAAAGGACTTTTTGTGCTGGGAAATGTTATCAGCTGTTTAGGAAATGATAAATCGCAACAAAGTTTTGTGCCATACAGAGACAGTAATTTAACACGGCTATTGAAAGGTAGGTTTGAATGAATTCTGTGCACAAAATTTACCTGACCATTTTAGACTCCCTTGGGGATAATAGTATGATCCTGATGATAGCATGTGTTAGCCCTGCTGACTATAATTTGGAAGAAACTCTTTCGACCTTGAGATATGCTGACAGAGCGCGAAAAATTAAGAACAAAGTTAATATTTAATATTTAAATCAAATAGATTGGTAATGTTGATTAACCGCAGTTTTTCGTAAACGCACAGTTTTTCATCTAACGTTAGTGATTAATTTTATCTAGGTTCAAGGACAGTCTCGACTGATTAAACTCAAAGAGAGAGATGAACAGCGAATAACACAGCTTCACCAAGAAATCACGCAAATGAAACAAGTCAAAGTAAAATTGATCAAAAATATGCGAGAGGAGTCCAACAAATTTCAACAGTGGAAATTGCAAAAGGAAAGGTAATTTTTTCTCAGATTACTTAAGTTTTTGAATTTTTAATCTGATCTTTGTAGAGAGTTAACACGTGTAAAGCAACAAGATCAGAAAAAGCAAACTGAAATAGTAAAAATTAAGTTAATGCATGCTAATCAGCAGAATGTGTTGAAACGGAAGTTTGAAGAAGCGGCGGCATTAAATAAAAGACTTCAACAGACTCTGATTTTGAGGAAACAAGTACAAGATTCCAAATTTAATGGAAAACTCGATAAAATTGGTCCTTTGGTAAGATATGGCGTTTAGAATCCCAATTCCAACGATTTCGGTTCACTGACTTATAGCACATTAAATTTTTTTTTCCGATCTCTTGATTCAATTTACAGGCCATGTCACATTACTAGTCGCTATCAGTTTGAGTCTCTTAAGTTGCATAGATAAGTTTTCATTTTAACATTACCTAGGTAACTCCAAACGCAAATTAGTAGTGTGTATTATTTTGCAGAATTTTTAGATGGTAACCTAAAATAAAAAATTCCTGTGTTTTTAGCTTAAACAAGAATTAGAGTTAGAGTTAGAGACAACATTAGGTGGATTGCTAGATGATAGAGGAATTTTACAACAGCAATTAGATGAACTGATGAAGAATCCGGAAACTGCGGAGTCGAACGAAACAAAAACGATTAAAGATGATATTGAATTAAGATCTGTGCAAATTCAAGATTTACAACTGAAACTCAAAATCAACCTTTTTTGTAAACATTATGCAAAGTCGGCCAATAAGGAGGGAACTGGGTTGCTCACTGATTTTTCCTCTATTTTTTAAGACATAGAAAACAAGGAGTCTAATGGAATAACTTTTTATGTACATTTTAAAATATCAGGACAACATAAACTGAACCTCTGAACTGAAGTAAACATTTTATCGAGTAATATAGCAAATACATGCATCTTTATTGCACAGATTCTATTTATATAAATAAGGATTTATGTAACAGAAAAAAGTTGAGGCATTTTATGTGGTTCCTTTTTTTTTTGTTAATTTTAAATAGTTCTTAAAATATTTTTTTAACAGATTTTGCCACCTTGTACTAGTTCCATGGCTCCCGCCTGTTTGTTACCCAAGATATGGCCAACCCGGTATGAAAATAAAAAATATATAGAAATTTTTTTGTAAGGATGTGTAACTGTGCGATGAGAATAACTTGGGTGAATATTATGGAGCTGAGGACTCTAAATCTGGCTCCACATCATAACTATTAATACCTAACAATATTAACAATTAATAACATGAATATAAATGATATTTTGAGTTTAAGGAAGCCTACATTATAGATCCGACGTAACAAAACATTAAAACGTTGGCACTGAGATAAATTGGTATAATCTTAACTACATATAATTTTTTTTAGTTTTCAAAATTCCTCCACATTAAAAAAGTTTGTAAACTTCTATAAACATACCTCATTTCGGTTTCAGTCTTAACTTGTTCTAACTGCAGAAGACTTAGTTTTTCTCGAATCTCTCTCAATTTGAGTACATTTTCCTTGATATCAGCATTACTCTCTATGTTTGTACTTAAATTCTCTAGTACCAAGTCATATTCTTCCCGAACTTGCTGGATTTTTTCAGTGACATCTTCATTGGCTGTGGCAGATATGTTTTGTCCATCACTAATTCTGTCAAGTGGGAATGTAGATCTCCAATTTTTAGTTTTAACGTATTGTATTCATAGAGTTTATTACTCTCAATCTCTGTTACTACTGGGACACCTTGCCCTACAATCTGCAACTGCAAATGTTTGATCTGCCGCTATAATTCATTAATTTCTGCAGATTTGGGGTCTTGGTTTATCACTGGTTTGTTCTTAATTTTTCGCGCTCTGTCAGCATATCTCAAGGTCGAAAGAGTTTCTTCCAAATTATAGTCAGCGGGGCTAACACATGCTATCATCAGGATCATACTATTACCCTCAAGGGAGTCTAAAATGGTCAGGTAAATTTTGATGCACAGAATTCATTCAAACCTACCTTTCAATAGCCGTGTTAAATTACTGTCTCTGTATGGCACAAAACTTTGTTGAGATTTATCGTTTCCTAAACAGTTGATAACATTTCCCAGCACAAAAAGTCCTTTGTTTATATGTACGCCCTCTTTAAATGTAGTGCCAACTGCTCCAGTTTTCTTGGGTCGCTCGGATCCAGCCAGGTCAACTAGGTGTAATTTTGCGTTCTTATTTTGATTTCTACACATTGGTCTCGAGGCTTATCAGATAAGAGATCGAAAATTCGGATTTTGATGATTGTTTTGTTTTTGTTTTATTCTATTATATTATTCAAAATCAGAAATTAACGTTTCGCTTTTTTATTAATTTTAGTATAAAACAAAGTTGTTAAAATAAAGTGCATTATAATAATTCAGTATTTACATCTAAGAACTATTTAAAATTTACAAAAATTGGCCGCGTGTGCCAACAAATATGTTGTATAGCACATAAACCTATTCACTTCATATTTTAAAATTTACTGACTTATGCTAACACACATACACACAATAGAAATGGGCCTTTTGTCATTCAGGTTCACCCTAACACAGGTAAAAAAACTCAAGGCTCACCGCCAGGTGTTCGACTAGTTTTATATTTCTGCGGCTCACATCTCTCAGTATTCGTTTACTTTTTGGAGCAAGTATATGTTTTGTAAAGTTTTGTATATTTTTTATATAAAGTGTGTGCATTATTATAAATTATTTAATAACAACGTACGTTTTTGTCTAATCAGTGTACACCAATATAATGGAGAAGGTATATATGCATTACTTATCAATAATATAGTCGAAAATATAATAAAATAATTTTTTAATTTAATACATTTATACATTGCTAGCTATTTTATATTTCTGTAAAAATTATTTTAATAGTTAATTCTGTATTTTTTCTATTTTAATATGTTATAGATGAAGAAAAAAGAAATTGCTGTCGATTGTACAGAAAATGTATGTTGTATTTGTGAACAAGGTGAAAATAAAGATACTCCAGGTACCTCAACTCAAATGACAGAAAAATTGACTGAAGTGACTCGGGGACTGCCAACATTAAAAACAATAGCATTAAAGTTTAAAAATAGTAAACTTATTAACTTCCTTAATAGTGGGAAAAAACTGTTTGTATACTCCAGTTGCCGGAAACGATTTACTGAGCGTAAAAGTGTTGCAGCTGAAATAAAAAAGGCTGAACTTAGTGAAAAAGCATCGCTCAGCCCACCAAAATTAAAGTTAAGAAAATCTTCTGAGTCTTCTTTTGATTGGGATAAAAATTGCTTTATTTGTGCCAAACCATTATTTTCATCAAGTTGAGGCAAAGTTAGAATGTGCTTTTGGTTTTTATTTTCTTTAGTGTTATAGTGATTATTAAAATGAAAATGATAGAATCAAATCAATTTTGCCCAACAAAACCACATGAAAATGGTAAACGTGCTTTAATAAAAACAAACTGTTGGCGGTTCCACGTAAAACAAATTTTGTAAAAAATATATCCGTTTGGTAACTCAACCGCCATTTTTATTTAACTTTGTTGTCAGTTTTCTTGGGCAGCAGATCCGCTTGAACGTTTGTCAAGACATCCCTGTGCGAGCGTAACTCCGGATAACAATTTGTTCAATTTCTCGTCGTTTTGGATCGCCAGTTGTAAATGGCGAGTAATGATTCTGGTTTTCTTATCGTCTGTCGCCGCATGGTCGATTAATTCCAAAATTTCGGCGCCGACCTCGGAAGAGTTTCCTTTCCGAAATAATCGGTGAATTGTATCGACCGGGAACTGTCCTGCTTGAACGAAACTTTGCCTTCTCCTTAATTTTTCATCCTTTTCCGCTTCCCGACATCGTTATTACTGTTCATTAACATAATTGACAATAGGGGTTTTTGAGTAAAAACATCAATAACATACTGCCTCGTTTTTTCACATTCGGTCGTCCTAACAAAACGGTCAGCTGTGACTACTATTTTGACAAGCTACTTTGGAAGAAAAACCGTTAATAAATTTGCGGAATCCGGCTTTAGACGAAGCATCAAGAACTAATTTTAGTTTACAAAATCCATCCTCAACTGTGAGGATATTACTGTCATCAATGTAAAGAACCGCGCAGTCATATTCTAGGTTACGTAACACTGTATTAATGGCTCTCTGAAAGACCGCAGGACCATTGGCCAGTCGAATTGGCAACGGATAACGATTATTATTATATTTTATTTAATTATAATACAACTCGCAGCAGCAAATAGAAATATAGAAACCGCTACCAGTCATAATATGTTTCGCTACAAGGTAGCGCCTTGCGCAATTGGAAAAGCGTGATTCTGTATATAAAAGACTGTATCCCATTTAGCGACGTTGCTGGTTGTTGGGTTCGCTTCGGTTACAATATGAACCACTAAATTTATACAATTTATAGCGAAATCCCAATCAGTGATTAGTTTTGTTTGAAACATATTTTTGTTTTGAATTCGTTCAATCTCACCAAGAATAAAATTTCAAATGCTAAATATTCGATATGACAATGTATTTTTAATATGAATTAAATGGCGCATAATGGGACATTAAAAAGTATAAAAATAGTTTTCAAAAAAAATAATCAATACGTTATTAAATAACTCTAATTCTACCAGAAAATGGTTTGTATGTTATTAAACGATCATGTATGATAAGGCAATAAGCCGTCGTATTTTCTGGAATGTTCTGTGAAGTCTCAAATTCGAATCGAATATCGACGGAACCTGATTTTAAACTATCGTTTTGTCTACTACAATCTATTACGATAAAATTGTGCCAATTTTAAAAATTTTTGAAATGTTGAAATTGCTCGTACATTTAACTTCTAAACGTCATTTCCAGTTTGCTCCTTTTCTCGACGTACTTCAAGAGTCGCAGTTTTTCTATATCGGCTACTTGAATGTGTGGTAATTGTCATATCGCTCTGAATAATTCTATTTTGGGTTTTTCATTTTCTTTCGAAGATACCACGGTATTTTGATCCGCAGAACTTCGAATTACAACCAGTTCTTGTTTCATATTGATAAGATTTTTTTAAACGTCAATAGTTTGTAAATGTTGTCAATAAATCATAAATTGTATAGATGCGCATTTACTTAATTTAATTATATTATACGCGCCCTAGTTGAATTCTTTTATGGTCGCCACTGCGAAATAAAGCAGTAGTCGTCGGCTCAGCTAGGCTAAGCTCGACTAACGTAGCGCGCGCGCGAGACGGATCACGGCGCTTAAACAGCGCGATACCATATCGGCCGAGTTAGGCTATAGGAACAGCGCGTCGGCGGCGCGATCAATTTTTCAGGTCTCAAAAATATGTCACATTTATTTCTCGCCCCGTCACCACCACCCTGTAGTGCCGAAAAGGTACTATGAAATGTCTTTTTTTCTACGAACCTTTTTTTTTTACCGGGAGTGAGTTTGGCAAAAAGGCGCGGAAGTGGAATTTCCAAAAAGGCACTAACGCTAAATCCAAATCGTATCGGTACATTCATTGCTTGTTCGGGGCAGCGCGGGAGGGAGGCCGGCAAAGCGTTTCCGTGGAGAAAGAATTTTCCTCGATAGAGAATAATTACGATTTGTTTACATTAAAATGTTTTTAAAATACATCTAATAATATTTACACTGACTCAGCTTAAAAGATTCAGTTGCATTTTAAATAATCAAAGAGCCAAACCTATCATAAATGTGTTTGTTTAAAAGTTGTCAATTATTTTAAATAAATCATTGCCGTCATAGTAAAATTGTATTTTGGTACCTTTTACTCGGAAAACTGCATACGGAGATTATCACGAATCATGAACGGTTAATAAAAACGTGTGCCCAATTGTTCTCACAGCTAAAATTATCGATGATTTTTAAATTTATTCAATAAGCAATATGATTTATCAATATCTTTAACCAATACTTCAGCCGCGACTATTTTGAGGATATGGTTGTCAAAACACATTTTCATTCCTTTTCGTTGGTGAAAATGATGTAGTTTTAATAAAAAATGTTCAAAAAATTGTGTCTATGCTGGCGCCAACAAATTCTACACTCAAACCATTCATAACTTGGAAATAACAAGTGATTTGGGGATTTCAGAAATGTGAGTACTTGACATCGTTACTGATCTAATTAAAAACGAAATCGTCCGGGAGAACAATTCTCCATTTGGGAGGCCGATTATACTCGTTAAGAACAAAGATGGGACATTTTGATTGTGTGTCGATTATTGTCATTTAAATAAAATAACTTTAAGGGATCGATATCCGTTGCCACGTATTGACGATCAGCTCGATCGTTTAGGTAAAAATAAATTTTTCGCGTCACTGGATATGGCTTCGGGTTTTCAGTCGATTCCAAAAACCGCTTTCGTGACACCGCATGCTCAGTATGAGTATTAAAAAATGCCTTTCGGATTGGTCAATGGTCAAGGTCTTTCGGAGAGCAATTAATACGGCTTTAGGTAACCTAGAATATGACACCGCGGTTGTTTACATAGATGACATAGTAATATCCTCCATCACACTTGAGGATGGATTTTGTAAACTAAAATTAGTTCTTGATGTTTTGTCTAAAGCCGGATTCCGAAAATTTATTAACGCTTTTTTTCCAAAGTAGATCGGATAACTGACTTGACTCTTAATAATATCCCTTTTGTTTGGACATCCAAATGTGAAAAAGCGAGGCAGTATGTTATTGACGTCCTTACTCAAATACCCCTATTGTCAATTTTCGATTTTAATTTAGAGATTCAGTATTCTTTTGTTATATTTTCTGAATCCACTGATCAATTGATCCAATTTTCTTTGGTAACTATCTGGAGAGCTACCTTATCTCACTTACATTTTTATTAAAAAATATTTTGTACTGTGCCCACACCAATTCCTAAATATACAATGGCAAGGGCGCAATTTTAAAACATAATGTCACATTTCACCAATTATTTTTTAGGTAGCATACGGCAAGTTTGTTTTGTATTTTTTTCTTTTCTTGTCGATGCATTTGATACACTTTCGACTAACAGTTTATCAAAAATGCGACCCTGTTTTGTAGTGAAAACTACTGTAATTATCCGGTAATCGATGCTATCTCTGTCGAGTAAAGCCTTGTTCACAAGAAAGAAACACATTTTGTTGCTGGTTGCCACAACCTGTTTATGGCCACAAAATAACAGTAAAAGTTCCGTAAACATTCTGTTCATACCAAGGGAACTTATTCTGGTGAATGATTCGTTGTGTTGCTGCAACAGGAAACATTACGTCTATGCCAAGTGCAGTGTCACAATTGTAATTTATCTAAAAAAACTCTGAAAGAACGAGTCCGTAAATGTTGAACTACACCAAGTGCTTTAGACACAAAAAAAAGATGTTTGGTAACAGATACGTAAAAAAGTTTGTCGTATGGCTAGTATTGATTTCAAGTTCAATTCAAAAAGAAGATACGAACTATAGAGCGGCTATATCTCCATTGGAACGCCTGCATAATTACTTGAAAATTCAAAATACGCAATTTATTTAATTGTACCAGAAGACATGTTTTTTACCATTCATTAATTTTTGTATTATTAATAAACTCAATCAAAAACTTTGGAAACAAGCAACAATGTGTCCACACTATTAAAAACACCAAAAGTATCCGAATGTTTCTGTATTTCCTTTGACTTTTGCCGCTAAAAATGGAAAAAAGCAACTGTCAGATTAATTAGCTCTTTCGTGTATTGAACTAAACGGAAACAAACTATCTTATTTCTTTTGTGCTTTCTCCGCAATGTTATTTTTTAAACCTTTCAAAGCTAACTACATTTACGCAATTTAATTAGTATAATTACTCGATTGGTATTGTTATTAACTGGACGAGTGCTTTTTAACTATTGCCCAAAATAGATTTTGACTATAGTTTTGTCTAGTTCTGTTTAAAAGCAACTTTTACGAGTTTAAAAAAAAGCCACATAAAAAATTGGTAAACGATATATATTTTACCAAAAATAATAACCTTAATGCTATAGTCAGACATTTGGTTGTGATGTCCCGCCATAATCGGCTCAATTCCGTCGAGCCCCGCCTTATCGACAATAAATTAACTATAATCACAGCACTAAACGGGAGGTCGCCCCCACTTCTCTCCAGATCCTGCTACGTGTCGAACCTCCTATTGTTCGTCCTCCTCTTCTTCCGTAAAACTTTGTACGTAAACCCGCCGGCCAGAAAAACGGCCACCAGGACGAGCACGCTTAGTCCCGCGTACATACCAGCCTCGCTACTCCCCGCTCCCACAAAGTCCGCGTCCCGGGGCTGATCGGGCCGATCGTTAACCGCTCTACCATCCACGCCACCGGTCGTAGTCGGCGGCTTCCCAGTACTGGTAGTCGTAGTCGTCGTCGTAGTAGTAGTGGTGGTGGTGGTAGTCGTAGTCACCACGGGAATCTGCTCGTCGGGGGCGGTCTCCAAATACGCTTCCAGAGGTTGAAAATACTTCAATAGCGCCGATGCCGTCATTTCCAGGCCGTAGTTGAACGTCAGGATGTACGGCCAGTCGGTGGTGGATCTCTCCTTGATCAAGGTCGCGAACGTTTCGTCCTTGCCGATATCTTCGACGATACGGGACGGGTCCTCGGACTGCTCCCTGTAGTACTCCAAGAGTTGGAAAGCCAAAATTACGCCAAAGAAATTGCTAGAAAAAACGACCCGAGACGGACCAAATTAATTACTCGAGTGGGGGTGTATCGTTACCTCACATGCGGTTTGTTGAACAGCACGTAACCGTCACCGAAGAAATCGGTCTCGCGGTCGGTCACGCCCCCGACCCCTTGGTACTCCCTCCTGAAAAGCCACAAAATATAATATACACTGGGAGGTTGATCATCAAAGATATCGCGTAAAATATTTCTTACAAAGTTTTCGTGTAAGGTCATATTTAAATGACTCTGGGTCAACTTCAAGTATCTAATTTTAACCGAAAAAGCGGAAGATCCAGTGCCACAAAAATTTGTTCTTGATGATCTTTCAAATAAAAAAAGATAAATTCTGCTATTTTTACATAACGCTAAAGGCGTTCTGTTAAAAACCATCCAATTTATTTATCTTCCGCCCAATCGTTGATAACGTTTTAGCTCTTACTAAAGCAGTTAATGAAAACGACGATTTTTTTAGAAGAACGTAATACACCTTTGTCAATTTTATCCCAAATATGGCGACACATAGAAACAATAGACCTTGAGAAAAAAAAATATTTTCATCGACCATTAACTTATTAATAACAGAGAAATATAGATAACACTTCTTTTAACAAAATTGTAATTGGTTTAGTCTGACCAATCCAATGATGAAATAACCCAGCCAACGTTAAAGGAGATTCAACAGCAATACAAAAGTTATCTACCATAATTTTTTAAAAACTAAAAATCGCGTTTGCAAGGGTGAAAAAAAACTCCTTAAAAACGATAAACACGATCGAAAAAATTTTTGAACGAAAAGACGTGCGACATCCGGATCAAAAACTCTTATTCGTAATAATTTTTTGATAATATACAGGGAGCATCGGCAATTTTGGGAAAACTAAAAAATGGGTTCTTTTAAACATAATTGGCTATAACTAGAAGACTGTGTTTTAGTGGTCAGTTTGTTCACATATTATAGAGGGTGTTCGGGATAAATTAAAAAGTATAATGGGTGTTCCAGCTATCGACTTCAGATTTGGCAGGGAAGTTCAAACCTGCATTTAAACTTTAGAAGTTGGGCTCAATCTGAACATGGCGAAGTTTTTTTTAATTTCAACATTTTTTTTTGTTTTATTTGGGCATTCACAAAAAAATATTTTCTCCAAAAACTATTAATCTGATGGACAGCATTCTTGAATAGAGAAACGCGGGAGATCCGGAACTATAACATTCATTGGTTTCAAGCACTTTTTTGAATTAAATACAGGACAAAAACAAAACAATCCCTGAAAAATCGTAAAAAATATGACCATTTGGTTTAAACGAATACTGTGGGCCGCATCGAGGGCTACAATTTTTGTATTTACGTCTATGGCACACATTTACTCTAGGAAGTACTGCATAGTTTCAGAAAAAAATATTTCATGAACCAGGCAACGTGGGAAATGAAGGGCTATAACCGTTACTGTGAGCATTTTTTGGATTACATACAGGGTGTGGTTGATAAGCAAAAAATCTAAAACATTGCCCGTAAAGAAAAATCGTAAAAGTTGGGATAATCTGGTTGACGCGGTATAGAAAACTGCAACTACTACAATTTTCCTATTTACAGTTTTCGTCCGTCGCACAGGATGCGCGAGATATTTGAAAAAATATTTTTAAAGTTATCAACGACTTCGGCAAGCGTTTGTTAGAAAGATACTTTACAGGAGGCATTCAATTTGGGTTCTTCTATTGGCGGCTTCGTTTAAGTAAACTAGCGAGATTGTTCGCTTTTTAGAGAACATCCAAACGGCGCGATACTAACCTGTACCTCCACCAACTCTGGGTCAGGTTGCCAGCCCCACCATCGACCTCCCGCAGCCTCCAAATGTCCACGGCCAAATGGTAAGGCATCCCGGGCAGCATCCTCATGGCGGTCAGCAGGAGTTTCGTCATCTCCACCGAGTTCTCGCCGCCGGCCACGCCCCCCTCCACTATCCCGTGGTACTGCAAGCTTTCGACTGCCAGCAATGACCCGAGCGCGTACAAAGCCTCGTCGATCGCCGAGTACCGCAAGTTTTGACGTGGCAGCGACTGGTGGTCTTTGTTGTTGAGGGCCACGCGGATGGCGGCCTCGTGGGCGTCCAGGTATGTAACCCAGGCGGACCTGTTGCACTCGCGGATCCTGAAATTAACCGTTCCTGCGGGCCAGTCGACGACAAAATTGCGACGCACTCACTCGGTGTACTGCTGCGAGTAAAACTCGAGGATTTCGGGGCCGCACGCAGACGCGTCGAAATCGCTGTTCCGCCAGAACGAGTCCCCCAGGTCGCCCAGCGAGAGAGCCTCCACGCCGCGCTCAGCAAGCCGGTAAATTTCCTTGACGTTCTAAACGCGAAAGAGGATTTTTAAGACGGCGGGAGAGACAAGAGGGAAAAACGCTTGAGCACCTAAATACAAACTCAAACTGGAGTTGTATAGAAAATACCGGTTCTATAATTCAAAAATAAAGTTATAATTTGACTCAGTGTGGAACCAATCGTCTGAATTACAAACATTTTTGATATTATATTGTAGATAAACGGTTTTTACAAAACTTCTGGATTGTTGATGAATCGCACTTGCTGACGTTTCGCGAATCATCCTGTTGACTTCTTCTGAGCTTGAATGAAAACTGGCGCGCATTTTACTTTGTACCTGCTTATAAATTGCTTGCGGGGGGGGGGGGAAGCTAAATGAGGGGCATAAACACCGTCACGGACGACCGATTCCCATAATGGTTACGGGTAAAGGACCTAAGTCGCGGTTAAGATTTCTATCGATGAGGATAATACTAAAATTTTCGCATGTAATCAATTCTTCTACCCACGAAAAATTCGAGAATCAGAAAACCTTTCAGTCATCCATGTATATATATGTATATATGTATGTACTATATCAGTTTTGTAAATAAATAGTATTACATCTGTTTATCCTAATAGCAAAACGGTTAGTAAGAAATGCTCTTTTATTACGTGACAACATCCCAAAAAACAGACGCTACGACATTGTGGGGGAGTTGTCTAAGCTTCATTTCACGTGCGTCCAAGTTTGCCGTGCCTTTGTAAGAAAAGTAGGTTGAACAGTTGACAGTGAAAATGCCGCAACAGTGTCAAGTTTGGCGAGTACTCATAGGCGGTGCATTTATTTTCTTATATTGTGTAGCAATTGTTCATAATATTAGTTATTGTTGATAAAGAAATTTCTGACTTTGATTTTCAATGTGATGGAGTTAAAAGTTTAAAATATTCAATAGTGAAGTTTTTAGTCCACAAAAATGAAGATGATACAATTGATATCTTAATTTGACATTGAAATCTAATTTTTAGTTCTTCATCACTGTCCCGTTCTGCACCACAGTATCCCGCAAGAAAACGGTACGAACGTCATTTCACACAATTTAGACATTTAGTCCTTGAATAAATCCAAATTATCTCTCCATAGAGAAAAAATGTCTTTCTTTATACTTATTTGGAAATTGATATTTTATTAAATGACTTACCAGAAGATATATAGATCATTTTAATTTGAGTAATTTATTATAGGTCTGCAATTGATTTAAATGTGATGCCCCCTCTCAATTTATTATAAAGTAAATGAAATTTATGCAATAAACGAGACAAACTTTAATGCCATCCACAATATAGATGAATTTGGTGGTCATTGATATGAAGGTCATGCCCTAAGTCTAATCAAATTAATTACAAAAAGGAAACAACAAAAAGAAACGATATTGTAAAAGAAGTAGAATTCGAAGCCTCGACAAAAGGACTATATTATTTAAAAATCAATGATTAGTTATTATAATAACTTGGTTATGATTTTTGGTATTTTAAAATGAAATAGATATTATAAATGTGATTTAATTCCGCTCCTAGTTTTTCCAAAAATTAACTTTTATAAGACACTAGCGTGGAGTCTTTCCAAGCATTTTCCAAAAATGTTTGTCTAACGCACTATACATATTATTACTAATTCACAGAAGATACTTTATTAAATATTTCAAATTTACTATTTGTAAATCGACCGTGCAAATTTTAATCCCGCAAGCCAATGACTACTTGCCCCTCTCGGGAATTATTTTCCCCCACCGTACATGGTCGCCATAGCAACAATTCATGTTTAGGCATCACCCCTCACCGCACTCGTTCCTTGTCTAAAGTAAGTAAGTAAAGTTTCTATTTGGTTACTTTTACTTTGGATGTTGACGGCACACACAAAGAACATGAATGCATTAAAAGTTCAGTTGCTCGGCGGTATACGAAGGCGGGAACATGGAGAGCAATTTATCTGGAGTTGTTGATGTCAAAGGCGTTACCTTGAATTTGAGGTACGATTCGACGTCGAAGTGCAGCTGGGGATGGGGCAGGACAATGTCGGCAACCTCGCTCCAGTCCGATCCAAACCTGTCGCCTGAAATCGTCGAAGTCATCTTTCTTATTCGATCAACACTTTCACTGTAACTGATTCCGATTAAAAACTTCCTGGGAATTCTTCGTCTTATTAGGCCGCACCTGTTGTATTAATTTCAATTTCAATATTCAAAAATTTTGAAAATTTTTTTGGTATATTTTGACTTCCAAAAAAAAAATTATTTTCTCGAAAACTATTAACCCGATCGGCAAAATTTGTGAACCGGGAAATGCGGGAGATCCAGGACCGTAACTTTTATTTTAGGCATTTTTGCCATTATATACAGAGTTTTTCAATTACAGACAAAAAATCTAAAAGACCTATTAAATTATTAGCCGTAAATCAAAATTCGTGAAAAATATGGCCAATTGGTTTAAACAGTGTTATAAGTCACATCGAGAGCTAAAACTTTTATATTTTCGGTTTTCGTCTATCTCATACGCTGTTCGAGATATTTGAAAAAATGCAAATGAAAGTCACCATTTCTCGCCCTCAATCTAGACGCGATAACGTCATTGGCTATTACCACGTACTGCATGGTTTCAGAAAACAAGTACTTTCTTGAAAACCACTTACTCTATTGGAAGAAATGATATACTAGGAAAGGTGGGAGATCCAGGGCTACAACTTCTATTTCGAACTTGTTTTATTTATGTACAGGGTGTGTCGTTTATGGCGAAAAAAATCTAAAACGTCCTAAAAATTTCCGTTTTTATAGGTAAATTATTGGGGATAAATGAAAAACTGCTAAAGATGCGATCATTTGATTTGAGCGGTATCGTAAACTGTGTCGAGAGAGAGTTTCAGCTTTCGTCAGTTATAAAATTTGCCGCAACTATGAAGTCCGGCGACACTTGAAAGACACTTTATACAGGCTTCATAGTGGTCCACATGAGCACGATAGAAAAACCATGTCTCCCTCTAGGATAAGAAACTGCCAAGCGGTTTCTTTTCAAAATACAAAGCTGCTTCGCGCTACTCGCGACAAACTTGCCCCGCCCACCGTCGATTTTTCGAAAGCAATCTTGTTAGTAGTACCGTCTCGTTACTTTTTATGATTACCTATTGAAATTTCCAATTTCCGATGTTTTCAGCACCTTTGCATTTTAATACACTCACCTCCATAAAAAAACGTTTATTCAGAATGTGATTTGTTTCTCAATGAGCGGCATCTTACTAATGAATCTTGATTATATTAACCGCTTGGAGTTCTGCGTGTGTAAGGGGAGGAGGGTATGCTACCCTACAGCACTTAGGCATCAGCAGGCCAATTCTGCTTCCTCCTAGACAAAGCCTAGTGACTCCACGCAGGCGATGACAGGTCATAGTCGTCTCCGAAAATATATATACTATCTTGCCTTCCTGTTCGCACGCCCTGCAGGGCTGCTTATTTGTTTCGACAGCTCAATAGCCTTCCTAATTAGTCAACAGTTTGCTGATGTGTCAACGGTGCTAATGCTACTTCTGGCCTGAAACGTGGTCTGTGAAGTACTAGAACTGCCTGTCTGTATAGATGCATACGCAAGGCAACCAAAAACTTTTATTATACTTCGAAGTGCATGTGATTATTACGCAGGTTTGAGGCGATTGACGCCGAATTATGACGTGGAACTTAATATTCACGTCCACAAGACGCAGTGGTTTTTTAAACATGTCATTAAGACAGCATTTTTTTCTTTAGTAGGCAATTCCAAAAAACAAAGTTTTCTTTTGCACTTATTAGACAAATCACTTCTCTTGAAGTAGAGAAGTTTTTTTCATTTCATTGCTGTTAGCATGACCAGGCCCTCCTGGCTGTTCGCATAATTGGGAGCGCGAGTCTGGGCCGTAATTCGGCAAATGACCAAGAGAGGGTGCCACCGTCCACGCACAACGCTCGCTGAAGCCTGTCAGCCGCCGGGAATTCACTTGCTCCGCGTGTACCTGGCATAAGCAGTTGTTTATGTCAAATAACCCCTTTTTACTATTTAATTTTTGTGCAATCATTAAGTTTAACGCCCTAGAGACATATTATATATCAATTGCCATAATCCAAAACAGGTATTTTCTTCTAAAATAATCATGGGCACGTAAAGGTTAAATCTTAAATAAGGCGTGATAACATCAGAAAAACGTGGAAAAATTAAGAATCTAACACCAATACGCTGGTCCAAAGATATACTATATTATTTCCATAGGTCGTTGCAGATCAATATTTAAATATTTAAAATTTCGTAATTTTTGGTTTTGGTAACCCGACGTCTCTTCGGCGTCATAATAATCACGTGAGCCGCGAAAACATGATTTTAGTTGACATATGTAATCCGAATTAAACAGAACAAAATATCGTTTCGGCAATTGGGCTAAATCGCCCTGTATCTCCGCATCTCCAACTCTCACGGTCAATCAATTAAAATCACTTAAAGCCGTTCACGGACGACAGGATCGCGCTACATGAACTACACCCGTTCCGAGCCATATAATACACCATCGCCCGTAAGTATTGCAACCGATCCGAAAATCGAAGAAATATACAATGTTTTACAAAAACAGATTATGTTATCAATATCACAACATATTTCTTTTTCGAGTTTGCTGTGATCATATGCGATAAAACAAAACTATGGTGGTCGGACATTTTGTTTCTCTTATTTGACGTTTCCTTGCTTTATTGGGCGAAAGCCTAGTTTGCAATTTACTGTTTTGTTAACGCCAGCTTAGAAAAGAATGAAGATGACGAATTTCCCGAAAGCACAGTTCCATGGACAATCTTATATTTTAGTGAAAAAAATAATTTTTTCTACTCCCGCTAATTACGCACCGATCAAGCGTGCGAGAAGCGTCACTTTACCACGTCAGTGTCGTTTCCCACGAATCCGAGTCACTTCGGACATTTCCGGGATTTTACCGCGCGGATTTGAGACCAAAGCGAGATTAGATTACTGTAAGGCTGAGTCACCAATAATTAGTGCACATTGCAAGAAACATGATAAACTCGACAGGGAGATAAAGGCATACGAAGTCCTATGGCTGCACAACACCCAAGTAAGTATTGATTTGTTAATCATTACAAGGCTCAAATACCAGCCCGAGAAAATAAGAAAAATAGCCCACCAATAAGGCCAAACCAGATATAATTTGGTACACAGACGGCTCAAAAACCAAAGAAAGAGTAGGAGTTGCCTAGTTTATAAACCCAGAACGAAAACAAAAAAATCTATCCCAATGGGTAAGTTAAATAAATAGAAATGAAAAAGATTCCTAATAAGACAATTGCGATCTATACCGGCAGCAAAGCGGCAATAAAAGCTATATCATCCAGCAAAATAACATCATAATACCATCAAGTTACTTCTGGATTAAACCAGTTAGCAAGTCAGAATAAAGTGAGGCTGTCATGGGTACCAGGGCACGAAGGCCACGAAACCGCCAACAAAGTAACACGTGAAGGCTCGTCAAGGTGTATGATCGGACCAGAACCCTTCTGTGGGGCGTAGGACAGGACAAAGACAAGTCAAGGAATTCCTCCGAGGCCCATCTGTCAAGTATTCAGAAGACCTGCTAAACCACAAAAGAAAAGCAGTAAGAATAATGGTAGGTTTGTGACGGACTACTGCCGGCTTAAGAGACATCTAAGGGGTGAATGCAGATTCTGCCAAGAAGAGCCATACACATGACACATTATGTCAGTGTGAAGGCCTATCAAGACTGCGTTTCCATCTACCGGACGTTACCAAATTAGAGGCAAGGAGCCACTATTAAAATTATAGACTCTGGGCAGAGGGACGAGCCTGGAAAACGCTCTATAGCTATGGAGAGCGGCGCAGTAGATCCTTCGGTGGCCGTGATGCACCGGCTTAAAGAAAGATTTCGGTGAACAATCATGCGAGCAAATAACACTCATATCTTATTTCCAATCTTAGGAATTTTTTAATTCGTTGCCATAATTATGTCCAGCAGCGTATAAGGGCGGATTCATCGTCGTCAAAGTCAATCGGATTCAATTAACGTGCGAAGTTAGTCGGAATTACAGCACATGCGTCGCTTACCTAATAAATAGGCGGGTATGTCCAGCGAATCACCTTCAATTTGGAAATATTTCAACAATCGCCGCCTGACGAACGCGTGAAGTTTGACGTAAAGGGGCCGCAGCTCCTCCCACAGTTCTTCGGCCATCGCGTACGCTCCGGGATAATTAGCGAGGAATTCCCAATACTCCCTGGCGGTTTCGTAACCTAAAAAAAGCGCGTCTCGAATCACCGACAACTGGAAGCCGTTATCGGGTACCGTTCGACGCGGCCGCAACCCGGACCAGATGAAGGTTTTGGCCAAGTTTCTCCACGTCCGAAACGTTGTAGATCGTTTGCCAAGCGGACCAAGTATTCCCGAGCTCTGTGGCGTTCCTGGAGTCCCGAAGGACCTCTTGGTAGTCTTTCCTGGACAGGAAGCAGCCTTTGGTACCGTTCACGCAAGGTACTTTCGCTTGGTTCGCGACCTCTGCCATTCGGTTCTTGAACTGAACCAACTGAAAAGTAGCGATAAGAATTTGTGGTCAGGTTGCCACCCTGCTCTTCTCCACCACAATCGAAAGAGAAACCAGATGACGTGTCTAATTTTTTGCGCTATAGAAAAATTTTGTCTACTCCCATCTGTAAAATACCTAATTACACACCGATCTAGCGTGCGGGAAGCGTCACCAATCGGATGTTTTCGGAGATATTTCCCACGCTTTGAATTTTGACGTTTGTCAATTCTGACGGTCATATCAGTGAATGTATTCGTGTTGTTTTGCAAATATGTACCCAAAAACCAACGATCGTAGAAAAAGTATAGTATGCAACACGTTCCGGTAAACTTTTTAACTCACTCGTTTATTAAAAATTCGATCCGCTGCGCTCCGCTCGTGTCAAATAAACTCGTGAGTCAAATGCCGTTTACCGCACTTGTTGCATAATATCATAGTGTATCGATCGTTTTGTGTCATCGGCTATTGCCGAATAAATGTGAAAAATCAACCGAAGTAGTTCTTAAGCCTTTGCGCGTTCGTTATCTTGGTTCCCTATAAATAAGTAGTCTGATAACGTTGACTTCATAAATTAAACGGGTCCGCAAAGATTTTGTGATTTGGTATTTTTCATATTTTTGGTTAGTTGATGACTAAACTAATGGAAAACAATGTTTTTTTGTTTCTGTCACGAAACATTTTTGAATTAATTTTTGAGATGTCATATTTATTGTATTAAAAATTGGAACATTACAACATTCTAAACATTGCGACGCAATGGCATATATTTTATAGAAATTAACACACTAAAAGATGCAAAATTAAAGAAAGGTATTTTTGTAAGTTCTCAAATAATAGCGATTAATGGAAGACCGAGACTTTGCGAATACCATGATCAAATCTGAAAGATATAAGACAAATCGAACCCAGATATTAAAAAGTGACAATCCAGTCTGCCAGAGTCATATCCGGAATATACAAGAAAATCCACTGCACTTTTTTCGGCAACGAGTTCTTCCAAAAATAAATGGACTTAACTATTGAGACTTTGGTACTTAAATCAGATTTTTAATTCGGTTTTTGTTCTTGTACTAATAAAAATAATGTTTAAATCATCCGAGATCTTCATTTATTAATTCTTTTAATGTTGATAAAAAATCTTACTGTATGAATTTTTTTTGTGGTGAATGATATTTTTCGGGCGTATGATAAATAAATGATTTTCTGATAAATCTTTTCCTTTCTTGTCATCATATCTGAATAATAGAAACCGAATAATATCCTCAAGTGATAAATTTTCGGATCAGGGGCAAATACTCTCGGGGGAGCCACAGGGGTCCATTATTTCTTATTATGTATAATTCGGACATTCTAAAATCATTGGTTTTCTTTGACATCCAGAAGTTTGACATGTTATCTACCAAGTAGTGGAGAATGCTCTCTGGTATTCTTGGTCTAAGCTAGTACCCAAGGCGGTAATTTAATAGGATAACTGCAGGAAATTTGAAATTGGAATTGTACCAGCAACTTCACAACCTTAGTTAAACACACTTTAAAATTTGGTTAGTATCAAATTGTAAATAGCACTAAACGGGGAAATTGCTTTTGATTTTTTTTGTTTTTCTTGGATAAACGATTGTTTTCGTTGGTCATTAATATGGCAAGTGGTTTTCTTATAACCCTAGACGTACTTTACTCCAGTCAGATTTCGGTAAAATTCCGTCGCCCGGTTTGATTTGGTACGTAACGTTCCTCTCCAAATCGTCCGCCACGTAGTCGAAGGTTCTCAAAGTTTCCGCGTGCACTTTGAGCATGTCCCCGTAATTTTCTTCGGCGGCCAGCTGAAAAAATAAGACGGCGTGGCGACGGCCGTCCAAAAACATTCGACACGCGTCCACTCACCACGTCTTGGAAATTGCCGGTCAGTAACGCGGTTTTTTTGCCCAAAGATATGGACTCGCACGCGTCAGCCAGTTCGAGATCGTCGAGCTGCAGTTCCGTAGTGAGACTTTCGGTTTTGTCGTCGCATACGCACGACGCTGAGAATGCGCAGGCCATTACCAGCAGCGTTTTGGCGAAAAGGCCCATTTTTAGACTAAAAACAAGCGGCGGTTTTGTTGAGGCGAATTTTTATTTAAAATGCATGGTGGGCCTTTTGGTAACAAACTCTTCCTGTATTTTTATAAAGTATAGGATAATGCCAATTACAAAATGTTAGTAGTTAGTTAGTTCGTTTCACATCAGTAAAGTGTACACTAACTATTCTGACCCATTCAAACAAAAACTTTGTCACGGTTCAAAAAAACCTTAAAAGCCTCTCGCTTATCAAAACAGTGTTCATCAACTGCAGAATAGTAATTAGTACTTAAAAAGCAACTATATAAATCATAGTATTAAAATTTGAATGCTTTAAAAATCAATAAAATGCTATAATTCAAACCTACTTGTTTAATTCATAATTATTATATTTTTCTGTTTATATAGCCTGATCGTCGGCATTTTACTCTATTTTTAGTCTAGTTAGTAATTTTGTTTTCTCTTGTATTTTGTTGTACTGTGTGGGAAAATAAAGACCTATTCATTTATTTCTTTATTTATCTATTTATTATTTATAAGTTTATTATAAAGTCTAAATTAAAATTTTCCCTAAAATCATATCCAGCGTTTCTGGTTTCCGCGTAATCTGACAAATTTAATTTAGGAAATAATGTGTTGCATCTTGGGATAATACCTTATATCAGAAACTATAGGGGATGGAGCCAAAAGTTAATTGAAGTATTACAAGCTTTTAATTTAACTTTGTGTATACAGGGTGTTTAATTTCTCGTGGGCGAGTATGAACTTTCTTATTTTAAATGGAACACCCGGCATATACTTAATTTTTGAATTATGTATAAAATTCTAGATATATTTTATGTATAATGTCCTATACCTTAGTCTACCCGTTTTTGTAAGATCTTTCAGAAAAAATAATAGTATATATGATGTATCATTTAAGAAATATATTCGTTTATTTTGAACACTCTGTAGCATAGAATTCAAATTCCGTTGCATATATCTTTTTCGTCATCTTCAAAAAACGCTAATAACAAACATGAGTGATCTACCTTTAAAAATAATAGCGATATAACAATTTTTTTTGCAAGTGTGAAAACCAGTTTTTTTTTAGGAAAACCAAAATAATGGAAAAGTTATTATTATTAACAACAACAACATTTTAAAAAGGAATTCAAAACAAAATTTAAAAATAGGGTGTATCATTTAAAAAAATATATTTTATCGGTCACACTTGTTTGGGCCATCGTAAAACATATCCACTTTCTTTACTGACTGACAGAGAGTATAGTAGCAAATACACCATTTTTAAAAGCCAAACGGAGACATAGATACTAAGTTTTTGCATTAATAAAAGCAAATGATTAAAATAAACACAACTTTTTCAACGGAAAACTCAAAGTCGCTAAAACTTTGTTTCTCAAAATTACAAAGAATTAATTACAAATATGCGAAACAACAGTTTTATGTGATTAAAAACTAACGCGGCAAAATATAGCTAAGCATCTTCTTCCTATGGGTGTAGGGATGGCTCGTGACATAATTCATACAAGAAACTAGCTGTGATGATATTTATGTCTCCAAATGTCACTCTATTAACTCCAAGCTCATGTGACACAAAAAACTACTCCAACTCCCCCAGGCTCGTTACTTGGTTAATACAGAAGATTAGTTGGACAACTATTGTTATTATAATTATTAGACATAAGTGTTGTGAAAGAGTTCATCGCCGCGATTTTAGAACAATGGGTTTTATGAAATTATCAAAGGTCAGTGACGATAATAGCAAACGATAGATGACTTTTAAACGATATTATAATAGCTGGCTCATCGGAAATTCGACGATATTGATCGACATGTTTTTATGGTCGGCCGGACAATACATACTTTTCTATTTAAATATTCTGAAATAACCAGAGTCAACATCTCAAAAACATACTTTGCGTCGATGTTTATTTTTGCAACTCCAACGTCCAACATTAACATTAGGGGACTGAAATTGGGAAGAAAAATACGCGAAAACAAAATTTAATTGGGCCAAAAATATGTTAATATATTACAATGCCTTTTCTAAAATGTTATATTTAGCTAACATTAATATAACTTCCATGCCTTTCTATGAAAAACATCAACCAAAGCCTGAACGCTATAAATAATACGACGTAAACTGAATAATAAAGAGCAGTTCACGCCGTTTTTAACAATCATGTGTGATGTGAATGGATGGCGCGGTTCACACAGTAACACAGCTTAGCTGGTGAGCCAATTAAAATTATTAAGAGTAACAAATATGTTTGTGGTACCCATCATAAATATCTGCTACATCAGATGCTGTCGGTCTTATCACAATTACCAATGCATCATTCGCTTTAATTCAATTCATTAAATAAACGACCATTAAATATGTGAAATAGCCTTCACAATTATCATTGTCACCAGACCTTTCTACATTCTATGCACGACCTACCTGCAAAAAAACTAAGTCACCGACGGAATTAAAAGGATATCTATTTTCACCGGCGCATCGCACACACATAACCACTTTTCCACCAACACACGGTATAACGTGACGCAACGAAGGTCACCTGTCAACCTTTAAACCAATCACGACAAAGCACTAATGCGATTTCGTTTGACTGGTGAAACTTAACTTGACTCGATTTCTGATGTTTGAAAACTCGAATTTGGTTTGATCTACAATCGAAGCAATGAAGTAAAAATTGTTATCTTATCGCGGCACTCCAATTTTCGTGCAACCATCCCGGGTGAAATCTACACTGAATTTCGAACGTTAACGACGGTGGCTCGTGGTTAGTGGGTAAATAAGCTTGTCGAAGACAGGGTCGGATTTAAAAAAAATCCGAAGCTTTTTTAAAAGGAGGTTACAGAAAAACTGCAAACTTCTACAAAAAATTGATGCCTATAATACCTAACACCCTCTTTATCTTTGTTAGTGCAGCTACATCCACGTACAATTTAATTGTAAATGCTAAATTGTAAAGGGTTAAAATTAGTTTCCTTTTCGCCCGAGAGTGGGAGCGATTGCTTGTACACATCTGGAGATCCAGTATCTTTTAAAGATATCTGACACTTTGAAAATAGTTTCCATTAATTACCGATTTTGCAACTACGTGTTATCTAATTAACTTTTCACATAATCAAAAACAGCTCGAATCGCCAATTTAAATTAAACCATAAATTTATCCGTTGCCGCCATCTATAGTTAGAAGGTGGAAACAGGTCAAAAAAATGATAGGTTTCTTTTGATTTTTTTTTTGTTTATCTGCTTTATCGGCGAAGAGGTGTTGTGTGTTTTTGCAGTCTGAAAACAAGTTTTGTATTCTTACATTCTGTGCTTTGGTTATTTTTTTTTGTCCCAAATACGTACATCGAAATTGTGTCAAGTGTCAAAATTTTCGCATATTCTTTAAGCGATTTTAAAAGAAAAGGAATTTAAAGGCGACGTTTCGCCTGGGGTTTTATTTCTATGGAGGGCGGATCTTTCAGATACCAAAGACGTCGTTAGACAAACAGTTTAATGCTGAAAGCCGAATTGCCGTAATAAAAACAATGTCGGGGTTGAACTGCAAGAATATACTGGATTTTTTTCGACAAAAAGACGACGAGCGCAACCTCGTCTCGTCTATGTTGCACATGTTTTCGATCACGCTTATCAGCATGTCTCTGGTGGATTTAACCTGGTTTTCAATCAGTGGCAATTTTTGCGTGCCCTACTTAACGCTCGGGCAATTTTTTTGGTTTGGTTTCACCAATAGAGGCATTAACTATGAAGGTGAGTGAATATGATGTGATTCTGTTAAGGCAAAATGAAAATTTTTAGAATATGACTGTTTAACTCCATCAGTGGTGAATCTGATGCGAATCATAATCCTACTGTGCTTTATGGCCATGATTTTCTCACTAGTGGGGTTTTATTTGGACTTGGTGGCTCCTAAAACTGAAATATACAGATTATCAAGAAAATATTCTGGAGCTAGTGTATCCACAAGTTGGTTTTGCCTGCTTGCTTTTGCATTTACAATATTTGAATGTGTTTTAGTTCTGTTTATAATGACAATAGTAATGATGTCCTACTATGTCGTAATAATTCTCCAAGATTCTATAAGGGACAAATATCCAAACAGTGATTTTGATGTGTCTTATGGCTTGGGGTTCTACCTGTTGGCTCTGGCTGGTAATCTGTAAAATCTTGATTTGATAAGTAGCGGCTGACACATACTTTGCAGGTGGTCTGCAAGCTCTGAATTTGCTCTACACTCTGCTCTTACCTTATAAATCTTCCTATCAGGACGATGATAGGTGTCTGATTGATGGGTTTGATGACATGGATAATTTTGATAGTCCCACGCCTCCCCCACCCTATTCCATGCCACCTCCGCCATACACACCTTGATAGTTTAGCAATTTGACTATTTCCATTCGTTACTTCTATTGCAGTCCTTATGTTGTTCATTGATGAAGTTGTTATTTAGACCTCCCATTGCTTGTCATCAGCTACCAGATGTAAATTTCTATTATTATTTTAAAACAAGCCTTCCTCGAGACGGTTTGAAGAAAAAAATACCAGATTGAAGCTAAACAGCAACAAAATCATTTTTCCTATGATAATAACAATTATTTTTGCTATTGTATAATAGAAGTATAAATATGTACCTATATATGTGATAGATATATTTTTTCTAGTCTCTGCCAGAGGATAAGTACTAATTTAGTTCCAGTCAGTGTAGAAATGGAAAAAAGTGGGGCTTTCCATGGGTTTGTCCTAAGCTCAATTATTTCGACAGTTATTAGGTTCGTTTTTGTGAGGCTTGCGTCAGACATCTCACAATCTTTTCCAAATGGATTGGCTTTAAATTTTATAGGTTTATTAAATTATTATTAGGTTATATTTGGTGAATTCCCGAGTGTCACAATGTATACTGTATTCCGAATATATTAATGTTTGTTCTCTGGAAAATAATGCAGGTAAGCAAAAAATATCAAAAGAATCTCAATATTTTATTTTGTGTGTAAACAAACGACCAAAGAATAGAAACATATTTGGTACAATATAGTGTTTGAGAATGGACCCATTGTTGTACTTAAACGGTGATGTGAATGTTTTCCCTTTCCTTGACTACAAAATACCTCGTTTATTGTTATCCTAGTTATATTTCGCGAAGAAGAAATTTGAATTCAAGGAAGGCTAGAAATGTGTAAAATGTATTAAACAGTGATATGATTCGAAATAAATTTTATTTTATACCTTTATGCTTAAATATAATATAATGAATTAGAAGTTTGTCTATTTTTATTTACAATTATTTACAAATATGAGAGGTTTAAATTGAATCATGCACTTAAAAATGGATTCCTATTTCCTTTTCCTACAGTTCTGCCATCTCGTGACAATCTGGTACTATTGGCAGAGATTTTTATTTCCCTGGCAATTTTGGCGTGACAGATACAAATATATGCTGATCAACAATCTAAGATTTAAAGGGTTTAAAAATGTTAAAACAGGATTTCAATGTTTTTGGGAATTTGAGACAGCCCACTAAATTGTCACATAATAGAGGGTATCATTCAGCAGTCACTTTACAGCAATTTGTAGATGGTAACCATTTTGGCAGTGTTGACATTATTTCAAAATAGTTTTGTACAGGCTTTGAATGATGTGACCACATTAAACCTCTAGTGTAGGTAGCCCGGATACACAAAATCAATTGGGGCTTCCCAGTTGCTTCAAGTTGGTAAAGTTGAAATTGGGCATCTCCAAAGGTTCTAAGGGAGGTAAACTCCTCAAATCAGTAATATCAGGGCTGCGTTCACTACAGGGAGAAAAAATTAAGGGAGAAGTGCCACCGCTGGAGTCTGTCACGATCTTCAAATCCAGCGAATTCCTTGAATTATCTACAACGCAAATATTCTGTCAAAATATTTGTTTGCCGTCATAAAAATGTAAATAATAGGCATTACCTTTGCATTTTTCAACCTCCAGTGTCCTTATCTTCTTTTTCAGCTTCTCAATTTCCTTGTTTCTGTCATCTAGCTGCACCAATAGGCCTTGCACAGACTCTCTCAGCTGACCACTGAGAAGTTTCAGTTCCTCTATGACTGTGGAGTCATCTTTGGGGTGTTTGTTACCAAAAATGGGAGGTGATGACTCTTTTTCTTCCTTTTCGGTTTTGTTGCCACAAATGTTATTGGCACCCGACGTTATGATACCTTTTTGGCCCAAATAACAAATCAGAGAGTCGTGGGTCTCGATCGTACGGAATATTTTTGTTTCCAAGTTTTCATCTACATTCATTAAATTGTTTTTGGAAACAGTCTGCTTTTTTTCATTTTCAGAACGTTTCAGATAAGATTTCTTCAGTTGCATGGTTTTTATTTGCCTTTCGTTAAATTCTTTTTGAAGGCGGATAGATTCTAACGCCAAAGGATTTTTTGTTAATTTGCAACATTCGCCAAGAAGCTTGACTATGTTTTTGTGGCACTCGATGCATTCGTCGAACCGTTTTTGCTTGTTCAACGATTCCGCGCGCCGTTCCAACTGATGGGCCTAAATTATTTATTATCAAAACTCAATTACTACCAATTCTCGGCTACAAACCTTATTTAATGGGGCTAAATCCATTTTCATTCCAGCACTAAAAATACGACTAAAATTTTCGCTGCTTTAAAATTAAAAACAAAAGAATTACGATTTAACCTTGTTACAGTGCGCAAGTACCCTTTCTAAGCCGTGTGCCTGTAAATTAAATTAGTACTTTCTAGGTTCGGGCCAAGTTTTCATTAAAGAAGAATTGCCAACTAAAAATTAACAAATTCTACGAGGACAAGGCATTTACCTATGTGAAAATAAAACAAGGCATTTGTGTTAATTTTAATCTTATGAACTAACCAAAAAAGATTAAATCACATATATATTGTTCACTAGACTAAAGATCTTGTATTCCATTACAAGTAATCTTAAAATACACATGTCCATTAGGAATATCTGGTGCAAATGTGCATTCGAATTTTCTAGGAATATTGTGCAGATCTGCTCGGGACAAAGTGAAACGATAAGTTAAATTATTGGCCCAAGCCAATCCTAAACAAGGTTCAAGGCTACTATCTGCATCAACAACCTGATTCACCACGAAAATAGCACAGTTAAATTCATCTTGGATTTTATTAAGTGTTGTACCAATCCTTATCAGTAACTTGCTCCTTGAAACAAAATCTGCAGAATCATTTTCACTTCTAAATACTCCCGCTATGGAATCAATTATTATAAGTCCAACATTTCTTGGCCTAAGGAAGTATTGGAGCTCAACCAAGATACATTTTTTAAAGGTGGAAATGTCTAAGACGTGGCTTAGGTAAACTTGATCTAGAAAGTTCCAATTGCTCAGATATTTCGTTTTGTAGCAGGTTGAGAGAGAATTAAAACGCTTCGACGGAAATGAATCTTCGGTGCAAATATAAACTGCATCTAAAATTAATTTGGAAACAACATAACATTTTCGTAGTTTGACATATCATTTTTACCTTTTTTCAAACCACCCAAGTTTTTTGGTAACTGCACTTGCAGAGCTAACTGCATACACAGTTGTGTTTTTCCGACTCCACTTGACCCTACTATTTCTATGATACCATTAACCGGAAACCCTCCTTTCAATAATGTATCTATTTGACTGCAACCACTACTAATCATTTCCAATTCCTGAAGTTGAAGCGCGGTACACATTTTGTTTTTTAACATATGTTCTGCTGCTACTCTTTGAATCTGTTTTGCGATTTCCCCAGTGCTCTCGGTAATTTCCTCCAGCTCTTTGAGTTCTCTAGACACAATTAGGGGCAATGAATTTATGTTTGCTGAATGAAATACGATATTAACACAGATTTTTGCTTGTAAAACAGCACCATTTTTACCTTCCAGAAGCTTTTCATAATTTTTTGTTCCCAAAATTTCTTTAATTGCGTCCATAACAATTTTTGTTTCAGGTTAGATTCAAACATTCCCGCGTTTAGCAGTTCAACGATAATTCATTTTCTTTTATGATTTCTGTTAGCCAAAACCACATTATTTATTTTTTATACCTTGGCACCAACGACGAAATGATTTCACCCTAACCTCACCCTGGTCTTTCAAGATTCACTTTTCGAAGTGTGTGTTTGTTGACACGTGCTTGTTCTCGCAGAGCTAAGGCCGAACGGCGACTTGCACTTATTTAAATAATTTTGCTGCAAAAATGGCATCAAACGCTGAGTTAGCCTGTGTTTATTCCGCTCTCATTTTGGCGGACGATGATGTAGCAATCACGGTGAGTAAAATTTAATGTTGTCTCCCGTTGTATCCTAGTAATCTAAGAATATCTTGTGGGTGTCTAACCATCGGATGAATTTAAAGTTAGTATAGATCAAATTAGCATACGGTGAAGCCACTGATGTTTATATTTTTTTGTATTTGTCCTGAATTTAGGGCGAAAAAATCCAAACAATCCTAAAATCTGCCAACGTAGATGTGGAGCCTTATTGGCCCGGTCTATTCGCCAAAGCTTTGGAAGGCGTCAACATAAGAGAGCTGGTTTCAAACATAGGCTCCGGAGCCGGAGCCGCTCCCGCCGCGGCCGGGGCAGCCCCTGCTGGAGGCGCTACTCCCGCAGCCGCGGCGCCAGCAAAGGAAGAAAAGAAAAAGGAGTCGGAACCGGAAGAGTCCGACGACGACATGGGTCTTAGTTTCTTTGACTAAAGGCATTTTGTATTCCTTGACATAGGTGATAAGAAATAAACCTAATTTTTTTCGACATATGTTTTTTTTCACTCGATAAACAAAACTTTAAATTGAGAATCCCAATGCTAGAGATTTGATAAACTGTTAAACAATTATGGGATGTGGTGGTATATCCAACAGCCTGGGGTAAGAATAAGGATAATTTTTGCAATTTTAAGAGCAACGCTGAAACCAAATCCGATGGAATCTTTCTGACCATAATATCCAAAAAGGATGGACAGTTATAGGGCAGTGGCCTTGCTCCAAACTTAATGAAAAAGCTTATTACACTAGACTTATTAAGTTTCCAAATTGTCAGTTTCACTGAATGGGTTAACTCATACCACGAAAAGCAACCATGTAATGTCTATTAAGATTTATAGTCACTTGCCAGTCTTTATGAGACTTATTACCAATGAAAATAAATCTAAAAACTCTTTGGAGGGAGTGTAAGTGGTGTGAGTGAATAAAATTTTATATTTTGTCTTTTGTATTGTTTATGGGTGTTTTTTGCCGAAACGTGTATCTTTTTTGGGTGACAATATTGTTGTGAATTTGATTAAATAAATAAGCGTAGAGGAAGTAAAACATGCGAAAAATAACAAAAATAATTTATTTATATAAAAAACTGCATATTTGGACTATGTAACGAGTTACATCATCTATCACTTAAAAATTAAGTATATCACAAAATTCTAACAAAAACGAAATAACAAAAACAAACTGGAATTAATAATAGAATGTAGAGGTTGTGTGGAGGTAATTCTGATAAGCAAAAATACTGTAAAGCAGAAACGTCGGAACTAACCAATACATATTTTAATTACAAATTAAATAGAGATTCTTAACTAGACGCAAAACTAAATTGGTCTTATAAAAGAGGAAAAAAAGGTTAAATTCTAGAGTACCCTGTTGCGTTTATTGTACGTCAGTCTTTTGCCGTGGGGCCAACAAAATGTGTTCTCCGGAATTGAGAACGCGAAAAAATGGCAAAGTTCTACAAACTTCTCGCTATGAACACATAGAAATGTCGTAAGTCGTGTGTTGTTCCGGAATAACTCTTCACTATCATAAACAAGAAGTTTTCGATACAAAAGTTTCATGTTAGTAGTTTGCTATTTCTACCACGTTATCGTATAACAATGACAGTGGAAACAAAGTCATTTGAGTGTAACTAACTCTGGGGAGCGTTCTTTAGAGGTCGATATCTACGTATGAAGGGATCTAAACCGAAAAGAAAAAATATCGTACTACTATGGACGACCCCGCAGAGTTTATTTTTTGGTTAGTTATGGAACGCTTATCGAATTATCACGCCTGTGGCGCACGACTCTGCCGAGCAATTCGACGAGCAGCTCATCGAAAATTATCGGGTTCAAGTTCTTGCTCATGTGGTGCAAAGCGAAAAATTGGCCGTGGGACAGATGCTCGACGATCGTTTTGATTTTTTTGTTGCCGATCCCGTGGCCAGCGACTCTCATTTTTAACAAATGCTCGCGTACCTTACCCGAATAAAGAAACAAGAAACGAAAAGTGAGCGCGCCAATAGTCAGGATCATCAGAACCGCGAAGTAGTACCACAGTATCAAAAAAAATTTCTCGTTTAGTGTGTTGAGCGGGAGAACGCAGAGGGCGTCGCGGGACTCCACGCTGCCGCTCGCCCCGTATCTCGTGTAGTTGCACTTGGCCCGCTTTGGAAACACTCGATTCATCGATTCCGGCCACGCCCCCGTCGCCACGTTCACGCCGTATGACAGGTATTCGCCTTTCAAGTACCAATTCATCAGGAGGATTTGGAATATCTAAGTGATGCCCCGCTTAGCGAAATGTGTGTAAAAGGAATAAGTGAAAGAATTCTTTTTATCCACATATAGCTATTAGATAATATAGTGACCCTATTACGACAAAAATAGATGCGGCATTGATATTTTTCACCCACTAACCTGCACTTTACTCGTTCTCCCAGATCATTTAACGAGATATTTTTCTGCCGTAAAAATGCGCCCCCCCAACTTATTGACAATCTGTCAGCGGCTATGTTGGATTTTGAGCGCCGCCAGTTCATTGGTTAAAAACGAGATCCTGAATCTCGCACATGCGCGTGTTGAAATTTTTTTCATAGTATTATTTGCGTATTGTCGAGCTAAGCCCTACTATCTTTTCATAATCGGAAGGGTTTACAATTACACAATTACACTACCGTTTCGATAATACCGAAAAGCCTGTCGTGATAATTATTGAATTAATGAATCTTACCAATTTTCTCCGAAAAAGAAGATTTAACCAATGCATCCTAGGCGGTTGACGCAACTGAGTTTGAATTTTTGGCAATATCTACATCAGTCCATACATTTCTAGCGTTGAAGTTAAAGAACGATTTTGTTTTCAGAGCTTGTTTTTTAAATCTAGACATGTCCTTACCTTTCTAATTTCTCTTTTTAAGGACTTTAAATCTCGCGCAAGCTAAATTTTTTTCATAGTCGCTTCATAAGTTCCTGTATTATCGACATAGGTAGGGCCTCTACATCTCTAGTAGCTATATGTTTTTACACATCAAAATCAAAATTTTAGAACTTACCAGGTTCACCAATGTGAGGAATTCACAAACAGCAAACCTAAAACTGTATATGTCCAAATTCCTAGCGTGAAGCAAGTAACTGACAATTTTCTCCTTGTACTCCAACGTCCATTTTTCGGTAACCAAAGGGCCACCTAAATAAGAATATGCATTATTTTGAAGATTAAATTATAACGAGAGATTATTTTATTTATTGAAAAAATATATAACGCTAAGGAACGAAAATACGGAATAGCGAAAGCCTCCGTTTTGCCAAACTTTGCCAATAGCGACTAACACAACGTTGGCGATAGGAAACAGCGTAAAGTTATTGGGTTCCACTTAAGATGACAGACAAGTGGAGATGTCACGATAAACTGTCTAAAGCTTTGTCCAATTTAATTTTTTTAATAAATTTGAAATAAACTTTGACACCATTTAAAAACGCGATTTTGAACTACCATCTCGAAAATACCTTGAGAGTAAGTTTGTTTTCAATAAAAAAAGGAATAAATAAAAAAAGAAGTTTATTTTTTTATTTTTTTTATTGTGCTTATATTTAGTATTCTAATATTTCTGTGTGTGTGCGCGCGCGCGCCTATATATATCTGTTTTACTTTTTTTTTAACTTGCTATAATATACCTTAAACAGTCAGTATCAATGTCAATGATCAATTTATTCTATATTAAATACTGCAAACATTTGTTAGATTACCCTCGCAGGCCATAAATTCGCGGAACATTCCGGCAAGCAATAAAAAGCATCCAGTTACATACTAACTCAACCAATTGCATAAACATCATACCTGAATAGTTTTATTATCACACTTCACCAATGTCGAAGCTTATTGCACAATAACATACTACTTACACAAATCCTGAATTATTTGCGCCAACTGACGTCTCTCCCATAATCTCCAAACATGCTTGGGGGCATAAAAACACAACGCCTGCAAGAGAAACAGAAACCAAACCCACTGATAGTACAGCAGCGTAAAAGTCTCTTTTGAACCCGCGGAAGCCAAGTTGCCCAACCCCTGCAGGTCCGAGCTGCCTTCGACTAAGAAAAAAAATTATTTTCATTTCAAAAACTAAAAGTTTGCCTTACCCTTCTTATCGATGATAAATGTCCCGGTCGTCCAACAGTACAGATTGACAATTTCTTTCCTCTGAGCTACGTCGCAATCGATGGGGTCCCCGAAATACTGCTTGCTAGAAAGCAGTACCGAAAAGAGTATTAGCATCAGCACTGTTATTTTACAGTGAATTTTGAATACGACGTTTTCCGTCTGTACGTCACCCAGTTTGGCCCATGTTTTAAACCCTTTGACGAATGTCTGCATTTTTTTTTAGAAAAATAGTTCAGTTACACTCCGCGCAACCGGTACTACTCGCACCTGACGAGTACTGACCGCTCAGAACACTGCTATTGCATTTTTAAATTTTTGTGGGTAGGCCGTACACACCATAGAAAAATAGTTTCGGTCGGTTATAAATTGGTGTTATCACGGAATGCGAAAAACGCAACCCTTAAGTATTACGTAGATGTTTTTTTGGTTCAAAAGTAGTTTAGTAAATTCAATTGTGTACGTGCATGTTGTTTTTTATTAAGTTATCCCGATAAAACGTGTGGTAAGTCATATGTCGTTATTTTATTCGGTAAAGTTTAGTGAACAAACCAACTTTTCAAGTTATGGTTTACGTTTTTATACTATTCGAATAAGAAAGCTGTTGCCCCAATCCAACTATTGCAAACTCAATTACGTTTATCTAAGTATTTCACGAGAACGCTTCACTGAGTTTAAACTTATATTATTGTTTACCCTAGTGGAAAAAACGCTTGTGGAAATGAAAACGGAAAAGTTTTTGAAGTGCTTTTATTTATCTTTTTTTGGTTGTTTTTTTTTGCACCCGCGGAGAAAACGCCTCAATTCTGTCTTATGGCTGTTTTGAGCCACCCACAACACACGTTCAGGGTTCAGTTTACGAATTGCGGCGCTTGCTTCGTCACTTATCAAAAATAATATATTTACATTTGCCCTTATTTACAAAACATGCAAAAATCTTTAATGAACGCAAAATCTAGCCGCGCCGTTGCAATTAGGAAAATCTGAAAAGAATTTAAAGCTAATCTAATCTAATCTAAATGTTGCCGTTTTCCCGACATTCATTGGTGCGACTCGATTTATAACATATCATTGAGACGCTTAATCAATATTAAACGCCTTATTCAGCGCCTGTAAATTTTTATCCTTGACCAAGGACCTCAAATCGTTCCGATCCATCAACGAAACGCACATCTGTAATGTCATCCAAATTGCGTCGGACATCTCAGACATGCCGCCGGCGTTGAGGACGTCCTTTCCTCTGGCCTGCTGATTCAGAGCCGTCAAAAAGTGTTCAGCCGCTTCTCGATAGGCCCGTAAATTAATACAGGTAATCCCTACATTGTATCTGGCTCGGATAAAGCCAGGTGCCAGATTCAGTGCTTGGTAGTAAGCTTCAACTGCTTCTTCGGGTTTCGATCCGTTGGCTAAAGTGGCGCCGAGTCGGTTCCACAACCTAGCGTCGTCCGGGTTAACTGATAGGGCCGTCCGGAAGCAATCTGCAGCTTTTTCGTACTCGCCTGTTAGATTACATAGTACGCCAAGCCCGCTCTGCACCTCGTGGTCGATATTTTGAGGATTCCTTTGCGCCGCCTTCATGTACAGATCTTGCACGAGCCTTTGATTGTCCTGGCCCAGTAGACTCGTCACCTGTCTAGGCAGCTGCAAATTTTCCGGTACCAAATCTTTATACCTCGGGTTGTGTTTGAGCCAGTTTATCAGCATGTAACAGGCCTGATTGTAATAGCTTTCGTTCGTATAGCTCACGGCCGCGGCCATCAGAGCCTTTAGATTTGTAGGTTCTAGCTGTAGGCATTGGTTTAGGGCAGCTATGGCACTAGGATCCTGTTCATTTTCCGCTTGAGTTGTGCCTGTGGAAATGACAATATGTATGGATTAACCTCAGGGGTTTCGCATTCAAAAGTATAATAATTCTCGGCATACGACGAGAAAGGGCACTCTAAGAATCGTCCTGATGTTGGCTTTCTGTCTTTCTCTCACCATCTGAAGCTATTTTTGTAATTTTTAATATTTGTAAATATTGTTGCTTCTTTTTTCTTGAATAACAAAATAATTCCGTTTATGGTGTTGTTTTTTTGGTAATTGTTCAATTTAATAAAAAACTACTCTTCTATTAAGATACAGAGTTAAAAAGGCAACATTAAGGGCGGAGTTTCAGAGTTCCTGTTAACACTAAGTGTTATTATTTATACAGATAATGTTATATATGTAACTGTAATAATTATAATTGAATGAAAAACTTAGGTATTAGTAAAGAAGCGTTCAAAGGTTTCCATAAACACTGGAACCCCCTTGGATTAAATGATTGTTGGTGGCCTACTCACCCAATAGCAACCACGCTTCAGAGTTTTCAGGCTGTTGCTTGACGGCTGCTTCGAAGCAAAGTACGGCACTAGGAATATCTCCTTCTTGCAACAGCTGCAAGCCTTTTTCTATAGGATTTGGCAAGTCCAACATGGGGTTCTCTTCACTGAACTCGTACTGTTTTTGAGGGGTATTGTAATATGTAGTGAACTCGTCTACCCAGGGATGAGCAGAATTTTCATCACTTTGAGTCACACTCTTCATATCCTCCTGTAGCTGATCCCAAAATGAAGATCTGACCTCTTCTTCATTGCTTTTCAAATAATCATTCGCCCAAATCTCGTCTAACGGGGAGTTGTTTACATTTTGCAAAAATTTGTCTGTCCAATCCTGAGCTTCTTGTTCTGTCAATTTGACATCATCTTCCAGCTTTATTTCGCCTTCTTCCACATTCTTCATGAACTTCATAAATTTGGAATACACAAATTTTGAATCATCCATTGACTCTCTCAGTTTCCTAGCATTTTGTTGCAACTCACTAGGCCCCGACTGACCAAACTGCTCAATCCACAAGTTTTCAGTTGAATTAAAGTTATTTTGTTGCTCTTGGGACGATATCTGGTTCCAAATATCACGGTACGCATTCTCGTGGAACACTTTACCGTCTTGAAGATATTGCTGAGCCCAAGCATCATCATTTAATTGGTCTAGGACTCTCGAAGCCGGAACGGGCGGCAGAGACGACCTCTGAGACTCTATTTCCTGCATTTCTCGCATCAAATCGTCCATTCGGAAAGTTTGGGGCACAGCTCTGGTTTCTTGCAAGAACTGCTCCACAAGCTGATCCGAACTACTCTGGAATATTTGGCCGTGGCTGTCGCTGAATGCCTGGTCGTGGGTTACGTGGTCTGCAAGCTTTCTAAGGGGGTTTAGTTGCCCGCATTCGGCCTCAGTCAGAGGCCTCGAAGTCATGTTTTTGCTTAAATTTGCTTCAAAATGTTCAAATGGCGTTTCACTATCCTCTAACCCTGACCCCTCACCAACTAGTATCAGTGAACATGAATTTTGGAAAACTAACCAAATTGTCAGCCTTTCACATTTCTTTAGAAAAATAATGCTTCTACGCCTTACATCCTATTTTTCAACAATACTTTAACCATTGGTAAATGTTTTAGAAGAATTGGTGGAATGAACCTAGTATGTTGACGAAGTGGAAAGAAGAATTAACCTAATTTTCTCTGTGCTTGCTTTAGATTGTTTTCACGTTTCAAATAAAATAGAAACTGAAAATGACGAAACACGAAACAGAAGAGACCGTTCCGGATGCAGCTATGGTTATTTCAGAAGAATTAACATACGAACAAAAGGTTGCAAATTGTAGCATTATTGCTAAGCCCATGGCATCGAAAAAACTTGCTAAGAAATGTTACAAACTGATTAAGAAAGGTAAAGTCGCTAACTACTTCATGCTAGGCAAAAGAAAATCCGTAATTCAACTCTTGCAGCATCGAAACACAAAACTTATGTTCGTTGTGGTCTAAAAGATGTGCAAACAAGAATTCGTAAGGGGGAAACAGGAATAATCATATTTGCAGGTGATGTAACTCCAATCGATGTCATGTGCCATTTGCCAGGTGTTTGTGAAGAGAAAAATATTCCTTATGTGTATGTGCCTAGTCGGAAAGACCTTGGGGCTGCCCTGGGTGTCAAACGTGGATGTTTGACTGTTTTGATAAGAATCAACCCTGAGTACAAAGAACCTTTTGATGAATTGTTTGAAGAAATAAACACCCTATCAGTCGCGTTAAATTAATTTTGAAAATTTTGCTGTTAATTTCATCTGCCTATACGCTACAAAACTATGTAGTAATGTTTTATAATAAATTTTTTAGTAACCTGGCCATTTTCCGTTTTTATTTTATTATTAAAATGACTAATGAACGGAAAAATGTGTATCAAATGAAAATTGAGAGCCTTAATTTTAGCATTATAACGTTATTACGTTAACAATTTTCATACATCCGACCAATAATATGTTCTATGAGCAGACAGCGAGTGACAGACTGTCAACCATCACAACTGCGTAAGAAGATTGTCAATTTATTATTATTTCGGTTTTTTTCGTTGTAAAGTTATTAGACCACCAGTTCATCGAATTAGCAACGCAGTTTTTTGGAAACTATGAATTAGGAATAAGATTTTTTGTAAATTAGTACCGTAGTCATTTCATTAAAAAATGTCGAGAAAAGTAAACAGTATTACAAGAGGAGCAACCGCCCGACTGAAACAGGATTACTTAAGGTTAAAAAAGGACCCAGTTCCGTACGTTGACGCGGAACCTCTGCCTTCCGATATACTGGAATGGCACTATGTGGTCTGGGGCCCAGAAAACAGCCTTTATGATGGGGGATATTATCATGGAAAATTGGTCTTTCCTAGGGACTTTCCTTTCAAGCCACCAGCGGTGTACATGATCACACCCAATGGAAGATTTAGGACCAACAAAAAACTCTGCTTAAGCATATCCGATTTTCATCCAGATACATGGAATCCTGCTTGGAGTGTTTCCACCATATTAACAGGGTTGTTGAGCTTCATGCTGGAGAAAAGTCCAACTCTAGGCAGCATTGAAACTTCCGACTATGACAAACGGCAGCTTGCTTACCAGTCGTTGGAGTTTAACTTAAGAAACACTCAATTTTGTGAGCTCTTCCCAGATATCTGTGAAAAAATGCGAGCTGAATTGGAAAAACGGGCCGAGAATCAAAAGAACGCGCCTGAATGTCAGAAAGCTTTACACAGTACCAGCCAACCCAGCAATTTCCAATCATGTGTTACAAACCTGTGTGTAATCATTGGTTTTGCAGCATTTGCATTTACTGTTAAGTATGTCATAAATACAATGAAGGAAATTGAGAGGTCATAGTTTTTAGAGGAGTTAATGTTACATTTATACCATTATTGATGTTGTAAATAAATATCTAACAAGGTCTAGCTATTTTTTGTTATTTTCTGGTTGTGTGGGATTATTAAAAATTTTCAAGTTAGCAGATGATAATATAGCCATCACAACCGCAAACTGGTCACAATGTCCTGGTAATAATAATAAAAAAAGAGCAGTTGATATGATTCTAAGAGGGTGCAGAAAATGAAATGATAACCTGGCGGCTATTACTATTAATGGAAATTTAATTCCTAACGGGCATTTTTGAGCTGAATAAGGTTATGTTCACTTCCGAATGTTTTAAACAAACATCTTAGGTCTTCAAGTGGTTTTTGTTTGCCGAAAAAAATTGGCCCAATCTATTTCTTAAGTAATGAAGCGAGGGGATAGTGATATAGATGCAGGTCATCCGGAATTGCAATGCGGCGTATGCGGAGGCACAAGTTTTCACGTGGAAAGCGGCTTTTACTACTGCACCGAATGTCAGACGCAAACGCAGGAGCTTCAGGAGCATGTATTCGAGGAAGAAGCGTCAAATCGAATCAAAAGGCAAGGCAAGATAATAGGCAAAAAGGAACCGGCTAGGAAAACCGAGGTGCTTACTTCGTGGGAATGTTACAATGTCATTTTGAAATCACTCACCGACCAGTTGATAAGTTTGGGAGCAGATGGCAGTTTGAAGCAAGTGGTCAGGTGCCTGTGGATGGGTTATTTGAACAAATGTGAAGTGTTTTCTTTAGATCAAGACACCCGTCCAAAATTGACGTTGGTCAGTAGTAAACGGGATATCGCGGTAGTTTGTGGAGTAAAAAAAAAGAAACGTCGAAGCAGAAGAAGTTCTACAGGATCAGACAACACAACGGATACGGTTTTATCCAGAAGACAGAGAACTCTCAAGAAAATGGCGTTGATGAAGTCAGATTATCAAGAGGCGTCCCAGACATTGACACAGGACAGCATGATGTCTGAAACATTGTCAAGCTTGAAAAGCAACTCCACCCATACAGAAAAAGCAAATAAGATTCAATACAACACACATAGTAAACATTACCTGAAGAAAAGAATGGCAAAGGAACACATCAAAGAGCACCGCCAGGATTTGAGGAAGGAGCTGAAATGCCACAAAATGACTTACAAACACTCCTATAAGTTCGCGGTGGGCCCAAGCGTCATAACTATTGGTAAATTGTATCAAATCCTGTATCTGGGTCTAAACATAACTCGTAGTGACATACAATTGGGCGACATGTTAAGATTCATTAGAGAGGGGCACTTGAGTTTCGGGGCGTTTTTTCACTTATTTCCCGAAGACGTTAAAGTACACATGAAGAAACATCAGCATTTGGTTACGTTTACCGTTTTCCGCGATAAGATCGCAGGACTGGCAAAATTTTTAGACTTGACAGTGTATGTAGAGATGCCCAACTTGATAACCTTGTGCGCCCGGTACTGCAAGGAATTAAATTTGCCACTGGGAGTGCTTGATTGCGTCAAAAAACTGATCTTGAAGACCCGTCCCTTGATGACTTTTAATTCGATGTGCAACAGGTTACCTAATTACGAAGCACGCGCAATGGCGTTCATTATACTGACTTTAAAGATACTGTTCGGACTAGATGGCATGACAGAGTCAAAACTGTCACGTTATTCGAACCTTTTAAATGAAAAGGGATTGGACTCCCTTACGTTCAACATCGAAGAGTGGCTGAAATATCTTCAATACAGGAGGTGTGTTATAGAAAAATATCATTTGCCGACGAGGTTGGGTACGCGCAAAGAATTCGGTAGCGACTTGTACTTGGAGTACATAAACTCCCAGAAATTAAATTACAAACAGGGCGTGCATTACATACAGAAGGAGTCCAAGGATTATCAGCAAGTGCTGGCCAGAATCAGAAAAGACAGTTCCCTAACTCAAGGAGAGCCCATCGTGTTTCCGCCCACCCTAACCCCATTCTTAAGCTACTCGCAAGTCGTTGGATCCAATAGAGACGTCCCGCTCAGAGACTTGTTATGGAAGGATTTCAGTGAGAATTCTTTGAGGTACCTTCTCGAACCCGACAGGTATTTGGAAATGTTGAATAACCACAGAATTGTCGCTGACGGTGCCAACGCTAACGTCGTCCTACACCCGCCGTGCAGCTTTTTGTCAAATAAAGGTCCCAGAAGTTGTTTGCGTAGAAACAAAAAGGTGGTAGTTCACATTTCGGACGAGACGGTCTATAACTCTGGTACTAATCATCGCAACGGTTTCCCCAACGAGAACAACGACGAAAGTAGTCCCGAGTCGACCTCGGAGGTTGATTACGATGAGCATTATCGCCCGTTCGAGAGGTTTTGGCTCAATATACCGGCCAATCCCGTGCATTTCGACTCCTACATGGCTAGTAAGGACATGGAGGATTACATGACGCAAATTCCTTTTTCGTTTAAATTGGTGATTAACGAGTGCCGTCGAATTATAGAACAAGATATCGAGTGCGTGTTTTCCGAGTATCTCGTAACGGAATTGAATCTAGCGTACGGTACGAAAATCGCGAAGTTAGCGGCGAACATGGTCGGCGATACTAAACTCAGAACCTTGTTAAAAAGTTGCGCCTCCAAGTGGTGAACGAACATATCGACTATCGTGATAGTTCTAAGCGAAGTAGAATGGCAACGGCGTGATTGAAAAGTGAGGCACACCTTACAATGGAAAAGGACGGCATAGTAATGGGGGTTGTTGTCTTAGTTTTGCTCAATAAATGGGAGAATGGAGTGTTATTTGATTATTGTTAAAAATAAAATTTATAGCAATCTAATATCCTAAAAAAATTAAAAAAAAACTCTAATTAATTGGTCAGGAAATAGCAGTATGAAATAAGTTCAGTAGTAGTTCACTTTTTGAACTATTCATTTTTGTTTTCTCCAAGTATATATACAATATAATATTTATTGCTAAAAATTACTTTTACATAAAAAAAATGTTTTTACAGTAAAGGGAGCAAATATATCACATTTCTTAACGGCAATGTTATTTAACAGTAATTGTTTATTGTATGTTCCGCATCGACATACACGTCGATTGACTAATTTTTATTTTTCTTATGTCTTGTTTATTTTGGGTATTCAGGGTAAAATGACTGTTTCGATAATTAGAAAATTAAATCTATAGAGTGTTGTCCAACCTTGTACACTTCAGCACGTTCGCGCACTTGCGTGCAGTACTGTCGATTGGCAGGGGACCGTTCTCGACCGCTGACTAAACGGGTACGGCTTTCGGTAATTTTCGAAAACAATAAAACACTCCACATTGCATCACGGTATAATTTTTTGATCCTGCGAGCCGGATTTTTTGGTTACGTCGTGAGAAAACTCGTTTTGTGTTGGATTTCGAAAATCACTGGAATTGAAGTCATGTTGCTCAAATGAAATGTTGATTAACTATGGATATCACAAAAATTGTTTTTACATAGTGATTCAATTTTTAAATTACTTCGGAGCTCTAGCATTGAAAATTATCAACTGGATGAAACCTCTGCTGGATTTAAATCGGAATTAAAAAAAGGATAGGAATGTAAATGACATTTATTTCCCTTTAGAATGTTAAATAATACACAAGACGTCCCATGAACAAAAAGTTTTGATTAGACGCATAAATAATTAAATAAGTTATCGTGAGGTGAGAGTGATGATTATCTACCGGCCCAATTTTTATTCAATGTTTTCGTTAATTCTTTCCATGGTTTCTACAGCCTTCTTCGTACAGGTCTGCTGTAATTCTCTCATCCTATCATATTGAAGTTTAAATCCCTTCTTCAGTTTTTCAGTTTCTTCTTCTATGTGTTTAATTTGCCCCAATACTTCTTCTAGTTTCAATTTGTTGTGGGCCTCCTTGTCTTGATATTGACTCTTTATTTTGACCTTGTCAACAGTATTTTTTGCCATCTCACTTTCCAATGTTTTCACAGTCCTTTGAAGTGTTTGCTCCAAGTTTTTTCGCTCATTTTGCAGCCTCTTGTCCAACACTTTCTGCGTATTTTCTTTGTTTTTTTGTTGATCCCATAAACACCTGATGACACACATTTAATGATGTTAAAAACACTTGAATTATCTTTGATACCTATTTAAAATAATGAGAAAACACAACTTCTGCTTATTAATAAGAATTTATAGTCTTTTTATATAGTGAGTTACCATTAAAAATAGTACACATACATGCTTTTTACAAAACTTCTGGATTCCTCCTGCATCGGTTTTTGCTTAGTCGAAATTGCTGACGTTTCGCCCAATCATCCGGTTGGCTTCTGCAGAGCTTGATTGAAACAATTTCCAGAAGTTTTGTAAAAAGCATTACAGTAGCCTGTGGAAGTTTCTTTGAAAAAAAAAAAAAAGTACACATACATGATTCGTTGTTTCAAATTTTCATTTTCCTGACGACAAACAACAACCCCGAAAACTCCATTTGTTATTGACAAGTCATTTAATTTATTGGACACCACCCTCAGAGGTCCTAGTGTATTTTTGCACTGCTGTAGTCCATCATGATGATCTTTAACTGCTGCTGTTTCGGTTATTTCTTCCATTTTCAACATTTCACGAATATTTATTAAATCTTTGTATTCTTGCACTGTCGTAATTTCATTCCTTAAATGATCTTCTTTCTCTTCGTAGTGTTGCAGGGTTGTTTCATTTTTAATAAAATCTTCATTTAGTTTTGTTAGTTGCATATTTTTCTCTTTACGTTCTTTTTCTAATTCCACTTTCTTAGGAATATTTTTTTTATATAAAACATCAACAGTATTGGATTTCTTACTTAGCTCTTGTGTTTCACGGACCAACAACCCTACCTGAGAAATTTTTTGCTGCTTCAATTCTTGGAAATCATTTAGTTCTTTTGTCTGGGTTTCCATCACTCTGCTAATTTCTATTCTGTTTTGGGCTATTGCGACAGGTACTTCCATGTATAACTCGGTATAAGTTAGAAAATGTATTATAAGCTTTATGAATTGCCTCGTTCTAAGGGGATTAAATTTGTACAGATCCCCAAGCTTAAGTTCGTCCATAGATGGAATTTCGCGTAGTTTCCAATACAAGTAGCTTTCTAACTCTAAATTCTGGGGATTTGGTGACAGATCGATGCCCGTAATGTGCGAAATTTTCTGCCTTATATTTTCGACGCAATCCGAGTAGAAAGTTAAAACAAACTCTCTAGTGGGCTTTTTCAACAGATCTGGAGTTATGGAATAATCCGGCCAGTATTGTTTAACCATGGCAATCGTCTCCTGTATATCTTGTTCCGCCTCCATGCGAATCTGTTGTTTCGGTAGCATTTTTATTGGAGTATATGTAGAATAACGGACGAACAATTTAAAAATTTTTAGGAAGCACGCTCAATATTCTTCTTCTACTTTTTAACAACGTTGGGCAAAAAAATTAAAGGTACTCGCCCATTGCCGGCATCCGCTCGTGAAATAAATCTTAGGACTATTTGACCATTGATAGAAATACAATTGCAACTATTCTTCTTTAAACACTTTAAGCTGTCCTCCTTTGTTAATTTAAATACCATAACACACTAATGATACGTTAATTAGATGGATCTGTTGCGTCATTGGTCGAGTGACGCCATACACGCAGAAAAAAAATTGTCAATTTTCCTCAGTATCCGTTACAGATCTTGAATTTTCCAACAGTAAACAACTCCCGTTTCATAATAAATATATTGATGCCATCTTACACAATATACATGAATTAACGCATTAAAAAACTATATAATTCATTCTACAGGAAAATAATAGAAAAAGTACAATGTAAAATTAAATTAAACTTAACGTAATATAATTTTAGAAATAGATGAATGTAGAGGCGTCCCTTCTCCGACAGTAGGAGTACGAGATTCGATGTAATCTCTATGTAGTAACTTCCGAGTAAACGGTAAAAACAAAAATTTTAACTAAACATATCTTTGTATTAAAAAAAAAAAGTGTAAATATTAAAAACGATTAAAATACAGCATGGTTTAAGAGACTCACTGGTAAGCGTGCTGCAAGAGCAGGAACACCTCGTACACGTGACGATGATAGGTTAAATATGCAACGTACATTCGAAAAGTTAACAGATCAAATGTTGATGTATCACAGTTAAATTCATTTACAGAAAAAAAAATGCTTTATATTTTTTATACAACAAACATCGTGTATCTTCAGTCTATAGTTTTTTCAGACGAAGCCCAAAATGAAGCCGCCCCCTGAGAGCTTGTCGCACTAGCCGTTCGGGCGGCCGTCGGCCACGCGTTTTCCTTTTACCAAAAATGAATAACGGCGGAAGACTTTCGAACGGAAAAAAATCCCGCCCCTTATTATATTTTTCCCGCGCGTGGCCGGCTCAATGAGACCTTATTAATATTTTTATAATAGCATATTTTACCACTACGCAAGTTTTATTATATCCACTTCAGAAGTTTTTAAAAATACTGTTGCTTTTTATTATCAACATTTAAAAAACGCTTTGAAAATAAATACCAACCGAAGTTAACGTTAATACCTTATCCTCTATAAACGAACAATAATTACGTTTGAGCGGAAAGTAAAATTTGGCAACACCGTACCATTGTCCGTCGGAAATTCGACAACGGCGAAGATAGTCGCCATACTTTATGAGCCCTGCGGACTGCACTCTATCGTTTCTTAGTTTTTTGACACTACACGACCCTTAGCGTAATATTATATTGTCAGAATCAACGACATTTAACCATAGCAGAGACCTATAATATTTTAAAAAAAAAGCTATCAACAGTTGTCAGTAACAAATGATAAGTAAAAAAGAAAATAGTTTTAGAAAGTGACAATACACGATTGATTGATGATTGAGCAATTTTGCGGGAGTCCCAATTTTTCTGTTTTTTAATTTTTAGAAACTACTTAACTGAGTTCGAGACTGTTTATCAATGGAGTACTATTCAATCACTACTTTGCAAGTATTAGAATTTGAAAAAAAACAATAATATTCTATTCAATTGACAGTATTAGCTAAAAACGTATTATTTATCTATGTCATGGTTAGAATTTGCAGAAAAAGAAAACGGAAGTTCAATGTTCTTTTAGTTTCAAAACAGCGTATCAGGCCACCCCCATGGTTTTAACGTCTTCGATTAAATTAGTCTAATTAGAGCCGGAACGCTAACCCGTACTTTGACGCATTAAACACTATTTTTTCGATCCTCCAGGGTGCCTTTTATTTTGATTTACCCTCATCGACCTTCAATTTTTCTTTAGGTAATTTTAAGGACAAAACTTTCTTTGTAGATTTTCGAAACGCCGGGCCTTCTTATAATAAAAATAAGTAAGATTTTCTGGAAAATACAAGTGCAAAATTTCTGAAAAACTTGCCTTGTTTTTAAGAAAATCTGAATTATTCCTCAAAAATTTGCCTCATTAAACTGGGACCCAGCACTTTCATACTTTGTACCATTAAACTCAAACAGATAGGGCAAATACGAGGGTTACATCGCACTCGGACAACTTTAACCTTGAAAAATGTCCTCGACTAACCGGCCCCTCTTGATTTAAAATGGAAACGCAATATGAGTTGCGCCTCGCCGATTCAGACGTGACACTGGTCCGGCATACCTCAGGGTCGCATTGGGTTCCGACCGCCCTCGCTCGCCTCGTCCTGGCTGAGTTTCATCGGTAAAATTTGCTGAGGACTATTCGGGTGGCTCCTCGAGCCGTCCCCGCCCACGCCGGAACTGAGCCTCGTCGCTAGCTTCAGCGGTATCTGTTGCTTGATGGGCAGCTGTTGCGACACCTTCTGCTGATTTTTCGTCGAAATCAAGTTCAGGGGCAGCTGCTGTTTCGGTTGGGCCACGCCCTTTCCCCATTTGGACTCTTTTCGTTTGTCAGCGACAACCGAAGCGGAGTGGGAAAGAGAGCTCGATGCTGTGCTCATATTGGACGGCGTGTCCGAAAACTGGGGCGAACCCTCCTTGGAAGAGTCCCGCGGCGATTCGTCGACCTGGTTAACTATCGGTATCGCGACGTTCGGCGATATCAGCAGCCCCTGGTTCGTCAACATCTCCATCTTCCTGTACAGCTGCTCCCGTTGATGCGTTATGTCCTTCTGTTCCGCCCTGACCTGCTCCTGCAGCTTCGCCAACTCTTGCCGCTTCTCCTCCAACTCTCTCAGCTCCCTCTCCCGGAGTGCGGCCCACGATGCCTTCTCGTCGCTCAACTTGTCCTGCAGATTCCTCAACTCCTCCAGCTGCTGATTGTGCCGGTACTGTTTGACGCCGTCCGTGCCGCTCTTCAGGCTCGTTATCTGCCCTTGCAGGTTCCCGTTGGTGGTCATCAATTGCGAAATGATGCACAGCAACGTGTAGACGTAGTGGCTGACCTGAATGGCGGCGTACTGTTGCTCGCGTCCCAAATACAACAGCGCGGGAGTCTCGTTGGTCTGCTGCGTTGCGGGATGCAAGTGGGCGGAGTCGACGTCCTGTTGCTCGGCGATGGGAGCGCCCGCGCCGCTCAGCAGCCGCCCCCCTGATATTTCGTAGTTCCGGAACGGCAACTTCTCTAGCAGATGCTTAATGTCGCCCGGTTTGAGGCCTTTGGTGTCGAGCGTCTTCTTGCCCAGCAGTTTCAAGGGCGGAGCGTTATTGTCGAACCCGCTAAACGTTTCTGCTCGTTTTGGCAGTATGGGAGAGACGTAGGCGTCACTGTGTCTCTCCCCGGCCGAGCTCACGCTTCGCGACAAATTCGTCCCAGTCGCGTAAAGGGAACTAACCAACTTGTTGACCTCCTGTACCGCGGTCAGCACCTCTTTCCACATCTGACCCGTGTCCGCTTGCTCGTTGACCAGGTGCCGGTACGAGGGCGGAGACGGCGGATCTAGCCCCGACGCCGCCAACAGTTTCAATTGCAATGCCATTTTCTCTTCCAAAAGGAGGGCCTGCTCAATGTCGTTCTGCCTGAGCAGCGCCACTAGCGATCGCATCTGGTTCTGCTTGTCTTCCAAGCTAATGCTCGCGTTGTCGTCGGTGTCCGGGCAGTGCTGGACCGCCTCCCTTATCGCGTGGATCCACGTCTGTTTGTCTTTAGGCTTGTGGACCTTGAGCTCGAACATTTCCGGATCAGTCGGGTTGGACGATATCAGATATATGCTGCGAGAGTCCTGCCCCGCCTTTTCTCTAACCAGCAGCTTTTGCAGCGAGAACACGCCCGCCTTGTTGTTGTCCGGCGTGAAGAACACGTACTTTTGTGAGTTTTCCTGCAGGAAGAACAACACGTCGGACATGATGATGACCGACACCAGTTGCATCTTGCCCCTGCCCTGCATTAGCATCGCGATGCCCTCGAACCTGAGTGACCTGTTGCCCTGCAAAATGTCCGACTTTTTGAACTTGTAACCCTTGTGGAACGTGTAGGATTTCGAGTCGATCCTGTGGTAGATCTCCAATTTCCTGTCCTCGCGCTCCTTCTGCGCGACCTGCGCATCCACCTCGACAAGGATCTCCTTGACAAGCCTCAGGGCTTTCTGCAAAACGTCCAACTCCTGCTGGTTCTCTTTGCACGTTTTAATCAGCGGCTCTATGAGCAGGGGATACTTGGTGAGGCGTTGGGTAACGAACAGGATGCATTCCGGGATGCCTTTCTTTTTCAACAGTGGATTCGTCTGGCAATGCTTAACGAACTCGCCGAATTGGGCGTCGCTTTGGATACACTCGCGGTATGTGTCGACGGCGTCGCGGTGCCGGCTACAAAACTCGCCATATGCGGATTTGAGCCTGACGGCGTTGAGGTCGGAAAATTCTTCGAGCAAGATGTCGGCTATGGACGAGACGACGGCGCTCTCGCGTTGCCTCTGCCTCAGTTTTGACAGAAAGCCGAGGTGAAGATCGGTGAGGTCGGACAGGCGCGGGAACATGCGTTCCAAGTTGGGTCCCAGATTGAAGTACTTTTGCAAACCGTCAACGAAGATCTTCTGCATAACCAGCAGGGTCATGCAGTGGTGCTTTTCGGTCAGGATGAACTCGTAGATGTGCTCCTGTCGTTTTACCTAGTAAAGAGGATCCGCTCAAAAGAACGTTCGGAAAATCGAGGGTTGGTTTCAAAATTTTGTCGATTTCTTGGTAGCACGGAAAAAAGGAGATAAATCGCAACGTCGAGAAGGCGTAACCAAGCGAGCAAGAATTAATCCAAACAAAATATATTCATATTTAGTAAAACTTGTTGAATTTTGTTACTTCATCATCCGCCATCTTCGTGAGAAAACAATACTGCAATTCCTAACTAAAATTTTTTTTCTATTTATTACTATTTGAAGTCTGGGAATTTAATACTGTTAAATGACTTTTGGGTCAAGTAAATTGGAACGAATTATTACCATCACTTAGTTACATTATTAATATATGTTATGATATCTTGAACCTTGATATCCCGGCTCTTGTGCTACAAAAGAAAGGTCCCAAACGCAAATTTGGTTTTGCCCTGCGCTGAAACAGCAGATAATTTAAAAAAAGGTGATTCCCAAAACATTTAGGAATACTGAATTGGGAAGCGGTTATTTAAGACACATAGAGAAATCTGACCTGAGTTTAACCAATAACACACCACAATATTGAAATTCTGTTCAAAGTAAAAGGGGGGAGGGCCACTCTTGAGGTTTTTCAATACTAATCAATATTAGATTAGACCTGAACTGCCTGATCTTTTTGCCGAATACTTTCAGTGGAGAAAAATGTTGCTCATAAATATCTTCATTTGTTTAACCATATTTGAGCACCTGATTTTGCAATTTCCCTCAAAACTATATATGAGAAAATGCTTAAGATGGACTTAAATCAGGGCCCTAGCACTGACGGAATTCCTCCCAGGGTTTTAAATGCTTGTAGTTTAATTGTCTTAAAGTTCAGTGTGACTTTGACAGACTTACTATGTGGAGTGAGTTCAATGTGATGAGATGAACATAGCAAAGTGGCACTCCATATGATTCAGTTTATCATTTGCTAGTCACATAGCTAGAATGAATAGCTTCCAGAGCGCTAAGTATGCTTAAGCATCAAGAATCAGAAGATTCCTAAATTAGTTTTATCGGCGCTTTAGGCGCACCAATGTTATTTCGTTCATCTCACCTTCATTTTTTGAATAGTTTTGTGGCTCTCTTGAAGTTTATAGTAATTTATTGATATATATATTGGTACTTCTGTTTTCGTTTAGTGTTTTAGTTGATTAGTTCTATTCTAGTAAAACTGGGTGGGGCACTTGGCAGTTGTTTTATATTAGATTTCGCATTTTCTCGGCATCAGTTTGTCAAAATACACCTAGATCCCACTCAATTGTCATGGACATACTAGTTAAAGAGAGGCTTCCACATATGTTTTAATTAATTTTTTTTTTTTCGTATTTTATAATGGAACAGTTATTTTTTTATACAGAACACCTGTTATGCTACCTCTTTCTGCTTCAGTTTCCTGGCGATTTCTTTGCCTACGTGGGTCGTCCACGAATCAGGTTCGTTATCGTAGAAACCGAGGCTCAGGTCGGGGCATAAATCGGCCGCCGTTACCGTCGTACCCGACAGAAACTCGAACTGCACGAGAGCGACGTCGTCAGCGAAATTGGCACCGTCGTGCTGCTGGTCGCCGTCCTTGTCGTCGCAAGCGTTCACCGCGAACCCCGATCCTCTCTTCGATGCCTGATAATAACATTAACAATTGTTTCATTTCTTTAAACGCAATATTTAGCCCAAATAAAGAAAAGAAATAAATGTTCGAGTTAAATTGCAGAAGATCAATGTATTGTAGTTTGCACCAAAACCGCTTGTCGCTAAGGTGGCAACAAATGACAATTAAAATTGTCATGCGTCACCATGACGGTTTTGGAATTTTCGTTTTGCATTTTGATCTTTTTTTAAATGTAATTTGATTCCATTTAACCTACAAATAAACACCATACCTACGACAAAATATAAAATTTCCTTCACTTATACATTCTTCGCCCATTCTCCCAGTTATTCTGAAAAAACTCCTGCAAGGAGTATATTGTTTTACTCATTAATATTTTTTTAGTGAGTTTTTATATAGTGCTTTCATTGGTAATAACTCTAATATTCTGGAAAGTGATTATAAATTTAATAGGCATTACATAGCTGCTTCTCATGTTACGAGTCGACCAATGCTGTAGAAGTTAAATTTTTCATTATATAAATGGCACATCCAAAACTTATAATGAAATCACAGCAAGTACCTTTAACTACCAGAAAAGGTCTCTACAGGCAAAGGCACTCTTTTTAAATGTTATTGTTATTCAAGTCCAACACTGTCGCCGACTTCGAGCCTATCGGACGGCTGGAGGACTGAATGGGATGCTTTTTTTTGAATTGATGTTGTTTTCGGATTAACCAACCATCAAGATACATTCTCAAAAATTCGGAAGATTGAGGTGTGCAGATTAAATTTCGTAGAGTTAGAGACAACTGACCATAACTAGTCCGCGTGAAATGTGCGGAAGGGTGGAATAGTGATGGAACGTCATCGGGGCATATTGTACCTGATGGTGCTTGGCCGACGTGAGCGGCACCGTGAAGCTCGCCAGCTTCGCCATGCTCTTCGCGTTCTTGATCTTCACGTTGACGCATTCGGAGATGGTGTCCTTGCACGCATTCTGGTGGACGGTGGTGCCGCACGGCTCGCAGTACAACGCGGGCTTACTGCTGAGCGCCTTGTTGCATACGTCGCACACGTGCGACGTGCCGTAACTCGCCGACACCCACTGGTGCGGAAACTTCTTGGTCTTTTCCTTTTTCTTGCGGAAAAACAAGCTGCCGCGCTTGCGCAACTTTTCCGGATGCGGGTCGTACGTCACGTTCTGCAGGTGCTCCTTGATGCGGATCTCGTAGTCGGTGTGGCTCGAACGGCGCCCGTCCTCTATGCCCCGCTCCATGCTGCTCGGTCTGCCAATCTGCAGGATCGGTTGCACGTCGTCGCCGGACGGTTTCAGTGCCAGGTCGCCGAACGGTATGATCGACGGCGTCGATACCGATTTCTGTAGCGGCCGTTGCGCCAAGAGGTGGAGCTGTTCCGAGTCGCGTTTCAACTTGACCTTGGCGAAATCGTGCAGGTCCGTTTCGTTGAGGGAGCGCGTGTTGCCGCCGCCCCTGCTTCGATGTCTGTCCGTGAGACGGGCGGCGCTGCCGTCGATGGTGTCCACCAGCGATGGGTCGTCCGCTATCGACTCCATCGAGCCCAATGAGACGCTCCGTTGCCGTTTCTGTTTCAACTTGATCAAGGTCGAGATGTCCTCGAACCCGGGCCAGGACTTTCGCCGTTGTACGTCCGCGGGGGCCCAGTCCTGCGCCCGACTCTCTTTCCTGCTGAGCGAGTGGGTGAGCGGCGACGAGCCCAACGACCCGACGAATGTGTCCGAGTCGTGCCCGGCGGCGTCGTTTAGCGCGGGACAGCTGGCGCTGAACCTGGACGACTGCGTCAGGGACGCGGACGCGTTCAGCGCGAAGACGGTAAAGTCGCGGGTCGTCGCCGATGTGTTCCTCATTAGTTGCACCGACTCGCGCAGCTCGTGCACCTGGAAAAGGAAACGTTCTTGTGTCCTTTGGTAATAATAATAACGCTTTATTGTCTAACAGACAGATTCTGTCCAATTACAAGACAATGTTTCAATACAGCACAGTTACAAGGAATTAGACTTAGATAAACATAACGACACGTAAAGAAGCGAGAAAATGGTAAAGAGTATTCACAACAATAATCACAACAAAATAATACAGAAAGTGTAATATGGTTGCAAAAAAAGAATTGAAGACAATTAGAAAATGTCCAAGTTCAAACCCTAGATACTAAAAGTATTATTCAACTAGATACTTGCATATTATGTATGACATGAAAAAAGGGTTCTATAACTGGAAATATAGACAGTATATAAAAAAACAACAAAATAATAAAAACCATAAAAACGAAAACAAAAACAAATCCCGCTCTGCACAGTGTCGCCTGCCCCACACAATTGATCTCGAGAAGGTACTTTCTATAGACACGTTTAAATAAGTTTAAGCATAATTCTTTCTGAACTCTATTGTACAGCTTACATATCCAGCGGTGGAGGCGATATATAGCCACGAAAACTCAAGCTAATTTTATTATAAAGGTACTGGTAAAACTTCTTCAATATTATATTGTGAAACAGAGTAACTGAATGGAATTTAGATCTACTTTCCATTGTTAGTCAGTTTGTTTCTTTAAGCTTATAGGAAACTCGACTAACTGACTGACGAGTGACTCAAAACCAATGAATCAGTCACTTAGTTTTTAATGATTTTGACGACAAATACGTCTGTTTGGATATACTGTTTTTAGATTGCCATATGCACTGTGCATCGTCTGATTAACATGCGGTTCAAAACGAAGATTAATATTGAAATCTAGTCCTTTCTACAAGTGTTGGAACATTTTATTACTTCATCTTGAATTTTTATGTGAAAAATATCTTGAATAGTGTCACACTGTTTAAAAATTGAACTGAGGTGGCTTTTACTTGATGAAAATCCATTTATCAAAATAAATAAGAACTAAAAGTTCAGATTTTCACGAAATTATATATTATGACATGACAATTGTTTCGACAACACCGTGTCTTTATTAAATGTTTGGACATTTGACAAAGACACGGTGTTGTCGAAACAATTGTCATGTCATAATATATAATTTCATGAAAATCTGAACTTTTAATTGTTATTTATTTTGATTTTCACACTGTTTACAAACAGAAGCCCAAGGATCGAACCTTGTGGAACACCAAACACTGTTACTGAGACAATTGAGTAATAGACTTGTTAGACTTCAAAAAACTAATAAAATGTAAAATTGCAATTAACAACTAAGACTTTAAAATAATCAAGAAGTATTAGGGCCGTCGCTTCACCTTTATCGGTGACTCTAATTATGTCATCTGTGACAATTAGTAATGGGGGTCGCACAACCAAGCCCATGTTTAAAACCAGACTGATTTATATATATTATGTTTTGCACTTCTCCGGGAATACTTTATCTAATAGACAGGAAGTAACAATATTAGTCAGAAAGGGTAGAATTCTAGCACAGCTCAAAGGGACCATATGCGAGATTGTTTATTTCTAACAAAAACTTTGTAACATTCTATTCATCAACTGTGTAAAATTTAAATAGCATTTTAAAATGTGTTTTACGATATCCAAGAGCAAGGAAGAATTTCGAGCTCAGCTGTTTATTTTATTAGGGAATTATTCCATTCAATAATTCAAAAGTTTTTAGTTGTTTGTCCGAGTTCCAATCTGCGTCACTCTTAGTCTGTTTAAAATTATAGAGAGCCTTATTTTTTAATTAAATAATAATATATTTTTTGTGCAATGGAGCTGAGAGGGATGCGAAAAGTCCGAACGCTGCGTCCCGACCAAAAATGACAGGAACGCGCCGCAGTTACTTAAGAAACTCGGGCACCTGCTGCAGGCTGTCCTCGAGGACGGCGTAAGTGCGCATGGCAGTTGTCGGCGAATACGACGTCAGACTTATGGTCGGCAACGCGTGGGACCCGCCCCTTTCGCCCGACCCCGACGTCACGTTATCGATCAGGGGCAGGTCGTCCCTCGTGGTCTGCACGTCGAGGAGCTGGTAATCGGTGACGACGTCCTCGTCGCTGTCGCTCTCACCCCCGCTCGCGCCGCACTCGTCCGACGACACGGGGATGAGCATTTCGGTCTCCGTCTGTTTCTCCATCCTCGTTTGTTACAAAGCGCAGCGCATGCTCGCGCAGAGGGTGGCGGGAAGTGCTGTATTGTCTATGCGGGTTGTCTGCGGAAAAAAAAAAACCGAAGGGGAAACGATTTATTTTTTTATATGCTAAAGTTCATGGCAATTTACAAAATGAAACAAACAATTACGATAGGTAACAAGCAGGTTAGAGAGGCAAAGGGAGAAGAATAACACTATCATTCAGTGCTGCCATATATATCAGTTTCTAAATGTAAATGCAACAAAACGCCCTCTTTGTGTGGTGACAACAAACTCACGTAGTAAGGAAGTAGCAAAAAGAAGTTCTCTCTCCTGTCTCCGATAATTGAACAACCCACGATTGTTCAAAACGTTGGCATTTTTACAAAAAATAAAAATAACGGAAAACTTAACGATATTCATCAAACATAAACAATTCATTAAACATAAAATAAAGTATTGACGTTTATGCAGTGTTTATCGAACAAATTTATGTTCTAATTATAAGATAAAAGAAACGAAAAATAATTTTCTTTCGTAAATCCAAAAAAAAAAAGTTATGAGACACAAAATTAATAAAATGAATATCCGTCAATAATTGACAACTATTTTTTTGTCGTTTGACATGTCTCTTAACAAAAGAGCTGTACATGAGTTTTCGGCATCAAGGATAATATTTATCAAATAAAAGTTCATATTCAACCCCTCTTAATTTGGAAACTTAAGCATTCAACTTGATCGGATATCAAAGGAAAAATAGTATATTATGCAACAAGTGCAAGTGTAAACGCCATTAATAAACGAGTGAGTTAAAAAGTTAATAAAACATGCTGCATACTATACTTTTTCTACGACCGTTAGTTTTTGGGTACATTTTCGCAAAACAACACGAATACATTCATTGACATGACAGGCAGAATTAACAAATGTCAAAATTCAAAGCGTGGAAATATCTAAGAAAACATCCGATTGCTCCCAAACCCGTGCGGTAAAATCCCGGAAAAGAAACTGACGTGGTAAAGTGACGCTTCCCTTCCCGCACGCTAGATCGGTACGTAATGAGGTATGAGGTAGACGGGAGTAATTTTTAAAATATTGTTACATAATATACAAACATGCTAAGTCACCGCTAAACTCACCGATCAATTGGGTTTAGATCACAGAGGCACGGCGGTTCGAAAACTCTTAACAAGTCCTTTTTAAACATTGGTATTGAATATCTCATTACCGTTATAGAGGATTTTTTTTCATACAATGACTATTAGGGAATTAACTATCTTCACCGCTCACTATCGAGTGAAAAACTCCCATCCCGTTACTTAAAAACTTTCAATCAGTGTATTAAATCGTTTTTTTAACAAGTTCCACACACTAGGATCGAAAAATTCACAGGTTAAACAAAACAGATTAAGTGTATGTTGAAACGTGAAATTTTACCAAATTGTTACCAAGTGATTCACAAAAACACCTACCTAATTAATTCATTGATAAGTGATTTAACAGTTGCGAAACCTTTTACTAGGGGCAATTTACATCATTAATTTCGACATCAAATGAACTTATAATAAACAAAACTCAATTTAAATAACCTCTAGTGCGATTCTAATCGATTGATGAACATATAACTGATTCGCAAGTTCTTATAAACAAAATAAATTATATTACAAGCGAGTATATAAAAAGGATGGCAACACAATACCAATTCAATCCGTTTTAAGTTGTTTGTCCAAAAAACGATTTAAAGTTTTTTTCATACTACGAAGAATTTTAATATCCCATATATCTAAAATTGGCCATGATCTAATATTCCTAGTTTGATACGCTAAAATAACGCAATTAGTTGGATCCTTTATCACTAACAAGCTAATTAAGCGGTTTCGAAGGTAATTATTCATTTAGCGTTTCAAATACCGTTTTGCCTGTTGCCCTACATGAAGTTATGGTATTCAGGCTAAGTGGCAGAATGGACACTTCTATGACTTAGTTGCCAGTGCACGGGCTAAATTCTCACATGATATACACAAAAACGCACCCGAAACATTCAATACCACTAGTTTAGCGAAGAAAACTCTTCTTGCCACTATATCAAGCGTAACAGGAAAAACAGAAACACAAAATTCTAACCTCACAAACTGGGTGTCATCTTTATTACGGGCTGCATTCCTTATTTTTTCGGCAACTGTAGTCGTGGCATGGCTTTCGGAGTACGCAAGAGGCGACACTTTCCTTTCGACGTGATTTTTACAATTTATAACAGTGATTAACAACAAAAAAAACACCAATATTTATAGGGGTGTCACCCATCACAGACAAAAAATTATTCCTAATTTTTGTGGCACTGGTTCCCGATCGTCGCGAGCGTCTCATCAGAGTATTCGACATCAACATCTAGTGACTAGAAGCCGAACCAACTAAAAACGAAAACTTTCTCTTCTTCATCTTTATCTGACAAGCCACTTGTCCAATAAAAAGAAAAAATCTTCTTCGTTGGTCCTGCACCACTCGTCCTACAGTCTTATGCGTTTTTTATTCCAGTGATTTTTGCCTTGAATATATGTATGGATGAAGAAGCATAGGATTTGGCTTTGAGGTTGGTTCGTTTTTGTTCGTTTGCCTGTTTAGTAGCAGAAGAATTGCGTTGATTTTGTTTATTCGTTATTTTCTTCCAATTTTTCATTTTTATCATAGGTATCGCGATTCATGGCAGAGGTTGGCGCAAATTAGTAAACCGTGAAAAAAAAGTAATATGTAATATCTCCATTGGAATTAATTTTAGATATTATACATATGGAATAAATAGTATGTACATTTTATCACTTTAAGAGTCTGCTTTATCTTCCATATCCATGGGCTTTGCATAATTAAGAATGAAAGAAAATTCCTTTTAATTCAGAGTCACACAATTTCTTCACCTCCTCTAAAAACAAAAGTTTTATTTAGGAAACAAATTGTGACATTCAAATATACCACTAATTTCAATAAGGCTGGCGTTTTTTTGCTGCAAAACCACATAAAATTCCCTGGAGTTAGAGGTTTTGCTCACGACCCAAAACTCATTCATTGTTTTTACTATACTTTCTCCTACTGGGCCGAGGAGGTGTTTGTTTTCGTTCATGTCTGCTATGATGCGCAAGGATTCTATGTTGCAGCAAATATTCCCAGACCGTTTGTTATCTAAGTGGACAGTACTTCTATATGCCTTATTTGTTTTGTCAAAATATATGAACCGGGGTGTGGTTTCTGGATGATTTGATGGTACCACACTTCGTTTGGAGCAAAACTCAGCAATGTCCGTAACCACCTCAACTAGTTTAAACACCATAAAGTCATTCACTTCCTTGAACATGTCCAAAGTTAACTCTACTTCACCTAAAGGACGTTAGGAATGGTGGTATGAAAAGAATTTATATATATTAGCAGCTTACCTTTTACAAACAGGCATACAGTCGCACTTAGAGACCTGTATATGATAAGATGATACTCTTTAGCTGTACCTACACTGAATAAGTGGACTTTGGGTACTTTACCAACAACTTTGGCTTGTTTTAGATTTGTGGGTCCCGTAATGAACCTGCCATTTTGGGAAGCAGCAAAAGGAGACGGGAGATTTCTAGGCACTGATCCACCTTTCAATTCCGTTTCTACATTCGCCGGAAGTAAAGTTCGGATCAGATATTGGTAAATAATTTGAAGATCTGTTGGTTCCAAACCGTTCCAAATAACATGCTCATTGTATAAAAATAGACACCTTTCGATGAAATCAAATTTGCATTCCAGCATGCTTATGAAACACTGCACATTAAGAAAAGTTTGTTTGTCCAGAGGCATGTACTGAATGCCCAACAACAAATCCAAAATATCACAGTTTGATAAATTCATATTTACTAAATACTGAAAAGAAAACTGTCATGCTAAGAACCACCCTTAATATTAAAAACCCTACAGCATTGAAGAATAACTCCAGTCTACTCTTTAAAATTTCTTCATGACTGTCTTCGATGGACTTCAAAATGCAATCACAAAATAATCGGTACATGTAATAGGCTTGTTTCAGGCGGGCTTCGTATATATTGTCTTGTAGGTCATCTTGTAAGTACTCACTTGTGCTAACACTCTCTTTTATATTTGTTGTTAATGCCAAATTCAATGTCTAGAAAGTTTTCTTTAACCTACTTGAAAATATATTTTTATTCACCTCACCATCACAAACCAAACATCAGTTTCTGGTTGGAAATATAACTGCCTAGTGGTGTTTGTGTGCAGTGCATTAACGGGAGAACTAGGTTTGAAAGTTCTGCAAAATATTTATGATCTTTACTCCCTATAATCAATAAAGCGGGAGGGAACATACTCAGCGAATTGTATAATGCCCTCGGCCAGACCGACGTTTTTAATTTGCACGTCTGTGTTGTCTGATATTGGAAAATAATAAAGAATCTTTTTAATTTGCTAAAAAACATGGAAAAAATTTAGCAAATACAAGGTAAAATAACTTATTTAATACATTACTTCTTCTTCTCTACAACCATATAATCGCTTAAAAATGAAAAAGTTTTTTAACGATAATTCCTTTTCCGTTCCCATCGTTTGCTTTTTTTTTATAGTTCACTCCTAAAGATGTGGGGTTAGTTTACGCATAACCTCAAATGTAATTGTAAAGTTGGTGTACTTTCTTCATATTTCAATTGGCTAAAACTATTAAGGTCAATCGCCTAATTGAATTCTTTCAGTCCATACCATTGCGTTGTTTTCAATTTACTTGATTACTTTTTTGCATATCTCTTGTATCAAAGCTGGTGAAGGTCAATTAACCACAGTAGAATTACTAAATGTCAACAACTGACATCTAAACGTGTGGTTGATGCCGACGAAAAAATGTAATTGAGAAATATCTCTGACAAAAATGATCCCTTCAATAGTACATTATGCAACAAGTGCGGTAAACCTCATTTGACTCACGAGTTTATTTGACGCGAGCGGAGCGAGTTTTTACTAAACGGGTAAGTTAAAACTTTTACCGAACGTGTTGCATACTATACTTTTTCTACGATCATTAGTTTCTGGGCCCATTTTCGCAAAACAACACGAATACATTCACTGACTTGACCATCAGAATTGACAAACGTCAAAATGCAAATCGTGGGAAATATCTCCGAAAACATCCGATTGCTCCCAAATCCGTGCCGTAAAATCCCGGAAATGTCCGAAGTGGCTCGAATTTATAGGAAACGAAACTGAAGTGGTAAAGTGATCCTTCCCGCGCGGTAGATCGAAGGATAATTAGGTATTTTACAGACGGGAGTATAAAAAATAATTTTCGAGTGTATTGCTGAAGCTTTACTTGAATAGAAATAAATAAAATGGTGGCACAAAATACAAATATGACAGTGTGAGCATTGCCAATTTTATTATATAGCTCTATATAACAAGAATCCACTTGACATATTTTTAAGCAAACACACGTGTTTTGTCAATGTTTTCTGTTCCATGAACACTAAAGCAAGTTCATATAATTTTCACAGAAAATCCGCACTTCCATTAAAATTCATCAGTACTTAGCTAGCTACTGCTGTACGCATATGGATTGTCGGCATCATAGTTAATTTTGTTTTTCTCGTGGTTTTGCTCCGCGATTCCGCTCACAGCAGCCATAGAGGTAATTGAAGATTTGGAAAAAAGTCGCTCCGCCTCTTTGAACTTCCGGTTGCGTTTATCAGACTTGGAATTTGTTGTTTTGTTGCTTGATAGGTAGCGGTCCCATCCTCTAATTATGTTTCCGTATAATTGTGTGTCTTCTAAGTAAGACCCTTCGAAGGCGTAAATTTGTCGTTCTAGGTTAGCCAATGTGTCGCCGATTTCCGCCTTTCTTTTGACTAGGTCAGCGAGCTCTTGCCTAGCGTCAATTGAATTTGTTTTGCTGGACATTTCTCACCCCAATAAAAGTTTCTCCGTTAACGATAACGGCTATCAACCAAACTCTTAACAAATCAAATTTATTTTGCTTATGTAGGGTTGATGTGCCCATAGATTAGTAACAGGTCGGTAGGAGTCGACATGTTTACGTAGCTTTTTCTATGATAATACTGATTTCTATAAAAAAAAAATGAAACACACAACCCCTTGTTATGTCACAATGGAAATCTATTATGATTGTCAATAACTAATAAGAGCAACCATTTTTTCATTAACGCTGAGAATTTCGTTTAATAAGCATTTTTGGTTCTTTGCCTTAATGGCCTTTTCAGTTGGTTGAAGAATTACATTTTCAATAAAATATTTTCTTCTTTTAGATTTTACGTAGCCTTGGGTAAACTCACCAGAGACACTCGCTCATTGCCGACTTCGGTACAAAGAATATTTAGCTTTATTATTTTTTGACATTTACTTTAATATCTTGGGAAAGGGTTTTGGTCGGTAAGTGTTTTATATCGACAAAAATTGCTGAGATGGCACAGGTAATTTAAAAAATAATGGATGGAACCAGCGTAAAAATGAATGCCAATGAAGAAAAAAAATCCGAAAACAACAATTATGCCGAAAGCGAGACGATGTCCACCTCAGCACTCGAAGAGACGAGCACCAGACTCAAAGAACTTGAGGGTTCCTGGGAGGAACGTTACAGCAAACTCAGAAGTTTGGCTATAAAGTTAAAAGCTAAAATTAAAGAACAGGAAGCCGTTATCGCGAATCTTTGGCTTGAAAAGGATGACGTTCAAAAGAAACACCTAAAAGATGTTCAGAATTTACAGTTCCAAATAGACCAACTGCAGGATAAACTAAACAGGTCTGAAACTGAGAAGAAACGCTATTTGGACCGCCTGAATGATATAGGTGAGGGTATTGCGAGAGATAAGGAGCAGTTGGCATCAAACGATGAAATAATGAGCAATTTACGTAAAGAAGTGGAATGTTTAGCAAATGAAAAACAAGCCACAGACATTTGGAAAAAGCAGATCAGCGCCAAAGTGCAGACTTTGCGGAAAGAACTAGAAGCCAACAATGTGCTAAAGAAAGAGTTTGAGGGAAAAATTGCAAAACTAAGTGCCGATCTAGATGAAAAGGACAAGCAGTTGAAATTAGAGCAAGAAAGTCACCAGGAGACGAGAAATCTTTTAGAGCAGACCACTTCTGAGGTATAGTTTATCTTTAAAAGCATTTGTTAAAGCTGGAGTGTCAAGTTTTTGCTTTGAGAATGAAACAAAAAATATCTTATTTACAGGTAAGGAAAAATTCCGTACTCAATTTGGAAATGAAAGATTATGAGAGGAGTGTTAAAGAACTATCTCTACAATTGGAAAGACAAAAGGACATTGTTAATAAATTGCAGCAAGATTTAGAAAATGAAAAAACCACTATTGCCAAGTTGAGAGACCAAAACAAATCGTTAGAAGAAAAGTTGCATTCCGAAGAGAACAAGGTGGGTGTAGGCGCATCAGAACTGGAATCATGCAAAAAAAAAATTGAACAGTTGGAGTTAGTTGTCAGACAAAAGGACACCGCGATTTGTGATGTAAGGCAGCTCCTAGAGGCTGCTAAGTCAGAGAACGAGGATTTATCGGTTGAACTGTCCACCGCGATCACGGAATATCAAAAAACATTGAACAGCCTGCTGTCTGAAAAAGAAGAGTTGAAAAATCAAGTATTGAGCATTCAGCAAACCATGCGTGAAGCGCAAAATCTGCTTAAATTAAAAGAGGATGAGCTGAAAGTGTTACAGGAGGAGTATGAAGGTTACAAAATACGGGCGCAGAGTGTGTTGCGACAAAATCAGACGCGCGATCCAGGTTTGGAAGAAAAATTGAGTGAAGAGCTTGAGGCTGCGAAAACACGTCATTCTCGGACGCTCAGCAGTTGCAAGGAGCTAGAAGATAAAAAAGCTCTGCTCGAAACAACAAATAAAATATTAGCGAAAGAAAAGGGAGAGTATGAGAATAAATGTCGAGCGCTAGAGGGGGAAGTTAGTGAGTTAAAGGGGCGTTGCGCGGAGTTGGTGAGTCGATACCAGAAGGCTGTAGCGGAACACACTGAAACTGTGCGCAGCTTAAAGGTAATGGTATTATCAAGTTAATAATTTCGCGTCTAATCGTGGAATAAAAAGTAATTTATTTTCGGACTGAATGGTTCTCCGACTCAAAAGAAACAAATTTGTGAATTTGGCGTGGAAATCATAAAGACAGCACTTCACCTAGTTTCTTATTGGGAGAAAATATTAATGTGTAAATTTTGTTAAAGGTTATATTTTAAACCTAAACAGCTAAATTGTGCATAAATAATAGGAAATATAAAAAAAAGTAACAAGACGCGTTACTACAGTTAGTTTATTAGAATATTAAATATAATAATAGTTATATATGATTATAATTATAACGCTGGTCACATAGTCAAGATAGTCAAGATATTGATTATTAGAAATTTATATAGAGGGAAGAATATTTTTTTTTCCATTTTTCCAACAAGTGCCGGAAAATAAGTTTAATTCTAAGGCTGTTCGTAACTATAATACCTGTATCACTCTTATATAATAATTACGATTTAATAACTGCCACTTACAAAAGTAATTCATTCAATCAAATAAAAAAAGAAAACTGAAATTCTGTCCACCAGGCAATCCAGACAGTGCGCTATTGAGGTGGACTAAACACAGCCACAGGTAGGTCAAAAGCTATGCATTTACTTTCAATCTCGGGATCCTTGACAATCATCGCACTACACCTATGGAATACGGCTTAAACCACTAAGTTTTACAGTTTAATAATGATTTATAAATCTCTCCCATTGGGAAACAGAACCTAAGAGAATATCATTCTCCAGTATTGACTTGTTTGTATTTCACTTCAAGGTCCACACGGAGACTTTATCGCAGTGCTACCGGCAGCAGATTGTCGAACAGGAGACGCGGCACAACAAAGAAATCCTCGAATTGCAGAGCCGACTGGAGAAGTCTCCTTCGCCCATAGAACCGATAGCCACCCTGCTCGGCATGTCAAGAGAGGAGGCGGAAGGCTCGGAAAGTGCGGAGTCAGGCGGGCGTCAGCCCATCGCCCATCCGATTCCGCTCGAACGATTGTTGGATTCCCCGTCCGACAATGAGCTCGAGTACTTGAAGAAACAGGTCGGCGAGCAAGAATCTCGGCTCCACCACCTTACGTCGCTGTTGTCGGACACCGAGAAAGACCTCGAAAAACACGTGCAAATGAATAAACTGCTGAAGGAGGAGATCCGAAGGCAGCAGCGGTCTGTCGAACGCGAGAGGCACGCGGAAAACTTAGAATACTTGAAAAACGTGGTGTTCAAGTTTGTGACTTTAAGCGGTGGCGACGAGAGGGTGAGACTGGTGCCGGTGCTGAATACGATATTAAAGCTCAGCCCCGACGAGGTGAGCAAGCTGAGCGCGGTAGCGAAGGGCGAGATTGGGAATAGGGGCTGGACCGGGTATTTAACGGCTTGGCCCTCGGCCCGTCACAAGTAGAGTCCCAGTAGGTGGCAATAATTTTTGTATTGTTGTAATCAATGTTATCGTTAATGAACTGCGAAAATGCCATCGGCCACGCTCTGGAGGGGATAGAAATAGTTTTGCTATAAAACAGCGTGATTCGCAGGGGTCCGGCAATGTGCAAAGCTAATTTTTACCCAAAACTTCTAAATGGTTCTGATTTTTTTCAGCTTGTTGGGTGGGAGGATAAAATATACCAGGAGAAATTAGATATTATTTTTTTATAAACGGTATATACAACAATTATTGTGATAAATTCAGTTATTTTTTTAAAATGCCCTTACCGCGCAAATATCTCACTATAAAAGGAACAGACCCCAAAGTGACACTTATCCTCACAGGCGCAAATATTTTGTGGACGGCGTAAGCGACCGCGAACGTGCCAGCGTTCAAAGTCAAGTTGTCGGAGGGTGCCCATTTACTCAAACCCAAAGTGTCTAATATATGACCCACATCTAATCCAGCCGAAACTAAAACGTAACATATTAAGTATATAAAATATAAGTATCAACAAATGATTACCAATAAGATAACAAGTGCCTAAGGAGACGAGGGATATAGTCACATGGAAGATTATCACGGTGGTGCCGTATTCAGCTACGGCCTTTTTTAATTTCTGCGCTCTGGTTTCTCGAAGCTCTTCTGTTTGTTTTACGCCGCTCTGCGAGTCCATCGTTACGCCCGTGCCTACGGTACTGGACTTGCTAGAAGCATCTGTGTGTTTGCAGCATAGGGATGATTTGTTTACCAATAAGGATTTCTCGATAGCGATGCGGTAGCGTATCTGTTGTGAGGTTTGCGATAACAGTTTGCTACGCAGATTTGTGGTTAAACTGCACTGCCGTCTTAAGAAAACATTGACATTTTTAAAAAACATGGTACCAAGTTACTCCTCCATTACATTTTAAAATAATGGAAGGTTATTTTTCTTCTTTAAGACTACTGACAGGTATACCATTATCATTCGGCCTGGGTGACAGGTTATTTTGTGAAAGTATTTATTTGTAATGGGATGACGTGTAGATGTTGACGTGTGTTATAATCCTTGTGACGTAGTACAGGTTAGGTGTTTAATTTTAAAATTGATCGCCTTTACCTGTAAAAAATAAAATGCTGGTTATTCTGTCTCCTTCGAAATGGACCACCTCTACAACCAAACCAACAAATTAATCCAGGACTCTTTTCAAGTACTGGAAAAGAGCTCTCTGGTCACTCAAGAAACGGAAGATGAAATTCAAGAAAAAATAAATTTGATTAGCAGGTTAATTAATGGGCGGCACAGTTTTGTAAGTCAACACTAATCGTTATTAAAATTACAGCAATTGCGCAAAGTTAGAGCTGCAAGTGTTCAAATTGCCGATAGATCGCAGGCAAAATGCAAAATTGCGTAGCGACCAATTAAAGTATGATTGCAAACATCTGCAGGCCGCGCTAGCGGCTGTGAAAAAGAAACGGGAACGCAGGAAGCTTGCCGAGACCGAACGCGAGCAGCTGCTTAACCGGCGTTTCGGCCCGGAACAAGATTTAATTGCCATTAACATGGATCACTCAATACAGCATCAGACTTCTCTGCAAAGTTCAAACAGAGGCGTTGATGAAATGTTATTTACCGGGACGAACACACTAGAGTCTTTACGATCACAGAGAATGACCCTCAAAGGGGCTCAGAGAAGAATCATGGATATGGCCAATACACTTGGTCTATCTAACCACACGATGAGGTTGATTGAGAAAAGGGTGTCAGAAGACAAAGTTGTTTTTGTACTGGGGGTGGTCATTACTTTGACTGTTATAGTGCTTATTATTATTTATTTCACCTAGAATTTTTGATGGAAATAACTTCCAAACTAAACTATCAAGACCATTTAGAAAAAAGGAACATTATCCCATTTTATAGATTTATGAGTCGGTGACTTTTATGAATAATAAGAACTTTTTTATGCCAATCATTTTTTATTTATATAATTGTCCAATCGCCTAATAGTATTGACCTTGCCTAATATTTCAACAATTTCAGCCACACTCGGGCCCTCTGTCAATCCACTCAAAATAGTCCTTAAATCTTTCATAAAGCTGCCGTAATTTAAAGAGTGTTTATTTGAAAAGTTTTTTAAGAGGATACTGACACTATCCTTAGTTAGGTTCTCTTCTCCTAGTAGTGTAATTCGTAAGTGCTCTAAAACAGTGTCCAACTCCTGATTTAAGGGGCCCATTGCAGGCGACATCCATAGAAACTTCATTTTGTTTGCCACTAAGTCACTCAACTTGTCGATTCTGTTTAGAGCCAACTTCAGAATATTTTCAATATGTACATCAGACAAGTCCAATGTGTCACTAGGAAACTTGTTTTTTACAAGTCGTTTCACTGTTTCAATCAACAATTCGCGAGTATCGCAATTTTCAAATCTCTTTCTCAACTCCATACGGTTAAATTCCAATAATCGCTCGGGCATTAATTTACCTGAACTGGGATTGATTTTTGACACATCAAATTGACCACACAACTCTTTAAATGAGTAACACCTTGGCTTTAGGAAGCGTTCTTGATCCTTCGAAAACCCACCACCACAACTTACTATGAAGTTGATCAGAGCTAGAGGATATATACAGTCATTTCTGTAGTCTGTTATGTTTACTCCGCCTTGCCTTTTACTAAGTTTTGTACCATCAGCATTCAGCAAGAGCGGCAAGTGACCGAAAAGGGGTGGAGTCCAACCAAAAGCTCTATACAACAAAATATGTTTGGTGGTGGAAATCTGCCATTCCACCCCTCTTAGCACATGGCTAATTCGCATTAAATGGTCGTCTACAACATTTGCATAATGATAAGTAGGATAACCATCGGATTTTATAATAACCGGATCTCCTTCATTTTTAGCAATATTATAACTTATCGAGCCATACACCAAGTCATTAAATGTCTCCTCTTGGTCACAGATTTTGAACCTCACACAGTACTGTTCTCCCTTTGCCAATCGTGCTCTCCTATCATTCTCACGCAAATGGCGGCATCTGTTGTCATATTTTGGAATTTCTTGAGAACTTACAGCCTGTCTACGCAGCAACTGTAATCTTCTGTCGGAACAGAAACAATAATATGCAGATCCATTTTTTAACAACAACTGAACATGCTCCTGATATATGCTTAGTCTCTCGGACTGAACATATGGTCCGTAACAACCACCTTGTTTTGGTCCTTCATCGACATCAATTCCAGCCCACTGCAAATCATTCTGAATATTTTCCGCTGTGCTCGCAACCATTCGTTTGCGATCTGTGTCCTCAATTCTTAAAATGAATGCACCTTTGTGCTTCTTAGCGAATAAATAATTGTATAAAGCTGTCCGTAAACCTCCTAAGTGTAGCTGACCAGTGGGGCTGGGCGCGAATCTTACTCGGACGCAATCAGAGCTGTGATTGCGCACAACGAAGCTATTATATCTGTTAGGGCGCAGTTTAACATATCGCGCTCGCATTTTTATTATTTTATCTTGAAAAACAAATTAAATTATTAACATAACCATGATTTTCTTCTTCACATAATTTGAAAAACACTAAAAACGAAGTGGGCATTATGTCAAAGAAGAAGACGTCCATAGATCTTTCTAAAACTGGCAGTGAAAAATAAATCCAAGAGCAAACAATGGTCAGGGGACTAGTAAGTTCAACAAAAAGTTCATTTATTGTAAAATTGATGGGTTTTCCTCTCCACAGTTTGCATTTCTCATCGGAGTTTACACGGGCATTTATGTCAGTCAAAATTATGATGTAAGGGGTACTGCAACAATTAACCACAAAATTAGCCACTTTCTTTTAGATCCCCAGAGTAGACGATCCTAAGGCCCTTGTAGAGAAAGTAAAGGAATTCGCCGATAAACACAAGAAGTCGTGATACAAATAATATATTGTGAACTTTATATAAATATATACTAATGTAGTAAAACCCCTCCCAAATATTCATTTCTTATGGGTGGTTCAACAAAAGCCAACCAGTCGCTTGCATATGTTGGTAGCAGGCCCATGCTGTGACACTTATACAATGCCAGACCCACATTAACGAGGTTTCCAATCACATAAACCAAAATCTGCAGCCACGCATTTGAAGTTTCCATCATCTTAAAAGTTGCTTTTGTAGACCATATCGCCTGGATAGGGCGCATCAATAGCATGCCGACCATCATTATAGGGAATATGGAGATCGAATTACCCGCCATGTACATTATAAATAAGTTCATCGGCACTTGCTTGAGTGGGGTAAGTGCCAAATCCCAACTCTTTTTCGTTATAAGCCTAGACACGTCAGTTTTCTTCGATACCTCGCTATTAGGATTTATGGTCGATAGTGAATAACCCGGAGGTGATGCTAAGGCCTCAGTAGATACACGATTTATTCTAAAATGCAATAATTAGTAACAAAAATGATGTGCCAATGCGATGATTCACTTTATATTTTCCACGCTCCATTTTTGACGTCGATTTACCGTTTTATTGGACATTTTTTTTATTTTTATAAGAGGGGTTTGATGTTTTGCTAAAATAGAAATATTTGTTATTTGAATTGGTTATTGATTCTTAATTTTCGATGAAAAAAATGACAGTCTCAGGATAATTGCTAATGCATTTAGAATTAGTTGGGCACATTTGCCATGATCATTCGCTCATTGCCGACATCCGTTGAGGTTATCACAGAAGACCAACTTCTTTTCTTAATGACATTTACTTCTCTACTAAATTCATCAACATCTTACTTAGAACGGAAGGGATTATCCCGCTACCGAATATGCTTTACTCTGTTTACTAATCCAATAACGACCCAAATTATCAAACCAACATGTGTATCTTTTAAATTCTATTTAAAATGTAATTATTTATTGACTCAAGTAAATATTTGTTTTAAAAATTATAAATTTGCGTGGCAACGGCAACTGTTTGCCGATTTTGTGTTATACCTAAAAGAAGAAGCGAAGATCAGTAACTGCAACGAATGCCATAGATTGTGGCAACGGGAAATGTTATGTGAGTAGCGCGACCTTTGCTTGTCCGGTCGAAGATAAGGGTCAGCTGATCTCCAAAATTCACCAAATATTTGCTTGCTAAGTATTTTCCGCAGTTAAGTATATCCCGAAGATGTCGTGGTTCTCTAGCGTCGAATTGGGCCCGCCCATTGAAGTGTTTGAGCTGACGAAACAGTTTACAGAGGACAGCTTTCCGCAAAAAGCAAATTTAGGTGTAGGTGCTTATCGTACTGAAGAGGGTAAGCCGTGGGTCTTGCCCGTGGTCAGAACCGCGGAAAAAGCATTGGCCAATGATGAAACGCTTAACAAAGAGTACTTACCTGTTCTCGGAATGGATGCATTGAGTCAGGCTTCAGTGAACATGCTTTTGGGGGAAAATAGTGCTGCGGTACAAGAAAATAAAGCGTTTGGTGTTCAGACACTTTCTGGAACGGGTGCTCTAAGAGTCGGAGCTGAGTTTCTGGCAAGGCCATTAGGCAAAACTGTGTTTTATTTCTCAAAACCAACATGGGAGAACCATAGGCTGCTTTTCCTTAATGCTGGATTCAAGGAACCCAGAGAGTACCGGTATTGGAATGCCGCCACTCGCGGTTTGGATATAGAGGGTTTGTTGGAGGACTTGCAAAATGCGCCAGAGGGCGCTGTCATTATATTACACGCATGTGCACATAATCCGACCGGATGTGACCCCACGCAAGATCAGTGGGCAAAAATCGCACAGGTTGTTAAAGCCAAGAAGCTGTTTCCTTTCTTTGATTCTGCCTACCAAGGTTTTGCATCAGGCGATTTGGATAAGGACGCATGGGCTGTGAGATATTTTGTGTCCCAGGGCTTCGAGCTCTTCTGTGCTCAATCTTATGCCAAAAATTTCGGGTTGTATAACGAAAGAATCGGGAATTTAACAGTAGTAATGAATAATCCAAATGAGATTGCAGCGGTGAAATCGCAATTCACTCTAATAGTCAGGGGCATGTATTCTAATCCTCCTAGCCACGGAAGCAGGATTGTCGCATATGTGCTACAGAATAAAGATTTGTTTAACCAGTGGCGGGAAAATATCAAGACAATGTCGTCGAGGATCATCAAGATGCGTCAACGTTTACGTGAAGAACTGGAACGTTTAGGTGCGCCGGGTACTTGGAACCACATAACTGAGCAAATAGGGATGTTCTCCTATACCGGATTGAACGAATTGCAGTCTGAGCATATGGTCAAGAAACACCACATTTATATGTTGCGCTCTGGCAGAATTAGCATGTGTGGAGTGACCCCCACTAATGTGGATTATGTAGCAAAGAGCATTTACGAGACTTTGACTACAGTACCCTCAAAATATTAACATTTCAATTTTTTTTGTATATATGTATAAAACTGTGTTGTTGTAGGAAAGTAGGGACTGCATTTAAATAAATTGGGAAAAAAAGATTATTTATTATTTCTAAAATTCACATTCTATTACATTACCCAGTCATAAGTTCAGGGCTACCAACATAATGAAAATAGAGCTTTTGAGATTACTGATCCCTGATTTGGCAGGAAGCAAAAGTATGTGGCCAAAAAAATCAAAGTAAATTAAAAATAATCACTGGTGTGCTTAAAAGGATTAGGTATTAAAAATATTTATTTACACCTCTTTCTGTTGGATTTTTGTTGCATGGCTAGTAAAATGTACAAACAACATTACCGCCGCAAGTCGAGTCTGCATGTCCTGCTGATTGAGATCATGAGCCCACTTTACTCGACCCCAGCGGCCGCTCTGGTACTCCTCCTCTAATCTGGACAAAAGAACCGCCTGTTCAGGACTTATGTGCTTTTCAGTGCATGCAAGCGTCAGGATGCCCGACTTTAAAGTGTCTATACCATACATGAATCCATGTAGTGTTCCAAAATTATGAGACAATAAGTGTCTAGTTAAAGTTGCTTTGTCACCATCACTAATCGCACACACATCCATATCAACAGATTTTTTCAAATTAACGCCGAAGCGCTCGTTGAACCATTCAATAACAGGATCCCATTGACATATCTGGAGTTGAAAGAGCTCTTCGTTTTCATTTGTCTGAAAGAGTATGGCATCTGTGTCTAAGTAGTTCACAATGTAAGTTACGATGTCATACTTTGTCAGGTTATTAGGATTGTCTAAAATGGTATTGCACAGTGTGGTGATGTGCATTTCGCTCTGGAGGATTTTGTCGCGCTGAGAATTAAATTCCGTTGCTACCGCCAGAGCTAAAGGTTCACTATTTATGTTAAAGACATTTCCTTTTGGCGTTTTTAACCGCATCTGATCTAATATAATTTCGAATTTGCCCTCACTTTTAATAATACTCGCGTTTTTGTAAAAGCGTTTCGCGGTAGCGTAGAACCTCGTTCCATGTATTTTTTTTTTCGTCACCAGCGTCATAAACCTTGTAAACATTATGCGGGCATTACAAGGGCGAAAAAAAGTGACGAATGACGACTTTTGTTTTTGCACTTAAAAGTACAAGAGAAATTTAATTTTAACCAAACTTTCTTCTTCTTTAACCATAAATGTTTAAAATCTTGACCGTTGTAGGCTACATGGACTGGTGTGAGTCTATGGCATATTGAAAAAATACAGTGTATTTTTATAAATTTCTTACTTTGCAATATAAGCATTAAAAAAATTAAAATTCAAATTGATATTCGCCATTTTGTTCTGTGGTTCGCTTCGCTAGTCTTTGATTCCGTGTCGATTGGATGTTTTATGTTTTCGTTAGTTGAAAAAAAAATTGAGGGGCAGACTTGATGGTTTTAAATGTTGCTTTCGATAGCGTTTTAAATTAACAATAAAATCGAAAATGGCCTACCACTACGTCGTGACGGCACACAAGCCGACGGCGGTGACGGCATGCGTTACCGGCAATTTCACCTCTTCCACGGATTTAAATTTGATCGTTGCGAAAAACAATCGTCTGGATATCCATCTCGTTACGCCCGAAGGTCTGCGGGCCATCAAAGAAATCGGACTCTACGGTAAGGTAGCAGTCATGAAATTGTTCCGGCCCCAGCACGAGAAGAAGGACCTGTTGTTTATCGTGACCTATCGCTACAACGCGATGATTTTAGAATGCGTCAGCGACGGGGACAATTTAGATATAATAACGAAAGCGCACGGCAACGTTTCGGATCGAATAGGAAAGCCTTCGGAAACCGGAATACTTGCAGTTATCGACCCCAAAGCGAGACTGATCGGGCTCAGATTATATGATGGTTTATTTAAAGTGATCCCTTTGGAGAAGGACAATTATGAACTCAAGGCGACCAATGTGCGGATGGACGAGCTCCAAGTGTATGACGTCGAGTTCCTGCACGGTTGCGTGAACCCGACTCTTATACTGATTCACCAGGACGTCAATGGGCGCCATGTCAAAACCCACGAAATATCATTAAGGGAGAAAGAGTTTGTTAAAACTCCCTGGCGTCAGGACAATGTCGAATCTGAAGCTTCCATTATTATCCCCGTACCTTCTCCACTCGGGGGCGCTATCATTATCGGACAGGAGAATATTTTGTACCACGACGGCATAACCTCTGTGGCTGTGGCACCAGCTGTTATCAAGCAAAGCACCATTACATGTTATGCGAGAGTAGACCCCAGTGGGCTCAGGTACTTGCTGGGGGACATGGCGGGCCACTTGTTCATGTTGTTTATCGAAACGGAAAGTCGCGGGGGCGACGGACAGGAAATCGTCAAAGATTTGAAAGTGGAAATGTTGGGCGAGATTGCGATCCCCGAATGCATAACGTACCTCGACAACGGGGTGCTTTTCATTGGGTCAAAACTGGGCGATTCTCAGCTGATCAAGTTAAATACCAAAGCAGACGAGAACGGTTCTTACGTGACTTTAATGGAGACATTTACCAATCTGGCACCGATTTTGGACATGTGCATAGTGGATCTTGAGAGACAGGGCCAGGGGCAGTTGGTTACATGTTCAGGCGCGTTTAAAGAAGGGTCATTGAGGATCATACGAAACGGGATCGGAATTCAAGAGCAGGCGTCCATTGATCTAACTGGTATCAAGGGCATGTGGGCCCTGCAAGCTTCGGGCGGCAAGTTGGACGACACTTTGGTGCTGTCTTTTGTGGGTCAGACTCGTATACTCAGCCTGAATGGAGAAGAAGTGGAGGAGACTGACATAGCAGGTATCGTCACTGTGCGATAATGTTTTCTCCGAAAATTGGGGAACAAAAATGGCACTTGCCATTATTGGATTCAACATTAGCAGAAATCCAACTAGAGGGTGGGTCAAAAAGTAGATGTCATACCAAGATCATTTTTTTTTTTTAAATGAAACACCATTCTTTAAACTCGATTCTCGAATCCTGTGTCATGTTTCACGTATAATTCACGTAGCATATCCCATACCTATCTCTTAAAAAAAAAAACAAAGTTGAAGTTGCTTGCTTCAAATAATGATGTTAGCTACCGAACAAAGAAAACTATCTGAACAAACAAATGTTTGGCAGGGACTTTGAATTATAAAATGATTTGAACTTATTTTTTTTATTAATGTCTTTTTTTTATTAATGTCTTACGGGAGCCCGATATGAAATAAGGAAAATTAGATTAGCATATTGTCAAGAAGCTAATGGTGGACATTTTCAACATCTAATAAACTAATTTCTTGACATTGACATTCTTTAGTCTATAAAAAGTAAGAGATAGGAATAGGGCATGCTACATGAATTATGTGACAGAATTAGAAAATGGATTTAAATATCGACATATATTTTTGAGCACCCTGTATATTTTGGTTACTGCAAAAAATGCGTCAGAAAAAAATAACATGACATAACAAAAACCATATTTTTAGGTATATAATTTTGTCGGGATATGTGTCGAGCTTTTCCCCATTTTTCCTAAGTTTCTGCATGGTGCAACTACCCACTGTAAAAAGAAAGCTATTTCCAGGCTTCGCGTCCGATCAGCAGACGTTCTTCTGCGGCAACGTTGCTCACGAACAACTGATCCAGGTCACTCCCGTGTCCGCCCGTCTCGTCTCGATCCAGAACAAGACCCTGCTGGCCGAGTGGAAACCGCCCACCGAGAAAAACATCATCGTGGTGGCCTGCAACAAGAGCCAGCTAGTCGTGTCGACGGGCAACACCCTATACTACCTGGAGATCCACGAGAACGAGCTGATTCTTAAGAGCAACGCGACCCTCGACGTGGAGGTGTCCTGCCTGGACGTCAGTCCGTTGGACGAAAACGCCTCGTCGTCGGACATCGTGGCCGTCGGCCTCTGGACCGACATATCGGCCAGGATACTGCGCTTGCCGGACTTGTCCGAGGCGACCAAAGAGTCGCTGGGCGGCGACATTATGCCCAGATCGATATTAATGGCGAACTTCGAAGGACACGATTACCTACTATGCGCCCTCGGCGACGGCTCCATGTACTACTTCTCGTTGAACAAGGATTCCGGAAAGCTGCTCGACAAGAAGAAGGTGACGCTGGGCACGCAACCGACCATACTGCGCACGTTCCGCTCGCTGAGCACCACAAACGTGTTCGCGTGCTCCGATAGGCCTACAGTAATTTACTCGTCCAATCATAAGCTGGTGTTTTCGAACGTGAACATGCGCGAGGTCAATCAGATGTGCTCGTTGAACGCGGAAGCGTATCCCGACAGTCTGGCGTTGGCGACCGCCAATTCCGTCACTATCGGGACGATCGACGAGATCCAGAAACTCCACATCAGGACGATTCCGTTGCAGGAATCGCCCAGGCGGATCGCCTACCAGGAACAGACCCAGGTGTTCGGCGTCATCACGTCGAGGATCGATATCCAGGACGCGACGGGATTGAACCCGGCCAGGCCGAGCGCGTCGACGATGACGCAAGCCGTCACTGTGTCCAGCAGCGTCGCTTCGCTGGCCAAGTCGGGCGGCAGTAACGCGAACGCGGGTAAGTTGTCTTGGGATTTTACAGCCGAGTATTTTATTTATTTATTTATCACGGGGCCTACCGCTCAATATAAAATATGATTCGCATAAAGAAAATAGTAAAAAACAAGATAAAATAAAACAGAATGAGATAGATAGATAAACACCCAACCCTAGTATGGCAAACATTGGTTTTCCAAAATATTAATTTTAATATAGGAGTCGACACGAGAGTAACAACACATATCTCAGTACCCAAATAATTAAATCTCGGGTTTCTTGGTCGGGTGTTCCCCAAGACTCGCTACTTAATCCTCCGCGACTCATTTATGTGTAACTGATGTTATATAGGGGGGATAACTGAAAGTTGTCTGTTGCACTAATGTCACGTAATTTGAATAGAAGATTTGAGTTAAGTTCCAAAACAGAACGAGTAAATGGCGGAAACGAAAGAACGCTGTACCACCAAGTGTACTGTTTCAGATGCTCTTTAACACATATTTGAATGACCATCCTATAGGGGAAGTCAACTTTGACCCAACCCGAGCAAAACTCAAGTATGTCTATTCCACGTGAAAAACAGAGAGGTTAGAAAGGCACTAAACACGGTTTAGGATAGAGTCCGAATGGACAACTGCTCTCCCCTATCTGGGCATTATGAAATGGAATACTCAATAAGCTAATATCTGCAAAGGTGGGTGCTAAGTCAAATGTCCTACGTAACACAGGCACTCGTCACCTCTTTTTCTGTGACTGAGTATGTACAGTTTGGAGAAGATTTGTTCATACAAAGAAAATAAACACAGTTCTTAATGATTCAGCTCCAAATAACGGGACAAACATCAGAGGCCCGACGTGTTCCTAGACGATTAAAATCTAGGCAGTTTCATAATGGTATCTTGACAATCAGCTGAGTCCATAGAATCACTCTGAAAGCAGAGATATCCGAACTAACTCAATCAAGAAGTTCTTGCCCCGAGATGGACAACATTGGAGAACTCTAAACTGACTGCGCACTAGCATGGGTCAATCCAAACAACTAATGAGCAGATAGGGTTATACGGATATAGATGAAGGTAAATGCAAAGAGGTACAAACAGTGGAACGTTCTTTTGAGATGTCCTTTGTTGATATGACTGCAGAATGCTCCCAAGAAGCTCTTATCAGAAATAATGAGACCGCTTTTTTATTCTGGATGAGCGATATATAAAATTTTTCATGTGTTTAGTTTTAATTTGTTGCAAAATGTCTCTATTGACATGTTTTTATATATCCGTATACACTTTTACAGGTACTAATTTAAAGTTTTAATAGTGTGTAATTCATTAACGTGTAGTTGATATACATATACCAAAAGTGGTTCTTTATGGCGTAAGAATTTCCTCATTTAGGTACGGCCGGCGGAGCGGTACCAGAATACGGCCAGGAGGTGGAGGTATACAATTTACTCGTCATCGATCAAAACACGTTCGAAGTGTTGGCCGCGCACCAATTCATGCAGCAGGAGTATGCGATGTCGCTGATATCGTGCCAGTTGGGTAGCGATTCCAATACTTATTTCGTCGTCGGTACCGCCGCGGTCAACCCTGAGGAGTCCGAGCCGAAACAGGGCCGCATCCTAGTCTTCCAATGGAACGACAACAAGCTAAGCCAAATTTCCGAAAAGGAGATCAAGGGCGCGTGCTATTCGCTCTCGGAGTTCGGCGGCAAGCTGCTCGCAAGCATCAACAGCACCGTCAGACTGTTCGAGTGGACCAGTGAACAAGAACTGAGACTCGAGTGTTCCCATTTCAACAACATCGTATCGTTGTACCTGAAGACGAAGGGCGACTTCATCCTGGTCGGTGACCTGATGCGCAGCATGACCCTCTTGCAGTACAAAACGATGGAGGGCAGTTTCGAGGAAATCGCGCGCGACTTCAACCCCAATTGGATGACCGCAGTGGAGTTTCTCGACGACGATGTGTTCTTGGGGGCGGAGAACTGTTTCAACATGTTTGTGTGTCAGAAGGATAGCGCCGCCGCGACCGACGAGGAACGGTCGCAGATGATGGAGGTGGGGCACATCCACATCGGCGACATGATCAACGTCTTTCGGCACGGCTCCTTGGTCATGCAGAATATCGGCGAAACGTCTACGCCGACGAGGGGCTGCGTACTTTTCGGTACAGTGGGAGGGGCCATCGGGTTGGTCACACAAATCGCGCCGGAATTTTATGAATTCCTCATCGAGCTTCAGAAAGAACTGTCCATAACGATCAAGTCGGTGGGTCGGATCGAGCACTCGTTCTGGAGGGCGTTCCACACAGATATCAAGACTGAGAACAGCGAGGGTTTCGTGGACGGCGACCTCATCGAAAGTTTCCTCGACTTGTCGCCGGACAAGATGAAAGAGGTGGCCGACAATTCGCAAGTGACCGTCGAACACCTAGTCAAAACTGTCGAGGATTTAACGAGGATACATTAGGCTCGTAAGTTGGCCGCAAGATGTTTTTTTTTTGTAAACTTGCGTTTGTTTGGATGTAAGTCGTTGTACATAATACTAACCGTAATAAATAGTGAATACACACGAAAGTGTTTTGGTTAGTTAGTTTAATATAAAAAAAAAACAACCTAATAAATTTGTAATGTTACTATACGAAAAAAATATATATATTTTCGTATATGAATTTTCAAAGTAATTTAGTGGCTCATTAATTTTGCTGGCCACTGTTTACGTCCACCTATTCCATTCTGGAAATAGCAACGAGTAGAAAAACGTCCCCCTATTTTGTGCCTATGACGAAAATACACCCCAAACGACTTAAATTTATCTTTGAGCCCACTAGAAACAGTTCCTTTCAACATAGCGTTAATGAAATACATATATCTACTTATATACATACTAGAAAAACACGTAAACGAGCTATACATTTAAAAATTAATGTTTATGTTGACCAGTTTCGGAAAAACTAGTGTCTTAAACACGCTGCTGCGATGCGACACCTTCGGCCGATCGACGTGGGCCACTTTGTCCTTGATATCCGATCTTGACAGGTCGCCACGCAAACTAAGAAGCCTCATCAAATGATCTTCGGAAATATCAGGGTACTTTTCGACGACCCTGTGCAATTCAAACGACAACATGTCGTCGTCGCTCCTCAACACCTCCGCTAGCATCACGATCGGTTCGAAAGGGTCCTCGTCCTCCAGATTTCTTCCCAAGTCGTTAAAAAGGGTGCTTAGTCGGTCGACTTCCTTCACGACTTTCGCGGCCGCTTGGCTACATTCTTCGTAAGTTTTGAACGAGACTCTCTTGGAAAGCATGGCGGTTAGGTAGCGTTTCGCGACAATGCTCCTCGTCTGTGTCGCGATAAAATTGTAGTTGGCCTCGGTCAGGCGGCTGTAATCCTGAAAATAGTCCTCCAATGTCGCGTAGATGGTGTCGACGGTATCGAACCCGGCGATCCATTGGGAGTTGAACAGTTTGGCGAAATGCTGGTCCAAATCGACGAGCAGCTCCTCGAGCAAAAAGTTCCCGGCCTCATTGCGCAGCTGAACGAACGTGCCCCGTAATCTCTTGAAACTCTCGCCGACATTGTGATGGGAATACAAATTGGAGTACTGTTTTTCCAGCTGGGTACCGAGGTCGACAAATTGCAGGCACTGATTAATGATCAGGATCATGTACTGTGTGAAGTGTGGCACCATCTTCCTATCCTCAAAGTATTTGTTCTTAAACTGTATGACGGCGTCCCTGAACGAATCCCGGAACTTGATGACCTGCGCGACGCTCAGCATGAGCACCTTCGCGGTCATGTCTTCCGTTATGGTCTTGGCCACGTCCAAATTCTGGTTGATCATTTCAAATATTATAATCGGGGCGGACGTTCTCGAATACATGTCGGAATCAGGCGCCGTCTCGGACCTCCACTCCTCCTTCTCCGACTTGAGTGTGTTCTGCATCCATTCCGTGTAATTGTTTTCAATGTTCTTTAAATAGTTTGTCTCGAGAGTGTTCACAACCTCCTGAGGCAGTACCGGGCCCAATTTGACGGTGTGCTCTACCAAGTCCGGGTGTCCTAGCAAATCTTTGGAATGGTATGCAGTGAGTACCCACGAAAGCAGCGACACGTACTCGTTGCCCTCCAAACCGTTTTGTATAATTTCCTGAAGATGGTTGGTGAGGCATCGGTGGAACATGTAAAGATAACGGTCGAGGATATTGTAGTCTGGCGGGAAACAGGGGACGCATAATGTTTTCACCACCCTGAGGTCTTCCAAAATCAGGAGCCTAATCAGCTCAAGGTACTTGATGAGCCAGCCCTTATTGTCCTCCCTTTCCTCAATCTGCATGCCCTCGATTTTCGACGCGACCGATTTCTCCAAAATATCAAAAGCCATTTTCTCCCAGCGTTTGGGTCTCCCGGGCGGCAGGAACCCTGTCTGTTTCTCCTGCCTCAGGGCGATCTCGTCCGCTTTTTCCTCTCTTTTTATAATTCGCAACACCGTGACGATAACCGCCGGCTCTTTCCTTACCGTGTTCAACGTCCGCGACAGGATAAAGCGTAACTGTTTCTCCAAAAGGACAGACAACGTTTCGACGTCCGCAAAATATGCCTTCAGCAGCGACTTGTCGTGCGGCGACTGATTGGGAAGCTTGTGCAGTTCAAACAAGAGGTCGTCCCGCGAATTTTCCAGATCCCTGAGGCACTGGTGCGCGTGCAGTAATTTGCCTTCGTTTATCCATTGTTTTGTCCGTTCTACGCTCTCTGGGACCGTGAAAATATGTTTCAGATTCTCGCGAGCGGTCACATACTGAGAATGCCTCATGTTCTCTTCACGTACTTCATTAAGCGCGCTGCACAGTTGGGGCACCTCAGCGAACATACCGTACATTTTTTTGACGCTCAAGTTGATGTCCATTACGTGTTCCAAGCTCTGATGTAATTGGGAAATTCCGGATTTGACGCCGTCCAAGTGTTGCTGCATTGTCGACTTCAGGAGGGCCTCCACATTCGCTCGGGCTTTCATATTGGCCCTCGCTTCGGTCGATGCCATCTCCTTCTGCTTAATTCAGCGAGCGATTTTTCTTTCGGGCTATTGAGCTGATGATATCGTTTGATTAGTTTCAAACGAAAAGAAAAAGAAATTTTAATCCAAAAAACGAGAATATTTATTTTTTAAAGGAATACTCAAACTACCAGGAATAAAAACACACATAGCATAACCACAGTATATACCGGTAGCAGAATGGGCGGTTTTGATTAGTGTCCCTATCTCTACCGGCAGTTCATGTTCATTCGCCTCATGATAAACCGCATAACCGCGGTAATTACCGGCAGTACCACTTTAGTCGCCCACAGTTGGTTGTGACTAATTGTCAAAAAATAGAATCTAAATTGAGTTTTAATTTGCATTCAGACGATCGTTTTGCATTGTTTTGTGAAATTTTTAAGTGTTACAAATGTCGGAGTTAATATCCTTGCCGTTAAAAAAACCAAGCGACGTAGATATCGTCACTCCTTTGAAAAATCTAATCCAGTCCCGGTACAGCACCGCAGATAAACCCGAAGACTGCACGGAAGCCGTTAACGAATTCTCCAAGCTAAGAAATAACGCTATCTGGAAAGCGTTTGAGAAATATGAGAGTTCCCTGGAAATTATCTACAATTACTATGATCAGCTTGTAGCTCTAGAATCGAAAATCCCAGTCCAAGAGCTGCAGGTGCCATTCAAATGGAAAGACGCCTTTGACAAGGGTAATATTTTCGGGTCTCGTATGAGTTTGACCATACCGTCCCTAAGCTATGAAAAAGTATGTGTACTCTTTAACATAGCGGCGCTGCAAAGCGCAGTGGCAGCATCCCAAAGTGTGGAAAGTGATGATGGTTTGAAACTGGCAGCAAAACTACTGCAGCAAGCCGCCGGAATTTTTGCCCACCTAAAATCAACGGTCATGCTCTCAATTCAGCAAGATCCCACGCCTGATTTAAACCCGGACACCTTGGGTGCTTTATCTCAGCTCATGTTGGCTCAAGCCCAGGAAATATTCGTGCACAAAGTGATACACGATAACATGAAAGATTCCATAGTTGCGGAATTAGCGGCACAAGCCGAAGATTTATATGCGGAATGTCTGAAAACTTTCCAAAGGGACAACCTGAGGAACATTTGGGAGAAAGAATGGATTGGTATTTATTCCTTTGATTATTTATTGCAGTGCCCCTCAACATAAACATATTTCATTTATTTATAGCTATGATTTTTTTGTGAATTTCTTGTTCTACATGTTCCTTAAGAGTTACGTAAACTCTGTATGAAATAAGTTTCGAAGCATTGCAGAATAATACTATAACCCTCACAACGCCAAGTGCTGGTAATCATCAATATTTATAATCCAATGTTCTTTGGAGTGACAGTTTCAAATCTTTAATTCTAACGTATATTTTTATTTCATTATATTTATCAATCCAATACTGCGGTTTGCAAATTTGTTTACATCGCTATATTTTGTCGATAATGTTTGCGTTAAAAACACGGAAAGAAAATGCATTTAATTTTTTGCACCGCAATTACTTTAAACGGTAGGAGATTTTCGTGCGCCGTATTGTCAATTTTTTCATTTTCCATTCGCATTTTTCTTAAAACTCCGTTTTTTGGCCTATTTGGCACACACAACACAACATTTTTGTTAAGTTAGTATTTGTTTCGTCTATATAGCCATTAGAGAATATTATGATGTTATGATATTTTCGTAGAGGTGACTGCCTGTCAGCGGCCATGCTTGTTGAATGTAGCGTGGTCATTGGTTAAAAGCGAGATTTTAATGTGGCGCACGTGCATGTTAAATGGACCTTCTCTCTATACCTCTAGGAACGTCAATTTGTGTTAAAACTAGATTCTCCTCGTCAGGTATCATCGCGGGCAAGCAGGCCGTGTTTAACGGGATAGCGGAGCTGTACCAGAGTTTAGTGTGCAGGGACAAGAAATCGGTCGGGGAGGAGATCGCGCGGCTCCGCAAATCGGTCGACCTGTTCAGGGCCGCCCAGTCCAGGTCGGGCCGCGCTTTATTCCAAGAGCTGGCGGACAAGGCCGACAGGAATCTAACGGAAGCGCAGAAAGACAACGATTTCATCTACCACGAACGCATACCCGACCAGAAATCGCTTGAGCCCGTGAGCAAACGGGCCCTGGCCAAAGTGACTCAGATCCAACACCCGATGTCTCAGACGTTCAGGGATCTGTTCACGGAACTCGTCCCCGTCGCGGTACATCAGGCACTCGCATCGTACGACCTGCGCAAGACCGAAATCGTCAACACGGAAATAACGAAATTGCGGGAGGCCTCGCAAACGCTAAACTCGGTGCTGGCCGGTCTGAACTTGCCGGCGGCCATCGAAGTGACGGACGCGAGTACCGGCCTTCCTCCTTCGATCCTGGAGAAGGCGCACGCGGTGAGCAGCCTCGGAGGCATAACGGAACTCTCGCGCATGGTCGAAGAGCTTCCCGATCTGCTGAAACGTAACCAGGACATTTTGGACGAAACCGACCGCATGCTTAACGAGGAAAAGGCGGCGGACGACGCGCTCCGGCAACAATTCAAGGAGAAATGGACGAGGACGCCGTCGGACAAGCTGACGGAAATGTTTCGATCGAACGCCGCCAAGTACCGGCAGATCATAAACAACGCGATCGAGGCGGACAAATCGATCAGGAACAAGTTTGATTCGCACCGCGCCATGATCGAACTGCTCAGCAAGCAGCCGGAAGAGATAGAGGCGTCGATACCTAGCGGCGGTAACGCCAACGTGCAAAGCTGCAGCGCGGTGGCGACGCTGCGGAGTTTAATGGAAGAAGTGGAAACCGTGAAAGCGGAAAGGGAAGCGATCGAGTCGGAACTCAAGAGCGCCACCACAGACATGAAGAGTCAATTCATGCAGGCGCTGGCCAAGGACGGGGCCGTAAACGAGCCGGCCCTGTCGTTCCAAACCCTGGGTCAAATCTACGGACCGTTGCAGAAGCAAGTGGCGGAGAGTATGGGGAAACAAACGGGACTGGTGGAGAGGATTAAAAACGCCCACGCGGAATTCGTTAGGGAGAGGGGTTCGACGACCGGGGGCAGGGAAGCGATGATGTGTCAGTTGGCAGCCGCGCACGACGTGTTCAGAGACTTGCAGAATAACCTGAAGGAAGGCACCAAGTTCTACAACGATCTGACGCAGCTGTTGGTGACGTTCCAGAACAAGGTGTCGGACTTTACGTTCGCCCGGAAAACAGAGAAGGAAGAACTGCTCAAAGATCTGACGCAGGAGAGCAGCAGAGCGGCGCCGGCACCGCCCCCGTCGACTCCTAGTTACCACGTGAAAAGCGACGACGCCCCGTCGGGTCCCGCCCCTGGTGCGCCGAACCTGCCATATCCAGTGTATGTTCAGGGGATGCCTGTGCCGTACGGGGCGACGAGCAACACGCCCTATCCGTCGTATGTACCGCCCCCGATGCCGCAAGGTTACAACCCGTACGGCACTTTGCCATATCCCGGGAGTTACAATTATCCGGGCGGATTTCCTCAGGGACAACCGGGACAGTGTCCGCCGGGCACTTATCCGCCGGGTACTTACCCCCCGGGTACTTATCCCGGCTATCAGCATACCTGGTAGAGCTGTAGCTGTAATTATATATTAATTTGTCTTTTTATATTACAATTATTATATTTAAACCATGGCCTTACCTTTATTTTGGGGCAGTATAGTGATAAAATGTTATATCAATATGTATTATTTGTACTAAAAGTAATTGTTGAGCAATAAAACTTTAATACGCGAGATTATATCCACCTGACAAGTCCTTAATGTTTACAGTTACAACATATAGATCACACGTGCCATACTTATTAATTGTTCTTTAAAAACACTTTATTAGGCAGTCGCAAAAATGGATAGATTAGTTCACTTGGAAGGCCCTGTTTCATTTTAAGATTGATATTGTAATTTTAAACACCAAGAACTACTTGGCCAGAGTCCGAGTCTCTCTCCTAATTTCAAATAATTTGGAGTCATTGTTATTTTCCTTTAGTTTTAAGTCCTGGATTTGAACAGACTTCATCAGATTCGGCAGTGAATAAGGGCAACAAGATTGCTTTCGAAAAATCGTAGCAACTAGCGCGATGCAGCTTTTTTTTTTTTAAAGAAAGCTTCGCAGTTTCTTGTGGTAACGGGACGCATTGTTTTTCTATCGTGCTCTTGCGGACCATTATGGAACTTTCGCAAAATTGATGTAATTTTATTGTGCATACACCCTGTATAAAGTGTCTTTCCGGTCTAGCCGAACTTCAAAGTTACAGCAAACTTTGTTAAATATTCAAATTTGTACAAATAATAGCGTTGTCGAATGATATTGTTTCAAATATCTTGCGCGCCCTGTATAATTGACGAAACCTGAAACTCTCTCTCGACATAGTTTACGATACTGTTCAAATGAAATTATCGCATCTTTGGCAGTTTTGCATCTATCTCAATTAATTTACCCACAAAAACGAAAATTTTTCGAATGTTAGATTTTTTGCCCAGAAACGACACACCCTATATATAATTCAAATAATATTCGACATAGAGGTTATAGCCCGGGATCTCCCACAAAATAATTCTTTTCTGGAACCAAGCAGTACGCCGTGGTAGTGAATGACGTCATCGGGTCTAGATTGAGTGCGAGACATAGCTATTTTCATCTGGATTTTTTTCAAATATCTCTAGCAGCGTATGTGATAGAGGAAAACCGTAAATGCGAAAATTGTAGCTCTTGATGTGGCCTATCGCACTCTTCAAACCAATTATCCATATTTTTTTATGAATTTTGATTTATGGCAAATAATTTAATCTGGAAAAGAACAATGTTTGCAGTCTTTAGACATTATAGTACTGTAATTTGCTCCGCCATCCTATTCAAAGTGTCAAACTAGAAAGAATCTGTTTTAATATTAATAAGTATCATGCTAACACATACTTCTTTTAAACTAGAATAACTAGTATAATATCAACCTTATCAACATCTAAAAGTATAATACGATTGCCTATAACCATTTTATACCCCTCCATAATAGGTACAGGCAAAAAATTTAAGTACAAAGGGAAAATGTTAATATTTTCGATAACAAATTATACACCGAATAAAAGCCCAATGCAACTTACAACACGCGAAACCAAGAAAATAAAGCATTACTAAACTGGAAATTTGAAAACAACCATTACAAATTCGTACTGAAAGCTTTGCCAGAAGGTTCTTCTGTGCTTCTAGAAATTTCTGGCTTAATCGATACTTCAACAAAATAATAAAAATTACTATTCTCTTTTTGAAACGAACTATTTTAACTTTCTTCCGAAAGTTAAAATAGTTCGTTTTTCCTAGTCTAAACAATTCAAGAAAATTCTATGACAAAATAGATTAATCTAACCACAGCAGGTATTCTTTGGGAATAATCTGGGAACTGGTAGAAATCCAAAATACATACGCCCCTCTCTGTCGCGCTTTCTAATTTGTGTGTGTAAGTTCGTATTCGTCGTCCTTGTTCAGTTCTAACTGTGTGGAAGTTTTTAACTAACCAGTTGTTTATCTACGAACGTGTTGACAGTTTTCATTACAGTGGAATAAAAGAGTACGGACGAAGTATTATTTACGCATTTGTGCCTAAGAGGTTTTAACAGTTTGTTGCTTTACGTTAGTTAAACGTTGCTTGAATATACATAACAGTAACATGGTTTCGAACGCGAAGAGGTCGCGATACACATCGGACACCACGTCCGATGAAGACATGGACTATCATCCGGGGACGGAAGTAAGTTCCATAAGGTACAAGAATTCGATCGGGAACTTATCGTCGAATGATTTACAGAACAAGCCCGCGAGAAAACCGACCAGGACACCAAAATGTTTCTCTAAGAACGCCCTCATGGCCAGAGAAAACAGGCTCAAGAAAAAAATGTACATCACCAATTTGGAAGATCAGGTGTCATCGCTGAATCTCGAAAACAAAAAGCTCTCCGCATTGGTCGACAACCAAAGTCAAATTATCAGCGATCTTAGACGCGAAGTCAGATATTTAAAAAGTGTCATCAGCAACAGCGATGGCTTGGGAAACTTGATTAGGAACATAAATACCAATACGGGGATGGCCGTTACGACATCTTTGGACAAAAGGTTGGGTTTGAGTGCGCAACACCCCCAGCAGGTACCGAGAAAAAATGCACATCCCTGGGAAGAGCCTGATCAAAAGTACCCTGATATACCAACACCCGAGTCTTTGAATTCCTATTATTCAAGTCCAGACTTTGAAGACACTTTTTTAAATGACATCGATCTTTCTTTGGACATGAACGACAATGATCTGTTGGACATGATTGATGAAAGGACTTTAGAAACACCTTTGGTGCCCACTGGAGACCACTCTTACACCAATTTGATAAAAAATGAATCTACCTCCGAAACTCCCGAGCCAGTGGGAGTGTGTTTGCATGTGTCGAACAACAAGGTGTCTCTTGAGTTCTGCCCCAGTTGCAGTCAGAGTGCCACCCAGGCGTGGAAACAAACCTGAAACTTCTCTATTCAAAAAGGGAAGGTTGAAAGTCTGCGTGAAGCCGCCACTATCTTTAATTATTAGCTTTTAAATATATACATGATAGTGTTTTTACTTTCCTTACACTCGGAAAGCACTTTATGTACACGAGATATTTTTAGGAAGGAAGCGAAGTGGAAACATTATAAAGAAATGTATTAATAATGTTCTAATAGGATGTGATCCTTCCTGAATGCATCTTTCTTAATCAAAGGTGCAGTATTTTTTTTATTTCCCCATTGTTTGCTTCCGAGTTTTTGCTGGATTTATTTGTCTCGTTTTAGAAATAAAATAAACCCTACTTTGTCAGTTGCTAAAAAAAAATGCTTTTTTAATTAGTTAAATATTTTGCAAAAGTACCAAATAATTAAGGTCTTTTTTTTATCGGAAGCAAACCATTTTCCAGGTCGAATTTCCCGTTTTATTACTTATTGTGTTTGGTTTCAGTAACTGCTAAGGCTGTGTGCGATGTGATGAATTGGGGACTGATTGCTATATAGTAAATAAATAGACCTGGGACTGAGAGTAGAGTATAACAAAATTGTATCGTTCCGAGTTTTCTTTTTTGAAGTATACTAATAATTCCATTTTAGATTTTATTTGTGAATCGTGTTGGATTTTCTTTTAACCCTTAAATTTTTAAGTTTCAGCGTTCGGCAGTTACAAGACGCAAGTTTCACGGGAGTCGGCTTTAATTTTAAATATAGCAGCGCTGTGTAAGGAAAGACGAATATATGTGCGCTTGATGATTATTGAGCACATTATGTTTAATTACCATCGATATTATATGGATGTAATCGAGTGCAGTGGCCACCATCTTTATTACGCAATTCACTGCCCCCTTTATTTTTTTTTGTAATTTTAAATTCCATCCATTACCCCCCCACCCCGGCGTATTATCGCAAATCACCACTGCTCTTGAAATTTAGCGAATAATTATGATTATACAAAGTATAAGGACATTAAACTCTAATGTTTAAGTTTATTGGGCTTTTATTTCCACCTTTGGGTTTAAAGAACAAGCAATTAACGAGTAATTTGAGAATTAACCCGGTTTCCTTCAAGCAGGTAGAAAGAAACCATGATAATTTCGGGAACTTCGGAAACTCGCAGTCTTTATGCAATCAATGGCTGCAATTGATGAATGAATCTTTTTGCTTAAAATTTGGCAATCAACTCTTTTTAGGGAGCTGTTGTTGCATTAAAAAGCTGGTAAAAAAATGAAATTTTGTATTACATGTGTTCAAAAGTGCAATAAAAGCAAGCGGTGAGCTACAGGTACTTGGAGAAAAACAACAACACAGTTTTTATTAATTTTTACAAACAATAAAAAACAAATATAACCGTAATGGAACATACAGACATAACAACTAACTTGACATTTCCACGTCGTTAACTTTATACACGAGCTTAATAATAACGGAAGTGGGGGTCGTGACGTCAGCGACCACAATTTCTTGACCGTGCTTGAGTTCCAACTCGTCCAGCGTTTTTGTCAAGTTGACCCTCGTCCTCTCCTCGATTACTTTAATCGTCGGTATGTACAGGGTCTTATTTTTTCCATCGATCACGGTAGTCAAGCCGGGATTCTTCATTTGGAACTTTTCACTCTCACAAAGCGTGGCTATAAGATCTTTCAATTTCATTTTAGACGAATCCGCCACTTCGACGGAATGCGGAATATTGGAACACACGGTGCAGTTCTCTTTGCGTTCTGCTTCATAGGAATACGTGTAGATACCGTCAATGTTATTGTATACCATAAAATTGTTGAGGGGCATGCAGCAATTGGTCGCCAGCTTGAATACTTCCGCCGCGCACACCCCTGCGATGAACGCGTTCGTCGACGCCACTGCCGGTATTATGTTTTTGACCACGCCCTGCGTCAACCGGAAGGTCACTCCTAATGACATTAAAAATTACCCTTGTCCCATTTACAATTTCTTGAATGATTAAAAAGCTACTGTTTTTATTTTTTAACGCCCTGCTTTGAGAAAATTCTTTCAGAGTATTCAACATTCTTAAAATCACAACGATTCAAAGTTAAACTAGTAAATAAATAAACAAAACGCACTATATTTAATGGTTTTTATTCAGTAGATAGTACAAAAAATAATTTTCATATTTTTTTGTCATAACATTTTTGTGCTACCGCTATCAATTTTGGAGCACTTAATTAATTATTTTCCTTACATTTGCAAAGAATCCGTCTTTCATTATATTCGTTCAGGATATTTCGTTAATGTAATGAACTAATTTAATTATTTTATGGAAATCAGATATTTATATACCACTTTTTTTGTATTCAAATAAAAATGGAGAAGCAACATTACTGCATATGCCTTTTTAGTAAACAAAATATCCACCGTATGTGTATTATCAAATTTATTTACAAGTTTCACTTTGACTCACTGTATATATTTTCTTTGTGGTTGTTAAACATTTAAAAAATATTATTTGAATTGTAACAAATTTGTGTTCAATCCTACCTTTAATATTGAACTGGTTCGCGCGTTCCAACGACTTTTCATAGACCCAGGTCAGGTGGGTGACATCATCTCCGTCGAGGGAAGTGCCAAACGGATTTTCATTGGGCCACTGTACCACTTTGACATATTCCACACAGTGTTCAGGCAGACGGGGTGTGTTTGCTATAGTGCAAAGAGGGTATGTAAGTTGAGGAGGGTATAGGTCCAAGGTACATTCTATACAGGCTGTTATGCCAGGAAGGATGACGCGGGCATTGCCTTTAAATCCTTCTGTACCACCATCTACCAACGGTACGACGCTGGATTGATCCAGCACCCCGTTCTCGTCGTAATTCAATAACGAGACGACCATGCCGTTGATCCAACGGCGTGCCACTATAGAGTCCAATCCGCATACAATTACATGAAACTGTCTGTAGAATTCCGAATCAAGCTCTTCAATGGCGCACTTGTGCGGGGTTACCTGCAAATCGGGTCTTAAACTACTCGTTATTTCACTAAACGAAATCACCTGGCACCCTGCAACCCTCTTATTGACATAGTCAGCTGCAACTTGGGCCTTGGCCACCCCCACATCTTTTTCACGAAACAAAAACTGTCTGTTCAAATTCGACACGTCAATGGTGTCCATATCGACTATGTGTATGTGTTTAAACCCCATCATTGCCAAATCCTTCAACAGTTCGCAGCCCAAACCGCCGGCACCTATTATTAACACCTTGCAAGACGACAAAATAAAGTCCAAAATATCCGGAGATGGCTCGAACTCAGGATGGCTGAAAGGGCCGGGACGCTCAAGCACCTTTTTCAGGTGTGTCCAACGTTTTTGAGACGATTCCCGGCTCTCTTCCATCACGATTTTCAAATTTTCAAAACTGAAAAAAGCCACTAACCCCAATATCGAATGTCACGCTCAGTGACATCTATGGCGCGGCTTGAAAATTAAAACCACTTTTGCAAAGAATGTGTTTTTTTACCATATAAAAAGATTACAAACGTAAAGAGACAAATTCTGTTCGCAGTACTTACCGAGAGTTCCAGCAGTTTATGATCTCGACTCTAGGAAACTGCTAGTAACGTTAACCTGTCGCAACCGATTTTTCAACAACAGTAATTACCGGTTAACCACCTTTAATCGACTTGTTTAGTGATTTAAAGAGAAAACCGTTTTTCTCTGACTCTGTATCTGAGGATTCCCTGGCTTATCGCAAAAATTGGGGTTAAGGGTTTAGGTTATGTCACCTCTGACTTTTTCTAATACGCTTGCTAATTACTATACGCTTTTAAATGAACGGTCCTCATTTTAGGTCTACGTTAAGTTTGCGTTGATTTTTGTTTCCTTTAACGATGGATAGGGCAGCATCGTTGAAATGCAAAATCGGGCCGTCTATTTTGAACGCGGACCTATCCCAGCTTTACGCGGAATCGCAAAGGTTGCTGGACAGTGGGGCAGATTACCTTCATCTTGATGTCATGGATGGTTCGTTCGTGCCAAACCTGACCTTTGGTCATCCGGTGGTTAAGTGCCTGAGAAAGAGAATTCCACATGCCTTTTTTGAGACACACATGATGGTACAAGACCCGGAACAAGTAAATTTATGCTATTTTGTAGTAGTATCTGTATTGTAATTTTTTTTACCAACAGTGGATTGAACCCATGGCAGATGCAGGGGTGAGTCAGTACACTTTTCATATAGAACCTGTCCTCAAGAATGTTATGCCTATTTGTCGCAAAATCAGGGAAGCTGGTATGAAAGTGGGTCTAGCTTTAAAACCTGCAACTGGTATCGATGCAGTAAGGCAATTTATTGACCATGCTGATATGATTCTGATTATGACTGTAGAGCCAGGATTTGGAGGTCAGAAATTTATGACTGACATGATGCCAAAGGTGCAGTGGCTCAGGCACAACTACCCATTGCTTGACATAGAAGTTGATGGTGGGGTAGGATTAAATACCATCAATGCCTGTGCAGAGGTATGTTGCTAGTTGACATTTTTGTTTATGGTCAGTGCCAAATTTTTTGTGCATTTCTTGTCTCATGAATTTGTTATTTGTAAATAATAATTCAAATATTTTTAAGTGTTTTTATCAGCTATAAATGGGTGGTTATGTTCTGAAAACATAATTTAAACTATTTTAATAAGTCTTTTTTTTTTTTCATATTTCTATACTTTTTTCAACAGGCTGGAGCGAATATGATCGTATCAGGAACCGCGATAATCAATGCATGCGACCAGAGGTCAGTAATTGCAAGCCTGCGTGAGACTGTTGAAAGCTCAATACACAAATGTAATGTTTAAGTCTGTACAACAATGTGATACGAATTCAATATTTACACATAATAAATGAAAGTTGTTAAAAATTCATTCCTAGCTAAGGTTGTTGTTACCGTGTTCGTTGACAAGTTTATTATTAATGAGACTGTTTTGGAATATTGTAATTGTTTTGTGGGCTAATTTGGGTAAATGAGCGATATTTTCGGTGAGGCCTAATTTTCAAAAAACCTTATGTAAAACTGTTTGGGGTTCATTTCTCGCGCAAGAAATCTTGTCCCGAAGTTTACTGGTATATAAGTTTCTACAACATTACACTCTGTATAATATTTTTATTGAACATTCCCCTGGAGGTGGTTTAATATATTTTGATATAACTTTTGTTTTTTGATATCTTTAAATTGTAAGTTGTATTAATAAGTGCAATAAATGAATTGAATCGGTAAAACATTTTTTTGTTACCAATACAGTCAATCAAATTTTGACAAATCATCAGAATGCTCCTCTGCCTCTTGTTGGACCTTTGTATTGTCACCCTTGGCGAGGGAACTTTCCCTATATTCCATGTCCGCTTCATCAAATTCAGGACACTTAGTCTCAGGATTTAATTTGGGCCTTAAAACAGACAGACTAATCAAGATAGCTTCCTCGGTTCTAATTGTTTTAGAGCCTTGCTGGGGTAAAGTGTTTAAATAGTGATCAAAAAGCAAACTGGGATCATCAGTATTTAAGGTTTCATCGCTCTCCAGGGCTCCTTCCAAACCCTGCAGCCCTCCAAACATTATTAACAGATGTTTGTATTTGGTACATTCAAATGTGTCTACAGATGTTCCTTTGTCCGAAGTGCCTATGGAAATGTCATACCTAAAATAAAAAAAAATAATTAAGTGCCCTACCCATTGGATATGGGTAATATACATTTATTTCACATGAGATGCAGAGCAAAACCCACCCTCCTTCATATGGACACTGAGAAAATACTTTGGACAATGAGTTTGCTATCCTCACTCTGTAACCCCAATAAATCCCGGTTTCATTTCTGGGAGCACTGGGAGACACTACCACCCCCTTAAGTTTCTTGGATGTTGATGGTTCCAGTTTCACAGTACACCTAACACCAGGTAAAAGCAATTTGTCTACCCGAACTTGCCGGAGCAAGCCCACATTAACAAGGGATCCTTTGCCTTCTTTTACTGGAGTATTCAGTACGACACCTTCCCGGAATACAAAATCGTCTTTGGTACTGAGATGATGAGGCGCATTCAGAGGGTTCAATAAGCCACAAAATTTAAGATCATTGTGAATTGGAAAAAAGCTCTTTCTGAGGTACTGTGGGCACTCTAAGTACTGTAAAATCCGACCTAGTTTGACACAGCTCTGCCTTGCCACTTTTTCAAGTCCCGTTTCGTCATTAAATTTAGATTTTTTCGCGCTAGCTTCATCGGAATAATCATCATATACGATAACTTCGTCCACTTGAAAAATACATGCGGCCCTGGCTATTTGACCCGCGAGGTAAGTGCGCAACTCGGCAGACTGGGCATTGTCGAGGATGGAACCGGGCACGGCTATGGACAAGGTAGACAATTCTTTCGGCTTTTTAACTTTCTTTTCTTTCGGGCCTTCGCTCGCTTCATCGAGTTTCCTTTTTCGTTTCTCGGCCTTCTTCATCAACTTCTCTTCCTTCCATTTTTTGTTGCGTTCTTTTTTCTGTTTGTTAATTTCGCTCCACTTTTTTTTAGTATTTGCATTCGCAAATGGGCCCATTATTATTAGGATTATGCTCACGTCGGTACGTGGGTTCTTCTTTCTTCTTTACTTCTAATGGCCACGACTGCATAAGGTCATTCGGCCAGCTTACACAATTTTTCACATTATTCAGATATCCTAAAGAATGCCTTCTTAAGAGAAGGGTCTGGACCAATCCATCATCCTCCAGGTTATTTAACGTATACAAAAATGGAAACAGCTTCTAAATAAATTGTCATAAAATGACGACCGATTCTTCAAACGGCTCCAGCAATCATCTTATACGGGATATCCGATCCCATTCGGCCTGGTTACCAGCGTGAATATAGGACATTCGGAAACCGTATTTACATACACCTCATGGAATTACACATCACAAATCCGTGTACATCCACGTAAGACGAACACTATTTCCCAAACTTATAGGCACTACGTCTCTATCACGTCAGATAACGACTAACGACCGGGCAGGAGCAACGTCCGCCACGTGCAATGGTTCCCCACATTCTCTGGTACGTGGGTTATTCGCGTTAACATCTTCTTAATGTTTGTGACTAAAGTTCTGACCACATTAAAGTGGAACCACTGCGGTAATTTTTGGTTTAAACCAGTGGTCAATAACAGTCCGAAAAAATAACCAATGTGTAGGTTGGTATTTAATCTATTCCAAAGAACCACTTCTTCTTGGCGTTTTTTGAGCCAGTTTACTCCAGACACTCGCCCATTGGCGTCCGAAGTACAATGAATAACAAGTTTCCCGAAGGAAAGGGTTTGACGTCTTTTCTAGATCAGTATGACAAGGCGGTGTGACGGAAACCAGTGCGGTTCCCGCCTACCTTCGTTCTGTGACGTAGTAGCTTGCAAAATCTTTATCTTAGGGAAATTAAATAAACAATCAATAGTTGCTGAAAAATATTAAATTAGGTATATTTTAATTAGATTTGGGACCACAAAACCACCATTGACTTAAGAATATTGTTAAATTTATTTAATACAAAAATTCTACAATACATTCTCGAATTGAATAATATCCTAGTCAGTGCATCGGATTGGAAAAGACTATGAGGAAACTAAATGCCAAAGGCACTTCTCAATATACATTCATGTATATAAAAGGTATAAAAAAATATAAAAAAAATAAAAACCGCTAACATTCTCACTGAAAGTATGTACAACGTAAAGAAAAGCGAGTAAAAAATAATTTAAGTTACCAAACTGGACGGAGAAATTAACGAACACAACGCAAAAAAAAACCTGCTGAGCTTGTATCGTCACGCTCTGGAAAACATACAGCTAAATGAACCACTCCTTCTTCTTTTGAACATGGTGGCCCGTCGTACCATGGACGACCGCGTCGTCGGGGTCGAGGGCCGAATCCGCTCCCGCATCTTCCTGGGTCAGGTACTCCCCTTTATGTCTATGCAAATACCGACCGATCATTATCAACAGCACAACCAGGGCTATGAACACTATCGCGAGCACACCTAAAAAGTTATGCGCCCTCAGAAACGCCCAACTTGGATTAATAGTTAAAAGACTTACTTCCCAAAATGGCCGAGTCGGTTTGGTTGTAAGCCCGTTTCAGTTTGTCCTCGTCGACGATAGGCGGCGGTCGCGTTTCGATCACGTCGGGCGGATGAGTCACCGGCTCGACGCCGCAGAAATCTTCGTTCAGTGGGGCTGAACGAAAATTTCAGGGTCAAACATGCATATCAGGGCGAAATCAAAAATTGCACTCCCCTTTTTCTTGATCAATTCACGTACAAAGCCCACAAATTCACTTTTGGTAAATACAAGCTTTTGCAAAGTACTCTTGGACCCTTATATGGGAGTGATTTATAGAGACACGGCGATATTTTTTTGTTATACAATGATATTGAGATCCTCCAAAAAACTTTAACAATATCCACTTTTAAACCTAACGCAGTAACCCCAAATCTAAGTTTATAAATATTCCACACAAAAGTGCAAATATTGCTAGAACTCCAAACATCTAAAATACTAGCAATCATTGTTTATACAAAAACATTTCAAAATGGAGGGAATATTTTTTGCATTGGCATTTAAAAGTACAACTTTCATCTACTACCCTCTATCTACTATCTTTTAATTAAAACATAACAAAGGTGAGAACAAACTCACTGGTCCCTTGCTTCAATTTCGATATTTGCATCACCACGACAGCAATTTGGTGAATCACTCTTTTTTACTTGAACGTCTGCGTTAAAGTGCCTCCTTTTTCAATATTATTTGCGTTTTATTTATTTATTTAACGTTTCGATCGTAATTTCGATCTTTTTCAAAATATTCTTATATTGTATAGGTGACGTATATAACAATTAATGACATTTGACATTGTGTTAATATATTAAAAATAAAAATAATTGGTCAGCGAATATTTTATACGGATTGGAATGGCATGCAAAACAGGTACGGATGTTTTTTATTATTTTTTATTATATTGGATAATTTAATTTTGTTTTTCGCTTTCCGTGTTTATGGCGATAGAAGGGATTTTTCAATTCAGCCAATCACGCTGTATACTTAAAACCGGCAATGCTTTCGTAACTTGTTATAACAGAAATTGCCCAAAGTCTTCTCTTTTTTTCACGTCTCTTGGATATAACATCTCTGATGTGCACAGCCTGATATCCGACAACCGAGAAGTTGTTTTTCCGAACTCACTTAAATTGCGACGTTGCTTTTTAGTACTATTAACGTTCTCAAGATCGGGAACGCCCACTTACTTCCAATAACTTTGACGTTGCCCGGTCCCTGTTGCTGGAAGAGCAGCTTCAGCGGGTAGATGTCGTCGAATTCGACCCGGGAAACGCAGCCCACGAATCCCTCGGACATCGATTCGTTTTTGCCTATGTACATGTACTGGATGTTGTTAAACTGCGCGTCCGCGGACGCCTTTATGTTGAAATTAAACTCTTTCGGTTTGTAACTGTCCGCCTTTATGACGAGGGTGGAGCCGCCGTTTTTTCTCGAAATCCTAGCGGAAACGATCGCAATGAATGCGGGTGCGGTATTGAAAAAAAAAAACATGGCGCGACTTACAGGACGTCATGGTACTGCCCGAGTCCGAAATGCTTTTCGGGATAAATGACCTCCTGCCGTTCGAATCCGAAGTCGAAGACGATCCTCAGGTGACCCGAGTTGGATACCATGATAGTCATGTACTCGCCGGAGATGTTCGAGAACAGGCCTATAAGAAAGCCTTTGGGGTTGGTGGTAGTGAAACCGACCCGAATATGTTCCATTATAGTCGATCTCCACGAGCCGTCAAAGACGTACTTTACGAGCGAGCTCGGTTTCATGTTGACGCCTATTTCGTCAGCGCAGATAGGACCCTGAAACCACACGGATTCAAACTTCCGACTCACGTCGACGCCGTTTTGCTTGCCTTGAAAGCGGTCCACCTGCAGTCGCACCAGTACGAGTCGTATCTCTCGAAACAAGTGCCGTTGTTAAGGCAGGGGTTACTCTGGCACTTGCCGACGCAGCCCTCGGAGACGCCGTACAGTCCCCGGCGGGCGAAGCTGCGCAAGTCCACGTGCTGTCCGTTTATCAGCAGCGCGCGGACGCAGCCCGTGAATCCGTCTCTAAAAGAGAAGAGAGTAAATGAACCGTAGCGCTGGGTACATCTTTTTTGTTGAAAGAATACATAATTTCTTTTTTCATATTATTGCTGCTTCGAAGAGGAAGAAAGTCATCAAGTCCAGGATGAAATTATATGTGCACAATAAGTCTATTCCTTCCTATTCTATATGATGAATCCAAGAGATTTTTGGATAATGGTAAATTTGGTTGTAAAGTTATATTTCTTAAGAACTTTTCATATGTGCACTTTGTGATGGAAAGCTTCTAATGTAGAAAATATTGGAGGGAAGCAGATGTAAGGTATTTTAATTCCGAGTTGAGTGACTTGGTTTCATATAGTTTCATTGAGATGTGACAATGACTACGCGTAGATTTTCTGTAAGCAGAATGATGATGTAGACAGGTCTGTTTTGTTTTATATTAATAAGAATATCAAAAGAATGTATGTTAGGGTATATAGTGTTTAAAAGGCAAAGAAAATCTCGGAGGGATTTTTGACCAAAAGGCCAAATAACAAAAATAACCTCAGTGTAGCGTTTCCATACTTCTGGCTTTCTTCTTAAAAACTTATATAAATATATTTGCAATGACCGGTGATAATGCCTGTTCCTGATATTTGTTCAGAAATTTGATCGTTACAATAAAAATATGTTCGAGGCAAGCATTTTTCAATTAAGACGAAAGATTTAGTTCCAGATTCACTTGCAAAGAAACTTCCACAGACTACTGTAATACTATTGACAAATCTGTTGTTGATGAGCTCTGAAGAAGAATACAGGATGATCGGCGAAACGTCAGCGGGTTCAATTTGTCAACAACTGACGGAGGAAGAATCCAAAAGATGTGTAAATAATAGTAAAGACTAAATATATAAATAAATATAAAACTTCCAGCCTTTCCGGCTAACCTCTTACGTACAATACCAAAAATTGTGTTACGAGACTTGTACGGACAGTAGTCCAAAATGCAATCAGATAACTGACCTGTAATCTGTCGACGCCCCGATGACCAAGTCGGACGTCAGATGGATAGCCCTGACCGGGCCGGGCGGTTCCCTCACTTCCGCCTTGAGAGCGCCATCTATAACGATCATCGCCTCCTTGCGGTTCCTCTCCACCGAGACGGAATGCCATCTGTCATCTGCTAGTTTGTACGACGTCTCCCGGATAACCGCTATAGGTCCCGAGCCGGCCTGATACTGGAACTGCAGCTGGTTCCCATTGACTATGGTCAGCTTAATGTAGTCCGTCGGCCCTTTGGCATGGAACAGGACCGCGTTTTCGCTCGCCGTCCTAAACTCGAAATAGATGTCGCCGCTGTGACCCATGTCGAAGTTAGGCAAGTCGATGGTGGCGTCCGATATACGGAACGTGACCACGTTGTCGAAAAGGTCGTCACCTTCGCATATCAACGGGCCCAGCGTGTACCGACCCTCCCTCTCGTCGAGCGCGTTGCCGGTGTCGCCGAAACGCAACTGCTTCACGGGCAGGTCGTTTTTTTCGGTCAAGTCCCCTGCGGAAAATCAACGCGTTATACACGACGTCTCTAGATGACACAAAAGAAAAAACACACCGGCGTCCACCTGCCACGCGCGATCCCCAGAGTCGCAGTTGCACCACTTGGTCGGGTCGACGCACGTTCCCATGATGCCGCACTCGCATTTGCGCGAACCGGGCAACGCCCCGCCCCAGTAGTCCATCTTTTGGTTCTTGCTAGAGACCCACCATGAATAGGGCTGGAAGTGGAACTCCTCGGATGGCGAGTTGAACAGCCGAGCCTCTTTGCACGCGTACTGGATGTGCTGAAGGCACGTGGAAGATCTGAAAGGGGGGGGGGGCTGGTAAAAATGGGAATCACACAGGTTCTGGGTTGCTTCCTAATAATACCAAAGTACGTCACATACTCCTGTATCAACACTGAGTCAACTGTCAACTTATTAAACACTTTTTTCCTCTGCTAAATAACAAATTCTTTCTCGATATGTGTACCAATTAGATACTAGAGTAATACAGTAACGAACTCAAAAAGTATAAAGCACCTTATTTAATTTAACGACGACATAACCAACGTGGGAATCCCAAGTCAACATGTCCAGAAACATCCCCAAGAATTTGTTTTTGTTTTTTAGTTCTACCTCATAGCCATTGATGTTCATAATTTTTGGTTTGGTCTAAAGATTTGTTTGTTTTAAATAATGTTATATTCAGCTCTCTTCAGAAAGTTTATGGCAGTGAATATTTCCTAACAGAGATAGATAAGTATTTTGTACTGCATTTTCATTATTTTTCTCTTACTATAATGTAAACGGGAATTTTTAAACATTACGGCCCTATAGCTCTTCGTAAAGACTCGAAGACCGAGCGGAAGGGGAGTAAGGTGGAGAGGCGGCACTTCATGACCTCACCTCGTAGAGGGGGATTTGGCAGGGGGGTGCGCCAAAAACGATAGTATTACTACTACTCTGTTACGGTAAGCGGCAGTCAAAGTTTACCTATTAATAAGGGCGGCCATTTGGTCGTCGCTGGCCTCGTACTGGATGTCCTGGACGAAACTGCCCGGTTCCTGGAACCCGTCCACCGGAGTGGTGGCCACGTTGCCGTGGTGGACGGCGGTGGTTACCCTGCCGTCCGGATAGAACTGGCACGTGACTTGAAACGGGGCCAGGGGCCCGCTACCGTCCACGTCGATCTGGAAACGAAGTTTAACGGGCGGTATTTAGAGGAAGGAGGAACGCACCATGATCCTGGCCTTTTGACCGACGTGCTGGACGTTACGGTACGCCTCGCACGACAGCGAGTTGATCGACGAGTGACAGACGGCGCCACCGTAGCCCGTACCTCGACAATCGCACATGAATTCGGCGGCGTTCTGGCTGCAGACGCCGTTGTGCTGGCACGGATTCGGGTAACACCTAAAACGCCGCGTTAAAATAATACACGATCATCTAACGGGACACGCCCCCACCTATCGGTCATTCGACAAGCGTCGAATATGACCTCGTCGGTGCAGCAGTACTCGTCTTTGCTCCAGTCGGTGGGCAATTTGCTGTTGCCGTCGATGCGGATCGTTTTCATGCAGCCGATGAAACCTGCGGGGTCCGCAAATCATCGCTAACACACAATTTCCGCACACACAGTTCGATACAAACCCGGGAAAATGGTGTTCGAATAACCGAGAACGACGGATACGCCCCCGGCGAAATAATAGAGACTGCCAGTGACGATTTTCATTATGCGGGTGGTGGTCATCGGCCTGTAGTCCACACTGAGGACGATCTCGTTCGTTTTGATAGCGAGGACGACCACGTGCCAGCGCCCGTCGTTGAATCTCTCGTCGAAGTTATCGAGCACGATTTTTGGCTTGTCTTGGGCGGTCAGCTCGACTTTGAGCTTGCCGTCTTCGAGGTATAACTGGAATCGACAGATCACCAAAGGTCCTGGCCATAGGCAGGAAGGAATAAACTATCCAGTAAAACGAAACTATATGATGTTTACTAAGTGTTTGAAATAATATGTGAACCAAAGATGAATAAATCAATAACACTTTACCAAAACCAAACGAATATTTTAATTATTATACGTTGTTTGCCGATAATTTTTTAACTAATCATCTGATTTAAATATGATTAATTCAGCGAGGGTAATCTAGACAGATCTAAATTATTAACGGCCAAGAGTGATATGTACAAAAAAACAACAGAAAAAACATTTCAGCAAAAATAGGCTAATATATTAAGTCAGCAACAAAGTACTAAAAAGAATTTAAATAATGCTTTAGTTTCTGAAGGATGCCAAGGTGGACACATAGAAGAGTGGACATTGTGAATGTTCGTTTTTAATTTTAATAAAGATTTTTTGTAATTTTTTTAGTTGTATGGGGTCTCTCTTTAGTTAAAATATATCAAACAATTTGAATTTTAATTTTGACAACCCCGATAGCCGTTTCATTTATTTACATTAAAACAGTCGCAGAAGAAATCTTTTTCTCCACTAACATAACTACTGACTAGTTGACTAAAAATGTTTTTTAGTCGGATACCACACAAACAAAACCTTCAAGAAAAAATTAAATAAAATTTTGGAATTCTTACCAAAACGGTTCTTCGCTAACTCAAAAAGCTGCACCGATTTTCGTGAAAATGGCACAATGTAATTTAGGATTTTTGAACTATTTGTTAGGCGTTAAAGTTGAGGGAGTGGCTGTAATTATGCCTTTAATGTTATGGAGTTATAGCAACTTTAAGCCACATTCTTGCAACAAATTAATATGGCGTAGTCAGTAGGATTTTGTTGAATATCGATAGCAAGATTAAATGGAAGTAAAACGTTATAAAATTCAAAAAGCGGCCAATAGAAGAAAACCATTTTCAGATATACAAAGTTTTCTTTTTTCGAAAATCAGATATACAAAGTTCAACTTTTGAAAAACGGTGTCGGTGTCAGAGCGTACTCATTTAGTAATGGTTTAAAAAACAGTTTATGTTTCGACGCGTGGAATGGCAGGCTACGATAATAGTTTGAGGAATTGTTTTATACTGGATCTTTTATTCCATTCATTGTGCGGAGGAGGGGCTTACGGCTACATATCCGGAGGAACTAAACGCGTGGTACATCATTAGGCCCGCTCTCTCGTATGTCCTAAATGCGAACGAAGCGTTCATATACGCCATACCCTCATAACCTTTCAATTTCGCGTGAGATTGAGGCGTCGTAAATGTAACAGGTACAATGGGGGGTTCCTAAAAGGACGGGCTCGCATAACCGGAAACAGACCTAGTTTAGCACCACTCACGGGGCAACTCCACAGCGTGTTGACCTTCTGATACCTATAACTGTCGCCGTACTCGTACGCCTCCTTCACTTCACGCAGCACGTTGCTCGAATTCAGATACAAGTTTTCTATGCACCCCGTATAGTTTTGGACGACGTTTATGCCGTCCTGGACGTTCGGCACGCCGCCGATATAAATCTAAAAAGGTGTTACGGGAATGACATCACATAATTTAAAGAATGAGTCTCACAGTAGAGCGATAAATGACAAAAATACTTTTTATAACGGTCGCTGTCTGGTATTCTGGAAACATTGCCCCAAAAAGTTTGCCAGGGTATCGCGTTATCTGCTGAGATAAGAGGGCTACCCGAGAAAGAAGCTATGAAAACTTTGTTAACCGCATCCAACACACACATTGATTCACAAACTCACAAAAACTTTTATTGTTGTGTCTTCACAATCAAATTCTCGTACAAACTTTTATTTGAGACCAAAAAATATTATATAGTATTTATCGACCGGGCTAATGGCCTCGTCTGGATATTAACTTTACTTATTGGTAGTATGCATGTGTGTGTACAGTAATTTATTTAAATGTATACAAACCCTTCTATTTTTGTTTTGCATTTAGTTTATAATGGAATAATTCAACGGTTTATTTTGGTTGATTAGTTCTATTGTGCTAAAAGTGGGTAAGACCCCTGAATAAATAAATAAATAAATAAAAGGAAATTAAGGTCAAATATGCAGCCATAATTATCCTGTTGGGCCAGATAAAGTAATAAAAAATAACGTTATTTTATCATATTTGGGCGAACAAATTATCATTCACACCCTGTATATATACGTATATACCTCTCGGTTTAGGTTGAGCCGGTTGAATTCTCCCTTAATTTTTTCCTGCACGACGACCCTGTCGACAGAGAACAGGATGTCCCGTTTGTTTCGGGATATGACTACGTCGTGCCAGATATTGTCGTCCAGCAAGCTGCCCACGCTTAAGCTCGTCACCATGTTCGAACCTGCACGCGATAATCGCTAAACGTCGTTGTTTTCTTTTTACACGTGCAAACCTACCCAAATCGATGTTAAGCAACATTCTATTCTCTCTAAGCTGCAAGGCGATGTAGTCGCCTTGACTGCCTCTGCTGTATAGCAGCACGCCGTTGGGCCAAGACGTTTTGAACCTAAATCGGATACTCTCCCGCAAGGCGGCAATCGGATCCCTGAGCAGGTCTACTTTTAGTAGAGACGTACCGTTGAAGTACATGTCGTCAGCCACTGTAACACGTACTAAACCTTTAAACACGAAAGCGAATGTGTTTTGCGAGTAGTTCAAATGTACTAGAAGTCAAGTGGGTCTCTGCATTATAAAAGTGGTTTTGGCTAAGTATTTGTTTATAATGAGTGTTTCAAAAAAAGCTATTTTTCTTTCTTATTTCTGAAACGGTTTAAGACGCCTAAATGAAATTGGAATGAAACACTTTTGATTGGGTCATAAAAGTGACTGCTGACCCAGTTTTAATATTTCGTACCCGAGCGTTGCAGTTTTTGGTATCAAAACTTTTTTTATGGAGATATTCTTAAGTTTTGCTGATTCTTATCAAATTAAGTAATTATTTTTCACTATCTACTCTATAGAGGAGGAGAAGTTTCACTTTGGGACGTCTTTAAAGACTGTTGTGCCATACGATTCCGGTACTTTGGCCACAGGTTTCTAGACAGTGATGGTATGTTGACATTTGTCAGTTCTCATAGTCACGTCGCAGGTCACTCAGTAATTCGTGCTATTTTGCAAAAAATGTACCACAAAAGTAACGGTCGTGCTTCTTCAGTTGCTACTTTAACTTGTGACAAATGGAACTCGTGACTAATGTGGCGTTTTTAAAATTTGTTTACATGTACTACTATAGTCTAAATTTCAATTACATATAAAAAAAAAAGGTTTTTTTGGGGAGAGTTCTTTAGAGTCGCACTTTCTGAAGGAGGCATTTACCAACACTTATTTCGAGTAAACCTAAACACCTATTTGAAATAAATATTATATTTAAGAAGTGTTTTTAGTATTATGCGTTTGACCCCTATATATAATTGTATCCCAATATTAATAATATCCTTGACTTCTTCCGTGTCTTTACTTTCTTCATTGCTTTTATTCTCAGAAACCACAATGATACTAACCACACTAATATACGAATATTTTCAAGAAAAAATAGGGGCGGGAAACCATGACTGGTTTCAATTATTCATTATTACTTAAATATGTTTCTGGAATGCTGAGCGTTTAAGATTTTACAATACCACAGTTCTCATATTTATGCCACAATTTAAGTCATTAGATCAATATTTAGTACATAAGATATATGTAATAATAAATTTAACATTGAGTTGATCAGGACTTAATAAATCACTCGTACTGTACGCTAATTCTGAGACATATCTTTTATTTTTATAACACTATAAGTTCTTAAGTACTATCTTTCTAATTTGGACCGTTACATGTGCAACAATTTCCGGGTTTAAATATAATAACTTTGTTCCGCTTACCGTATTCGCAGCCGAACAGTTCAAGCCTCATGGATATGCGGTCGCGCCACCTGGTGGGATTAATGCGTATCCACTGGGCGACGATGGGCACTTCGAATTCGTTCTTGTGGACGGTGTCGCCGTCCAGATTACCCCGGAACATCTAAATTGTCACACTTTTGGTTTTAAATTTGCGTTTTCAATTTGGGGACTAACCAATATTTTGCTTCGTACCGTGTGTATTGGAAACAAACCTTGTTTTGGAAATAGTGTGAAACCAGTGAGCAAGAAAGAACTTGTTAAAATAGTGTACGAATCGAAATGAAGAAATTGTTAGTACTAGTTTTGAAACCAACGATCTCTGTACAAATTGAGTTCCCAACAAAAATATACAGTGCACCTCAAGATACACCGCGGCACCATAGAAAAACCACGCCTACCGTTCGGCGTATTTTGAGTTGCGTCACCGGGTATCGTCAATATACACCTCGATATCGCCCTGAGAGTCTTGGAATGCCCTCCATCCCTCGCCGTCGTCCGAATACTCCACTATATACTCCGTGACGTAATCGTTGGATTTTGACCGCCCTTGTGTCGCTATCGAACGCACCTCGAACCTACCGCCCAGATCAACTGTCATTTTCTCGAAGTAGGTGCTCTCCTGCGGCGTCCACGCAGACCCGCCTACACCGTAGGTGGAAAAAATGCAAGGGTGGGTGTTAAATGAAGCAACGAAAGGTTAATGGATAAATATATTTACATTACGCCAGACCAGACACCGACAATATACTGAATCTACCAATAAAGAAACGGCCAATTGCAAAAATTTGAAAACAAGGATTAGTAAGTCAAGAGAAAATGCTGGAAGTTATTTTCGAGTTCTGGAATGGCCAACTGTGTCACATTGAGTATTAAAATTGGTTTTCTGCAGAACTTTCTTACATGCTGTCTAAAGCTGATACAAATTTAAATCTGTTTTGTTAAATGCTCTTTACTATAGTATACTACGAACAAGGTTTGATAAACGCTACTTTTGTAACGAGTTTGTTTTGACACGATCGGAGCGATAAGTTTATAAACATGTTGCATATTATACTTTTTCTACGACCATCTTTGCAAAACAGTACGAATGACAACACGCAAATGCTTCAAACAATTCATTATTTTTATAAATTTTGAAGATGAATGAAAATTTCAGGTTAAGTATCTTTATCCTTGATATTCGGTTATCACTGGGTTTTTGGGCTCTTACGTAACGAGATATATACAGAGACAGAAGTGATATGGTGGTATTTTATATCATAAAACGTCATCTGGTGCTATCATAAGTAATTACAAACGATTAATAATACGATTGATGGTACTGCAAAAGCCCTGTTTAACGTCGGTGAATATAAGCAAATTTTTTACACCAGGTGGTTATTTCAGAAACCCGAAAATAATAGTATTTTCTCCTTGCCTGTACCGTACTGAACAACCTGCACCACACTACAAAATTAAAACGCGACAATATAAAAAAATAATAAAGCTAGAGCTAGCAAACTTAAATGAAATTTCAAATACAGTACGTTTTCTTACACCTTTAAATAAAAGCCACATAAACTATGCCAGCTAATGAGGGTGCTGAGTGTGATTGGTTCCCAACACCACAGAATAAAAGAAACGTGGAAAGATCTAATTGCAGAGAAGAGGACGCTCCGACAAGATTTGTTTCACAAAAAGCACAACATTTTTTTATCAAATACTACACAAATACTAAGCAATTAAATATATCTTATTAATTTGTTGTCTTATAATGTTCAAACAAGTGACTTTTGACCAACGGCAATCGCTTAAATTTCAAATGAGTAATGCTTAGCCTTAAATTTTGCACATGAATATTCCTATGGTGGTCCAAATATTAAATAAAAAAGATTTAGACAAGATCCATTGTACAAATATTAACATGTAAAAACTTGCGGCTTGGGCATGGTACATATCTGAAATATTCTCACCCTGATATCGCCGGTTGTGTCCCTGTAAAATTCGTAATCCAGACCGTTGGTGCCGTAACTAATTCGATACTCCATAACATATTCGTTACTGTGGGGTCTGCCCTGGGTCCAGATCCTAGTGACATTCATTACCTCGCCCAGATCGATGATCAAATGCTGGTCAAAATCATTCTCTTGGGCACTCCAAGCGTTCCCACCTTTTGTCAACGTTATTGTTTTTTTTTTTATCGCAACACGAAAAAATGTATCCCAATTATTTATATGATTACATTGCCTTTTTTGCTTAACCCGGTTACAAGTACCAGGAGACTTAATATTACCAACATTATTCCTAGCCCAGATTTTGGTGAAATTATTTATGATCCCATTTTTTTACCTGCCTTTAAAAATCCCCGCAATTTAAAACTATAAGATACTCAAAATTGGAATTCTTGGATCAGATAGGAAATAGGCATTTCATAAATTTTTTTTATTAAAAAAAATATTCATTATACAAATAACAAAAAAAAAAGCTCGGGCATGTTAACAAATACATCAAAATACCGCAATTAGGTTAGATCGATACTACGTCATGCCAGAGACAAATCATGCAATATAAAATGTGGTGGCAGGCTCAAACTGGTGCGGACTAAATAACAAATCAATAATTCCTTGATTAAACACATGTACCGCGAGTTTCCATCCCCAAACTGGCCCACACTCAAGGCCTTTCCGGCTTTGCCAATACAGAGTCACAAAATAACGAATCTTCCGGTAGCAGAGGCACAGCATTGCGAACAAGCTCTCCAAAAGAAATTTCTTGGAAAGCAGGCCCCGAGATTTTTTTGTTGGACCCAATAGCTACGCAGTGTTCGTCATCTATAAGGGTCTCTTCGAAATACCACTCACTTTGCCTTTCACCTTTGATATATAACTTTGTGTCCTTCACTAAACAATCTTTAGTTAATTGTTTGGTGGCAATATTGAAACTCAAATCGTTCAATTTAAGGGTAATTCCGACGCCTATGGCTTTGACATAGCTCTCTTTTAAGCACCACAAACGACAAAACATCTCTATTTTGTCTTTGTCCCCTGCACAGCTGTATATGGTTGACCATTCCATGTCAGAGAAGTTCCGCTTCATAATTCTAAAGAACTCGGGCAGAGTTTTGCCACCTGAATATTCTAGTTTCATCACATCCACTCCCACCAATGAATTATCTAACTCTCCTACAAAGACTACATAATTTCCATGATGTGAAACATTGAAAGCTACCGGAGTGGAAAAATTGGCTAAAAAAGGTTTGCCTTTGTCATCTCTATTAAACAAAACTGAACGATAGTCGTTTTGGCACGACTCTGAAACATATTTCCGCATCATGAGCCTTCCAATCAAGGAAGGCTTAAAGTCCTTCTGGAAATAAAATCGACCTAACCTCTCTTTTTCTTCAGATTGAATGCATGATGACGCCAGCAATAGGTCAGAACGGTTGGGGTTCCATTTCCCGCTATTAAAGTACCAACGCACGCTCGAACACATTGCACTATCCTACACAAATGACAGATCACTTTACAAGACCTGGATGAGGAAAGACTGCTTTAACGCCTTGCTTGGGGATGAAAACAATCAAGAATATAATTTTGGGAAGCTCCCTTGGAATCCTTAGCTGCGAAATTTATCGGAAAAGGCTTCCAAGGAAACCAATTTTAGTGATAAAAAATATTAACATACCATAGAGCACAGCATTTTGCGGCCCCCGCTCACTCATGTATGATGTTGCGCTCAATGCTGAACGTGATAAAAGTGCAGTGTTACACTCGTACTCGTCATAATACGCTGGAAAAAGGAAATGCATATCAAAAAAATATGAAATTAATCATTGATATCGAGGGAATGACTGTAGTGTCTAATAAAAAAGATTTTAATGCGTTCCGGTACTGAGTTACTTGCCTGTATAGGAAAAACGAGTCCAAACACATAAAATTAATAAAATATTTAACAAAACCATTGCAATGACATGACACATGCACAAACAAAAACGTTAAAAACTAATTTTTGTTTGGCAACGCCTTGCTTGCTGTCAAAGTCGGTGATATTCGTGTGCGGAGCGATCATGGAACAACAATTACCATAGCATAGAAATAAGCATGTTCCAATATCGCGTGCGTCCGGTGAATAGTTGTTAACAAGAGTTCATTTGAATTATTAATGACGTAAAATAAATATGGAAGGATTTATCCATAAACACGTACTTAGAAACAGTATAACATTCGTATCCGCCATTATTTTTGTTCTACAATATGTATTTTTCAATGTTTTGAAGCAATATGAAGATTCTGAAAGATTATGTTCAAAATGCCTATTACCATTGCCTGCAATACACGGTCAACAAAAGGTTGCACTGGTCTGAGAGGGTATTTTGGATAATCTGCGCATTATTGTCGACGGTATGTTCCACATTTTCACAATTGAATCAATCAGTTCAAATAAAGTTTCCGAATTCGATCATCTACAAACAACAAACGTAAATTTTTAGGCGGGAGCCTTATACGTAGTGATGGCATCGATGCAAAAGCAATCGAAAAGTGCGTTCAGAGTGCATGTAAATTACATGGCTTTCAAAACGCCTTTTCCCACAATCGCATTTTGTGAAAGGCGCGACGAATTCGGCAAAACTAAGGCATACCTGGAAAGGTATAAGGTCCAACAGCTCCCGAAAAAGCCGTACATTTTCGCTTTCAGGGGGTTTTATCTTTGCCGGTGACGTCACTGTCTAACTAAGTTTCAATTCGGTGACGTCACGCTGGAGTACGCTTCACATAATCATCAACGTTTGCTTTTAGTCTGAACGAATCAGTAAGCGAAAACGATATAGAATTTTTGAAAAGCGCGATATATTACGTTCCGTTCGAAACCGCCATAGTGAACGGGCCTTGCTACAGGACGTATCTAACTAGTGGAAGCATTAATGACACCCTGTGCCCGTTAACTCGCAGGCTTATCGGCAGTTTTAGTCAACACGAGTACCATGTGAAAAGCGCGTGCGCGGACCTGCTTACGTCATGCTATTACAACGGCGCTGAATTCGAATGTTGCGAGAAATTTCTGCCTCTGCCGTCCTACATGGGCAAGTGCTTCGCCATTAACAGTCTGGCGGCCGATCTTAAAAAGAACAACATTAAAGCGTCAAACAGGTAGCATTTTCCGAGGTAATGGCGATATCTTCAGCGACAGTTTTAGGGAAGACATCCCGCCCTTGACATATTACATCAGTCACAGACCGGGGCTTAACCCTGGCAATTTATCGGTCGAGGTGGCGCATAGTTACATGTCGGTATGGTTCATGACGCCCAACGGTTTACCATCGAAAGCGTCTCAGAAAAATCACCATTTCATCACTGCGGATTATGCCAACGCGGACTTGTTGGACGTCCATCTTAGAATTGAAGTAAATTTTCCTTAACTATTAGCTACCTCAGACCGTAGACATTGGTCCATAGACCTCAACTTACGTATGGTTATAGCGTCAGGATTGGGTCAAATTTCCTCTGTTGCAGGTTCACAAATATTTTTAAAGAAATAGGAATTTAAATTTTGACTTTTATCTGTGCCCTCACTGTGTCACAGTTCAAATACACTCGATCATTGCTGACGTAATAATGACGCAGTTAATCGTTCTGTTCACCTCGTTCCGGCTCAAAATAAGTGGCGACCTTTTTCAAGGCCGTGGTAGGGGTCAGCGACCTTGCCAACGTGCCGTTGGAAGAGAGAGGGTGCAGATTCATCTACGAAAGCAAAGACATGAAGACGTTTATCCATTATTCGATGAATGGATGCGAGATCGAGTGCCTCAGGGAGGCACAAATATTCCATTGCGGTTGTAAGGCGCATGTTTTGCCCACAGAACACGGTGCGGTATAGTAAATGGTTTGGTCAAGAGGAATGATCGCGTGGTATGTTTTCAGAAAGTGAAGATGCCGAGTGCGACTCTACCGGCTTGAACTGCTTGACTGAGCTCAAGAAAAAAGAGGTCTTAGAACGGGCAAGTACGTGCGATTGTGTCAGCGACTGCAATAGTTTGGAGGTGTTCAAGGTTGGCTACATTCCAAAACTTCTGATGAATGCGAGGCAATCATTTTTCCTGTGTGATGGTTTTGTAACTGTGGGTTGCAGTTTTAGGAACTCTAGGTCGAAAAAGAGAATAAATTTCCTCGTTCCTTTACCGGCTATCAGATACGAACGAGTCGTACTTAGAGGCACTATAGATCTCATAGGTGAACTTTAAGCTTCTCTCATCGGCGCTTCCGTATAGTTTATCATCAATTTTAGTCTCTGTTGGGGGTGCGCTCAGCCTCTTCATTGGCTGTAGTTACATGAGTATCGGGCAATTGATTTACTATTTCTTTATTAAGGCTACAAGCGATTTCATAGTTCAGAGGAGACGTATGAGGATTTTGAAGAAGATGAAATTTTGCAAACAGACCTTCGCCATTCAACGACAGAAACTTGTCCGGGGGCATTAGACATTGACATCAATAAGAATTAATGTATCTATTCTAATCTTAGCACCAATATTGTCGGTTATACACTTTTGCTGCTTTAAATAAATGCAAACCAATTTAACAATTTCTTTCTGAAAACTGAAATTAATTTTGTAATCTTAGAAACGTACAAAAAATTAAGCCCGGACCTGTGCAGAAATATTTTCAGTCAAGTGCGCCGGTGATTTTTTTTCTAAAATTTTTGGAACTTTTAAGTTGTCCGGTTTCTGTGCCCTTCGAATTTTTTTTAGAGATGTTTTAATATTTAAAACATCTAATTGCAACAAATTTTGGACGAAAAATGGGGAATTTTCTAAAGCCCGCCAATAAAATTTTAGTGCTTAAGAAGCTTTCCCTCCGCTTATGTGATGAAATGTGGTCCATTGCCTCGCAAGATTGCAACACCTAAAAGAAAAATGATTTTTACCATCCGAACGAAAACGAGACACCGAAGCATTTGTTTTTGTAACAGACATCATTACTCGTTTCTTGATCAGTTAATCCAAAAAGGAGTTTTTTTATTTGTGTTTAATATTTGTGAAAATATAGGAAAAACGTCGAACGTGACGGTCATTTAATTTTTTCTCGGGTGGCAACCCGATGGAATTTGACACTCTATAAAATGGCTGACATCTAAATTCACAGTGGATTTCTTTGTTTTCATTACGATTTTTCCTTAGTTAAATATAAAAAAACTTGGCCTTTTTCCGAATTGCCGCAAGCGATGTCATCGACAGCCAGAAAAAAGTGACCTTAGTGCCCTTAAGTGCATTGTAGCGTGCCGCCAGTGAATTGTGAATTTTTCCATTTAGGTTGACACTGAAATCTGTCAATCTTTTACAAGCAGATTCTCATTTATTTCTACATTTTTTGAGGTAACAAGGGACTTTAAACGAAAAATTTATTCATAAGCGATTGTATGTATCGACCTTACGGGTGTAAATTTTGAGATTTTGTAAATTTGTCTAGACTCAGGATTTGTTAGCTGTTGAGTAATTGTTCAAGCATTCTTTAGGAATTGCTTTAAATGAACCTGCTTATTTTTTATATCAAATTGTCTTAGAGATTTGGAAAAAAACGAAACACTTAAATTTAAATAACTTTAGGAATGTCAGATTAGTTTAACCTCAATGTAATTTTGGAATTATAATTTATTAATTACACAAATCGCGGATATTAATTAATGCATTAATGCATGCCGTTATGTTATTTTGGATTAGATTAGATTGTAAATTTTAAAAATAATTTTAAAATAGTTTCGCAATTAATTCAAATTTTGGTTTTCCTGTCAAAATGAAAATTTAATATTTCCATTTTTATTTTTTAGGTAGTTACCAAAAAACTCTATTACCCCTAAATGACAAAATGAAACGCTCTATTATGGGCAGTGCAATGTAAACATATCTGTGGCCAAGCATGGGCCAAGCGCCTAGGCCAATTAGGATGAATCCCAATGCTCCAGCCCGGTCTCCGGGCTACCACCAAAAGGCCATGGAAGAGATTCAGGTAAGGCACTGTTTAGTGTTAACTGTGACATCACTAATGAGTAATAACTTACAGAATTCTCTAAGACCTTTTGCCAAAAGTGGCAGCGAAGCTCTTGGTTCGAGTGCCGCCAGTACCATTTCCAACTTTTCAGCAACAAGTGGTATCAGCTCTCTTAGTTCAGCTTCTGGATCCAACATGGGAGAGAAGGATCTCTTTCAGATGAGACAAACACAGACCCAACTGCTAAACATGGGATATTCTGAGGTAATGAATAATAAGTGAATACATCCGAATAGATTAGTTGCTATCCAATAAGAATCTTAACTGTGTTTCATGAGTGTACAATATTACTTGTCAACTTGACAAATGACAATCTGCTACAGCCTCAAATAAGTCATGCAGCAAGCCTTCAAGAAGTGTACAAATTTGTATATAAAAGTCTAATAACATCAGTGAAACATGTTGACAGATAAAAATCACATATTTAAGAGTTGAATACGGTTTATATTATAAAAACCTCGAAAAATCTGTACCAGAATGATATATCAAAGACTACAAGTCGTTTCATAAACGTAGAACATGAGGGGATAGGTAATAACAGAGATGAATTCTAACCTCAAACAGGAAACAAGAAACGATTGTGTAGAATGCTCGAAGCTTGTTATTGATTGCTGAAAAATTTAACTTGATCTTTAAACCATATCAAACCACAATTTGAAAAGTGCTGTTATTCCTTGCGTATTAGATAGTATGCCATGTTAAACAAGTTGTTGTTTTTTTGTTTGAAATCGTAATTAAGATTGAGTACACAAATCCATTCCATTGACAAAATTAATTTTCAGCGTTGCATACATGACTTTTATAAAAGTAAAACTACATCATTGACATTATCGTTATATTAATTTAAACCGGGCATGTGGTCAACATAACGTGACGCGTCAACGTTCTTATCAGGACGTATCCATGCGAGCCGCCCAACTGTCGAACGGGCGACTCGACGTCGCTCTCGACTACATCCTGAAACAGTTTCCGGATTCGTCTTCATCAAAACCGTCGTCCGGTTACACGAAACTGATCCGTAAGCCTAGCATCGAACGAGAACTGGTACTACCTCGTGGCAGTCCCGCCTTGGACTCGGGGGCGGGTAGTTCCCGCTCGGACAGCCCTCGTCTGGCCGATCTGCACGGATCGCGGTACTCGCCCAACTTTACGGAACCGCCTCCCCCACCACCTCCGCGGAATACTCCCCCTCCTCCGCCGCCCCACATGCCGCCGGTGTACCAGCAACCGCCGCCCGTTCCGAGTAACGTGCAGCAAATGTTTAAGAGGATGTCGCCAGCGCCGCCCGTGGTGCCGGCCCGAACCTCCGCCGCTGTGCCCGCTTACAATGCATCGGCGCTGCAGCAGAGAGGCACGAGTCCTGTAAGCGGGGCGGTTGTGGGGACGACAAGCGGCCGACAACCGATGGTGGTGCAGAACGGGCCCCAGGTAAAGACCACACTCCCTCTCGAGGCCCGAAGTGCCTTTTGTGGGTGGGTGCTGACACTTCTTTTTTTGCTATTTTATCCCAGACTTCAAATCAGCATAAATGCTAACACGGAAGCTTTACTATAAAAGAAAATAATGCAATTCTAGTAGGTATATCATTAATGCATAGACATTTTAATCTGTGCTTCTTCAAATTATTGCACTTGCATCTTATTTTTACTCCCATTAAGTATAAGCGGTGGCACACTGTTGTAGTTCCGTTCTGTTCTTCTAAAAATTGGATGCTTGTGTCATTTTCTCGTTCTTGCAAAAGTATTTTCCAATATTTTTTTTGTTTCTGGTCGTTTTTGTAGTAAATATATTAATTTAATTTTATTATTAATTTTTTGAATTTTATTTAATTCATTTTTAAAAATGGTTGTGTTTTGTAGATGATTTCACTAGGGGTCAGGTGTGGTATCGAGAAAATTACTTGATTGCTTTATTTTGCGTTCCTTCCACCTTATTTATGACCTATATGGCTCTATGATTTAATTGATGCAAACAACTTCTAGCTGCTCCCGATGTAACAGGCGTAATTTTTTACGTGTTACGATCAGTTCTAGATAGTTGTATTCAGTCACGTCTCTCAGCCTTATATTATGATTTATTTATTATTTACAACGCACTATCTAATCTCTAAAAACATATAACCTGGGCAAAAAAGTACACATTATGTCACATATAATATAAATAAAATAAAAATTCACCGGCCTAAATTTTTAATGCCTACGAAAATGGCGCTCTAATTACGACACCCTCTCCGTTCACACTAGGTCCAGCAGCAACTGACGCAGCAGATGCAGGCGCTGAGCCTGTATCAGAGCGGGACGGGGGCCGCGTCCGAACCGCCTCCTCCCTACCCGTTAATGAGCGCGAATCCAGGCAACCCTCCTCCCCCCAGCTACTCCGCCTCCATACAAAACCGGCAAAGCCCCACCCAGGATTTCCGGAAGAGTCCATCGTCGGGCATATATTCCGGCTCGACGTCTGCTGGCTCGCCCAGTCCCGTGCCAGTGTCTACGACCACGCCCACGGCGATGGCGCGACCTACGCCACTGCAGGCGTGGGGCGCGCGGCAGACCGTGTCCCAGCCGCCAATTATAATGCAGTCTGTGAAGAGTACGCAAGTGCAGAAGCCGATCCTGCAGACGGCGACGGCACCGCCCGTGCCGGCGTCGCCGACGAGCGCTTCCGCCCCGCCCACCTCAGCGCCGCCTCCTTCCTACACTGTATCGATACAGCAAAAGGCCTATACGAACGGAGGCATCAACAAACCGGCCGCGCCTCTCCCCAACGGCGGACAGGTGACGGTGCCGACGACGGAACCGCCCAGCTACGCGAGCACCATGCAGGCCAAGGCCAAAGCCCAAAGGGGTCAGTCGGCGCGGTTGCTCGATTCCCCGCGATTTTCTCACGGACGAGATTTTTCCGCAGCTCATCCGCCCCTGCCTCCGCCGCCCTATTCCGACGAGAGGGAGAACTACGCGCAGGTGTTCACGGTCGAGAGTTCGGTGTCACCGAGGGCGTCTCCCCACGTGCATCAACCGCTCCAGAGAAAGTATTCGCCCGCGGTCGCCGGAGGGGGCGGGGCCGGCGGTAACGAGTGTTGCCGCGCGGACAGTCCGCAGTCGACGAGCTCGAGCGACAGCCGAAACTTGTACCCCGACAATGGTGCCCCGCCTTTACCTCCCACAGGTAGGATAATAATAATAATAATAATATTTTTTTTGTATTTAATCAAATTCATAATCAATCAGATAAATAAAATACAAAAACTTATGTATTGTTGTTCTGAAAAAACAACTCCAATGAGTATATTGTTTTGCTTAATAATAATTTTTTTAGTGAGTTTTTGAATTTCCTTTCTAATAAGGTCTCTACAGAAAAAGGTACACTTTTTAAATGTTATTGTTATAGTCAATTAAGAAGTGGTCAGTTAACCAGCCCCAGCACTACTTTACTTTTTGTACGACTCTTAGTTTTGATATACAGTATTTCAAAACAGCGCGAAACATATTTAATGAGTGAAGTGAGAAAAAAGTCGATTGCTCTCGAACACGTGACTAAATTACCGTAAATAAGTGCGAGGGAGCACAAATGACGTCTTAAAAACATTGTTGTGCCTTTTTTGATTATTTTGAGTAGGGTTCTTTTTCAATACGTTCCCGAACGTCACGTTTTTTTTTTAGCGTCTTCTTCGGTGAAGAACAGCTGTGGGAACAATAACAACCACGCGTCGCAGGTGAACGGAGAAGGCGGTAAGACCGACTCCCCGCCTCAATTACCGCCTTACGCGAAGATCAAGCACCAGTCGCCCATACCGGAACGCAAGAAAATCAGTAAGGAGAAGGAGGAGGAGCGGAGGGACGGCAAGGTGAAGAACTACTCGCCGCAGGCGTTCAAGTTTTTCATGGAGCAACACATCGAGAACGTCATCAAGAGCTACAGGCAGCGGATGTACCGGAGGATACAGCTCGAGAAGGAGATGGTGAAAATAGGTGAGGAGGCGGTGCACGTCTCATAGTCGGTCGCGTCTCTATAACGTATCTTCCGCCGTCGGTTCAAGGTCTCAGTCCAGATGCACAGCAGCAGATGCGCAAGATGTTGTCGCAGAAGGAGTCGAACTATATCCGCCTGAAGCGCGCCAAGATGGACAAGAGCATGTTCGTGACGATCAAGCCGATAGGAGTGGGCGCTTTCGGGGAGGTCACTCTTGTGCGGAAGATCGACACCAACCACCTGTATGCCATGAAGACGTTACGCAAGGCGGATGTCTTGAAAAGGAACCAGGTGGCGCACGTGAAGGCGGAACGAGACATTCTGGCGGAGGCGGACAACGAGTGGGTGGTGAAACTGTACTACTCGTTTCAGGACAGCGATATCCTTTACTTCGTCATGGACTACATACCGGGCGGCGACCTGATGTCGTTGCTGATAAAGCTCGGCATATTCGAGGAGAGTCTGGCGAGGTAAGTAGGCGGGGCGGCTCGATCGAGCATTTATTTCTCGCTTTCAGATTCTATATAGCGGAACTGACGTGCGCGGTGGAGAGCGTCCATAACATGGGCTTCATTCACCGCGACATCAAGCCTGACAACATACTCATCGACAAGGACGGCCACATAAAGTTGACCGACTTCGGTCTGTGCACCGGGTTCCGTTGGACGCACAACTCCAAATATTACCAGCCCAATGGTAAGATCTACCGCACAAATAAAATGTTGTTCACTTGAGATAGTATGAAAATTTTATGCACACATAAGTAGAAGAGTTATAGAAGTTTCAAATCAAGAAGAATAAAATTGCTACAGCAATATGATATTCATATAATAATAAAAACCTATTATTTGTGACACCTTTTTAGAGAAACAAAACTAGAGGGTATATTGTTTCGTTTTTTAATTCGCCAAAAATTTTCGTTTCATTGAACAAACGCGATGATGAAATTAAAACAAGTCACTACCACTTGATGGGACTTGAGATTTACTACACTACACATATTTGCATTACTATTTGATGAACACCCTACTAATAATTTATATAACGTCTTATATCCGTCGATTACTTATTGGCGCTGTCCGCCTTCTCTGTTCAACCGACTGGTTAGCGCAGCGCTGCTCGCGATATTGTATTGTTGTATTGGTGTTTTTGTAGAGAACGGAAGAATAACTTCTTTTTCTAAAACTAGGCATATTTTGAGAAAATACTGCCGTAAAAATGCCGCATGTTGGTTGTTGAATACTGCAAGGTCATTGGGTAAAAGCTGGAATCATAATCTCTAATAATATATCTAATAAACTTGAAAACTACAAATTTATAAATAAAAAATTTCATTATTGGCCCTTATTTAATTTTGTTCTTTCATTTGCATGCTCATTTATTTTCAAATTTAAAAAGCCACCAGAAGTTTTGAAGGGATCATAGGTACTTTGGAATTTAAAAAAAAAAGAGATTTTTAACAAGCGCGACTTAGTCCAGTAGCAACGTAAACAATAGATATAGTAATTAGTGGCACAAAAACAGTTTGGTGTTTCTCGAGAATTGTTTACAATGTATATCAAATAAATCGAAAAAAAAAAAATTGTGCAAAAATCGATGAACGTTGAATTCGAGTTTTAATAGCGGGAAAAGTTTCGAGTGCTCTTGAACATACATTAACGTTTTTCACCAATTTTATTTTACAAAATTTAAGTGAAAATTCGTTGTGGAGTCGAAATAAAAGGTAGAAAAAATACCTGAAAAATTCGAGGTTCAATTTTTGGTTATTCCTGACTTCTTCAAGTTTTACATGATTTCGTGACGCACTGATATTGGATAAAACCGTTATCATCGTTTTGAGTTTTTGTCAAAATTCAATTGGACACTCGAGCATATTGAAGTTAAAGTCATCAAGTTCAGAGTGCCTTATTTTCTTGCGGTTCCTGGTGTCTTTCCATCACTTCTCCAAAGAATGCGTTTGTTGCGTTCATAGAGCACAACAGGCAAGATTCTATGGACCCCATAGACGACTGGAGCGAGGAGTGCAAGTGTAAAGCGCTGAAACCGTTGGAGAGGCGACGGAAACGCGAGCACCGCTGTCTCGCGCACTCGCTGGTCGGCACGCCCAACTACATCGCGCCCGAGGTGCTGCAACGCACCGGCTACACGCACGTGTGCGATTGGTGGAGCGTGGGCGTGATCCTCTACGAGATGCTCGTCGGCCAGCCCCCCTTTCTCGCGAACACCCCCGCCGAGACGCAGTACAAGGTTCGCATGTCTTTCTTTTTATCTAACATTAATACATTTAATACGTTTTTTGGATCAAATTTATAGTTAAACAGCAGTAGTAAAAGTATTTTCACAAATGTGCAAATTTGAGCACAACAGAACTTTCAGCTAAAAGCGATGTTGCCAATTGCTGCGAAAGTAATAAACATAAGAAGTTCTACGTCAGAACTGCCATTTAAAACGACTAAAAAATACATACCAATATTTTTTCTGATGTAGACCGGTACTGAAAAACTCCCCTGGTGCTTTAATATTTACGTAAAATGGGATATTCTTTTTATTTGCAGTGCGAGTATACATCTCATCTCATTACAGGTTTGTTATATACAAGCCCCCATTCATTTCTCCATTTCTTTCTACCAGCCTTCTAGAACTAGTAATTCTATAGATATCTCAAAGTCTATAACATGATTGCAGTTATTTGAGCTTTTGCTGGACAAAGATTCAAAGCAAATTGGATAAATGTAAGGAAGCAAGTGGTTGATTACGTTACTTCAAGGTTTATAGATCTCAAATAAAATGATATGTACGTGTTTTAAGGCTTTTTAGACAAATTTTATAGCGCCTCGAAAATTTTGAGATTTATTAGCTTTACCTCTACGAAATATATAAAAAATCCACTAGTTTGTTTACGACGGCGATATTAATGTATCAGAAATTAAATTAAGCAATTCAAAATATAATTTTTAGCACTTATAAACCATTAAATATGTTGTATATTTATATAGAAAGCAGCACCTTAATATTATTAAAATTTTTCGGACTGTTTAACTATAGAAATTTTTTCGTGCGCCTTCCAAATGTTCGCCAGAAAGAAAAATAAATTTTCCTTTGCGTAGATTAACATCTTCAGAAAAGGGCCTCGCCTATTTTGTATCAATGTCGTATAGTTATCAAATAATATTAAATAGACAAAACAGATAAAAAATCTGCTTATAGACATAGACATATTTTGACAATTGTATTTTCTTGTAGCGGTATATACTTTTTTTATAAAATAAACACATTTGTATGATTGAGCTCCTATTATCGTCACTCCGAGCACTGAAGTTCCCGCGTCGGTCTTAGGTGATCAACTGGGAGACGACGTTGCGGATACCGAAAGAGGCCAACCTGTCCAAGGACGCGACCGACCTCGTCCTTAAACTGTGCTGCAGCGCGGACAAGCGACTCGGCAAGAACGCGAGCGAGGTGAAAGGTCATCCGTTTTTCAAGGACATCGATTTCGAGAAGGGGCTGCGCAGGCAGCCGGCGCCTCACAAGCCACGCATCGAATACCCGACCGACACGTCCAACTTTGACCCGATCGATCCCGATCGCCTCCGCAACAGTACATCGATCGACTCGTCCAATTCGGAAGACCTGTCGGACAATTCGAAGCTCTTTCACGGCTTCTTCGAGTTCACCTTCAGGTGAGTCAGTTTTTTTAATAATTTGATGGCGCGCGTCCCAAAAGTGGAACCGAGTAATTTTAAAATTGGCCATTTGTAGATACCTAGGATCGCTACACTTTTGTTTATACATTTTTGACTTTTGAAAACTTAGTACTAAACAACGAAATGATAGAAAAGTTGTCCATATCATTTGGATTTCTGATAGCTAGAAATGACAAAAAAAAAGAGTTGTAGGGGTATTTCACAAAATATGCGCTAATAATCTCGGTATTGAATCTAAAAATATTAGAAGGTAAAGGAACTTTTGCATCTAAATAGACGGAATTTATGACGCTGCGTTTGGTAAACTTTACATTGGGTAGAAAAATATTTTCTAAAAACGTAACTTGATAATTGATATAACGTTCTACATCCGTCCTTTATTTGTATTGGCGCGGTCCGGCTTCTCTTTCCAACTGACTGACTGTTTTAGTAATTAAAGACTAGTGTAATGAAATAAATGTAGCAGCCCATACTAGTCCAAATCTACTAAAACGTATAAACACTAAAAATAAAAAATTTCTAAAGCAATTCCTCTTTTTTCAAAAGGGATTTTAAATTAAAATTATAGAAAAAAATCAAAATAAATAAGAACTAAAAGTTCAGATTTTTACGAAATTATATATTATGACATGACAATTGTTTCGACACGGTGTTGTCGAAACAATTGTCATGTCATAATATATAATTTCGCGAAAATCTGAACTTTTATTTCTTATTTATTTTGATAAACGGATTTTTAAAATTATAAAAACATTTGTGAAGAATCCATTTATAAACAACATTCCTGAACGTTTTAACTATCATAATAATATGGTGTTAAACGACCGAAGTGAGAGAAATAGCAGAGACTATGAAAATGTCTGAGGAGCGTGTTTGTCACATTTTAAATCAAGATTTTGGTTATTTGAAAATGCTGTCCGCGCATTTACTCACGTCGAATGAACATTTCTAACGCTCTGTTGGCGCAGTTTAGGCGCAATAAATCCGAGATTATACGCCCGACTCAAAAGTACAGTCAAAACAGTGGACGGCGAAAGGGAAACCGATTTAATCTTAATTGATTACCTTCAAAAAGGAAAAACCATTACAGGAGCATACTAGGCATCGTTACTAGAAAAGCTGAGGACAGAAATTGCGGAAAACGGCCAAGTTTTCAAAAAAACAATCCTGTTTCACCAACCTAACCGGTTGCGCTATTTGTTAAGAAGAAAACATTATTCCAAGTTTCCCCGCTCAGAAGTTTTGACATGTAATGATTTAGGTGGTGTCATTTTGTTTTTTATAATTACTAATAGGGCTTAGCGATGTGATATATGTATAACATTTATACCCGAAGAAATGATTGTAAGTATATATAATATTGTCCAGCCTAGTTTGAGAAATTTTAATATAATAGTGGCAATAAATCACGAGGCAAAACACAAACGAAATTTGAAATGTTACGTTTTAGGCGATTTTTTGACGACGGCGGCGTGACGGCCTTTAACAAGATCAACCTGGACGACAACGATAACCAGGGCGGCCCCGTCTACGTGTGATGGCACGCCGCCGACGGTGAAGAGATCTCCGGGTTGGAAGCCCGGACCGTCGGTCTAGTTCCGGAGGAACGTCGGAACGCTTCGTCCTTCATCGGGCTGCGTCGATCCCGACCACGATGGTCAGTATTAAGCTTGCCCGTTTTTTATCCCAGTCCGCTGTGGGCGTGGTCGTTGACTGCGCACGACGCCTATATCCGTTTTGGAAACGTTTCGGGGAGCAGAAATCTTTGGAAATTGATCTTATCTTTTTTAATTTATTTCGAAATGGTCGACGACAATCGGCGGCCAAAAGTTTGGACGGAGCAGTAAACGCGTCAATTCAGTCCGATGATTAAGGTAGAAACTAAATTATGGTGCTAATCTAAAATTAATATATTGTATCTATGGATAAATGTGATAAATATGAACGTCTTCCACATGTTACTGCCTTGCCGTTCGCGTTATGGGGGGCGGTCACTTTTAAAGTGGCCCGCGGTTGAAATATTTTGGGGTACCAGTCAATAGGATGGAAATAAATCTCACACAATAATAATGACAATGAAATTTTTAAAATGATATAGATAATTACAAGACCTAAAATTTAATAATATCATTTTGCACTAATTTCAACAAATATAATCAAAAAGTTGGAATTTGCTGTCAACTTGCTTATTTACATTATACGTATTATATTTTAAGATTGTGTGAAATAGATATAGAACACAAAATATGTTTAGAAATTGAAATAAGCAAGTTGACAGCAACTTCCGGTTGAACCGGAAGTGACAGGGTGTTCAAAATATTTTAAAAACGAAATACACTGGGCACTTACCTGAACCCCCAAAAATTAAATTGAATGTTAATATTGCTCGTGTTAATGGGCCGCAAAGACCTTTGTTCTAGCAAAATTGTGCCAGATTTATTTCAATTCTACCTCTTGTGTATATATTTAATTGTTCATTATTAGCTGGCAATTATACTTAAGATTGTGCAGGAGGGATGGGAACAACAACCAAATCCCAGGATTATTGTTGACAATGTTGTAAATTTTGATAATATCAACAATTTGTTTTTTTGATCATTTTTCGAGTGCTTTGTAATATTTTTAATTAGCATGTGGTCATAAGGGTTGAAATTCCACTAAAACTGTCAAATCATTCGAAAGAAGTAAATTACGATTTCCATTTTTTTATGAACTAACCAAAACTTCAGAATGAAAAACATTTGATTTTAATTTTTAAAAGAATGTTTTACACAACGTTATAGTTTCATGACTGCCTAAAAAAATAAATAAACAATAATGACCGCCCCCTCTATCGGGACAGAAAATATAATTCTAGTGCAACGGGAAGCGCAAAAAAATTGTAAATAAACGGCGGATAAATCGTTGGTTCGGGAGGTAGAGTGGGGGTAGGTTTGCCTGGGAAGACTGGCACGTGCCGCCCCACCTCTTCCCGCGACCCTGGTGGAGTGAAGCGTCATGCCGATTTTTTTTTTTTTTTGCTAAAAGGAGGACGCGAAATGTATAATGTATAAACGCAGATTAAAAATATTATTGTGTTGTATGTGGTAGTTTTTAAATTTAACTTATTTTTTTCAAAACGAAAATGCTGTGTTAGTTTTTATTACAACAATTATTATTACTACTGTGGAATAACTATATTTTTTGCTCATAATGTTTCGCTTAAGATATTTATTTGTTATTTAGCCCGAACCATCCAGCCCCCTGCATCCTTCCCCACCCATCCTGACGCTGTGTCTATTATGTCGAACCACCACCATAGGTTTTAAGCCACCCTAGTTAAATTGTTTAGAATATAATTTTTCTAGTCTATCTTTTTTTTAAATTATTATCTAAGTACATACTCATTTTAAGTTTACTTGCGTTGTTTTAAATTTGGTTCCTTAAAATTATTTGAAAAGCGTTGAAGAGACGAAGATTCGCAGCGCTGGCGAGTGCCTTTATTATACCTAGTTTTCGGATTTTGTAAATGTGTGTAAATAAATTATATTTTTGAAAAAGACTTTTCTTAATTAAAGATTACAGTTAATGAGCAATGAGCTAATGAGGTGTGTCATACTAACTCAAGTACTGTTGTAATTCACAGGTATTCATTTTCAAGAGAAGTCGAAGACTTGGATTTATTTTTTTTTTAAGTGATGTTAACAAAATTTAACCGCTCAGCACAACTCAGTGATTCTCGAAGTATTTCCGTTTTTCAATGGGATTAGGGATAATCTGCAAAAGGGTCAAGTATAGATATTGGATATTTAATTATAAAAAACTTACCGTATCTTGCCCAGGTTTCCAACCGGCAGGGCATACCTCCCCGTGCTTGTCGGTGTATTGGAAAGCTTGCACCAGTCTAAGAGTCTCATCGACACTTCTACCAACTGGAAGATCATTCATGGTAATTTGCCTCAACACTCCTTTGGGGTCAATTATGAAAAGTCCTCTGAAAAAATATTTTTTACAGTAGGAGTATAACTTGGTTGCTTAGCTACCTTAGAGTGTGGCCAAAATCATCCAGAAACACACCATAGTTTTTTGAAATGCTATGATTCAAATCAGACAACAGGGGTATATTAATTTTTCCCAAACCTCCCTCCTTCCTAGGGGTGTTAATCCAAGCAAGGTGAGTGAAATGAGAGTCGACAGAGCAGGCCACCACTTCAGTATTGATCTGCCTAAATTCCTCTATTCTATCACTAAACGCCAATATCTCTGTAGGGCACACAAATGTGCTAAAAGAAAAACTTTTCAGAATATATACAAGTATAACTTTGGTATCCTACAAATCTAATGGATAAAAGAAAAACACCAGGTATTTCCCAAGGAAATCAGACAACTTAAGCTGGACAAATTCCCCATTAACTACCGCAGTACTTTCCCAAAACGGAGCTTGTTTCGAAACTAAAACATTTTCAATGTTATTGTAAGTTTACTAATATTTCCTCATACCTCATACTTACTGACTGCTTTAGTAAACTGCAGGTTATGTTCCGCACGGCCTGAACTCGCCGTGTGCGGGTAAACATTCCCACCAGCGTATTTCTGGCAAGACTCATCCTCTGGAAGAGCAGAGAGCACACATGCTGCTTTTAAAAGTAGCAGAGAGAGTCGATTGTTCATGGTTATTAACTCTAGAGTGATCTGGAAGTATTTTTTTCTCGATTATTTGAATAGAAAGACCGATCACTCGTGCATGTCTTATCCACAAATCGATGTATTATCCTTATCGATATAAAAAAAGAAGATAACGGCCGGCCGCAATCACGTATATTTAAAAACAACCATATATTGGATAAAAAAACAATAAAGGTTAATTAAACATTGCATGGAAAAAGAAGTGGTCCCTGCCGCCGATAGTGGTTTTTAATTAGATATTCTGTGGTCAATGGGCAAATGTGTTTAGTAAACTTGCCTAACGTTACGGAGATTGTAAAGAAAAATGTTGATATGTCTGGGTGGCAGTTGTACGTTTTCACTTTGTTGTCCTTTATTTTATTTATTTTTATTTACACTTTATTTGGCCCTACTTCGCCAGTCTACAAATTATGTAGGCTAAAAAGATTCTCCTCTTTCTGTTACTAGGAACACCCGACTTGTAAGCTAAAAACCATCTAAAAACGAACACATTATATCACACATTTATTTTAAATCTAGTATTAAGTATAATTATCACAATTGAGCCACGAGACAAAAGTCAAACTTTTATCTAAACTTTTTTTGCCTTCGTTACGTATTTTAGGATATTTGTTAAAATTAGAAAATATAGGCTCAAAGGTTCAGTTTTTATTAGACTAAGAAAATATACAAACAACAGACAATTTGGGAAATCCAAATACAAAATAGAATCAAAGATCTTACTGTAAAATTATCTAAAAAATTGTATTTTACCGTTATAAAGTTCACGTATATACAAAAAATATGTCAAAGCAAATATAGGCGACTAATATTTTATTCCGGTTGATTTTTGGACCCCGAAAAAGTATCGAAAACATTTCCTCTACAATTCTGTATTTATTAATTATAAACCACATTGATTGTCTAGATTCACACATTAAACGCTCAGTTGTTGATCATATTTTGTTTAATTTTTTTTACATTCAGCAGTAATTTCTTTAGAAATCGGAATGTGAGAGTATTAAGTATAACATGTTTGCCACAATGATTTCTTCACAGACAAAAGTTACAACATTTATTAAGGTGAAAGATCACACGGCTACAGTATACATACTATTCCTAATTTTTGCATTTATACAATAATTATCATATAAAAATCCATGAGAATTGACATAGTATAGTATAAAGCACTTGACAGATACAGAAGGGAGTGTCAAGAAGAAATAGCTGGTCTTGCCTATCTTCCCTTAACCAAAACAAATATGTCATGTAAATGGTCAAGCAACCTTTTGAATTTATTGCATTTGTGCTCAAAATTGCAGAATTAATCATAAAAATCCGATGTTGATTTTAGTGTGCACTTTTCTAGCTGCTTAAGCCTTGCTTCAAACAAATAATGTTCCAGTTCGTACAGAATATAAAAATTTGTTTAATAGTAAAAATATCGGATCTCTTGACTAGTCAAAATAAAATATTTCATAACAAACCTTAAAACATCTTTTTCTTAATGGCAGTAAAGCGATCCATATAAGCATCATAACCTTCAATGTTTGCCAGTTGCTTAATCTCAAATAAATTGCCATCAAGAACCAAGTTTGCAATTTTACTCTCTGAGAGAATCCTTGGGTGAATAGCGGCCAATTGCAAACAGTTCTCCTCAAGTCGCAAGATCTTCAAACGCGGACACAATGAAATTTCAGATGATAGGACAGATATCTGGTTTTGATTTAAATTTAGTTCTGTAACATTAAGGGTAGACACCTCAGCAGGCACTGCTACCAGTTCATTCTGGGACAGATCTAATATATCGAGGTGCTTGAGCCCGCAAAACACCAATGGAAACTCCTTCAAATGATTACTATTCAAAATTACTTGTTTCAAATTAATCAAATTAGAAAAAGTTCTCGGCAGGAACGATAAATTGTTATTGCCAGCATTGAACGTTTCTAGCTTCGTCAAAGCCCCGATACAATCGGGAATTTTGGCCAATTTGTTTTTACTTAAGTTTAAATGTCGCAACTGCATGAACCGACTAATTTCATTAGGCAACACGACAAATTTATTGTCCGATATATCCAGCGTCCGTAAACATCCCTCCAGCTGTTTCATGCCCTGTGGAAATTCGTTTAGTTTGCCTTGGGAGAGCTTTAGAACTCCCGTTTTTTGAGCGGTCTCGATGTGTTGCTTCAAACCCGAGTTACCCATAACGCTCGAAATCTCCGACAAGCTACCATTAAAACCTATTAAGTTTTTATAAATGAAGCGTAAGATGTACCTCAACTACACAAAAAAATTACTGTACCATTAAAATAGTAAATGTTTACATTATAATATTAAATTTCTATTAGCTCCTTCCGAACCTTTTACTGCCCTGCATGACGTGTGACAGTGTGTAGGTTGTTTTTTCAATGTAACGGATCACAAATTTCATTTGGTAGTCTGTTCAAAAACGATTCTTCTTCTTCGACACTTACCAAAAATAAAATGGGCAAGATGGTCAAAATTGCCTTTTTCGTTGATGCATCGTGGAAAACAAATCCGCATGACTTCAAAAAAGTGATTGAATAATATTTTGTTTTACAAATTATGGAAATAGTTTTAAACTTGAGATAAAGCTATATCCGAAAACAATGACAATGACACTCGTACACTCACTGTTCCAATGGAATTTGCTATAAGTAAAATTGACTGACCAATATCCAATATTCTGTGAGCATGTTGTAAATATGGCGAAAGTTATGGGACATTTAAAGTAATCACATTTTCAAAAGCGTTTTTGGAGTTTAAAAAAATCGTATGGAAAAATAATGAAGTATTAAACTACATACTTCATATCGGCTAAGTCACAATACACAATTAACGTTTGGAATCAATATTTCTTTCGTAAAAAAATAGGTAAATGGTTGTTGGGATTAATTTCGCTCTCTTCCGACCCAAACTGCGTCGTTATTTTAGGAAAAATTAAAAATGACTGAGGAAGACGTGAAGAAAGCCATCAGAAGTTTACTGACTTCCACTCCCAATGTTTTGAATGTAAGAACAGTCCAAAAAGATTACAAAGAGTTAATGGGCACTGATGTACCATACCAACAGTTTGGTTACAATTCCCTTGAACAGTTTCTAAAATGTATACCAGATGTGTGTTTGGTAAGTAGGATAGGGAACCCAATTCGCAGTACAGATATACCTAGTTCATGTATAGTTAAGGAAAATCAAAGCCTGACAATTTATTATTCGGTAGGTAAGAGCCTCTCTTTTGCCACCCTCATAATAAAAAATTAACGGGAAACGTTTTTAATGAAATTGCTTATGTTTTTTTTGTCCGGTTCAGATTCTCATTTTCTAGTAATTTCCAGTCTGCAGTCACAGTCGCATCTTGTGTCTTTGGTGCTCGGGAGTTCCCCATCTTGTTATGTTCGTCTTGCATCTTGGAACCCCAACACTTGTTCTATTTAGGGTCCTCCATACAGAATAAATAAATGAAAATATTGAACATGCTTTGAATTTCAGTCAGTACAGAATCTCTACGATGAAAAAATTGCTTAAAAATTCTGTCTTGGTTATTCTGCACAGGTACAAGGCGGAGGTCAGTGGGCGACTGTCATACCTATTGTGAATGAGAAAGTAGCCCATATAAATAACATGGTGATGAAACAAAGGAATAATTCCAGGAAGTCAGCAGGGACGCGTAGACCCAAACAAGCCAATTTCCAACACAAACAACCCATGAATTTTTCTCCTCATACCACTGACTCTTCTAAAGGCAGCAATCTCATTTTTCATAACACTCAAGCTAATCCTTATCAAGCGCCACCATCAAAGCAAGTGGACAACCCACATTCTGAGGTTCCCCAAAAATCGGTTAAGAATACTCCTCCTTTGATATCTAAAAATCCATTTGACAATTCCCAGCTTCCAGTGGAAACCAGAGTGGACGGAGGGTCCATTGCGGAGGTCAAGGCTGACGTAAGACATTCACTCTTGAATGGCCTTCCCACCAAAAGAAAACAACATTTGCTGAATTTGAATCCTTTGCCCAAGCAGGTAATTCACATTTTAGAAATATTTGATTTTTTGATTGCGGTAAAACTGACCCCGTATTCATAGTAGTAAAAATGCGGGATTTTCACCGGGTTTAATAATTAGAATAAATAATATATTTTGTGAAAATTTATGAGAATACTTTGTGTTGGCAATATAGTTTATATTTCATATTGTATACAAATGGTATTTGTAATTCTGTTTAGAAGGCAACAATTATAAATTATGTATTAATTGATTTTTTTTACCAGGCGGAAACTGTTCATAATCAATATCGCTCGTCTACCTCAGCCGCACATAGCCCTCCATTTGACAACGCGCCGGTACTTGAAAATGAGAACGATTATTTCTTTACCAGCAAAAATCTCGACATCTTCAAACCCTATCTTAACTCGGCGGCGAAATTGCAGGAGGCCACCGAAGAGGTCGCTGTTTGCGTACCACAACGCGTTCAGAATAATCTCAAAACACTGATAAGTCGCTTTAACGAGGGTATTTGGTGCAGCCAGTTGCCCGAAGAGTACAGGTCAGCACAAATTAATGTCGTTGTGTGCGCGCTTCTGACCGTTATTTTTCGCAGAAAGGCGTTCCGAAGGGATCTTGTTTATTACGACTATGGTTTCACGAGCCTGATCGAGATGTGTATCGCGCTGAACGACATTTTCCATTACGTCCGTCCCGGTCAAGACGATTTTAAACTGTACGACCGCAACAACCCGTTGCCCGATAATATAGAACGCAACTTTACCATGGCCAGTTACCAATTGGACCCGAAGGGAGGCGCGCAGACCAGCGGCAAGCCCTTGCCGAGTCTCGTGTGGTCCGATTTCGCGAGGCGTCTGCCCGCCGACATCGTATCGTTGGGAGAGGAGATTCCCAAACAATTTTTGCCGACGGAGACCAAGGTGGGCGACGTGTTCGATGTGGTGGTCCTCGAGGTGTACGACCCGTCAAAATTCTGGTTCTACCTCGGCAAATCGGACAAGAAAGCCCCCCTCGACCTGCTGATGGATGACATGCAAGAGTTTTATAAGGGCGAGAATATAAGTCAGTATTGCGTGCCACCCGCGCTTGTCCAGGTACTTATTTCTCATTTTACAAGCAACCAAGACAAAACGAGAACTCTAGAATTTTGTAATTTGTTTAATGGAAAACATCCAGAAAGACCCGTCGTGCCCGAGATTATTTTATTAGGTGTTAAAAATGCCCACTGCTCGACAATATGCTAATTACTGAGGATATTTTCATTGCGTTATTTCGTATCTAATCCTGAATTTTGAATCGTCTAAATTTTAGTTTAGTTTTTCCATATACACTTTTGATTTTAAATACCTCAGGGAAAATAGTCCGGTAGAGTAATATCTGCAGATCTTGCGAGCCATTCTATTGATCCTGTTCCACCAATCCACTGTCCGGAAAACACCATATTTAAATATTCACGCACTTGTCGAGCAAAATGGGGGGAGCACCATCCCATTCAAACCAAATCTATCTATCTAGCATTTCATGCTGATTTGGATTTGGGAAAAAAGCTGCGAGAATAGAAATTAAGTTATTTTGAAGACATCGCGGGCTCCGGTAAGAGTTTGATGGAAGAAATAAGGTCCAATAGTTAATAGTAATAAATAATAATAATTATTATTATCTTTAAACTCTAATAAAATGTTTAATCTTGTTTCCATGAGTTTTTGTACGAACTGGCCAGGCTAGTAGTGCGCATACTCAACTTCACGAGCCACCGTCCCTCGGACGAGAGATGGCACCTACGAAGACCAATAACATCGATGAAAACTATCTGGCTAAAATATTTTGGCCCAACCAGATTTTTCACATTCGTGCTGAAAATTTTCGCGGCGGGTTGTTGACATAAAAAAGGATTTCTTAAAAATTTGTCATCTAATGTAATGATCGTGGGCTTTACCGATAGCGAAATCTTTCAGGAAGGTCTGTACTGTGTCCAGCGCATCCTTGGTGAATACCACAGGGCCAAAATAGTGCGCGTGCCGCCCCATGCGCAGGACCAAGTCCGGGTAAGGCGTCGACATTTCTAAACCCTGTCGGCATGTCAGTTAACCGGTCACCCCTGTGCAGCTCCTCTACATAGACTACGGCACGGTGGCTTCGGAGTCGGTAACGGGCATGTGCTTCCTGCACCGTCGGTTCGCCAACCTTCCCGCGCAGGCCATCAGGTGTCGCCTCGCTAACGTCAAACCGGTGAATGTCGGGCCGTGGCCCCGACCAGTGAGCGACTACGTGCGCGACGTGCTCAACGGGAGCAACACCAAGCTGAAGGTCACGTTCATCGACTGGCACGACGAGTACGTTTGCGGCTTTCTCGCCGACGTCACCAACACGGACCGGATCGTCTACGTCAACGAGCTACTCGTGCGAAAGGGTCACGCCAAATGGGAGACGGAGGTAAATGCGGGGGCCGCGCTGACCGCCGATCAGGCGAGAAAAGCGCTCGCGCTTTGGAAGTTTACGTTGCGTAAACAGAGGGCGCTCTTTCAACAGCGTTAGGGTTGTGTTAGTTGTTTTTCTCACGTTGGATTTTGTGTTCGTCTTTTGCGAAGAGCGAAAGCGTTGGTGGTGAATGATGGCTGCCATTCACATTTCTGGCCTAAAGATGAAAAAACAAATATTTATTATCGAAATTGGTTTTATTGTTTTCCAAAATGTTGTCCATGAAGATTAATGCACCTGAAAACGTTGGAACCAATGTTTGAAGCAGTTTTACCACTAGGAGTTAGTTAGATTTAAATCAAGCGTTTTGAACGCATCAACCGCTTCTTCGGGCGTAGGAAATCGTTGACTACGTAACCTTTTTTTTAATGTGCGAAAATAAAAAAAAGTCATTAGGTGCCAAATCAGGGCTGTACGGCCGATGTTTCGTGCGGCTGAGTGGCCTGTAATACCAAAGAAATAGGCAACCATTTGCTTTGATGTGCTTCTTCCACAAACAACTTTTGTTGGATTTTGGTCGTCTTGGAAAATTCCCACGGTCGATTGCTGTTATGCAGAAATCCATGATTCGTCACCTGTGCAAATGTTATAGACCGCTTTTGAATCAGCACCTTGATATTGTTTCAAAACTCCTTTTTTGAGCGTTTGTCAAATTATGCGGAAACTCAAAGCGAACAAATCTTGATGCTTCGATCTCACGATATGTCATCTGACGATCTTGCTTTATCGGTTCACGCAGAGCATCGATGTTTTGTGGCGCAGCGGATTCTGGACGACCCACACGAAATTTATCATGGAGCGAACGTCGACCATGATTGAATTCATTATACCAATATTTCACGGTACTGTAGGATGGTGCTCTATCGCCATATAAAGAACTAAGTTCATTGATGAATTCTTTTCCTGATATCCACATCGAAAGTTATGAAAAATAATGGTTCGAAAATGTTCACTGGTTAATGAAAAAAAAATGTTTGTAGATCAAAATGTTCTAAGAACATTTATGTTAAAAAATATTAAATTTTTTAATGGAAATGTCAGATTGCATTTAAAACTACTTGGTATTGTCAAGGCCAGAAATGTAAGTAGCAGCCCTCGTAGAATAGGTACCTCGTTTAAAACCTCCTGGATGTAAAAATTCGGTAGTTAGTCAGATGCGTCCTTATTATGCGGGTCAAAAGTATGAGTACTGCAGTTACTGTTACGACAATAAGTTCTTTGAACTTTTCTCTGAAGGAAATGTTCTGATTGCCTTGTTGTCTCTGCAACATGTAAGATACCTTGTTCAATTTACTCACAACATAACTAACGTGGAATTTCCAAGTTGATTGTTGATTGATGATTGATGTTTATCTTTTTGTTCCAACTACTTGGCTGTTGTTCGTCTTCAATAATACTATATTTCTTTTGTTATTATGAACACCTTGATTTTTGTGGTCTAAAAACTTCACCATTAATTAATTATTTTTGAAATCTACAACAATAAGTAATACTAAACACAAATATTCCACGGCAGAAGAAAATAAATGCATCCGTCGATCAAAATATCGCTTGGTTTTGTTTACATACTTACGAAATGATTCGTGGGAATACAAACCGCCAAGTTTATTACAAACTTCACACCGTTGCGAAATTTTTTATTATTGTCCTCAAACACTCACTTTTAAAAACTCACTCTTCTCAGAAAAACAAAGCAAACTTTGACATAGTACAAAACGCACGCAAAATGAAGGTTAAACAGCTCCGCTACAATGGCGTAAGCTCTGTTCATTCATTCATTTGTTACTAACCATATTGCTAACGTGATAAAAAGATTTACTTGTAATTTTATGGATTTTGCTTAATGCACGACCTTTTGTTCATCTACATCGAGTAAATTTATAATTTGTCTCTACTTTTTATACCTAAAAATCTTATTAATCCTTTGAAAACTGCAACCATGTTCAGAACTGGCAACATTGTCTCAGTCCGTCACAATATTGTCGTGACGTTAAAATTTAACAATCTCATCTACCTATATCCATATCGGATTTTCTCCTTATTTCTATGCTTGGTAATGTAAAATATTTTAGTTTATACTTACCTGTGAAAACTGACGCATAAACATAACCAGTTATTCCACACACTAAATTCGAATTTTAAATGTCCCAAAGTATCTTGGTCTAATAAAAGTTTGGATATTAAATCGGTGAATATTTCTCTAACGCCTTCTCTGTTATCGTCAAACTAAAATTGCAAATGAAAATGATGACTTTCTTGTAATTTCAAAAGCATTTATTACTAATTTAATGAATTTAACGTATTTATTATTATATTAGTAATATATTATATTAATTTGTTTCTCCCACATAATAAAAGAAAAACAAAAATACATCTTAAGGCTTGCGTGATAGGAACGTGCCTGACAAACAAATTTTGCGAAACGTTTCAACGTACAATTGGAAATACTGAACTCTTAAATGTATGATATAAACAGCCAAATTCCATAACTAAGTAAAAATATTAATTTATCGTTTCATTTGACATATTTATTATGGTTTGTTACTATGATGGCATATGTTAGCATGGTAGATTTCTCCGAAATATATACCGTTTTTATAACATTTTATCTATCTGCCGAGGTAGGCCTGCAGTTAGACCTTCATAACCGGATTATGTCGTAAAAACAGTATATAATTGGGAGAACTCTACTAATAGGAACCTTGTACCAGACACCTTATTTTTTTTAAAAAGGGATTTTGTTTTCATGCCAGTCTTGAGTATAATATTTAATTATTATAAAATTATTTCACTGCGGAAAATTTGTAATAATTTTGTTTGTCTCGCATTTAATGTGATGATAGGAATTGTATTTTTTTTTTATTGAAAACAAATAAATGATAATAATTTCATATTGGATTAATAACCAAGTGTGACATTCCGGCTCTAGTTTAGTTTATAAGATAAATTGAATATAGAGGTCGTACAATTTCTTTTTATGCCTGTTACGAAAGTACTCATAATAGTCAAGCAATTTATCTAGCGGCCACATTGTTCCAAAAATTCCGATTTTCCAATGTCGGATTGTCGATGCTGCTTCTCATTTTATCAATGGCGCCTATAAATTCGAGCCTACCAATCAATGAATGAATTAATTTATTCATTGGATTGAATTTACAGTTTACAGTTATTGTGGGTTGTTGCTTATAAATTTCTATAGACTCTCGGATATTGAATAAAATTTTATTTCTGGTTTCGTGATTGTCTTCGACAATTGCTGATGATTTTATTTGTCTTAGTCTTAGTCGACCTATTGTCAGCACTATTGGTTCTCTAGCATATTCTCTAGCAAAATATCTAACTTCCTTATCAAAACCCTTTACAGGGAAAACTGACAGTTTCATACTTAATTCCTTTCACTTCATTGAACAAATAAAAAGCATTACAATAGATGCACATAAGATATTCTGGTTAGTTTCGACGTAGAATCCTTCTTACTAAAGTTCCTATTCCTGAAACTCTCACCATCATTTCAGATATATTAAAATCCGAGAATCTGGAACCAAACCAAAAATGCTTATCGGGAACATATTTTTCTTATAACGGTCAAATTTTTGAACATACGTCGGGAACAGCTATGGGTTCTCCACTATCACTTTGCCTTTGCCTTTGAGAAGAAAGTTCTCGACACCTTCCACCTAAAACCAAAAATATGGAAACGCTAGCCGAGTCATTGAACACAGAATTAAAACACCTTACCTCTGCTCTTCTATCTAGTAATTTCCACATTAACCGCAACTCAGGTCTTTGTCTGTCACCAATATGTGAATCAGTCATCCGAGACGGTGTTTATGGCCCATATTTAGCTCCGCCCCCTCAAACAATATAAAAGCAGGTACAGAGTAAAATACGAGCCAGTGTCAGTCAAGCTCTGAAGAAGCCAACAGGATGATCGGCAAAAGGTTAGCTACTTCGATTCAACAAGAACCGACGCAAGAGGAATCTAGAAGTTTTATAAAAAGTATTACAGTAGCCATGGAAGTTTCTGTGAAAAATTCTTCTTGTAAATAGCACTGGCGAATGTAATACCAATACACATAAATTACATAATATCAAAAAAATTATTATCTTTTCAGTTTGTCGCTCGCCTTCCCGACTATTCTCAGATATCCCGGAGAGGACCCATTAACCAGGGGTTTATCCTTCGTTTGTTCGAATTTTCTGTGAACGCGTATTCCCGTATTCCAATCCGACGGTAACGACGGTGTTTTTTCTGTTCTTTCCAGGCTCAAGAAAGCCCGTTCATGTTGCCCAACTACAAGTGCAAGGTGAACCGCCTGCACCTGTTCCCGTCGTTCCTCGAATTGGAATACGGACTCGCTCCCAACGCGTCCGAAATGTACATGCTCGAAGAGATGCTGGTGCCGATCAACTTTTGCATACCTCAGTACTTCGAGCTCGTCGACACTTTGGACGACGACGAGGCGATCGAGGCTCGGGAGAACTCGTTCGCGGACACGATCAAGACCCACCGTAAAACGTTACCGTACGGTTGTAAGGAAAGTAGGGCCGCGTTAGGGTGTCCCGACTTCGACTTCGACGTCTTCGACGAACTCAAAGAGGACATCGTCGCGTTCATCGAAGGACTGAGTTCCGAAGAACGTTCAAAGTTTCGAAACGTCGAGTGCTGCAACGAATGGTATGAATGCGTGGAGGAGGCGGTAGTAGACGAGGCCGCAGGGGAGATAGTGAGGCAAGACGTGGATCTGTCCGAGAATATATTGAAGCAACTTGAGACGTACGAATTGCCGGCCGATTTGGTGTTCGACGAGCAAAAAGTGTCTTATATGGCGGACCCGGTGGCCGTCAGACAGACCGAGATCGACGATTTGGAAAGGGAATTGTCCATGCTGCTGGACGACGATTTCGTGGAGCGGCGAAAAGACGACGAAGAGAAAGTTCCAGGTAAGTTTGGTTTTATTGGGATCAGTGGCAAAGATTTAACGCACATGTATAGCTACTAGAGATAAAGACGTCCAGCCTATGTCGATAATACAGGAACCTATGAAGCAACAGTATAGTAGTGCTGCATTATGAGCAATTTTTTTTTAAACTGCGGAGCTCATTCGTTAAAAACGAGATTTTCAAAAAGTTTCGAATTGTTACTACATAAATTCCTGTATTATCAGAGTAGACAGGGGCCTCTGTATCGTTAGTAGGTTTATGGGAGTATTTTCTCAACATATGCCTTCGAGTTAAGCGTATGAAAATCGCTCTATACAAAGAAAATAGTGCCAAGTAGTGTGGCCTTACTAGGTGAAATGCGTGAAAAATTGATATCGATGGCTACTATAATGAATATTTTGGCCATGTTTCCCTTGAATGTGATGAAAATTCAATCGCACGATGTATATGATTTATTACCTCAATGGAAAATAATAAATTTCACTTCTCCACTTGTACCTTAAAAGTCCGCAATAGTTTCGAATTTCATTAAAAATAAGAATACTTTTAAAAATTTATATTTTTCCCCATAATCCGCTTACATAAAAAAAAATAGTATCCAATAGTTATATAGGTTATAGAAATGTATTGAAGAATAACTTTAAAATTAGTAATTCAGAAACTTCATATGGTACTGACCTAATTGAACGTACTGTCCTGGGCGACCCTGTAAGGGCAACAAGGTTTTTTGAAATTTGAAAAAAAATGTTCAGTAAATCTGCCAAGAGAAAATGTTGAACATTATTTTCGAGTTTCTGAAATGACCACCAGTCGTCGAGAGCTACGAGTGATGCTCTTTCTGACATAATGGAAAAAAAATAAATGCATCGATATGACTTTTTTATGTCATTGTATATATGTTTTTGCAGAAACGGAGTTTTAAAATTGAAGATAACAATTACGTCCCCTCGTGGTCATTTAATAATATTTGTTTTCAAATTTCTAGGATCCTCTATTTCCCTAATAGCGTACCTCGTTGCCTTTATTTGGACACCCCGTATAACGTATCCGCGATAAAATGATATGGGGTGAGTGTATTTTGTGTGTCGTTCGACCTAATAGTCGTCTAGGTTTGCCCATTGTTACTAATTAATGCAATTATTCAATTAGACAAAACAATTAGCAGGTACCAGATAGATAAACTATGCAAGGTAGGTTTCCCAACGGATGGCGTACCAAAGAGTAGTAATGAATAATTAAATCGATATTAAACAATTAATAACGAGAAACAACTGTGCAACTTGTTAATACCATAGACCGATTTTTATCGGAATTCGATCTAACAAAATATCGATTCAGTATCGGGTCGGCTTGGAAATTGACGCGTTAAATTAAGAGACGTCGTTTCCATCACACCCTGTATTTTAGAGATTGCCGCCCGATCGAACCCGTTCAATAACGCCGAGGCCGGCTCTTATCGAACGCCCGACCTTTCACTCTCACTCGACGAGCATCGCGTCAGCTCCGACGACGATGCGGAGGAGGCGGAGTCTCGAGGCACACGCATGCAGAGGTGCTTAAACAACATCAAAAGCGTCGAACCGCAGGAGGTCGGCGTAGATGCCGAAACGCCCATGGAAAAGACGAGGGCGGAGTTCGTGTCGTCCCTGAACGCGAACAACCCTTTCCGAGCATACTTGGAGGGGGAATTGGGGCGTGGCGACCATCATATAGCGAGCGCAGGCAACTCGATTGTGGCTCCGTCGACGTTGTCTGGGAGTGCTCGGTCGGTAATGCTGTCGGCGACCAGCGAACCGTTCGTGCCTAGAGCGGCCGCTACCACATCTACCCAAACCTCGGAAGACAACGCGATGCAAACGTTTCAGCCGTTTACCCCGCTCGTTGTTGACCCTCGTTGGCCTTACGATAGTCAGCCGATGTACTCGCAGTGGTCGGAACCCGCCAATTTTCAGATGCGAGCGAGACCGCCTCCCGGCTTCGACGTGGTGAGATCGCAGTTTCCCGATCCGAGGGTGTGCCATACCAATTACGATACGCAGTACGTGACCAATATGAACTTTGCATTCGGGATGATGAACCAAGCCGCCCAGTTTCGGCGGTACCCGGACTTTTACGACAGGAACAACCCCGGACCCGGTCGACCTTGGTGACGGTTTTTGCGCGTAAGCGACGTGAAGTTTTTTTTCTATTGCGGTTTCTGGCCAAATTGGCGATTGCGTTCTCGATTTCTTGTTACTTTTGAGTTGTACCGACTAGCAGTTATTGAGCGTCGAATAAATAGTTTTGTTTCTTTTTTTGTACAGTAGAGCCTTTTAAGAGTTCCGGGAGGTAGGACGTTTGAATCGCCGGTTACTACGCTGTCACTTCACCTATTAATAGTTTAACGGGTAAAGAATTTTTAGTTATCCAGTCGATATGATAATAATAAAAGTAAATGGAAAATCAACCACCTTTCATGCAACTAGAGATGTGAGCCTATGGACAGATATTTCGTATTAAGTTCATGTTTTGACAACAGAAATTTGTACAGCTTTCATGGTTCAAGAAGAATAGGAGATCGTACTATAATTGTTTAACTTTTTACATCTTTCTTTCAACATTTCTTATTCTTGTGCCTCACTTACTTTCTCAATTTCAATGTTAAAGCTCGACCTCCCCACTCAAATTACCGTTTTTATATGTATTGGTTTCAATAAAGGCATGATTATTATTAACTCATTACTGGCTGTTGACGCAGTAATATGCCATTTTTTGTCTGAAATCATTTTGTTTTATTGTTCGTTTAAGCCATATACTACTATCTATGTCGATAATACAGGAACTTATGAAGTAATTATGAAAAAAAATCCATTCAGCATGTGCATGCGCCAGATTTAAAATTTCGTTTTTAACCAATGACCTTGCGGCAATCAACGGTCAACATGGCCGCTGACAGATTGTCAAAAGCTTTGGATGCGGCATTTTTACCGAAGTATATTATCGAAATGGCGCAAAGTGCAGTTTTGAAAGAAAAAAGTAAATTAATTAAGCTGCTTTATAACGATGACGATTTTGAATGCAATGAGTTATATGCTTATATTATCTGAGGATAAAAATGATTCAGGCATTCCAATTAATATTAAAAAGGTTTTTACCCATGGTAAATGGTTTTGAGACCAGCGATTCCCGATGGTACAGAGTTTGAGAACGAAGAAAATCATTCAACTACGCATTGGTCTAGAAATGATGGTGATACTCACAAAATTGGACCAATAATGTTTCATTGGATGAGACAATGATACCCCACAGATGCCGTTTGAGTTTGCAAGTCTACAAGAGCCCAGGAAAGAATGGTATACTGGTCAGAATGTTATGCGAATCTAAAAGTGGGTAGGTAACTAACTTTATATTCTACAATGTTATGGATGTACTGGACTCATAAAAAGGAAACTTTTAAGCTATTGTGGATACAGGGTTAATTTTATCACTTCAGGTTCTTCTTTATTCTATGGTCAACAATAAAACAACGCCGAAAAACTTAATCAAAAATATATATTTCATCGTAACCACCACAAAAAACGACAAAAAAAGCCACGTAATTCTTGCTCACTAATATTTACACGCCCATCTTGGCAATCTTACACGACGCGCTTAGGACTGGCCAACGTGATCAGGGGTATCCTTCTCGGCGTTTTCGCCGTCGCCGCTTCAGAACTGTCGTCGCGACGGACGATTCGACTCTCTTCTTCCGCCGACCGCGAGTCTTCGAGTTGCAAACAAAAATCTTCGGTCCGGTCGTCATCGTCTCTCGTTGGTCCGCTCTTCTCCGTCGGTACTACGACTTCCTTCGCTGCTTCGGCCCACGCCTCTTGCGCCTGATTCTCTTCCAACGTCAAATCTATTAGCGGCCCTTCGCCGTCCGTTTTCGTTTTGCGCTTTTCACCGCTTCGCAGGAAATTGTGCAAAGTGTTCTTCTTGTTGGTGTCCTTTGCTTCGAGCTTTTTCCTAACCGGAGTCTTGGGTTCGTCCCTTTTTTGCTCTGGCGGGGCATCCTTTGGCTTTCGCCTCACTGCGATGGGTTTAGCGTCACTGTGCGCCCCCGTCGACGGGTCACTTTTGAATTTCGGCAACCGGCAAAAGAATTCCTTGATGTCGTTCGAGGCCCTGTTGAAATCTTCCGCTTGGTCGTCTTCCAGTTTGGGTTTTTTCGTTGCGGGCTCTTCCACTGGTGTCGCGGTCCGAGGCGTCGGCTGAGTTTTCGTTTTGAGTGACATTTTGCTTTCCACTTCTCCGATCTTTATCGGCACTATTCTCCTGGGCTGTTTCTTTTCAATCCTCGTAGGGGTCTCTGCATTTGGCTCGTTCGTTGTTGACGTTACAACCTGCGTTAAAATTAAAAGACTTAGACTTCAAGACTTAGTTATCATAACCCAGTCAAAATAGACAAAAATAAGTCAAAACTTAGGCAAGATTCGCATAGAGCTGAAAATTGGCAGAGACGTTAAATATACCATTATACATGAAATATCGATTCAACTTGTGCAAAACATTTAGGTTTTTTGGAGCTCCATTTCTTTGTAAACACTTCTGAATTGAATCATTACGTTTTTCGAACTTTTTAAATACTGCTGTTTTACCCCTTTTATTAAAAAAATGCTTCTGCAGTATCGCAACCAGTAATTGACCATAGCGAATCCGAGAAAATGAGAATGAGAGAAAATTTATAGGAACAGAGCATGTCAAGGAAATTATTTTATTGGGTGATGATAATGCCCACTATCTTGACAATATGCAAATTACTTAGAATATTATCATTGCCGAATCTCATATTTAATTCAAAATTGTAAACCATCTAAATTTCGTGGTTTTTCCATATACACTTTTGATTTTAAGTATTTCCAGATAAAAAAATCCAGTGGGGTTTTATCTAGAGATCCCGTTCTACCAATCCATTGCCCGGGAAATACCATATTTAAATATTCACGCAAAAGGGGCGGAGCACCTCCTGTTAAAACTAAATCTTCAATCCGGAATATCAGGCTGATTTGGGAAAGAAACTGCGAGAGTAAGAATTAAGGTCATTTTGAGGGAAATAAGATTTTGATTGAAGAAATAAGGTGCAAGAGTGTTATTCACTTTTTGTGGATGTTCTCTCATCCATCAGGGATAATTTGTTTTGCAATCCTTAAAATTTTGTTTATTTACCGTACCATTTAACGTGGCTTCATAATTAACAGAATCTCATCAAGAAAAAATGGATCTGAGTTGCGCATATCCATTATAGTTTCACAAAACTGTAGTCTGAGATTAAGATCATCTTCGTTCAGCTCCTTTAGCAATGTAATCTTATGAGGATGATACTTTTATTCTTTTGATACCTGTAATATTGTTCGTTGGTTACCATCATTGTTTGAAGCAATTAAAAAAAAAATTGTTCCATATTTTAGCCGTTCACTGTACAACTTTGCTCTGTACCCAAAAAAATACCCACATTTTTCCAGACCCATGGTTATTATGTAATATATTTTGGATTTTCGATGCAAGGGAATTTTCAAAAGACTTAATACTTTTTGATGCTGGTCATACGGGCTTTATGCGCTCAGTCAAGGTCTCTATATCTAGTAGCTATACGAATACCGATATACTAGCCTCTTTATTTGAAACCCTATCCTTTTTCGAAGTGTTCTGCGCCCATTGGACTAAGAAACTCGGAGCCTTTTTCGATTCCTCTTTGTTTGTGGTATCGACATTTTCATCCTTGCACGAACTCACTTCCAGAAGGTACTCTTCGACATCGCTGCCCGCTCTCCTATTTACTGCGAAAGTATTTAAGTTTGTGTTTATAGATTCCCCAAACTAACATGGGTATAAGTTGTATTTAATGGGCCCTTCACAAATATAAAAGGAAACAATAACGCCATGGCCTGAAGAAGCAGAATTGGTAAAGGTCATGTGTGCAAAATAAAGCTTCCCACCGCGGCGTTAGGAATTCTTATCACAGGCTTAAGGATGACCTTCATAGCCCTTAAGCGACTATTTACTTAACTTACCAAACGCAACGCCCAATTCTCCTACGTCGAAAGTAATCACTGAACAAAATCCGTCAGTTGACGACCCTATCAGCAGCAAACCGTCTTGTGACCACGTCAAGTCGGTTAATCTGGTGTAGTGGATGTCTTGGAATCGGGCAAACGGAAAGATTTGCTGGGTATCGTAGAGAATGATGTCGTGGTCGGTGCCAACCGCGAAAACCATCCTGTAGGGCAGTTTGATGAACGGATCCGGCCCGTCGTCGCGGAGCTCGAAGAGAAGGGGGCAACAGCGCACGACGGTGCTACTTTGTTTCGTCAGCGGTAAGATGGCGGCCGGGCTAAAGCGAGTTAATTGCTCAGAACATTTCCTTCTTAGTTCCGTGAGTGAACTTTTTATCTTAAAACACTGTGTCGGTGTAAAAACTTTGAATAAAGAATCAGTTAGTTGTTGATAACAGAGGTTTAAAATTTTATGTGTTCACTAAACATGGGTAGAGACCGAACTTGTTTTCTGCTGGCTTTGAAACAGCGATATGAAAACAATTTCAATCTCGTAACGTAAGTAAAATTGGAACTGTGCTGCCATCTTTTGATTAGTGAATAAATTAAATACGAATTCTTCGAGCAATCGTGAAATCTACTCTGTAAGCCGGGGGCTATTCAATTTACATATTTACACTACTGTCACTGATCCCAGTTTGTACGTATCAGGAACCTGGTATAAAATAGTATAAAATCCTTGTTGTGTCTTACGTAGAACTCTTCTGAGAAGCATAAAAACTATAAATTGTGAAGTTAAAATGTCAAAAATCCCAAGACATTTGAAATTCATTGGTCAATATATCACATTAAATATATAAAAGTCCTCGACATTGTGATTAATATGATTTATTAAATTAGTTGTTTTAGTGGGAAACATGTAGCTGCTTCAATTGTGAGAAAAATTTAGATATATAAAAAGATTAGGAGTTCCACCAGTGGAATCTGTGGAATGGGGACTCGGGTGACTTGTGAGTATAGCAATAAACACAAACACTTACCAACCCCAATTATCCAAAGTGAAGATCAAGGTAGCGTTAAGAGGCTTACACCCATCGGCTTCTATATACCCCGATGGGACAATTAGTAATGATCCATCAGGGGTAAACTGCAACCTCCTAAAGAAGGATTTGAATGTGTCGTCATGAAAAAATTTAACCTCTTTGTTATACAGCACATGATTTTCTGGAACGGACAGCTTTCCTTTATTTATTCTGGCTTTTATTTGTTTGCCTGTTGTGTCAAATACTCTGCAAATTTTGTCTGTGCTTATTGACGCGATCAGTTGATTTTTAGGGTCCCAGCAGACACCCTGTGATAATGGTATATTGGTCTCTGTTGGTTAATTAACGTTAAATTTACCTGGACAAACCCTTTATGGTCAGTGAGAATATGGTCTAATTTACCCTTAGTAATGTCCCAAAGAATGGCGGTATTATCTATTGATCCAGATATTAGTTTTGAATCTCCGATAGACCAGCACAAATCATACACATCCTCTTTGTGACCTCGCAGCACTTTGTACACTCCCCACATTTCTTTGTCTCCATTCTCAGTATCACATTTTTGTTGCCAAACGATAATGTTAGCATCGTCATCAGCGGACGCTAAGTATTGGCCCCCATTTGACCACCTGACGCAGTTTACAGCTTTCTGGTGCCTTGTTAAATCAGAGAAAACTTCTTGTTTAACTGACCCGTTATCAGTCAAATTCAGATCCCACAACTAAAATAATTTCGACTTCTTTAATAAAACCAAACGAGAATAAACTATATTCAACTTACAACAACATGACAATCACCTCCTCCCGTGGCTAACCTGTAAATGGAGTCGGATTTGGGATAAATGTCTACGCTCAGTACCGGTTCTCTGTTATGCCACGAAATTTCGGGGATCGTGCATTTCATTTTAACTGCTTTTGGTATATTCGTTATTTTTCCTCTAAAGCCAAACAAAATAGCTTAATGAAAACAAAATCAACTTGACACTTTCATTTGGGACATAATTGCACTTGCCGCCAAAATCAAAAAGCGGCGTCCGTTCTTCTTTTCCAATTTCTTCTTCTTTCTTCAATTGGATTGGGCGAGTGTGTTAGGATTATTTAACAAACAACGACATAAATCAGACCGATTACAAAACAAAACTCCTTATAGGATAGAAAGGAAACTCTGATGTTTAGCGGTCGTTGCGTTTGTAAACTGCTGGTTGCCGGAAGTAATGGATTTAAATTGCACCGTTTCTAATAAAACAAATTTTTTGATTCTCACGCAATTCTAAATTTTGATGGATCAAGACTTGAAATAACAAAACATGACCTCTAAGGAAAAGGAAGTCGGTAATGGGCGAAGTATTGCTCATAACTCTGTAAGACGTATTGAGAAGACGAATATTCTGTGCCTCCGGATGTTTTTTATTTATTGCTCCGTCTCTGTCGCGCAGGTGTGAACTAAAAAGAGGTCAACAACACCGAGCGGACAGAAAGAACCAAATGTCGAAATTGAAATCGTATGGCGGCGTGAGCGTGGAATTGTTGCGTAAATAGAGCATTTTTCGGAAATTTTGAGCGATTCTCTTGTTTTTCATTGAAATTTGACCCACACGGACTTAGAGGTAAGTCTGTTGCGCTTAATGCAAAATTGAACGCATTGCTGAGGGATTTACTTGACTCAACAGCTGTATTTGTTATTGTTTATGTCGGCATCGGGGTATGGCATGGTTCTAGAACGTCCGTTTCATAATATTGACATTTCGATGAAGCGTATCAAATTTATATTAGGGTTTTACGGCAAAAATTGAAAGAAAGAACTGTTGAAAACATATTTTTGGTGCATTGCGTTTGGTCACGTAGGCTAGGCCGCGACGTTGCAAAAAAATCAAGCGGTACAGAGAGGGAACTTAAAAAAAAAACGGGTAGTTATTAGAAATAGGAGCGGCGGTATTTATTTTGCAATTTTTACGATATTATTCGTTTTTTTTTATCTCGTATTATTTACGCTTAATTTCCGTAATAATAGAGGCGACTTATCGTTTTCATTTTAACTGTCAAGGCCGACTATAAATATTTGCTTCGCAGATATAGATAAAATTCAATAATTATAGGTATAGCTGAAGTAAAATTAAGTATTGTTTTTTCTAGCTATAGACAGTTGACCACCCAAAAACTAGCCTTGCGTTCAGTTCGCAGCGCCCGGCCTGTCTTCTCTATTTTCCTTCCCTTTGCCTCCTTTAGACGCACCACTCGTCCTAGATGGCACACGACAGAGGAGACATTGCTGTCGATAACATCGACGCTGAGGAGGTTTGTATTCAGCACATACAGGGTCATTCACATAGTTTGGCAGAGAACTTTAAAAAAAGTTATTCAAGTACCGCTAATATAACATTAAAGATTATGGTTCGCTGAACATGGTGGGATAAAATAAAAAAAAACTAAATAAATAAAAGAACAATTTAATAATATTAAGTTAATATTCTCTAGATTTTTCTAAGTTGTTTTAATAAAGTTATCAATATTTTGCCCCCATCGTTTACCAAAAAAAATACATCAGGTGGACATCGAAAAGGCGGTGGAGCGCGAAATGGAAATGGCGGCCAAGGAGAATGCTACCAGTTCATCGGTGGAGGCGGCGACCAAGCGTAAACCGCGCAAGATGCACAGGCAGAATAGTAAAGAGGCGGGAGCGCCGAACGCGGGCGGCTTCGTCCATAAAGCGAGGTAAAAGTTCTTTTTGGAATTTTTCGTCGCTTCTGCGTACGTGGCTTTCAAAATGGCCTAGTACCATTTTTTTGTGAAATGAAGGAATGTGCAAATACCTTTGCAAAATAATAAAGGTGAAACATCGGCCGGTTTCGCTGGTAAAGGGTGATCATCAAAAGATTTGAAATCCTTGAAGTTTGAAGAGCTCACATCTTCTGTAACACGTATACAGATTATTCTTCTACAGGTGTTACACACGACTATTCAATTTTCAGATACATCAGTTTGCCATTCCACAAAATGTCTCCAAAAGGGACTTATTCTTTTAATTAAGTTTTATCACATTTACTACACTCTTCAACATTGCCCACAATCATTGTTTCTTTACTAACGCCGTTTTTTGCTTCTTTGAACTTGCTAAGGAGTTATACAATAAAAATCATGTTTCAAAGCACTACAGAAATATCACAAAGGCTTTCAAAAGGTGGGGTAGTAAATTTGGTTTAATTCGTGAGCTGGAAATGTCTTCGTCTGTCGCCGTGCCGTATTTGGTTTAGCATTTTTAGGCATTTTCTTATCCATTTCGTTTATCCAAAAAAAAAAGTTGTATTTGAACGCGTCAATCTTTCAATCTGAGACTAGCGACTCATCCCAAAATTCCGCAGGTCTTGGAAAAATAGTCGTCGCTCGCGTAACGGTTACGGCCGTGGCCTGCCGAAAAAAGGCGGTGCCGGCGGCAAGGGCGTGTGGGGCGTGCCCGGATCCGAGCTGCTCGAGGCCTACGAGGATGTCAACGATCCCAACTTCGACGCCGAGAACCTGAGCAACGGCGACATTGAGCTCAAGGCGGTCGTGCCCGAGGAAACCAACGAAGAGATCAGAAATAAGGTTCGTTTTCGTCTCCCACAGTCTCGACGTCACTCACCGTGCCCCTTCTTTGTTTTCGTTGGCAGTGCGTGCCCATCATTCTTGAGTACTTCGAGAGCAACGACGCTCACGAGGCCGCTCTCTCGGTCCAGGAGATGATACCGATTAATAGGCGCGACGTCTTCGTCGAGCAGGCGATCCAGACCGCCATGGACCACAAACCGTCCCACCGCGAACTGACGTCGGTGCTTATTTCGGACCTTTACGGTTACGTCGTCACAGAGTTCGATATTGTCAAGGCGTTCGAGAACCTACTCTCGAACATCAACGATTTGATTTTGGATATACCGGACGCGCCCGTCATTTTGGGTGAGTGCAACTAGCGTGACGTCAAAACCACGCCTCCTTCAGTAGGTGAGATGAGAAACACTATTTACAAATAATTTGGATTCCTCCTGCGTCGAACTTGCTGACGTTTCGCCAATCATCCTTCTGGCTTCTTCAGAGCTTAACTGAAACTGGCTCGAATTCTACTCTCTGCCCTGCCTATATACTGTCTGAAGGGGGCGGAGCTAAAGGAGGGCTATGAACATAATCTTGGATTACTGATTCCCATATTGGTGTAAGGTAAAGCCGGAGTGGCGAATAGAAATGTATAAGCAAGAAACGTCCTTACTTATCACTAATATGGGAATCATACCCGCTACTTCTTGGTCAGGAACTTTCAGTGGGATTAAGCGATTTTTTTCGTTGTGTTAAAAAACCTGTGCGGCTTCCCAAATTTTAAATCAAGGCACTGGATACGGTCTGTAGCGCCATCTGAAATATACTGACAATTAAAACATAAAATTTAACTTATGGTAGACAAAGTCAATTTGGAGTTTTTTGCAAAAGTTGTTGTTCCGAAGTGCCGCGTTTCGCTGTTTTTCCAATAAGACAAGCGGTTTTCTGAAAAAAAGAAAAAAAAATTAACTCGAAAAATAAAAACAACAAGCAAGCAAGCACAAAATTGCTTAGCGTGTAATTAATAATATTTTAACTTTAAGCTGGAAATAGTGTTCAAAACTATTAAATCCATCAGTCAAAATCATTTTATTATTTCCATAAAATCGTGATCATCATTCATAATTCTCAGGTAATTTCATCGCCCGTGCCATAGCCGACGACTGTATCCCGCCGCGTTTCATCGTCGCAACCAAGGAGAAGAGCGACGACCCCAAGTTTCAGGAAGCGCTGATCCGCGCGGATACGCTCCTCTCCATGAAACACGGCCTCGTGCGTCTCGACAACGTGTGGGGTATCGGCGGACCCCTTCGACCCGTCCACGCCCTCATCCGGCAGATGACGCTGCTGCTGCAGGAGTTCGTGTCGGCCGGCGACGTCGAGGAGGCGGCCCGTTGCCTCGCCGCGCTAGAAGTGCCCCACTTTCATCACGAGCTCGTCTACGAGGCGATAGTGATGGCGCTCGAGGCCAACAACCAGGCCACCGAGCTGGCGATTTGCAAACTGCTCAAGGCGTTCGATACCGCCATCCTGATCACCACCGATCAGATGGAGCGCGGGTTTTTCCGGGTATTCGACGATCTACCGGACATTTCGATGGACGTGCCACTTGCCTACGTCATTTTGGACAGGTCAGCCTTCCGTGGGGAGTTTATTGATTTTTTTTTTATTTAAAAGTTGGGCTATAAGTAATTTTTTGTGGAAAACTGCGGAAAACCAACTTTTTTTTTTCGTTATCTCGTGCTAAGGAACATTATATTCAAAAGAGAACACGTTCTAAACGCACACGAATACCGTTGCCACACTTATATTTTACTAAGGGGCACTCCTAAATTTTCACCTACTTAAATTGTCATCCATTTTTTACAGTTACCTGAAAGGTAACATTGGTAGCCACTATTTATTCTAACCTTAGAATACCATTGTTAGAACAGGCTTTCTGTATTTTTTATTAATTATTTTCGCCACTTCATATAAGTTTCTGATTATTAAAATTTACTTAGAACTAAAGTCCGGCCAATTCAACTTGTTCCAAAGTAAAGTTTGGAGGAATCGAATCAAAAGCGAGTTTAAAATTAACGAAAGCTACAAAAACCTTTTTTTTTGGTCAAAGAGCCTTTTTAACAAAATTTGCGTAAATAGTTTTACGTTGCAATAAGCGCGATAGATCAGGAATTTGACCCCAAGTGAGCACAGATAGAATCTGTTTTTTAAAGAACAAATTGTTTATATTTATTTCTCAATTTTTGTGTTGAAATAAAGTAATCAACTACGAGAAGAGAAATTCCCATTACTAGACAACTATTTCTATTATGAAATTTGGGGTATACCAGGACAAAAAAAAATAGTAGTAAGAAATTTCGTTTTTTAACCTTGTAAATTATATCACAGAAATTAAAAATTCTTTCCCCATTGGTAACTAAAAGTGGTTATCGTCGAGCCTTACGGGTTAGTAAAATTTCCTCAAAAGGTGATTTCAAAGTTAAAAACCACAATATATATTTTTAATCGTTTCTGCGACATTAGTAATAAATAGTGATATTTGTCTTTCCCTGCATCCTCTCGAGAGCTTAAAAGATCAAACGCCTACACAAGCTAAAACGCTGCTCATGTATAGCTATTTAATTGAAAATATTACCTGATTATAAATTGCCCAAAACAAATGAACAAGCTTACGTTTATTTTTGTCGTTCGCACAGGTTCATAGATTTGTGCCGCGACGAGGGTTTCCTGACCAGCAACGTAGTAAAAAGGTGGCCGTCACGGGGCCGCAAGCGGTTCGTCTCTGAGGGCGACCACTTCATCTCGAAAGGCGGGGCGGACAAAAATGCCAAGGTGCGCGAGTACTGAGGGTGACGACCACGAAATCGAGAGGGTGGAGACGTTCGGGGGGGTCCGCATTAGTGCCGCGGTTTCTCTCAAATAGTTCTTGGTTAGTTTTCTATGCATTTTCCAGATATAACGACCACGCCCTTTCCGCATCGAAGTGGGCGGCTTTAGTTTCCGGTATATCAACCCCTGTGTTGATTTATTTCTTTTTGTACATGTTTAAATTGGTAAATAAATATTATTAAGAGTTATGGTCGGGTTTGTGTGTGGCGGATGCGCTCTTCCCTTCATTCAGAAAATAGGATATGCAAAAAGAATTGTTAAATGTGTTTGGAAAGGGTTCTTACATTGAAAAAAGGAAATTTTCAATTTTTTCCCTTTTGAAAGAAAAGGATATTGGTTAAGCTTACATAATTGGGCAAGTTTAAGCCAAGTGCTCTTGCAACACCACTACAATGAGTTGGTGAAACAATAATAATACAAAGCAATACTTTATGTCATCACAAAAAGGATAATAAATGAAAAAAAAACACGTAGGTGAGCCTAACCTTTAGATCGAAGTAGTACAAAATGGCCCAGTAACCAAAATAACAAACTTTAAGCTATCGGACATCAAACACACTCTAGCTGGTGGATATCCATTGAACTCTACCTATGTAACTCTTTTGGATATCACTTCATAAATTCTTTTGAAATCCAAAAATACTCTTTTAAGAAATATTCAAATATTACAATTTTTGAACAATACTAGTAATAATTAGTGTGTACTTACTACAAGTCATGTACAATAAATTGGCTCCAATAAAATGGCATGACGAGAATTGTTTGGTTAGAATCCTAAGCTTTAATCACGGCAATTGGAACGTTAGTTTATGGCTAGTAACTGTTATGATTATTTGTTATTTATCTACTGTAGAAGAAGAAGAGGAAACATTGTTCAAAAGAACCTAACCTAGAAAATATAAGAGAGAGTGTTAATATTATCAGTGTACTCCTAATTATTAATAAAGTTATTTTAGTTTAATACCTTCGTGTGTTCGTAAATTCACAAAAGTAACGATTCTTCTTTTCTGTACATGCGTACTAAATCTAGGCCGTGACGTCGCATAATAGGTGTTTTCAAAAATAATTATAAATTAAATGAAGAGTGATTGATTCGATCGAGAGATCCATCAAAGAAATGTCCTTAGAATTCTTGAAATTAGCTTTTGGTATGGTTTGCTTTATACTTTCATTATCCAGTATACATAAAAATATAACTCTGAAACAACGCGTCTAAATTTTCTGTCATTCTTTATTATATCCGACAATTAATATTTAAAGGATACCCAAACACTATCCGCTTTTGGATGTCCAAAAACTGTACAAAAAATGTGCACGGATAATGTATGGATTAATTTGACATATCCAGTGGATGTCATGGGCTATTTGGTAAGTTAAAAATGTTCTAATATTACTCATTTTAAGATAAGCAAACAGTCAAAATAAAATACCTCGTTTGATCGAAAGTAGTTTTTATTTATCTATTTCATTTTTTAGTGCTAATATAATATCTACGGCTGCTGCAGTACCCTCTGTTGGTTGTCAACGGCACAAAGTGTATAATTTAATTTAGCTGTTATATTAATAAAATAATTTTAATATCAAAAATGATTGCTTTAAAATCAAATTAAATAAATTTAAAATGATTATTGATATTGTTATTCAAATATGTCGCTCCCTTAATGTGATGACTCATACTTTAGCGTAGTGGAGGGCCGGGGAGAATCGCAAATAAAAACAGATAATTATTATCTAAAATGGTCGGCTTTATTATACGAATCGCCGTTCCAGCGGAATAAATGTATCACAGAGCGGTTGGAAGGTAGGGGTGGCGCGCGCCGGCTCAGTCCCAATCGCCGACGTAGAGGCTGCCCGGCTCTTGGGGCGGGAAACCTCGCAGCGGCAGATGGAGGCGATAAAACATGTGATTGTACGGCGAGTGCGACAAAACGGAATCTGGAAAAACCCCAAAAATAGTCAAACTGTAGTTTTAGTTCTTACCAGTTTTACAATGGCGCTGTCGCTTCACTAACCAATGTTTTTACTTTATCACCGCTGGGCAGGAGGAAATGTTGACAAAAGGGGAAAAATTAAACAAAAAGATGTTTCGCGAAACTCCTAGTGAAGATAATGTTTCAGTACTAGAATTTAAATGGAGATGGGCAAAGAATCAGCGGATATAAGAGGGGAGGACAATGAAATCATGACAGCAGCGTCAACGGTGTGCCACAGAGTAGACAAAGAAGCAGACGCAATTCAAATCATTTAAGTTTTGATCAACGTCAGAAACACACCTCTCACACCTCTTTAGTTCTACTGCCGATTACCTTCATCGACAAGCTTTTGTAAAACTGGTTTAGAGCTTTAAAAAATGTTGGTTTGATAACTGATCCAGTTTGATACCGGATAAGCATATTGTTAACGTTAAGTAATTCTTAAAATATATGAGAAGTTTAAATGTTTACCCACATTATATGCTATTAGGCATCGAATCAGACTGTATTTTGTTCGGATATCAACGACTAGGTGACACTCGAGCCGGTTTTACAATTTACGTAATTTTGAATGTCACGTTACAGCCAGTTTCCATTAGAATTTTCCCGTCTTTTTTTTGTTGAAATGTTGTTGAAAATGACGGGGGCCAAAAGGAAAACTATGCTGAGAAACAAGGAAGAAATTCATCATTTATCATTTTTTATTATTTTTTATTATTTATAGCATTTTCATTTACATCGTTACATGGCTTAGAGGACCTAAGAAATCGAATTATTGCTGGGTTCGCCATTTCGTGAGAAGATTTCAACAGTTTTTGTAAATTTTTTGTATGATAAATATTGAGTAATTTATAGTAGAGTTGTTCACAAATATTATTGGAAAGTATCACATGCAATAAAATAGTTTTGACTTAGTTTGTCATTATATGAGTAATTAATACGGTTAGACATGTTGCAGTGTTTGAACGTGCCCTGAAATTCTTTGGAATTCCGAGGAAATGTAACGAATTTCAGGAGATGTTCACAAGATAAAATATATTTAGTCGTATTGATTAGAGATACCCAGACCATATTAAAGCAATCGAAGAAAGAAGAAAAAATCGACCTCACCTATTGGTCAAAGGGTTTAATAAAGCTGAGGTTTTAAAGTTGACAACTGGCTTACGCGTCGTCAGTGCATAATGGAATATTTACCGAGTGCCGTCTGTGTCAAAACTGGTAAACGTCAAAATCTACCGAAAACATCCGGTCGCTGTCAAACTCTACTAAAACGTCCAAAATACTTGGGACATCCTAAAGTAACACTTTTTGCAAGCTTGATCTGTGCTTGATCTGTTATTACCAGTCTCAACCAACTGGTAATAAAAATATCTGTATTTTGTAAACTCTTCGAAATTCCACGGAATTTCACTAATAATTCCTTGATAGTATACACCATAATTCAATTGGGGTTTTTCCCTCGGTTTATCATATATTTTGGGTGGTAAGTGTTCTATTAGGTTTTCTCCAATTCTACTGGTTTCCAGAATAGGAAATGCGCACTTCCAATAGAAACGCGTCCATCTTCGCTTCCTAATTTATTGCGCTTACCCAGTCCGCTCTCCAGACTCCGCGCGTGCCACAGTCCCGCGGAGGAGTCGCGGCTGTTGCGCGGCTGCTGCGCCTGCGATAGTTTGCGCACGTGCTGCTCGATCGTCGACCTGGGTTGGGGTCGCGGTGCAGATCGCCGCCCCGTCAGCTTCGCCACGAAGTTGGGTATCCTGGCGCGCAGCCCGCAGTAGTACGGATCGTCTACGACAAACGACGACATGGGAGGCGCGATCTGGGCCGCAGCCCTGCCACACCTACCTACTCCTTTCCGGTCTTTGATTTTCGGTTTCGCGCCTTTCGCGGACGGGATTCGCTTGAGCGTAGTGTTTTCGTAGGGCGGGAAGGGTGGACCCGCCGATTCCGCCGGGTTCTTCCTCGGCGGCAGTAGGGGCGGCTCGTCCGCTCGGCTACTGGCCGCTCTGATGTCAAGGACGCTCGAGGACGACGCCTTCGAATGGCTCGCCACGCTGTAGGGGTTCTCGTCGGGGACGGGGTCGGGTGGTGCCATCTCTGGACCTGCGGCAGAAACACGGAACTACTGGCGGTTGCATATAGATACTAGAGGCGTAGGGGCCCTGCCTAATGCGCCATGAATCAGGCAGGCATAGAATCATATCTTTTGTTGATGATACCGTTTTACTACTTCATGGTGACACTTCTCATGAGACACACGCAGAGTAGTTTTCTCGTGGTGCACTGGTTGAAGGAACATGATCCATTCTTAAATACGAAAAAAATAAACCGGATTTTGACTATATGAAAATTTGCAGGACTAACGACCTAGTTAAAGAAAGTGGTGAAATCGAATATTAAGAATAATTATTGATCCATACCTTAGGTAAGAAAATCTGTTTAAGCATATAAAGAACTTGGTCTGAGTCTTTATTCCTCTTAATATACAGGTCGCTCTAGACTCACTTACGCATTACGGCATATTGGTGTGGGATGGTTTGTATAGCAGAAATTAAATGTCCTTCAGAACTACATTTTAAAAATCTTGCACCCTCAAGGGATGCTAAACCCAACTCACTCACTATTTAACAGACACATATGTAATACTAGAACTCTTTTCCTTATTAATATTCCTTTTGCACAGAGTTCCGGCAAGCAATATATACATATATAATTAGCAAACCCGTGATAGTACTGAGTATCCCAAAGTTTCTAATCTACAATGTTCCCAAAGTCTATAATGTCTTGCCCCTAACTACAGACGATTTAGAACTGCACTCAAGGCTTTCATCCATACAAATCCGCAGAAATTTAAGAGATTTTGTTTCATCTTCTAGGATTTCAAGATGGCCGTTACACCACCTTGTTTAAAGCGGGCTGCTGGATATTGCTCAATTATATTGTTCGAATATATTAAAATATGTAAAAACGGAATAGTTTTCAGAAAAATATGTTTTATTTGCTGCTATTATATCGAATTTTTATTTTTTCGCCTTTGCTTTCACATTATATATATTTTCTATGAGCATTGAAAAAAATGTTACTGTGCCTAGACGCGGCGTTCAATAACCAACATGGCCGCTGACAGTTCGCGAATGCACCAGTGAGACATTAAATTATTGATTTCCAGCCCGCTGCCTGCATACCTGGTGACAGTCTCGACTTGAGCATATCGAGGGCGACGATGTTGACTAGCAGTAGCCAAAGGGGGCTCTTGAGCAACTCCGCTTCCGCTTTGACGAACACGATGGCGGTTACGCACTGCAGCTCGAGCCGTTTCCGGTCGGGGTAGGAGCGCTTCAGCTCCGAGAAGACGTTCGACTCGAACCGTTTCATGTCGAACAGTTTGACTGGCTTGTTCGGCTCGAGCGTTCCTGACGGCAGCCGCAAGAGGTCGCGACCCATCGCGTTCTCCGCGCTCGCGCTCTTGATGTACACGTGCGACCTAGACACGCGCTTGATCAGGATGTTGCCCGACTCGTCCATCTTTATTTTGACTCCCTATATAAAACGAGAGAATGGTTTATGAAGGGGGGCCGCGCGGCCGGCCATATAGGCCACCTAGGCTATAGAGAAAACTAATAAAACTAAAAAAGCTCTCACGAAATTATATATTTTTACATGACAATTGTTTCGACAACTACAAACTACCTGCTACTGTATAGACCCAAAAATGACAATAAAACAAAATAAAACAAAAAGTTCAATAAAGGAGAGGTGTTTAAATCTAACTGATCGTAAAGCAAAACATTTGAATGTCTAAATTTTGTTAATCTCCATGGTTTTTATATTTCATATATTATCTTTTTTCTTATTATTTCGTATATTTTCAATGACGACATGAGAAAAAGGAACCGACTCTCCACAATATATTAAATATCATTTATGTCACTTAGATATTTGTATAAAAACAGGGATATATTAAAAAAAAATAACTACGAGTTTTTTGTTCTTTGGCAGTCCAAGGGTGGACTGCGAAGAATTAAAAACTTACGAATACGTTTTGATTGGTTAGTTAGTTAGGCAAGCTAAGTATGCTTGAGTTGCTTAATATGCAGCACAGACTGAAATTGCATTTAGCAATATCTTCAAGAAAAACTTGTATGAAATTCATTATACTGTGATATTTGTTACACTGACCAACTTAATATGCCGCGTCACAAAACAATCACAGAATCAATGTCGTAAAACATTATTTGTCGCTGAAATCTAAGTTTAAGAATTATTTCCTTAATACATAATATTGATATATTTGACACATATTTTATAGAGTGTGCGTTTTATCTTGTGATATTAAATCATACTGCTATATCTTTGTTAATTAAAATTATAGCATAGGTGCTAATAATATATTATTATAATATAATTACAATAACTTTCTCGGTTAACAAAACACAGCTATGATGCACTTCGTCGAGTTGAAAATAAAAGACGTTTTTATTTTATTCTAATACTGTAGGTAGGTTTAAAGAATAAAAATATAGACATCAACACCTATAATTAGGGAAATCGTTATTTAATGTTTCTTGGATGACACCCAATGAAGGAATTTCTCTTGTGTTTGATTTTGGAATTTGGAATTTCACATCACTAAAGGAAACCCGCGGGCGTGGACCGGTAAAAGAAAAAGAATGACCGCGAGTCATAACTTTTAGCTGAAAGCAATGTTGCCAATCGTTGCGAAGCTAATAAATATTAAAAAATTTTACGTGAGAACTCACTGCAATTTTTCTAGTTTTATCCGAAGAAAATAAAAAATAAATGGTTTTTCTCATGTTGGTGGTTACTTTAAGAATATATGTTACTTAAAGAATGTATGTTTACATGTATTTCAAATATATATAAAATGGGATTTTAACTATTTCTTTTTTATTTTCTTATTTTCTTCCTTACTGTCTTTAAGCAAGCAATTTATACTGTTCTCCTTTTTTATTAGTCTTCTCCAACTTACGTGGCCAACGTGGCGACGGCACTCCTCGGTCTTCCGGTCCCGGTACGGGTTATCGAATCCTGCCAAGCCGATCCTGAAACGCAGAAGCGGCTTTTCTAACCTCCCAGCATAGATAATGAAAATAAATAGATGTTTAACTTAAATTGGAGAAGTACTAACTTATTGTAGTTCGCACTGCAACTGCCTGTCGGTAGCATCTCAACAAATAAGTGTTAAAACTGTTATGAATTACCATCGCTGGTAATTATTGTATGTGTTGAAAATTTGTTTTATGTTATAATTGTTAGAAATGCCGTTATTATCAAAATGCATTTTCATAAGTATGGACTAAGTTTTCGCGTCTATTGATAAACTTGTCAGCACAGTAAGAACAACTGGTTTCTAATGCAGTTAACTATCTATTTACATCCTTTATCTACGCTACCCCAGCTCTGTCCCGAGGATTTTAAAGTCTGTTCATAGATATAAGAAAGTGACTGACTGATACGAATTAAGGAAAGACCCGGGCAAGCTGTAAGAATTAAATATGGCAGAACAGGACCGTACTTTGCTTAGAATTTAATTATTTGGGGTTTTGTTAGGAAAGATACTAAACAATATTTATTCATTTATGTATGTATTTATGTTTAAACCTAAAATAAAATTACAAATTATTTTTATTACATTGTTTATATCTTCCTTAGTCTCAATAGAATAGTGTTTTCAACATTTGGGCGGGAGCATCTCTTGAGAATATTAAACACAGGTAGGTATAAAATTATTTTCTATTACGGACCACAATTTTACCTGAATTTAAATTTAATTTCCATTCAAAAGCAATTGGTCACTTTCTTATATCTATGAACAGACCATACCTGAATCCGTCAAAACCCGAATCCGAGCCGTTGACGCTGAGCACGGGCGTTCTCGCATAAGCCTTCGCCACCCGCCGATTCTTCTCGAACACGATCACCTTCGCCCAAATTTCATCGTCTATTTGAGTCCATTTGTTCAAGACCTCCTCGATGTGGTCCTAAAAGCGGTCCTGGCAACTATAAAACCGTCACTTTCGATCGTCTGCGGTATTCGCGAATTGGACCTAAAGGCGGACCTGAAGTATCTATTTATACATGGATTCGATATTCGACGGAAAACCCTTCAAGGGTGATAAACGTGTCTAAAAGTTTTACTTATGTTATCGATTTTTATTCATTCTTCAATAAAAATGACATAGCTACCGGAAGTTACGTAACCGGGGGTAGACATGCGAACTTATTCATATCACTATTAGGGACCCCACTCGAAAATATTAAAATTAAAGAAACTCTATGGGATATTCCGTCGAGTGACGTTCATTTTGAGTGTAATAAAAACTAAAATAAATAAGTCTCGACGCATAGGGAAGACTCAGACTTCATTTTGGAGAAACCAAGAAATTGTCGACACTTTAACGAACAGTAAACTAACTAAAGAAAAGGAAACTTGTAGCATATACTGTGAAAGGAAAATCAAAGAAAGAAAAACCAGTTCGAGTTACTCTGTCAATGTAAAGATTCTGACGACTCCACTCCTAAACAGTTAGAGAGAGATTTGCAATTTGCATGTTCTGTGGATTACCATTGCGTCAACTTATATATTTTATTTCATAAAATATGTTAAAATTCAAACAGGTTTTTCGAAACTACCCCTTTGCCGGAAGTGGACTCATATTTAGGTTAACACGCGTAATATCAGTAATATATTACAGTTCATTATACTATGTATTACGTGAAAAATTCGGCAACGTTTCAACCGTCTGGCAATTTTCAATTTTGCGATCTGGCAACATTGGTCGCGTAAGGAAATCGGCGTGAATCATTGCGCAAAGGTCGCAAACGCTTCCAGATTTCGTCACCGGATCATAAATAAATAGCAAATACCACCAGGCGAACCGGATCACAGACTAAACTGCGTTGCGTAAGCGCGTACGTGTCGTCGGCTGGGAACGGCCTTGCGCACGATTTTGCAAGTCCAATTGGCGCGGCTACGCGAGCGATTTCTTGTGTAAGTCGTACTTGGCGTACGCGTATAACTGTCGATTTTTAAGACGACGCACCTTCAGCAGCTTCTCCGTTTGATACCAAACGTCCTCGGAGTGGTCGTGCAGCATGGGAAGGTCGTCGCGCGACCGGGACAGTATCCTCCTCCTGGAGATCATTTCACTCTTTTCCGGGAGTGTGCTCCGTGCGACTCTGAAAACTATTCGAAAGCTGACCCTGTCGTCAATATCACGGACTATTAAATTACACAGAAGCGAAAGAAAAGCGGTTTGACAGTTCTAAATGCCGTCAAGTACCTTTGCGAGATTTGAGCCTTAGTTGTAAGGAGATTAATGTGAGGTTACATTTGAGGAATCGGATACCAGCCAGTTTAAATCTTATAAATTTTCCCTCCAGATTTTAGAAATAGAAGTTTAAGACAAAATTTATTGGGTACAACTAAATTTCCTCCTAATTTTTGCGATAAAAAAAATGCAGATAAAAACATATTTATTTTTTTTCTTTTCCTTCAAAAATATATATTACATTATTGGTATTTTTTATATTTAACATAAAAAATGCCACAAACTAAAATTGTCAAAAAGTCGTGTCATTTGTCATTTGTTGTGACGTCTTTATTAAGCCATTTTGACAAAAAAAATAGTTGTTAAACTATTTACTATTCAATATCTACTATATCAACAATAACAATAATTATTATTATGATTATAAGACATAGTTAGGGGTAGTTAATTATTCTTGAAAAATATTGAAAGTGAACACCATTCATTTCTACACATAGCCGACAGCCCTTTTTTTCTATAGCTTGATTAATCCATTTAGAATGATTGATATTTATATTATTTATTTCTATCTTCAGTTTCTCTTTTATTGTATTAATTCTTTTTGCCTAGTAAAAATTTTATTTTTTAAATGGCTCTGGACGGTTAGTTGGCCATATCGTCGTTCAACGTATTTCAATCCATTCTCTTTATGTATTGTTAAGTCCGTTACGCTAGCAACGTTATATGGAGGTGCTCCATCTTGTGGCCAAATAATTTGGGCAGCTTCCTTCGGTGGCATATTATCTATAACCTCCTCTAGATCTTCTAATAATTTGTTTTTTTTTCACAACACGCATTAACAGGTCTAGTGGACTTTTCTTCTGTCGGGTACCCCTGCTGAAGATTATAATATAATTATTATTTGACAAAATCCAGCAAGGGCGTAAATTCTGGTATAGGCCTACTGTTGCGCTATTATTGACATATAGATTTAGAATTTCATTTTTTTTTCGAAAAATGCCATAATTAAACACTTTTTTTTTGTCAAAACTGCTTAATCAAGACGCCGAAACTGTCATAGCAATAATTAAACAAAGGAACGACTAATGAAAAAAATTGCGACCTATTGCCTACTAGTTGCAATGTTAAGTTTGGGATTTTTTGTCTAAAAAATAACAAAATCCGCATTGAAGAAGATATAAGGTATAAGATACATGACAAGTTTTGTCGCTTCTCTCTGGGTTCGTTTTTCTCTGATAAAAAAACACGAATGCAGTGTGTCTTCCTAGTTTCTAAACAATGGTGGGTCGAAGATTTTCGGGCAGCGGCAGTTATTTTGTAAAAATACAAAAGAAAAACGAGAATTTTAGACAGAAAGTCACATGGTGTCATACGTTTCCTAAGCTCATTAAAGTAAGATGATATAATATCTGAATGTATTGATAATGGATATATGAATAGTGTTTATTTCAAACAAGTGTTTTAACATTTAAAGTGAACAAAAATACCTATTTTATTCAGAAAACAAAAAAATATAATACATTCGACATTTGTCTCATAATAATCTTATTGTCAAGACGATATTACATCAAAATAATATGGTATGGCCGTTTAGTACTTTGTGCTTTTGATCCCGCGGAATCCACAAACATTTACCGATCACCGTCACTTTCGTTTCCCACGAATCCGAGCCATTTCGGACATATCCGGGATTTTACCGTACGGATTTGGAAGCGATTGGATATTTTAATAATAATAAAAATTATTCTTACAATTTCCAATATAAATAAATTTAATTTCTTAATTTCTTTCAATCCGATGTACGGTTTTCGCTTAAAAAAGGAAAACCTTTTCCCTGCACGGTCATAACAATATCGTTAATATGACAGCATGCGTTTTTTTTTGTATTTTTTTTATTAGAGATTACAGGGGGAATTCTGGTACATTCCATCGCAGACCAGTGGCGCCCAATAACCCACCCCTACTCTCCGGTTAACTTAATTCGTAACATCCGTTACGCCCTGCTCGCTGCTATACTGAGTGTTCCTTATATACATTTTTCTTTTTTTTTATATTCCAATTTTCTAATTTAAATTTTCAAAAAAAAACGTGCTAAATTATTATCATTGTTATTTATTACTTAATTAATTGTCTATCGGTTTTATTAAAATACTTCAAAAAATTGAAGTACCAAGTACTAAACTTAAATATTTAAAATACAACAGTATTTTTCTCGAAAGTTAAGACGTTTAGGACATATGTTGTTATGAAGTTTTGCTTTTAAAAAATTGACTACCTTAATTGTTGAAATTCAATTAGAAAACACCTTGTGTGTCAATCTTGACAGGTTATGACTACAAAAATGCTAAAAAAGGTGTGCTGTGCGTTATTTGAATCACTACTGAATTACTGTTTTATTGCAAGGGTGCAGCCAATAAAAAACATAATTGAACCTTCGTTTATGACTCAAAGATATGTCATGAAGGTGATGTTGCACGCTGCATATTCTAGTATGGATTTATTTGATGTTGCCCAAATATTACAGATTAATCAGAGGAGAGAAACTTTCCTAAAAAAAAAATCAAAAATACTTATTTCAATTTCAAATTAATATCTTTAAAAAATAAATAAATTTCATTTCAAGCAGTGGCTAATAAATAATAAAATAATTTGGTTCTTTGCTTAGTACGAATTGTTAATAATAATACCAATAATATACGTGCATATATTCAGCTTTCAGCAATTTTTTGCCCAGAATTTTATTGTATTGTTTTGTAACATTTAAATTTAGAAGTTTGCAAAAATATTTTCAGCAGTGCACATACAGACTGTGAATGTTATATTGTAAGCGTAACCAATGAGGGACTTTATAATAAAAGTTCCAGGAACAAGCAACATAAACATAATGTTCCTACGTGTCGCTTTCGGTGTGGACGTAGCTTAATAACGTCGGCGTTGCCATACACCTCGCGTTTTATGCAAATGTGTTAATTGTTGCGATGTGTGTTATTTTACCCAAACCGGTATATATAAGTGAAAGTCGTTCGAGCGACGCGACGCCACGATCGGATAAAAACTAATTTTGGGCACCTATCTCCATTTTAATTAATAAATGTCCTTTCCAAAGGGTGTCTCATTGTTACACCATTCCAGAATTAAAATTAAGGAGATAATATATGCAATACCTAATACGCACACCTGTCTATATCCCTTCCAGTGCCTTATTACCTACATTCACTTTACAAGTTAACGGTCTTAATTGGTCGATTGGTTTGCCCGCAAAAAACTCACGTCCCGCCCGAGATACACCAAAATGCCAATGGCAGTAATTCGGGAAAAAAAACCGTACCTCGGATTTTACGTGACGAGTCGTCGGTATATACGTGCGATCTACGCGAACATTTTCAATTGGTCGGAGGCGCGAAAAAGACTAACGTCGCCGCGCGCGAGCCGTTTCAGCTCTCTTTAACGACTTTCACAACCCATATGATAAATAAGCAAAAGCAATTATAAATGCCGCAAACGCAGGGTCAAGCAGGCGGCGCGGTCGGTCAGTTTCGGCTAGAAGAAAACAACTCATTTTTGCATTTCCAAATATTAGCACGCGCGCGGATGGTCGCGCAGCACGCGCCATATTCCTAAGGGTAATGTCTGTTCATAGATATAAGAAAGTGACCAATTGCATTTGAATGGGATTATCCAGGGGTGGTCATTAACGTACAATGCAACAAGATTATTACCTAAAGTTTCGGAATTTAAATTCAGGTAAAATTGTGGTCCGTAATAGAAAATAATTTTATACCTACCTGTGCCCAAATGTAGAAAACACTATTCTATTGAGACTAGGGAAGTTATAAACAATATTTATTTGACACTCATTGAACGTGGTGCCAGCAAACAAGCATCTTTAGAAGAAACGCCCACGTTGACGAAAATTCCAGCTGTATGGAAAATTGTGAATAATCCCATTTCAGCCAGGAAAAAAAGAAGCGATGCTGATATTTTCTCGAGTGTAGATGTAGTGATCAAGATATAATACGGCGTAAAATTTACCAGTTATACCAGGAACGAAGCTTGCCTATATTAGATATCTTAATTAGGAGGCTTGAAAAACACATGGGTTTTTGATTTAAAAAAATTGACAAAAGAGAACGCCAAAGGCCAATTATTTGCTTGGATGAAACCTGGTTAGACACTTATGTTGCCCCGGAAAAGGGTTGGGTTGACTCAACTGATAAGTGTAAAACAAACGTGCCATCGAAAAGAGGTAAAAGAATAACTATTTTGCATGCTGGCTCTAAGGATGGTTGGCATCCACATGGAGTTTCTCTGTCTGCGAAAAATATTAAAGATTCTTCTCTGGATTACCATGAAGACACCACCGCTGATTTACTTGAAAGTTGGTTTAAAAACAAACTAGTTCCAAACATTCCTCCGAATAGCGTCATCGTAATGGACAATGCAAGTTATCACAGTAGACAGTTGACTAAAATTCCTTCCTCATGTGACACAAAAGCAACAATCCAAAACTACATGTATAATAACGACATTTATTTTCACGAAAATTATACCAAAAAGCAATTAATTGAGGTCCTACAAAGCTTGAATCTACAAAAGGAATGCATCTGTGATAATTATGCACTGTATATTTAACCCCATTGAACAATGTTTGGCACCAACTGAAATCTGCCATTCGTTGTAACAATGTTTTTCCCCGTGTTAACTCCAATATCCTCAAACTTATAGAAACCGAGGTTTTTAACATCCCTCCACAAAGTTGGGCAAATTCTGTTAAACATAGAAAAAGCAGAACAATCGTATATCCTTATTGCAAATAATATAGAACAAATAATAATTAGAACACGCGATGATAGCGATAGTGATACTGATATATCTGAATAATTTTAAGTAATTTAAGTAGGTAATAAAAATAATTTGTAACTTTATTTTCGATTTAAACATAAATACCTACATAAATAAATAAATATTGTTTAGTATCTTTCCTAACAAAACCCCAAACAATGAAATTCTAAGCAAAGTACGGACCTGTTCGGCCATATTTCATTCTTACAGCTATTCGGGTCTTTCCTTAATTCGTATCAGTTAGTCACTTTCTTATATCTATGAACATACTTTACCTGTAACCATTCCAGGACCGTCCTAGGAATTTATCTACACTAACAAGCGGGATTTAAGTATGTTTTCCATCTTTTCGGCCTAGCAATTCTTGAAACGTGTACTTAAATAAATTAGTACAAAGTCACTTGTTTGTAAGCAATTGTAAGCATTCAAAACAAATCTTAAACTTGTCAAATTTTGCGTTGTTTTCCATGTATTCGTCTAACAGGGGAACATCTGCTTCATTCCACGGTCTCCACATATTAAAGTGTTAAAAAACAGGAATATTTATGCGTATTCTTATTCTTTTCAACCGCGAATATAATCTACAGTCTTAAAAAGACTGATGTCCTTTACAAATCGAAGAACTATGTGGAAAATACAAGAAGAATGTTGTTAATCGACATTCACACAAGACGAAAATTATTATTTCCAAACTTACCTGTAAGATGAATATAGTATATACGAGGGCAGCGCTAAATTTTCCCGGCCTGAATATGAAAGAAACAAAGTACAGTAATAATTTTTTTATTATTTTTCAATATAAATCTCCTTAACTTCAATACACTTATTACATCTCTTTATTAAAAACTCAATCCCTTTAAAAAAATATTCTTTTGGTTTGTCTGAAAAATGAGCTAAAACAACTCAACTTCGTCGTTAAACCGCCGTCCACGTAGTCCTTTTTCAAATATCCAAATAAATAATAGTCCCTGTGGGCCATATCTGGACTATAGGGAGGATGATCTATCTGTTGGAACCCACACTCTAAAATGCCAGCTTGCGCAACACCAGCAGTATGGACAGGTGCATTATCGTGCAAAAGACGCACGCCTCTGGACAGTTTTCTTCGACGTTTTACAAGTATGCAGTCTCGCAATTTATATAATAATGTTGCGTAATATTTACGATTGACAGTGGTATTAGTTTCTTTAAAATCTATCAAAAGAATTCCTTCACAATCCCAAAAGATCGTGGCCATCACCTTTTTTGTTGACTGGCAGACTCTCAATTTTCTTGGAGGTGCTTCACTCTTACGACGCCACTCCATTGATTCTTTTTTCGAAAGAGGGTCATAATAGAGAAGCATAGTTTCATCTCCCGTCACAATAGTTTCTATCACAGGCTTTGGTTTCGACCCACAGAGTTCCAAAAAAGATCGCGCACACTCCACATGTTTTTGAATAGCCGAAAGGTCTTTAGGAACCCATCTTGCACTACCTAAATGATCATGCAGCTTAGTAATTTCTGAAATTTCCTTGACCTTAAAACGTCGATTACTCAATACCACCTCTTCCACAATTGCAACAATATCTTCCGTTACGACCGCCACTGGTTGACCAGTTCTTGAATCATCTTCAAGGGACTCCTGCCCCATTCGAAAACGTTTTGCCCATTCTTTCACTACAGAGTACGAAGGAGAACTTTGGCCGTACACACCATCCAGCCTTTCTTTATAATTTGAGGTGCTAACCTTTCTTTTGTCAAAAACTTTATGACTGCTCTATACTCAATTTGCGTTATTTGCGACATTAAAATAAATTAATTAATTAATAAAAAACTATTTGATGCAAGACTTCAATTTTTAGAAGTAAGTGACAGTATTGTTGCGGAAACATCATCAAATCAACAAAAAAAATGATAAAAATTAACTGCTGACGAGAAAATCAATTTTGAAATTTAGACCAATGTTTACTGGCCGATCTTTTGTGGAAAATATTGGAAATATCTCGAAAACGGTACCTTTTATCGAAATAAATGTTAGTTAGAAATCATTACTCTTGTCGCAATCTTAAATAGTAACGGAACGGTACGAATGAGAAAGTTATGTAAAAAACTAGATAATTCAAATTCGGTTAAATGTTGACAAAATTCAAATTATTTGGGAAACCTTACTTTGGCCGCAGAATCATAAAATACCTTAATTAACATGAGGTTCCGTTTAGAAAAATACGTCTTTGATGCTCTTAACACTTTTGGGACAACCTGTAAGGTATGAAAATAATTTTAAAAAGTTGCCGTAATGAGACTACATACAGAAGTAAAACTGTTGGAGAAGTTTGTATTTTGGCTCCAATATTCGGTATCGCATAGCGTGCACCAAAGCATACCTTATGGTTTGGCTTTGCACTTACAAAATAAGTCAATAGTATGCAAGAAATTAACAGGCGACATCTCGTTAAACACTTATTTATTTGAAAGCATACCGAACTTGGTATGGCACGGGCAGCGCATCAAAACAGACTGAAACCGAAACCGCGATTTCTTAAAAAAAAAACCCTCGTTGCTTCGTACCCTTAGATGGCGTCACGGTCGTAAATCATCTAACCTTGTCGTCGATATATTTACCCATCGGCGCAGTTATTCAAGTAATAACTACTTCAACATAATTTAAGTTAAAATTTTTGCTGTCATTACCAAAATAAAAAAATAATTGTTTTGACCGTCAGCGTGTCCCATTGCTAGGTTCGGCGCTTTCCATTAGGTTATCTATACGGGTTCCAGGTAATCCATCCAGCCCCGTCTCGTTATCGGGTTCCTTGGTGCGGCTATATATTCCATTATCTTCGGTTAATGCGCGTCGCCGTGGATATAAATGCGATTTAAAATAGCGCCAAACTCAGAGTCGGTTCGAAAATGCTGCTTCCGATTCTTTTATGCTGTGCGTGGGCGGCCGCGGGCCAACTGACCGATTCGCCGCCTGTGGTGTCCGTACGTCAAGGCAGAGTGCGAGGAAGCACCGCCACCACGCAGTTGAAAAATGTAACGTACCACGCATTTCGGGGCATCCCGTTTGCTCAGCCACCGTTGGGCGAGTTGCGGTTCCGGGTAAGGCGTAGCCCATTGATAAAATATATCGTAAAACGCCACAATAACAAATTGCACTTACTGTGCTGCCAACGTGATCAAAGTATGAACTAAATTTTCCCCAAGTTATGAATTACAGATGAAAATGCATTTAGTTAAGCAATTTAACGGTTATAAGTAAGTAAGCAACATTTATTTCAGAAAATGCACAATGAATTTGCGAAAACTAAACAACCAGGATTGGTATGTTACCTATTTTGCAAATATATTGGGAGGGCGTTATATATTCAAGAGCCCTTTCTGCTGCAGCACAACTCAGATACCACAGGATAAAATTGATTCTACTAAAGATTTATATATTGTATTCCCTTTGTCACACTTTGACGTAATATAAAAAATTATGGAATAACTTTCGAATTCGAACTGATTTGTAGATGGGAATTACGATAGCAGTTTTAAAATGGGTTGGAACTACTTTTATGCTGAATATTAGATTTGTTATATACTTTAATGGAGATAAAATATTTTGATGAATATTCTTAATTCCACTGACAGGTATATTATCAAGGTTTTTTAGGTTCTCTTTCTGTATCTATTTCCAATGCTGTCTGTTTTCGGTTATGGTTTCTTTGGCTATTCTTTCTTGAAGGATAGGTTAATATAGAACTCTTTTGTTTGTTGTTTGTTGGTGATCTGCAGCTTTTTTGATGTTTTATTTAGGAGTGGATTTTTAAGTTTGATCTTCAGAAGTGCCGACAAGAGTTTGCTGTCACTGGTAAAGTTTTTCGAGTTGACGATAGATTTCCTCCAGCGAGTTCTCACCAGAACGTAATCTGGTTTCTGTTATTATCATCTGGAGATGTTCGTGTGTACAGCCTGCGTATATGCTGTTGATATACTCTGTTTCTCATTAGAAAAGCGGATCGATCTTTCTCCTTGTTAGTTGCGTGTTCCGTTTCCAAAGACGCACACAAACAAAAGAATCAGTAGTAACAGAACTGAACCTGTTGTGTTAAGAGCACACATTGACATGACCGGTTGTTAAAGTAGCTAACAATATTTTACAGATTTGGGGCTCGTTTTTGGAATTTTGAGTTACCGAGTAAGAACACGGTGCGCTGTTGCCATTTCGGTTTTGCCAAATCCGACCACTGCGAGGCGGTATTTTAAATTTTTTTGGTCGACAGGCGCCGCGTCGAGCCGCTTCCTGGAGCGACACCCTCAACGCTACCCGAGATAGGAGCGAGTGTACGCAAATGGACGGGGTCCGTGTAGTCGGCACCGAGGATTGCCTCTACGTCAATGTGTTTACTCCTAAAGTACGTATCATAATCATAACTTTTGCATGGGAATTTTTTTGCTGCAAACCGAAAATGGAAGCCCCATACTTTTCAAATTTAATTTTGAGAACTCAAGAAGTTTATAATTTGTTTAAAAAATTTATTAATCCTTACAAAAAGGTGTATCCATAATTGACTTCTTTCTTGGACAGTTTTGATAATATTAAATAAATATTTAATAAGTTGGATATGAACTGGTAAAATAATATTGAAAAATATGTTCATTCAAAATATGTTATTGTTCATTGTGGATCGATTTCTATGAAGCGAAGAATAATTAATGTTTCATTTTTAACAAAACGAACGATGAATTCTGAAAGTAATTCAAAGTACAGCAATATCAGTTGTTTAATCAGAAGAATTATGACACAATTTCTGCGTTCCTTTTTTGCAATTTTAAAAAACACTTTTTAATCAATCGGATCTATGACTCACCGGGTGATATGGGACGTGCCCATTAGCCAATGATAAACGTTAAAATACCATCCGCGACTAAAACTAAAGTGACTAAAGTATGAGAAATCTCTGCAGGTCACTAAATTATTAAGATTGTCTAAGGCCACTAATGAGGACCCAAGATTAAACATTTTATTAGAAGTAAAGTATAGTCCTTATCGCTCATCTTTTGTAGTTTCTTTCCAAAGTGAAAATCAGCCTCATATGCCAGAAAGACAGATTGGTTTTCAACAAGATGGTACTTCATTTTGTTTGACAAGTGCTTGGATATTTAAATAGGATAGTGGATTAGTAGAAGGGTATCCATAGAATGCCTTGCAAGATCTCCAGATAATACTCCATGGGATTTTTTCCTCTGGGGATATTTAAACACAAAAACGTATAAGGAAAAACCACAAAATTTACGTGATTTAAAGTTTAAAATTAAATACGAAATAAGGCAAACCGACAATAAGTGCACATTTCAACGCTTACTAAAATAATTTCTTGTAATGTTGTAATCGATCTTTCTGGATATTTTGCGTTAAGCAAATTACAAACTTCCTTTTGACTTCTCGTTTGGTCTCGATTTTCAATAAACATTAAAATTATCTGTGTTTCATTTAGATTTATTCTAAAAAGTAAGAGATAGGTAGGAATTTTAAAACTTGGTTTGAACAAAGATTTGTAAGGTTAATCATAGTTAAAGTGTTTTCTATATCTAAGCAAAGAAAGTGGTGGGATATTGCTTAATTTGCCAATAGTCGGATTTTTCTCGCATAATCCCAGAGAAAAATGTGAAAAATAAGGGCCCAGTGAAAAATGCAACTCAATACCTCATCCTAACCTAAAATATAAATAAATGAATTTAACCAAAAATTATTGGATTTTGGTATAAAAAAAAATACTTTAAGTGTTATCAACATATATTTAGCAAATAAAGTATAATTAGAAATCACCTCGTAGCTGGCATTTTTTGTTTTGATATACTTAGCTGGCCTCAAAAATTTATTTATTTTTCATTATTTTTCCTTAAAAACATACGCTCAATCACTAACTGGGACACTGACTAACTAATTTTATTAACTATTAATGTATATAAGCAGTAAAATATGGAAAACTATTTAAAAAATGAATAAAACATCTCGTTTGACAGAAATAATTCATTTATAATTATCAAGATTGCCATGACAACAAATTTGGACTAAACGCTTGCTTCTTTCATTTCGTTATTCGTTATTCGTTGTCAAAGTTTCTGGATTGCCTACCGTCGTAATTAGTTTAAAGTTTTTAAGTAAACAAAAATTGTGCCTTATTTAAACTCATCGTGATCCGGTGCCAACGAAGAAATGGACGCGTTAGGGGGGAAGAAAAACAGTAATTATTTTAGTACACATCTTGCTACTTAAATATTTTCAATAATTAATAAAATTGTTCAGAGTCCTGAAGATGGTAATAAAATTAAAATAAACGACATAAGAATTAGATTTTTTTAAATGCCAGCCCATTAATTGCTAATAAAAAGCGACTATTGTTTATTAATTTAAATTTAATTAAAACAAAATTATTTTGAAAATAAAAAATGTTGTATTAAGTAGCGCTATGCTCTGTTTCTCAATGTACTTCGTTCATTTTGCCAATTTCTCTTCAACGTGTCTGTCATTATGTCGTTATTCTCATTATCCGACATCTCTATCATATTTTTCCTCCAGTTGTTAAATTTCTTCACACTTTTTCGTCATCCACTGCTTTTTTAACTTTGCATTTTCTTTATATGATTTTAATTCTTGTTTTGCGTTGTTTTTTTCTGCATTAAGTGTTGTTTCCTTTATTATATTTATTTTATTATATTTCATTCATATGATAAGGGTGTGTTCGTCTGGGATGCATTCCGTCTCCCTTACTATTCAATCCGAAAATCATGAACGAAGCTTGTCATCTTAATTGGAAAATGAGAGGAGAGCCTTCCACACCTTCCATTTAAAACCAACAAAAACCTTTGTTATTTGGCCCCATGGTCGAGGAGATTTTCTTAGCCATTTCAATTCTATACACAATAACATACGGTTAACTCTTATTCTTATCGATAGAAAATCATGCCTAACATTGGGTCATTCTACCTCACACCTCAAACCTATCCTCCAGCTGTTTTCTTTTGTTTAAGTCTCTCGCATTAAGAAACAGAGCATAGCCACATAATTTAGGAGCTAGTTAGTGTTAGATGGGTGTTAAGGGATAGAGGGCAATATAACGGATCGTTTCTAGACGACCCTACCTCATTTGTCGTAGATCAACGCCAGCCTGCCAGTCATGGTGTGGATATACGGCGGCGGCTTCAATTTCGGTACTTCGAATTTCTCCGTCTACAACCCCGACAACTTCGTCGAGCGAGAGGTGGTGTTCGTCTCGTTCAACTACCGTCTGGGCGTGTTCGGGTTCTTGAGCACCGGGAACCTGGACAGTCCGGGCAACTGGGGCCTGAAGGACCAAGTGCTCGCCCTCGAATGGGTCCGGGATAATGTCGCACGATTCGGCGGCAACCCGAACAAAGTGACCATATTCGGCCAAAGCGCAGGCTCCGCCTCCGTCTCTTACTTGGTTCAGAGCCCCAGAGCTAAAGGTAGGATCAGCACCCGCATCCCCGGGGTCACACCATAGAGAAAATTAATTAAAAAGAGAAGATGGCGGGAAATTTCAAAGAGGACGGTTATCTTAGAATTATAGAGAAAATTAGTAATTAATGTAGCGGTTCCAAATTTATGATATGTAATATCAAATTTATAAAAACAACAAATAGCGATCGAAATAATAAAGCAAACAAAAATCATCAAATAGGATTTGCATGGTACATGGAAAAGGAATTATGTACACTGAAAAATGAATTAATTGGGTTAAAAAAGTTTGGAGTTATTTAAAAAAAAAAAACATTTGTTTGATAATGGGCAAACTTTGTAGAAAAATGAATTTGGAATTATTTAGGCTGAAATTGTTTGTATGAAGTAAATAGTTACCCCCTTATAACCGATGGCGAGGCAATACATGTGGTTTTTGAAGTCTCAAAAGTATTATTTAGGTGAAATACGCATTTATTTTTTTTATTAATTTGTTTAATTCAATAAAATAATGTATTAATATTCACTTAGTAAATAGTTGATGTAATGGATCAAATATTTGTGATAAGCTTTATAATAATTTAGAAGAAGAAGTTTCTTAGTGATCGCTACAGATTCCAGCTTTTTATTTTTAAAACTCACTATTCTCACAAAGGTGTCAAAATAGTGCCCCAAAGCAATACAAGAAAAATTAATGTTAAGATAAGTTATAGATAAAACTTTTGAGAACACTCGGTACAGCCCTACATGGGGTGTTTGTATAAAAGAGACAGTTTCAGTCAAGCTCTGAAGAAGCCAAAAGGATGATTGGCGAAACGTCAGCAATTTCGACTCAGCAAAACCCGACGCAGGAGGAAAAGTTTTGTAAAAAGTATTACAGGAGCCGGTTGAAGTTTCTTTGAAAAATTAATTTATATATATATATATATATATATATATATATATATATATATATATATATATATATATATATATATATATATATATATATATATATATATATATATATATATATATATATATACAGGGTTTTTCACTTAAAACTCCGCACGCCAATAACTCCAAAACGAAAAGAAATATTTAATTTATGTAAAAAGTAGTCAAAGTGTGGGGTCAAGTAGACATTTCCTAAAGTTTAAAAAATTCGACGCCTGCAAAGAGCTGGGCGTCGCGACGCGTCGAAAAATTATTCGATTGCAGAGACTTTGGAAATGCGCGCATACAAAAGTACATATTATTTAAAAACTTTTTTGTTATTTACTCAAACTTATTTACTTTACCCGTTTCTAAGTTATACCGATTTAAAGTAAACATTTCTTGATTAATAAAAAATGTGATTAACGCTTATTTTTATAAGTATGCCATGAATGTTAGTTACTATGGCAACCATTGTTATCGCAGTTGTTTTAAGTGCAATTACAAACAATAGATTTCAACTATTTTAGTATGATTTTATTTATTATTTTTTATCGATTTAGTTCTGAAAACATGATAAATAAATTAAAAAGCAGTAAAATACCTACAATTTAATAACCAAAATTATTATTGCAATTAACTACATAATAAGACATTTCGAAAATTTTGTTCAAAATTATGCTCTACTCGAACACAACTATCAAAAACTTTTAACAGATGAGCTTGGGTCACTTGTAGGAGAGTCCTTCTTGTGATAGCGGCACACGCTGCACTAATTTTGTTAATGAGATCAGCCATATCTTCGATAGGTTCTTCATAGATAACGTTTTTTAGGTAGCCCCAAAGAAAATAATCTGGTGGTGTAATGTCCGGGGACCTCGCCGGCCACCTTACCGGTCCATTAGTACCAAACCATCTATTGGGATATTCTCGGTTCAAATACCTCGTTACTATTTGGGCATTATGTGCAGGCGCTCCATCCTGCTGTAGCCACATATTCATTCTAGTGTCAAGAGGCACTTCTTCTAATAGTTCCGGAAGTGTAGTTTGAAGAAATCTTAAATAGCGATCTGCATTTAAAGTTCCTTCGTAAAAGTAAGGTCCAATAAGGAATCCATTTAATATGCCGCACCAAACATTGATACTAAAAATTCGTTGGTTACCTCTTTCTGTAATCCAACGAGGATGGTTTTCGGACCAAAAACGACAGTTGTGTCTATTAACGATTCCATTATTTTGAAATCGACTTTCGTCGCTCCATAAAATTTTCGAAAGAAAATTTGCATCTTGGCTATACAAATCGGACAATGTCGCTAAGAAATACATTCTTCTAGCATAATCGCCTGGTTTTAATTTATGAACTAGTTTACTTTTGTACGGGTGAAAAGAGTTTCTATGTAGAATTCTCCACGAAGAATTTATGATAACACCGGTATTTTCTTTTATCTCTGATAGGGATATCTTGGGGTTATTATCAACCTGCTGAATTACAGCAGCAGTATTTTCATCATTTGTAGCCGTCCTGTTCCTATCTCTTTTAGGTTTTATGAAGCTGCCATATTCTCTTAAGTTTTTACATAAACTTGAAAAGGTTTTTGCATCGGGGACTCTTCTATGCGGATAACGCCGTGCGTAAACTCTTTTTGCTTCTCTACAATTGCATCTGCATTCTCCAAACACCAGTAACATGCCTACTTTTTCCTCATTGCTAAATTGCACCATTTTCACATAATAATTCTTAGTTTTTTTTAAACCGAACAAATTTGGATATTTCTTGTGACAAAATGTGACAATTTTTTGATACAGCAATAACAAATTACGTTTGTAATTGCACTTAAAACAACTGCGATAACAATGGTTGCCATAGTAACTAACATTCATGGGATACTTGTAAAAATAAGCGTTAATCACATTTTTTATTAATCAAGTGTTTACTTTAAATCGGTATAACTTAGAAACGGATAAAGTAAATAAGTTTGAGTAAATAACAAAAAAGTTTTTAAATAATATGTACTTTTGTATGCGCGTATTTCCAAAGTCTCTGCAATCGAATAATTTTTCGACGCGTCGCGACGCCCAGCTCTTTGCAGGCGTCGAATTTTTTAAACTTTAGGAAATATCTACTTGACCCCACATTTGACTACTTTTTACATAAATTAAATATTTCTTTTCGTTTTGGACTTATTGGCGTGAGGAGTTTTAAGTGAAAAACCCTGTATATATATACATACTGGGTGTTCCATCAAAAAATATGCGTTGCCGTTGATAAGTCCATTTTTCCTGATCTTCTAGCAAAAGGTACTGCAGATTCACATGCGGTTAGGAACCTTGTACTCCGACCAACGTCTTTGAACACGGATACGTCGACTTTTATCTGTTTTGTTAAACCACTGCGTAGGTTGCTGATATATTTCTCTTTCCATATTTTGTTTCGCTTGGTGGTCGCGGACCTGACCTGCCATTTTCAGACGACCATGACAAATACTGCCATGACAATGCCGCATCCAACTTGTTGACGATCTATCAGCGGCTATGTTGATTGTGGCCGCAGTGCCGTTGAATGGACCTTTTGAATTTTTTTTCATTCATAAGTTCCTGTATGATCGGCTTAGGCATTGCCTGTTTATCTCTAGTAACTCCATGGTTTTTTCCGTTGTCAGGGTTGTTCCACGCGGCGATAATGGAGAGCGGCACGAGCCTCTGCGCGTGGGCACTTTCTACCGATCCTGCGTATTACGCTTTCCAAGTGGGCATCGCTCTGGGAGTCAACACGGCAGACAGCGGGAAGCTGGTGCGGGAACTGCGAAAAATCGATTACGTCAAACTGAAGCTGGCGGACTTCAAGGTAACCGAGTCGCAGTTGGCGTTGAACCCGCAGGTTGGCAACGGGATACCGTTCGCCCCGGTGTCGGAACCTTATCACCAGGACGCCGTGTTCAGCGGCAGAAGCCACGAGCTCTTGAAACGGGGCGCGTTCAACAGGGTTCCGGTGATCATCGGTTACACGTCGAACGAGGCGGGATATTTCGTCAGCACGTCGATCGGTACGTCTCCTACTGGGTATTTTTAGAACAAAAAATTAAATTCGATGCGATTTTTTCATAAAAAAAAAATCAATCCCACCATTTTACTAACCGATACCACTAGGCCACCACTAAATAGTAACAACTACTAACGAAACAAACAATTTCTGTACCAAAAATAAATATACCCGGTGTTCCAGTAAAGCGACCCACGGAAAATGTTGGAAAAGGCCAATATTTAGGTCCAAATTGGTATTTCGTCTGAATGATTGTTTACGGGGTATCTCAGTTATTAAAATAGGGTTTACGCGTCACTGTGCTAAAAAGCCCAAGGAGCTTCGGAAGTACGGTTTTTAAAAGATTATGGTCAGTATAATTTTTATATTATAGAAGTGTGTTTTCTTTATATTAGATATACAAAGTGACGACAACCGTTTCCAGATATATTTGTTCATCTGAAAATAAATCTGGTTAGCCACGGATACTTTATTCAACCACATCCTAAAAATTATTTGAACGAGAATAGGGACCAAAGAGAAACAAATGCAATAGGTTACATCAAAGCAACTCTGTCATCATCTTGCAAACACATAGAACAAGCACTAGGGGGTACGAAAATCGACTGCTCAAAGAATTTTAGATAAATACAAATACCATCCATACCAGAGTGTTCAACATTTGCATTCTGGCGATGCCGGTGCAGTTGTGCCACTGGTAATTGAGTAAGATCACGTCAAGTGAACCCCCCATTTACCATTTGTTTATTTTCGTATCGTTAACTAACTTTTAAGTTAACAAATGAAAATTTAACTGACTCCTTGGTGAAAAAAGTCATGTTTTTTTATTTATTTTATTTATTATAAAATAAAAAAATATCACTTTACGGGGTAAGATTTAGGATTTGGGATTTATTGTGTGGGGTATTTCGCTGCGATCTGATGATCTGTTGCGGCACACCCCCAAGTATCCAGATTCAGTCCTCGTAGATAGTTCGTTATGCTGTGAGGGGATATTTTGTTCAGATCATCATGTCTGAGGATTTCGGGCCCCAGTATTGAGGACCTGATCCTTCCCACTGCCGGGCAACTTCAATATGTGCTCTTCCCTTTCCTCGTCTTCCATGTACAACGGGCTCTCGTCATATGAGGTTGCAGTGTCCGGTGTATATCCCTAAGAGAATGTTCAGATTTGATCTGCTCCAGGGTGTAGGGTGTGCATTTCTTCGTGGAACACTCTATCTTTAAATGGGTCCTCGATCTCAGTATGTTTGAGTTTCCTCTGCTAACCAGGCTTTAATTGCAAGAATTGCAAGAACAATACGAACCAAATAGGCACTGGATTTTTTTCCCTGCATTTCCCAAATAAGACTTACTTATGAAATCCCAGTTATTACAAAAATGGGAATCTTTCATTCGTGGTTATCACCTCGTGCCGGCTCAGAAGACGTTTGGATACTGAATGCTTTGTGGCTTAGATGTAAAAACATTAAAGACTTATGTTTTTATACTTAAGTCATGGGTTTTTATTACTGGTTTTTCAAAGAAACTTCCACAGACCACTGTATCTAATCGAACTTGCAGACGTTTCGCCAACAATCCTGTTGGCTTCTTCAGAGCTTAACTAAAACTGTTAAGTACCAGAACGAAAACAAAACTTTGTTCGGCAGCCTAATGGGAGTAGAAGAAAACACCAACACGTTGTCGAGACAAGGACGAAACGGCCACCCACCTGTTGTGCCAATGCGAATGCCTATAGAGAGAGACGAACTTTGGTCTACAACGATAGAGGTGGCCACAATAGGACTTTTGAGTCGCATTGACAATGCCAATCTAAATGAAAATTCTTCAGAAGTGAATGAAAAACATGAAAATATTTTTTTGCAAGGCTAGGTCAGTTTTTCTTCCAGCTCCTCCGCTAAGATCTGTCACTTTGATTCTAGACTCTTTGAGGCCTCTGCTTTTTCAATACGACGCAGACATAGCGAAACTCGCGCCGTACGACTTGACTCGCGACCGGATACGCAGACTGCTTGCTGCGTCGTTGATCAAGTCGCACTTCTTCGGCAACGGCAGCGTAGCCAACGCAACGCAGCAGGCTTTGTCGGACGTGAGGTCGCGTCCCATTGGTACCGCTTGGTCACCGATATCTGATTTTTCTTCCAGTATGCCAGTGATAACCTCTTCAACCGGCCGATCAGGGAAACTGCCAATCAGATGTCGAAGCACACTAGCGTGTACCTCTATTTGTTCTCTTACGTGGGAAGCGCGGTAAAAAATTTCACGGGTACGTTTGCGGGGTGTTTAGGGGTCCATTTTAAAAAGAACACTTCATATTTTCGCACGAAAGGATGGTACACCACTGATTTCTCTTAAAGTAAACATTGTTCTTACAATCTCCAATCATTTCTAAAGAAATTTATTTTTTTGATTTTTTCAATCCAATCTTTACTATACTTGTGTGAATATTTTAAAATCTAAATCCGATTTTGCTCAAATCAACCATTTTTTTAAAATATTCTATTTCAATTATGACCGTTTTATATTATACTCGCCGAGATTTCAATGCTGGGGGTCAAATTTCAACGAATACGCTATATAGCATTGCATTTATTTTCTTTATCGACAGGGGTAGCCCATGCCGAAGAGCTGAGATACCTCTTCAGGGACGGCAGGAACGCGAGCCGCGCCGACCGAACCGCCAGCGATCGTCTTGTCACGCTGTGGACCAACTTTGCGAAATCGCGGTAAGATGATTATTATCATTTCTTTATTATCAAAAAAAAAACGTTACAATTTAATCATGATATTTTTTGATAATAAAAAGGTTCGCACAAATAAACAAATCGTTATATCCTTTTTTTGTAATTACGTAATTTATTGATCAATTTAGGAGCTTTATATGAAATATATATACACATATATATATATATATATATATATATATATATATATATATATATATATATATATATATATATTTATATATATATATATATATATATATATATATATATATATATATATATATATATATATATATATATATATATATATATATATATATATATATATATATATATATATATACTTTTATTAATTTACGTTTTATATTGAACAAAAATAAATAATAAATTTTATATGTTTTATAATTTCTTTCAAAAAAAAACTGTTACACTTATTTATAAAGCATTAGTTTCTATGGTATAGAATTCTAAAATGGAGGTATGTACAGTGTTCACATTCAGCTGCTACAAAATGCTATTGTTAAAATTATGTTTAAGGCATAAATTTTACTCTGTTGCGTTACTTTGCAGACAAGCTCTAATTAATCGTAATTATCAAACTAGAGCTAATATTCGCAAAAATTAACAAACAATAATTTGTTTAATAATGTGCTTCCTATGTATGCCAAGTAATAAAGATATTCTCTAGAGAAACTATATTTTGGATAACTCTGAACTGATTGGCTACAAATTTCTGCAAATTTTTCTTACGGTCCATCTCAGGCAAGACCTATTTACTGCAGAATAAACATCTGAACGGATTGGTTTTACCACCTGCGAAGGCCTGCCGCTAGGGTACTGGAAGATACTTAAAACGTCAAAGCAATAAATGCACTATATTTTTGGTCGTATTATACAAGAGCATCATAGTCACCAATCGGTTTTGATGATGATTGGTATTATGTTTATTATTCTGTTCACCCTGTATAGTGATCCTTGTCATTGTAAATAAACATTTCATTGTGTTAAAAAACGATATATAACTAAATTTTTGTGGTAATATTGTAATTTACCCTTAAGCTTTAAAACTGCGATTTTGTAATGTTGTTTGCCGCAGGCATCCCCTAGCGGACGGCGACGACAACGACGGACCGTTGCAAAATGTCCGCTGGCCGACGGCCAAACGCGGATTGAATCGAGTAGACGACGACGTCAATTATTTGGACATCGGCGATGATTTGCAAACTGACAGGAATCCGAACCAGACTGACTGGACGTTCTACCGGGAAATTTACCGGAGTTTCGGCGACGGCGTATACACCACTTATTAAGTTTAATAATTGTTAACCGAAACCATATGTAGATATCATTGTTTGAGTAATAAATCTCTTTTAAAAAAACGTGTTATTGTACGACCAAAAATATAGTTCATTTAATGCTTTGACAGTACCTTAACCGCAGACCTTAGCAGGACCGTGGTAAAACCCACCCCTAACATTAAATAGGTCTTGCCTGAGATGGACCGTAACGAATATTTGTAGAAACGTGAAATGTTTATTTGAAATGTAAATGGGCCGTTTTAAATTTGATTAAGCATTGATGCTGCGGGGTATTTTCGAATAAGTAGAAGCGTTTATTTGAACATCGGGTGATATTAAGAGTTTAATCTAAATTGCAACATGTTCGTATATATTACGGACGTATTTGAATATGATCCTTCCAGTAAGTACGTATTTAGGTATGGTCTGTTCATAGATATAAGAAAGTGACCAATATCCGAGGCAAGTTTTAATGGAACCTTTTAGAATTCGGAAATGGCGACTGGAATATCTAGAAAAAATTAGGATTTACAGAGAACAACAAAGGCCAATTATTTACTTGGATGAAATCTGATTCGACACTTATGATACCCCTGATAAGTGTAAAACAAACGCGCCATCAAAAAAAGGTAAAAGAATAACTATTTTGCATGCTGGCTCTAAAGATGGTCGGATTCCAAATGGACTTTCTCTGTCTGCGAAAAATATTAAAGATTCTTCTCTGGATTACCATGAAGACACCACCGCTGATTTATTTGAAAGTTGGTTTAAAAACAAACTAGTTCCAAACATTCCTCCTAATAACGTCATTGTAATGGAAAATGCAAGTTATCACAGTAGACAGTTGACTAAAACCCCTTCCTCATGTGACACAAAAGCAACAATCCAAAACTACATGTATAATAACGACATTTATTTTCACGAAGATTATACCAAAAAGCAATTAATTGAGGTTCTACAAAGCTTGAACCTACAAAAGGAATACGTCTGTGATAAGTATGCAAAAAATCTCCGGCATACAGTTTTACTGCCTTACCACTGTATATTTAATAACATCGAACATGTTTGGCACCAACTGAAATCTGCCAACTCCAATGTCCTCAACCTTAAAGAAATCGAAGTTTTTAACATCCCTTCACAAAGTGGGGCAAATTTTGTTAAATATATAGAAAAAGCAGAACAGTCGTATATCCATATTGCAAATAATATAGAACAAATATTAATTTGAACAGGCGATGATAGCGATAGTGATACTGATATATAATGTATATAATTTTAAGTAATTTAAGTAGGTAATAAAAATAATTCGTAATTTTATTTTAGATTTAAACATAAATATATACATAAATAAATAAATATTGTTTAGTATCTTTCCTAACAAAACCCCAAATAATTAAATTCTAAGCAAATTACGGACCTGTTCGGCCATATTTCATTCTTAGAACTTGCCCGGGTATTTCCCTAATTCGTATCAGTTTCTTTCTTATATCTATGAACAGACTTTACCTGATTCTCGAGCATTGACCCTGCGAGGCGGTTTTCACTGGATAATTAAAAGGGTAAGTATCCTGTACTTTATTTATCTTACAGTTAAATTTGAAAATAATCATTTTTGTCTTTTGTGCCTGTCGATTAACAACATTCTTGTTGTTGTATTTTTGTGTCTTCTACACAGTTCCTCGATTGGTAAACAACAATAGTCCAAAGCACAACAAAACGGACATGAAATCTTCAGATTACCTCCATATCTTTGTATTGAAATTGAGATGATTTGGTCTGAGTTGAAAGGGCATATAAGCAGAAATAGCACTGCACCAAGTTGATCATTAAACTATAAAAATTGAGGACTCTTACGTTTCTATACAAAACACCATGAATCCTATTATAATTAATCTTAATGATTACTCCGAGAATTAGATTTAGACATTTAAAAAAAGGTCGGAGATGATTTTTGATTTCGGTGCCTCTATTTCTGTTCCACGTCGACCGTCGTCACTGAGACGTGCGGGTCAGCTGCGGACCGACCCCTCGCTGAATACCTTGGCACCGGTCTAGTCCGTTAATTAACGCGCGTTAACAATGCAGTTGTGCAGAGTTTCCTCGCCACGATTTTTATAGAATACGTTCGATCGAAACGCGGACCTACTATACGTCGTCCAGGACGTGATCCATCCGATCCATTAAACTTCCTTTAAAAAAACAACTTACTTACAAATCAATATACGAATAACAAGAACAGCTTGCGGGTTGACATTTCGCTAATTGTCGATGAGTTTCTCCATTACGGGGATCATCTTTTGATGGGCTGTCGCTAGAGTTATGATATACATAAAAAAAAGAACACAAATTATTGAAAGTATCAAGTGGTGTGAATGAATGAACTCTTCGATATCTTCTGGATTTCTCCTGCGTCTAACACATGGTGCTTGTTTCTGCTTAATTCTTAATTTATAAGTGGTGGGCTTATAAATTGCAAATTCCGATACAATCAGATAGAATAGAATGTAATTTTTTTATCAAAATTTATTTTAATTTCCGATGAAGAGCCGGTCTCCATTAGCATTTCACAGGTAGCACAAATAGTAGAAATCAACTTGTCGATAGATCTTTCAATTGGACATTTGGAAAAACCCTTCAAAGGCTGCGGAACTCGTAGGTACACATCTTCTGGATTCACTCACACACTCTGCTTGCTTCTACTTTATTCTTAATTTATAATTCTTAATAATTGCAATTTCCGATAGAATCAGTTTTACACATAAAGTTCATTCTGAAAATGATTGATCGACCATAAAGACCATATTCAACAGCTCTTACTTCAAGTAGGGATCGTCAAAGAACATGTTCTTTTGGGACTACCAATCTTGGATTTCGGATCACTCGACATCTAATTTTAGAAGCATGATAGGAAGCATCCATAACAAAATTTGTTTGTCCATAGTACATCTTTTGCACATCCTACATGAAGCAGAAGGAAACGTGGACTCCTTTTGTAGGTGAGCTGTATTATTACACCAAACAATTATTAATATGTCCTGTTTTCAGATTTCTAACATTTGAAATGCATTCCTACCCACACTGTATTCTCAGTGTGACTTGAAATATAGATGCAGGTACGCTCTTTTCGAATAAAACCGCTGATATAGCTATTTGTAGAAGTCTGACTATTCTTTGGTGTTTTTTATTCTGGTTGATGTGTTTTGACTTGTTTCACCATACATTGTTTGCCACAGCGGCACGTTATGCTGAATATTTATTTCTGTGACTACCTACCAATAAACAGCATGAAACTGTTTAGCTTTTTACTATTTCTTAAAAAAAAACGTTTTGCGATTCCGTGAGATGAAGATTGGATTCCATCGAAGATCAGGCAGTGAGCAAAACTGGTAATGGAAGTTCTTTGAAATTTGAATAGAAAATTAATCCTATTCGCAACTCCAATTAAAATTTGATTAAAAAAAAAACATTTATTTGCGGGAAATCCATAAAGTAGACTTAGAACAAACGGCGTTGTATTTAATCGATTTCCAGTTTTCTGAAAGATCCCTCCAGCGCGACACCCGGCGCCACCTGGTGACTGTCGCCGGTCTCGTATTTTTTCGTCGATTTGGCTTCCCGCAATTTCTCGAAAAACTCGGCGTAAGGCCCTTCGATCTGGCTACACCAATCACCTAAAAACGATCGCACTAAATATAAAAGACGGTGCGAATATACGACGGATGGACACCGTAAAGTTCCGACAAGGACCGCTCGGCGCCGCCATAGTCGGAAGGCAAATTTTCCCTCGGAATGCGTTCCCACAACGAGTCGACGTCTTTGTGTAGATACATCTAAAACAAAGTTAGGTATGGTCCTTCTAATTAATACTTAAATTATTAGACTAAACGCCCTAAATCCAACCTCAAAATTATGTGTATGAAAACATTTTTTATTTGTCAGTAGCCTAAACAGGCATTGCCATCAACTTTTTTAGGGGCTATCTATTGCTAGGTAACTGCTCGACCACCAAAGTCATCCCTAAGTCACTCTAGTTGGTTCATAAATTTAGGGTGGAGTACGTAGTCGATATTTCGGGCCTTTTGGTCAAAAATTACATTCGAATGTGAAATAATTAATAATTTTTCATTGACAGTGACCTGCTTATTCCAAATTTTTTAAGGTATCCTCGAAAGCTGACTATAAGTACAGTCCTGTATTTTCCTCCCTTGGTATTATTAATAACTAGTAAATATCAAGACGCCAAGCGCCCAAATGCAACTCCGCCTTAAATGTTAACAATCTTAAGTGTCGGTGTGAAAATAAAATTTGGTATATGGAAGACCAAAGGATTCGCAATGTTGCCCTCACATTCCCCTACCCTACCTAGCAACAAACCGATGTTTAGCTACCCCCAAGACCAAATAGTTATTCCAACTTTAGGACGGTAAAACCCACTCACCCAGCCAGCGATTTTGCTCGGGAATATCGATTTGAAAAACACCATCAACTTTTCGGTAACTGGCGGAAGGTTCACAAAGTGGATCTCTTGTATCCTGTAGCGTACCGATTTCTGCAAATCGAAATAATGTCGATGACATTCCGTCTCCGATTAAGCGGGTCTCCACCAAAGCAACATTTGTCGCCTACAGGCGTTCACTCCCACTCCACTCCAACGCAAACTGTGTCACTATAGGAAACAGCCGCCTGAACGCTAGGAAACGGCCTTGAACTATATAAACGTATACATTTTTTTACCCAATCCAGGGTTTCTTTTGTGTTTCTTAAACTAATAATTAATGTTATGAAAGAAGTTTTGTGTAGAAACGAGGATAATATTATTAATGGTGTAGCTCAGGTGATGGATTTGGTACAACCCTTTCAAGGTCGTGGTCTATTTCCACAGGAACGCGAGGAAGTTCTTAGAAAGAAAAATTGTTATGAAACCATAATTCCAATTGATACAGATTTGCAATTTAAGTAACATTTTAGAACGTCCATACCGGGAAACGTCCGCGGTAAGTATATCTACGTCACATTGAATAACTTGCACCTAAGACTGTGTTCCAGTTATTATTAAATCGGATTGGACATTTAGGACTAAATTATAATGAGCATACAAACATATCTTCAAGAAAAAGATTGTTATTTACTTTGTAGCCGACATGTAAACAGGCAAGTCTCTTGCAAGGAGATTATGAAATTGTGGATACCTTTTCAAAATTCAGGATCTGAATTGTTCATTGAATAATTTACCGTTTCAAGATTATGCAAAACTTCGTCCACTCTATGAGTGTTTAGAAAGGTAGAATCGTCGATTACCTGTAAATTTACATCTTATTGAAGACTCTGCTTACCCACTATTAGTTACGTTATTGAAGTCCTACTACTATCGACAATAAGGTCTATAATCGAGAGAACGTTTGCACTATTTAAAAGAAAATTGAAATTCCTTCTTATTATTTTAAATATCAAAAATGCCATCAATATTATACTTGCTTTTTGTATACCAAAGAATACATCGTAAATTTCTTGCCAAAGACATTTCTTTTTTATTTTGAGATTTCCAAATTTTGCATTTCTCTTGCTACAACAGTTTGAACTTGGTACGGCAAGTATTGTAACTCAAATAGCGTGAAAATTTCGGATGGACTTGCCGAAGGTTCTGTGTACATCTCTCACTTCTAACGTATTTATGGAGAAGCTAAATAATTGGTTCTGTAACCATAACTTGGACCTCAATCCCTCAAAATCGGTAGCTTTGAGATTCCATCGCCCTCAAAAAACATCCACAAAGCTAGAAATTAAAGTAAATAAGACTTCCTTTGGTTTTTCGAAATTGTCTGTTTTTGCAAATTTGAAAGGATTACCAAGGCTAGTAGATCATTTGGAGAACTGTTTCGAAGACCGTTGAACTCATTCTTTAAATTTTCGGCGTTTTATGGATAAATGAAGTCGTGCGACAAGATTTGTTTGGTGAGTGTTAATAAAAATAGGTAACAAAATTTGGTGACGACGTCGTCGACATATGTGGCTTTGGTGGAGACACTTTACGCTTTATATCTACTCACGAATATGTCGGTCACTTTTTGGTTAATGGTGGGCGTGAATTTCAAAAGAATTTTCCAGCAATATTGCTCGAGGTCGATAACGAGTATGTTGGAAGCGAAGAAATCCGTGGTGATCCGAATTTCCGAGATCATGGCGCCGACCAGATGGTAGCACTGGGCATCGGACGCTCGCCCTTCCGGGTCTGTCAGCTTAAACACGGTGATGCGGCACAGATCGGGAGTCAGTTTGGGCAAAGGGACAGTCACGCTGGAACGTAAACTTACAGTGAACTCGATCTAATCTGGAACGGCGACGGCGTGAGATAGAAAGTGAGGCAAATTTTGCAGTAGGAAAAGACGGGGCTAGTACAGGGGATTGCTTTCTTTCTTCCACTATTATTCCTACTATTTATTCCAACGATTGTCCATACATATCCTGATTGTTAGACAACTCATGTCTTATCTTTTCCCAAAGTTGTTTCTCCAACTGAACCCAAATAATTGATACCTATTGGTATATTGAATACAAGGTGATTGAATCTAGATTGAATCAAGCGGGTTGCAGCTGCACAACTGCATTAAAGTGACAGATGACATAATGGGGTTCACGGCTTGTGGTGGGCTGACTGTAATAGTACTTTTTGCAATACCAAGGCATTCGATAGCCTCAATTTCGATGTCCTCTTACGTATTCAACGATAATTCGCAGAGATTCAGCAAATACTTAGCAGGCAGGTCACACATGCTCCTCTGCCCAAGACTCCCTACTGAGTTTCATACTATTTTCTTTATACACATCACAATTGACCTCGCATCTCAAGCTCTCCAGGGCTCATCTCTGTCGTGACGAAACGCAATTACATCTACGATTCAAGAAGACCGATGTCAGAAGGTATCATCTTTAAATAGCTCACGATGTTAGAAATATGGTGAACATAACCTATATCTTAGTCTTAAAACTATTATTCCCTTCCAGCGCATACGACTACATTTTTTTAAAGTTGGCCCATGGCATTGGAAACACATCATGTAAGGCAACATTTAGTCGAAATCTTCCCCAATCGTTGGATTGGCCAGCGGCACAATGTACCTATTCAATAGCAAGTGCGTTCTCCGGAACTTTAGTGGATTGCAGTTTTTGTGGCCATCACAATTTCGGTCCGCGAATTTAAAAGGCCGCTGTTAGGATTTAATGAAATTTAATGAAAAACCCATTGTTTTTATTAAAGAGTCTGTGTCTTAACGAAGGAGGGAGGCGCACGGAATATTTAATTTAAATTGGTTAAATTATTATTAAAACATCAAAGTTTTCACACTGTTAGTTTTGTCAATTAAAATATAAAAATGATAATGTCAGAATGTAAGACAAATTTTCCGAAAATTAAGTCAATATTTCTCACACAAGTTTCTCGTAAGAAAAATTGCGAATTTAAACATCAGATATACAGAGCCATTCATAAAAAATGGTTCTAAGCTGGAGGTACTACACAGCAAAATATTATGTTTGAGCAAAATATTATGATTAATTTTAATGATTATATAAATTAGCAGGTTAGCAGCGAATTTGAAATTGATTTGGACGTTTCTCCTAGAGGGCCCTAGTTTCACCATATTACTTACAAAAATCGAATCATACTTTTTCGTCTGTCCAGTTCTGGCTGATACATGATGGAAATCTGAAAGAACTTTCAATTGTTCATAGAAATGCAGTCCAACTCTGTAGGTTTTTGACTTATCTGCATTTACTTTTTCCGATTTATTTTATAACTTTAAAGATGAAAAGGTTATTTTGGTAATAGTTATCAAAAAACTTCAAATCAAAATTTCCAGTGTCTCCAGTTCTCCATTCTTTATGAATTACCCTGTATATCTGATGTTTCGATTCACAGTGCCCCTTACTAGAAACTTTTGTCAGAAATTCTCACTTATTTTTCAGAAATCCTGACTTGTTTCTCAGAAATTCTGAAATGTGTTACAGAAATTCTGACTTATCAGAATTTCTTCATTGTTTCTCCGAAATTTTGACTTTTTCGCAGAAATTCTGACTGGCCCTACATTTTATTTTTGGTGGCCTTTGAGCTCTTTGGTAGAAAAATACCCAAGAGAGCAAATACTTTGCAAAGTGAGGAAAAAAGTATTACAAAAAAAAAACAATCCCCATCGGTACTAACCGTCTCGCTCTAAATAAAATTTGTCTCACAAAACTATTCCAACGGAGTTCACTGTTTGCCACCTACACGTATGATTTGGCCTCGCGATACTTCTCGGAAGCGGGCACCATGTTGTCGTAGAGTTCGTCGGCGTACAACGTTTTGATCCGGTAGTAGTTCTCGATCCATTGTTTGGCCCGTTCGAGGCTCAGTTTGCTGTTCAACAACGCCACCCTCAGATTGCGTTCCGCTACGAAAAAGCGACGCCGTGTGGTGAAAATTATTTGCTTCTCGCTTCTCGCAGATCTAGTATATGTACGTGAAACCAAAAGTTATAGCAGAACGACCTATTGACCTAATCAGAGGGATATACAATGATTTTGCTCAGGAACTGATGACGTCACTGTGCAGGATGGTCGCAATTGGCTTGTGTGGAAACATCTATTTCTAGACTAAACTATGACGATATCTTCATGTTTTTCAATTTCATTTATACACTGTATTCTCAGTGTGACTTGAACTATGTCATCGGTGACACAATAGAGGCAAAAAGTTTACTACCGTAAAAAATATCTGCATACCGTTTTCGCGGGGCAGGTGGTCGCTCCTTCTCAACCATTCCCGGAGGCTCGTCACTTTTTCCTGGAACTCCTGGTCCGTGACATCGAACCCTTTCAAGATTGCCGCCCTTTCGGCGTCCGTCACTCTGAGTAACCGCTCTATGCCCGCCATTTGCACGGAAATTATGCAAGTCGGATCGTCGATCGTTTACCGATATGTAAAAGTCGTCGCGAATATCTGACGCGCTATCAGTGCACGAAGATTAGATAGCTTATCGAGTTCGCACTCTGTCAACGTTGACGCGGCTTGGCAATTTCCGCCGCACATAGTAGGCCCGTTCGTGTCGTCCAATCAAAATCGACAGTCGAGCGCGTCCGATGTACTTTAAATTAGATTTTAAATTGGCCGCGGCCGTATATAAAACCCCCGATTGCGGTGGACCCGATCCCATTTTAGACTTCGTTAGTTGATAAGTGACATCGTTTTTTGACGCCATGGTAAGTGATGAGAGAGCGAGTCGTTTGTTAAGAGGGTTGTGAGTCGGCCGCCTGTTCTCGACTAAAACGATTAAGCTGTCTTATTTATAGGTGCAAATAAGTTAAGTAGTCTCAAGTTAATTTTTCAAAGATACTTCCACAGACTACCGTAATACTATTTACACATCTTCTGGATTCCTCCTGCATCGGTTGTCGATCATCCTGTTGGCCTCTTCAATTTCAGTTAAGGTCTGACGAATCCAACAGGACGCAGGAGGGAATCCAGATGATTTCCAAATAAAGTTTCAAGTTCTGCGTTTGTTCCAACTGGAGTTCCTCAACGATCTGTACTTGGGCCCAGGCGTGTGGGCAAAAGTTGCGTCGCATAGGAGCTATGAAAATTGTTGTAGACTTTTAGTCGATTTTTGTAAATTGCAATACACTAAGATATTTTAAGTGCGATGAGAGGACTCTATTTCTAAATTCTTCTAACAGAATCACTTAATTTGAAACAAGTCATAATGAAGCAAACTAGAGCTATCAAGATTACTTTGTTGGATGTTGTTTTGGTTTCGTGGAGAGATATAAAGATTAATTCATTTACCAGGGATGAGAGAATATATGATTATTTGCTGACTTATTGCTTTAATTTTAAAAAATGTTATACACCAACTTCAACAATTAAGCATCGAAATTCTTAAAGATTATTTTATCAAAGGTGATGGGAAAAATTTAAAATTTCCCAATAAAAGAATATTTAAGTCTTCATAACATTGTGTCTCAATTCCAATCAGGAATCACAGAGAGCTATAGCTCTTTTACATATTACTGATGATATTATTCGTGCGATTGACCGTTGCACTCATAAGCGGCAATAAGATTGCTGAAAAAACAGAAACAAAGAAAAACGTTACCGTTATTAATATCAAAATCAATTTTGGCATAATTTTATAATCCATACCACTACAAGAAATACGCTTTCTCAATATGTCATCGCTGACACCCTTAAGTTATTGAGTACTAAGCAATTTAATACTAAAGAGTATGTTCTCTCGAGCTAGAATAGGTTGCTTAAAAAGTTGATATCTTTATCACCATATTACTATACCTTGAATCCTTGTCTGGAAATGTGCCAAATTGCTCAACATAAAAATCAGATATTATATTTCCAGTAAAATGATCGCACGCCTCCATCGTAATTTTTAATGCCCTTTTTTGCACACCCTCTTCACTTATCTTGTGTGATGCGATAATTCATTACTTTTTTCTTTAAAATTTCTTAGATTTCAAAACTAGACTTTTAATTTTTAAATGCACAGTATTAATCTATTTAACTGTAACAATGAAAGTGTGGAAGGATTGAAGTTTGAAGTGGTAGTACTTCGAAGCGCGAAGAACGAGAAACAAGTTTCACTGACATAAAATAAATTTGAGTTTTAAATCATATAAACTCTACACTATTTCATCAACTTTGTGTTTGTAAACTACTCAGATAACGTACTTTCGACAAGATTCACTAGACGTTTCATAGATCTCACAGTAGATGGCGCTCGTAATTTTAAAATTTTAAGGACAAAAGTTATCGAACTTTAACTCAAAACATTAACATAAAAAAGCATTAGTTTTGTTTTAGTTTTTTTTACACAAAAAATTAAGAATATGTAGATAAATTTTGGAAATGGACACGACAGGGTACTGACACTTAGCTGATAAAATGCAGGTTGCAAATTATATTATATAAAAAAAATATGATGAAATACCGTCTTATACCTTATTAATCCCTTTTTCAGGGAGACACCCTCAAACCGAAAGACATGGACAGTAAGTATACGATCGACAACCCTCGGACGCGGTCGTTTTTACTCGTCGAGTCCCCGATTTTCAGCGCTGGACTTTGCCATGGAGGTTTACGGCGGTAACGAAAAGATAATCGACGGTACGGACCTGGGTCAGGTACTGCGGGCTTGTGACACGAACCCGAGCATGGAAACACTGGAAAAGTTGGGCATGCCGAAGAAAGTGGGGGAAAAGAAGTTTAAGATCGAGGACATCGTGCCGATGCTCATCCAGATGAAGAAAGAAGTGAAAGATCAAGGCTGCTACGAAGACTTTATTGAGTGCCTCAAATTGTACGACAAAAACGAGGACGGGCATATGATGGCTGCGGAACTGTCGCACATGCTGCTGGCTTTAGGTAAGTACTCGCCACAGTTGGTAAGAATGCAGATTTTTCGGAAAAACTGTTGGTGGCACTTTCTTAACATTTGCCTTACACTAGGTCTTACATTTTACGAAAACAATTTTTAACAAAAAGCCCAGAGGACTTTCAAATTGGATATAAATTTTAAAAAAAGGAAATGGCTTATTGCATTAAATTTTTTTAACATTCTTTAATTCGATGCACAGTGGTCTGAAGTTAATTTTTCAAACTTCCACAGGCTACTCTAATACCTTTTACAAAACTCCTGCGTTGGTTTTCGCTGAGTCGAACTTGTGTGTGCAAATTATGCAAAATATGAATTTTCTGATAGTGGAAACCGCGATATCTCACGAATGGTGAGTCGTAAGAAAAAAGTGCCTGAACAATTTTTGTAGAGAATTGCATAATCTACAACTTTTATCAGACCTACTTTCATGATAAAACTTACCGTTTTCGAGTAAAATGGAAAAAACTCAAATTTGTACTTCAGGCCTTGAATATATTTTTTTGCATAAGTCGAATCGAAGGCTAGTTCCTCCTCTCTGACATTTGCGTTTCTCGTTCTAGCCGAAAAACTGACCGACGACCAGGTGGACGAGCTCTTCGAAGACTGCCTGGACGAAGAAGACGACGAGGGACAAATCGAATACGACCGTGAGTATAAACATAATCAAGCGTTGTCGGGATCGCGAACTTCCCCTCTCGTTTCAGCGTTTTTGAGGCGAATGTGCTCGCTAGACCCGCCGAAATCCAAAAAGAAGAAGTAAACGTCGTCGCGTCGGCCGTATATTTTCAGATGCTGGCGTGTGTTGAACCAGGGTGTTGCGAGATTTTGGAGATAAAGTCCATTTATACGTTTGAATACTAGAGTGTTTGACCAACAATATTTTTTTTATTTTAAGTGGGATACAGTTATTCTGCCATACCAGTTCTGATTTTGATACCTGGTAGCTGGTGGAACTCCATTAATTGAATAGTCCGGGCTATTCATGTGTAAATGGATATAAACCATCTACTAATTGTTATTTCGTCTGATATCTTCAAAAAAACATTTAATATGGTAAAGAAAACCCTATTTTTCAGTTTCTTTAAATAATGGCTCCACATGGTTCAACACGCGCCAGCATCTGTCAAACTCACTCTAACCCCAGACAAGTGTTTTGAATACAATAAATTTATTTAACGGTTATAAAATCGTCGTCATTTCGAGCCGTCAATCTTCCGGATTGCCACGTTTCCATCTGAGAAAGTTCAGAACGCGCCAGCCCCATTTTTTCTTCTTCAATTTGGACGCGCCCGCCCTCAAGGTCTTGCATTTCGCCAGGAAGGTCGCGGTCGGGGCGGATCCCCTCGCCGCCGGAATCGTCAAGCTTTTGCGGGCGTCCACGGTAACGTCGTCCAAATCGATGATGTCCAGTAGTTGCTCGTCGTTTTCCGACGACGGCGGCGGTTTCCTCGCCTCGCCCGCGACCATCTTGGCCAAAATCTCTTTGGAACTCCTCACCAAATCGGTCAGGCGTGTTTTTCTCTCGACTTGGGGATGCTCGAAGATCGGCGTCTCTCCGCAAACCTCGATCTGATCACCTTTGCCTCTGTCTTCGTCGCCCATCGCGAACGCCCCGTCCACGATCTCGGAAACGAGCTGCGTCGCGACCTTGCGGGGCAAATCGGGATCGCTTTTGGTCGCCTCGCAGTCCCCGGTGCTGCCGATCGATCCGCAAACCAGCGACATTCTCGGAGTCGATCGAAAAGTCACGATGACGTTTGTCAAAATTAGCGGTGAGCGCGAAATTTTCGGTACGGTTTGAGCCACGATGGTTTGGAACGCGCCTCACGAAAATGAAAACACGTAGACGCGGTACGAGCGACGGAGATGACGCCCGACGACCCGAAACCGTACCGTCCAAAGACGTCGAATTGTGCCTCGAGGTGGAGATTGATGACGAGGTGAGCTACTCGCCGATGCCGAGGGTAGAATTGTGTTTATATCGTTAAAACTAGGCGTTGGTGGCAGAGCAAGTTTCTCGGAGAAGGTTTCAGCTTCTTATGGTTTATACAGGGTGTTAAAAAAGTACGCTGCAATGCATATTTTTCAAAATTTTATAAAAAAAAAATGTTTTTCTTTTATAACTTTTATATCACTTTCGATATTTTTATCAAGTTTGGTGAACGTCTTTTAACTATCGAGAGGCGGTTTTTGACACAAAAACTTTAATTTTATTTTTACCAGTGGCGTCCGTACGGGGTTCGAACTGAATATTTTTAAAGAAAAAAATGGCACGTCGCTGCTTTTTCTGAACACAAAAATTATTTTTAAAATCCCCATTCGATTTGGACTTGCTTTCGTACGACGCACGAATTTCGCTTAAAAAAATAAATAAATACAAAAAATTAACTTCTAACAGGATGACGTTTGTTAATTACTAAATAATATTAAATCACTGTAAACAAACAAAAAATAAATTAGAATAACTGCCGGAAATTACCTCCCCCGACTTCGATACATGCGTATGTACGCCTTAATAGGGACTGGCGAACCCTTTCGAAAATACCAGGGGTATTCCTAATAACTGTACAAGAGTCTTCTATCCGATTTCTTAGATCTTCCTCACTTTGGACTGGTGTAGTGTACACTAAACTTTTTAAGTGTCCCCAGAGAAAGAAATCTATTAGATTTAAATCAGGTGCTCTGGGTGGCCAAGTTTCGTGGTTTCACATGTCAGGAAAAAAATGCTACCTAGAGAAATAAAATTAAAAATTGTTTATACTTCTAACGCTGACGTTTCGTCTGCTTCAGAGATGAAATGAAACTGACTCGCATTCTAGGCTCTACCTGCTTATATACTGAATGATATTCACATTCTATTACTTTCATCACATACAAGAATTTTCGTCTTTTGTAAGGAAGAACCACAGCGACAAGTGGATCCTATTCAGACTCATTTTCTTTTTGAGGATGATTTTCTGTAAACAGAATGACCCAATGATTTTCTATTAATAGGAATAACTGTAAATGGGAGATTATTATTCGTTTCTAATTCAATGGTAAAAGGTATATTGGGGTTATTAAATGGCTAAGACAATCTAGGAGAAATTTTTGGTCATTTTGGTTTTAGACGGAAGGTTTCGAGGCATTTCTTCTCAAAAGCTTCCATAACTTTATTCGCGATGACTCTTGATCTCGATATTTGTTCATTACTTTGACCGTTACAACAAGAATATATTCCAGACAACCACTTTTCAATTAAGAATAAGAGTAAGGTTTGAAGTTAATATATCTGAGATAATTTTGAGAGTTAATGGTTTTTGATTGTTCAATGAAATGAAAGTAGAAGTAGGAAACCATCAGTTACATCAGAGAATATATTGGAGAACCAATAATCATGGTTTGTGAATCTTAGGGAGTCGGTAGAGACGATGAATATTAAATTCATTCATGACAGCCTTTTCCACGGTTTCTGATAAAGAAGAAGCCCTAATAATATATTTAAGGTGTGCGTTGCATAGATGACGTAGGATCTTTTTTAAGTTTACAATAGGAACGGTTTATAAGAATTTCTTCCTGATAATTGTGTTGATGGCCACAGTTTCGGTTTTAGATGAAACTTATCAATAGCCAGTTTTCTAAAATGTTCAAATAGCTGTTCAAAACTCACTAAAAATATCATCTGTATAAAATCAAATACGTTTTAGTTCTTAAATAATATGAAAAAAATTAAGCACAAATCTGGAACTTGTTCCTATAAAAGATTTTAAAATTGATTCTAGATAATTTGCGAAAGAGTACCACGTCAAGTCGGAGAGACCACATAGTGAACGAATTTTAGAGTCTTGAGATGAAGCCTTAAAGACACGTTTAATTTTACGTTCCATCGAACGAAGAAGAACAGATTTTTCCGTTTCGGAAAGTTGCCGGAAAGGTTTTTTTATCAAGACCAAGACAACGTGGTTGAACTTATTATTAGTTTTTAATTCCGGCGACAACTCCAATTTCCCTGATGTACAAAAAATTGATGTCTTTGATGTCCTTTCCATTAAGGCTCTCTAATTTTTCAAAGAAACTTCCGCGCCGCAGCTTTGTTGTGTACATTGAACAATATAAATTTCTCCATAGAGGTTTTGTAAGAGAGACGAAACATGTTAGTTGGGTATGGGCTGGTCAAATTCTTTTTTCGTGTTCCCGCATGTTTTCGGGCATAAATTTCTTCTTTTAATGAATTGTGCGGCCGCCACGAGCTTTGTTCCAGGTCAAAGAGTTGATGGAGTCGCCGGAAAAGTGCCGGTCCGCCCTACTCGACGTCACAGTGATCAAACCCGTCGGACTCGATCGGACCACCGAGAGGCAAACGCTTAAAAGCGACGACGTGAAGAAACTGATCGATTCGTTAAATTTAGCGGGCGACGACAAGCGGGACCTGCTGCGGGAAATTTTTGGCGGGAGCCCGAAGACCAAATGGTCCGGCGCCCGAATGGACGGCGGTGACACGACGGCGGCGGCGGCGGCGGCGACGACGTCGCGTCGACTCCCGAAGGTGCCCCGACGGAAGTGTCTCAAGTCGCGTATGCACATCTATGTAGTTTTAGAGGCGCGAGCAAGTCTACACGACGGCCAGAACCGTGGACGCGATGAGGTCGATATTCGCGTGCAAGAACAAGAGCGTCCACGACTACGAAACGCGCAAGAAGGACGAGCCATGTCTGTGCAAGAACTGCGCGGTGGTGGGCGTCCTCCAGGACTCGCAGAAACGACCGTTCGTCACGGAACCGATGCCCGAGCCAAAATCGAGAGCGTCTTCCCGCCGCCCCCAAAGGAAAAAATCGGTTCGTACCTCGCGGACTTGTATTGTTCGGATCAATAGCTCTTAACTCATTACTGACCATTGACGTGACGTACTTATATACGTATTATAATTCTGTTATAATGAGATCATGAAAACTTAGTTCAGTGGCGTATTGGTACATTATTTACTAATATTTATATATTTGACATGTTTATTTTTGAAAAACTCTCAACGCTTCGCCAACAAAAACGACGAAAAGAGCAATGAAGGGAAACAAAAACTAGTCAGCTTCGGAAAAAATATCTTTCTCCGAATCCGATTCATGCATATGGATAACAACTGGAACAACGTTTAATGCGTCAATGCAATGCAATCAACTTTTTCCCAAGCCTCACTTATATATTAAGGATAGAAGCGGTTTTGCCTCATGTTTTGTTCGAGCGAGTTTGCTCATTTTCACCAAATTTAAAAATTTCAGTGCACATCCAGTAATGAACTAAATCAGGATGTCCTGCCATGACGCAACTGCACGATTCGGTACTTACCTTAATTAAAAAAAAAAACATATTCCTGTGGACATGCTGGGTAAGGAAGCACGGAAATGTTGTAAGGGAACTCCCAAAAACCATATCCAATGTTTCTATACAGAAAATAACCCCTTTCCCGCTTGCAGATTCAACCGGACCTTTAAAGGGCCACTTAGGTGAGCTTCAAAATGCTGTGTTACTCAACCACCTGGAAACGGTCGGGAAAATATAAAAAACCCCAACTATGAAATATCCAAGAGTTCTATATATTTATTTCGCAATTGCAAAAAAACCTGACATTGTCCCAGATATTGAATTAGACCATTAAAGGGTCACTTAAGAGAGTTTCAAAATGATGTGTCTCAAAAAAACCTGACGTTGTCCCAGATATTCAGTTAGACCATTGAAGAGACACTTGGGATAGCTTCAAAATATTACTCAAGTATTACTCAATAACCTTGAAACCGTCGGGAAGATATAAAACTATCCCCAAAAATTGTCATATTTGAAGTGTTAAGTTGCACACCCTGTATCATGTTTTATTGCTGTAGTTAATTTTCAATCGGTGTCTCTTTTTGTTTTTGAATTGTTTCAACAGAAAGTACAACCAGCATGGAACTATTGCTCCTAATCCTGAAACGATTCAAATTGTTTTTTCTTTAAATTTGACACCATGTTTCTCTAATCGGCATCGACGTCAGACTGTTTTGGGATTGCGAAATAAATATATCGAATTTTCGAGTGTTTCATTATTGGGGATAGTTTTACTTTTTCCCGACCGTTTCGAGGTGGTTGTCAGGTTTTTTTTTTTTGAGATTTTTGGGATTTGCTGATGATAATGATAATATTTCCGTGCTTACTTTCCCGGCATGTCCACGGGAACACGTCTTTTTAATTAAGGTAAATGGCAAACTGTAACATTCGCGAATCGGAATCCAAATCCAAATCTAACCGCGGCCACATCGCTTTCGCGCGACGCAGGTGACCTTCGAGCGGGCGGACGGGCCGCACCTGGAGTGTCGGTTCCTGTTCGAACGTCTCTCGACCCGTATCGGCGATCTGGAGCGCAAGGTGCGCGCGCAGGAGGAACGCACGGTTCCCAAAGACTACTTCAGGAAAATCATCACGAAACTGGTGAACCACCTGACCAAGTTGACGAGTTTCGCGACCGAAGGCCAAGCCAGGCGGAAAGAGGAGGACCGGACGCGTTACCACGTCCACCCGTTGCTCGTCGAGCAGCAGGTGAGGGTACCGGCGGAGAAGGAATACGAGCCGAGGCCCTGCTGCTCGTCGACGGAGGACCCGTCGTCCCCGGGCGTATGGAGGTGGGGCGGAGAGATACTGAGGCCGGGCATCGACCTGAAGAACAAAATCGCGGACCTCCTCGAAGAGACCTTTCGCGGTGTGCGGCGGGGGTGGGAGAAGAGTCCGCAGGACGTCCCCGACGTGAGTTTAAAGACGTGCCGTCGTCCCGTCGACGCGCCGCGCCGACGGAAGGCGTCGTTAGACGTCGCGTACGTGAACCCCGCATCGGACGCGTGGCAGGAATCGAAAATCTCGTTTCGAGCGGTCTCTAGCGGCGCGTGCCAGAAACAACCGAGTCGGGGGCAGAGGGAGGAGTTGCTCAGGGTGATCGAGAACGCGACCACCGCCGACAAATTTAGGCTGTGGCAGAATATATGGAACCGGGCTCTCGCGAACGGGCAATCGCGCGACGACGCCGTCACCGTGGAGGTGAAGGGGGCCGGGTCGCCGGCGGAGGCGCGTTTCACGGTCGGCGAAATGGAAAGGCTCTTGGTGGCGCACGGACGGAGGAGGTGAGGGGGCGTGGCAATAAACGTTTGGCACTCTTTTTGGATTTTCCGTTTATTGTTACAATAATTATCCACGAATTATGATTGACGGGGGATGGAGGTGCTGAAACTTCTGGCGACGCGTCGTCTCTCCGTCGACGATGTCCCTTAAACTGAGAAAGGGCACGTCATTCCCGGACGTTCCGCAGTGGCCGGATTCGGCAAAAACACGGCCATAATCAAAATCAAAAATATCGCGTACAAAAGCGAAAGAGATGCGTGAAAGTGAAGGGCAATAATTTAAAAGTACCACCGTTATTTAATTTAAATATATCGAGGACGGTTACCAAGGGCCCCTACTTTTAAACACCCCCCAGATAGCACACAAAATCCACTGAAAACGTCAAATTACATTATCCAAGCGGTCCAAGAAACTCTCTGGGCGATCGGTCATCATTTATTTTTTTTATCATTTTTGTACAGCTTCTGGGCAGCCCACAAAATGATGACGTTTGATCTAAAAGCGGTAAATCTGACAACGCCGCTGTTAGCGTTTTTGAATTCTGCAAGTCGAAAAAGCTCCGGGTCCCCAATTTTATAGGTCCAGCATTGCCAGTTCCGGTACTTATTAATGAAAAAACAGGCAGACGTTGCGGTAACTCATTAACGAGACCTTTCAGTGCAATTCATTGCAACAAAAATAAATGCCTCGGTTTTTGCTCAATCGAAATTGCTGACGTTTCGCCAAACATCCTGTTGTTGTCCATTAACTTGACAACGTCGCATTCAAATTGAAAGACAGTCACTATGTCGTATAGATTTTTTTTGCAGGAATCGTAACATTCAACGATATATGGGGTGTTAGTTATAGAAAATGAATACCTCACTTTACGTAATGCATGTAAAAATAATCCATTTGAGATTGCCATTTAATTTTTCAAGCCACGTTGCCATGTTTTTGCGAAATACGACGATGATCACCTTGTTGAACTAACTCATCTATCTAATGCACGGTGATAGTCCAAAATTTTATTGCTTCTATTTCTGACAAAATTACTTTGCGAGAGTTTCATACAGTGCATGAAATTGCTAAGCAATAATACGACGGCGGGATTCTGTCCCCTGGTTAGAAATTTGCTGCCACGCGAAAAGCAGTTATGGTGGCACGAAGAAGCGGAAAAGCGAGTCAGCGACGCGAACACTCGACTTACTCAAAATTAAAAATAAAAATAAAGGCGCGGCTACCGCTCTACGCCATCATCTTCTTGAGGAATGCTGAAATTCAAACACGTGCTACGTGAAAATCACTACGGACCTCTCGCTGGTCAAAAAAAAAATGACGTCGCCGAAATTTGCACGCGAATACTCACGTTCGTAAGGGACGAATCCGTCGTCGTCCTCCTTCTCCAAGCAGTCGGCCAGGACCTCGTCGGTCTCCGCGTCGGACAGCCTTTCGCCTGTAAAACAGCGCGCGGTTTATTAATGTGTGGCGGATGCGCCGGGGTTAACGCGCGTCACTTACCGAGGGACAGGAGGGTGTGCGCGAGTTCCGCGGCCATCATTTTCCCGTTTTCCTCCTTGTCGTAGAGCTTCAGCGCTTCGAGGAAGTCGTCGAACTGGCCCTGCTCCTTGTCCTTCTTCACCTGGCTAAAGATGGGCAGGAATTCCTCCACCTTAAGTTTTTTCTCGTCTGCAAAACGACAAGTACAACCTTCTTCGAATTAGGGCGGATGCGCTGGATCTTACTCTTCTTCTTGGTGCCGCCCAATTTCTCGATTGTGGCCAGGGTGGGATTCTGGTTAAGGGCACGGAGCATATCGCCCAGGTTGACGGCGTCGACGGTGCCGTTACCGTCGAAGTCGTAGATCGAGAAGACAAAATTGGCCCCTGAAACGCATCGGAACGGATGAAAGCGAGATATATATTTCCCGCTCAAATTTCCTAAATCGAAAACGTGGGTCGCCGAGAACTTACGCTACTTTTTACTTAAACAAACACCTTCGAGCAGTTCTATTTCGGTGCGGCACTAATATATAACACGCTGACCTTATATGCGCCTGGGATATATTTAGACACCGGGCGACGATAGACTGTTACGATCGTATGATACTACAGAGGCACCACCAAAAATTTGCGCGCTTGTTATCAATACCCGTAAGAAAAAGATTTAAATGCCGCAAGGCGAGCGTAGGCAACCTTACACACAGCAGCTGATTTCGTTTGTTTTTGTGTTTAATAGGCGTTTAAACATTAAACGTATTTTAAAGTGGCGTATCGTTTGTGCGCAAGCGCAGTTCGATGCCGACACTGTTTATTCTCCCGAATGTACTTACTTTCGACGTCCCTTGCGCTGAGATCCGCCTAAAAGGAAAAAAATATGAGAATTTCGAAAGTCCGCTTCGAGGCCGAAGAGGTTCGCAAATTTCCTTGCGAAACTGCTCGCTCTCTCTCTCGTTATACAGTAAATCGCGGACCGGGTATTAATCCAACGGACAGGCAAAGTGTTATCTACTAAACGAAACGGAAACAAGTGTTACGATATAAGGAAGACGAGACACATTTTTAGACAGTTGACAGAGACGATCACAGAGACACAAAAATCAGGCAAAAAACGATTACAAGGGGGCGCGCGTGCGCGACGACCGACGCTCGGCGTCGCGGCCCAAAAAGGCATCGTCGGTCGTCGGCCACGCGCGCGCACAAGCACCGGGCACAAAATTTTTAGACACTTCACGCAGGAAACTCGACACCGAAAATCCACATGTATAAAATATACCGAATGTACCTCCGCCCTGAAATACCGAAACAGAAAAAACTATTTCTATACTATTTTCGACTTGTAGACTTTTTTCTTCCAATACTTGATGGCCTTTACGTAAGGCGCATCGCCAAGCGTTATCTTCGGCAGGGGCGACTGGGGGCTCGTGTACGAGGAACCCGAGGGTTCCTCGTCATCCGCCGCCGCCTGCGCCTTCCGCATGATGAAATCTTTCAGGTCATCGTTTTCGGTTTCGATTTCAGTCCGCGTCGCCATTATTTCGCGCACTCGGCAAGCTTATAAGTTAATAGGACTGGCCTTTAGGGCGTGAAACTTGCAACAACTTACCATCGTTACGGTTTGGGGGTACACTAGCCTTCTGTGCGCGAAAACCAGAAGTGGAGCCGGACGCAAAGAGAGGATCGAGTTTTATATTTCCAGAGGGCGCTGCGGGCGCTCGAACGCCACCGGAAACTGAAAACGGATCGCGGGCGCTCCGTCTGTGACGCGCCGATTGCGGGGGTTGCAGGGTCGGATCGGAGGGAAACGGGGCAAACCACGACCATCAGGCCAGCTTGGAGTTGAGACGACGTCGCTTCCGTATCCTCCGAGAAGCGATACGTAAAATAAGCGGTCTCTGCATCCTTTTTTACACGGTACTTACTTATCGATTCAACCGTGATTAACGGGCATTTCCGAAATGCGATAAATACGGTCCTGGGTCGTTGCGAGTCTGGATTTACGCTATTCCAAAAATATCGTCACGATACTATTTCGATTTTTCGGCGGAATGTGCACGAACTTTTTTGGCAGCCGAGCTTGTTCTGCTCAATTCTAAATTTAGAATTGCCAGGCCCGATGTGGACGCTCGGCTGAAGCGAGCGGCAGTGAAATCACCGACAGCGGGTCTCTCGTAATTTGCTTTAGTGCGTTTTTTCTTTTGTTGTCCTCAAATGCATTACAATAAAATCTGGAAAATTGACTCGTCTGCTTTGTTTCAACACGGAAGGTGTGTGTCGCGACACCTATCGTAAGATGGAGTTAACTAACACTTAAGCCAGATAACGACAGATATCGCCACCAGGTTCGAAATTACGGTTTAACCACCAAGCCACCCCATAAGACCCAGGCAAACACCGACATCAGTCGATTATTTTTTTCCCAGTTATTTAAATGTAGAGTTGAGGATGTTATTGCTACTCTCTCAGAAGCCAACAAGAAGAAATGTAAAAAAAAACACATATTAGGATCATAATCAAAATTTATTCAACACTTAGCGACCTGAGTGGGTTTGTGGTGTGGTTTAAGTTAAATCGGGACGTGCTAGTTTTGGTGCTACAATGTCATGCAATTCCTGGATCAAATTTCGCGCCTTTGTCAACGTCAACACTAATTCGCAGCCACGATAGTCCGATTTTTATTTTGTATAGGCAAAAACAATTTAAACTCCGCCGGCAATTCATCTTCAGAATATAAACGATCAGAGAAATACACCCTACGTATACGACAGTTTGCGTGCACCTGGACGCGTAAAGTTTCGACGTAATTGGTACCGTAAGCCCTTCGGGTAAAGTCAGCAACATTAAACTGAATCTGGTTCCATCCCTCGTCTAATCTCATTGGCATGGTGCAAATGAACGGCTTCACTCTAGTCGTCGATTGGTAATTGCTCGCTCGGAAACGCCTCCGGACGTTTTTGTCGTCCAAAATCTGCAAAGCATCGCAAAAATCAACTACAACCTAGCGTTGAGATATTCAACCAACCTGGACTTCAAATGTAAAGTACTTTTTCAAATTTTTCACAATCATTACCAAGTAGGGCAGTTTTATACCCAACGTTTTTCTGGGATCCGCCGGGCAAGTGATATAAGTCGTGCTAACATTGCATCCGACTATTTCCAGTACCAGCGACTGGATATCTTCGTCCGTTATCCTTTTAATGTGGCCGTTTTTCACTTTCTTGTCCCAAATTTGCAACGGCTTGCTTCCGATGCTGTACAAAATCGACAAGAAACCGCTCTGAAACGTATTTTTAAACATATTTCTTACAAAAATTTGTTTTATTGTGCAGAAGGCTATTTTCTAATACTAAAGCATATTTACAGAGTTTGTTGGTTAGGTTTCATTTGTTGACGCGCGGTCGGTAACAGGCGTTTTGAAAGACTGCGCTGGTCCTCGCGTGCCATCTGTTGGAGCTGCGTGGAGTTTGAGAGATCGCTCTTAATGGAGAATTCGTTTGTTTCTTTTACGATTATCAAACTAAAAAGTGTTTTCCAAAGATACTTCCTGGATAATATTAATGGAAGTGATATACAGGATGTCTCTAAAAGGTGAGGAAAAATTTGAAAAAAATTCTAGAGATCAAAATATTCTGCTTTAGTTATTCGGCTAAAGGGGGTGTCTCGTGTTTGCGTCTTTTATCTACAACAAACCTGGCTAGAGTTGAAGTTTTTATGTTTCTGAGATATCAGGTACATTCTTTAAAAACTAATCGCTCTTGCCGAATAATGCGTCCACTTCTACCCATTATGAAATTATTCTTTAATTTAATGAATGATTGGGTTGAATTTACATTTAATCCAAGCCACTTGCCTAAAATCTAGCGAGTAAAATGTTCACCTCTTTGACGGTCTCGAGGAGCAAAACTATCAAACCGATCACCACCTCGCAAGTCAAGGAAGTGGAAGTAAGGCGCGATTAAAGCACTTGGAAACGTTACCGTAAGGCGTTGTTAGTCATTCGCCTGTGAAAGTCGCTGGTCGGTCGTTAATGTGTTCCGTTTGCAGTGCGTTGTTTACAAGTAATATGTAATACTTTTGCGTTCGGGAAATATGACTTCCACGAACACCGCCTCAGGTATTATTTTTAAATATACGTTGCGGCATAACCTCACTAAAATAATTGAAGGAGGGACAAAATTAATGATTATTAATGACGTGAATCTGTTCGATGAAATATACTGTTTAATAATCGCATATATAGCGACCGCTCCGGATACATTTCGCGAGGATATCCCGTTAAACCAGGCGGGCCTGAAGACGCCGAAATGGTACAAGTGCCACGACGACAGCCTCAGCGGCTCTAAATTCGTAAACGTCGCCTTTGGAACACTGACCGTCGTCATCACCGCAGCCCTCCTAATCCAAATCTACTACGGCGATTATCAGGTCCGTATTTTTTTAATTGCAGTTATCAGTTTTCGTGTGGTTACCGACTGTTTGCGTCACACGAGGTTTACTAGATATACCCATACATTTACTGTTTTCAATATGTTTTTTTTTTATTTTAATACCGGTTGCTATATATTTTAGGTTGTTCCGCATGGAAGCGTCGCCTCCGACAGCCTTGAATGTTCGAGGGCGGGCACGAAAATTTTAAAGGAGGGCGGCAACGCGGTGGACGCCGCAATTGCCTGCACTTTGTGTTTAGCCGTTGTGACGCCACACGTCACGGGATTAGATGCGTTAGTACGCCGTTCGCGTAGTGACTTTCTGTTATCGCAAACGTTCGTTTAATTTAAGGGAGGGGCAAATGATGATTTACAACCACCGGGATCGTCTCCCGCCCACAGTAATAAATTTCAGCGTCTCCAATACACCCACCCTAAAATTACCCTTTCTGGTGTCGGGATTGGCTTACATCCACCGACAACGCGGCACCTTACCCTGGCATGATCTCGTTAAACCCGCAGCTGACCTCGCCAAGTATGTACTTACGTCCGTTTAGATCAGAGAAAAACGAACATTTAGAGAAGCGTCAAAGCTTGTGGGTATCTTTAATGTTCAGGGGTGCCAGTTTTGATGACCTTGAGTTGACGCGTATATCCACATTATTGAACTGAGAGAATGATAATAATTTACGTTTTCATACACTGATCAAACGTTCTGAAAAATTAATAAAATTAAAGGTACCATATTATGCATTCAACAACGTAGTAGGACTGTGACAAGTGATTATGAGACAATGCTTAATAAGTTCTATATGGCGCGTATGCAGAATACTCGAAAGGATTAATGCAAAAATTGCTTTCTAATATTTGGTAAATTATTACAAACTAACACAAATACCTTAAGCGTTGTGAAATCCGCGCCCTTTTTTAATTTGAAGGTAAAAAATGCTACTTGTGTTGCAAAAGGTGGAAAATCGGATTAAATTTAACAGCTTACAAAATACTAAAATACAAAAATTAAATAAATGGACAATACACAATAAATTGCTAAATCATTTTAAAATTATATGTCAAAATCAAATTCCACCAAACCAAATAACACTTTGTAGCTTTTCTATGGGTTCGTTTTTCTATGGTTTAGATACCGTAAAAGGGATCTTCCGCGCATGTCACTAATTAGACACAATCAAACGGGAATTATGAGCCATTTATTTCTAAACGGTCATTTTCTCTCTTGAAAATTTAATGGTATCTGGTAATATTTTGACAAAATACTGGCGGAAAAAATGTCATATTCAAACTGAAAACTGTCGAATCGAAAGGTTTGGATCGCACGCGACGTGCGCTGCTTCCATCCATTTAGGTTAGGTCGTGCGAAAACCCGCTTTGTCCCACAGGAACGGTTACGTCGTATCGAAGATGCTGGTACAGGCAGTGAACAAGGCAAATGCGCAACATCGTTACGGCCGTTTGGAGCCCGGACAGCTGCTGTCGCACCAGGTTCTTGCAGACACCCTCGCAACGATCGCAAATATTACCAAAGAAGGTCGGTGTTAAGCTCACTTTAAATTTTCGGTACATATCCCCGAATCGCTTACAGACCTGTATACAAACTACATCGACTCTGCTAACGAACCCGTCGGATCTCCAGCGATAAAATCAACATTTTACGGTTACAATATCTACGTTCCTGGGGTCGAGACGGTCGGACCCGCGCTGCTGGACAACCTTAAGGAAATCGAAAAGTATAACTTCACAGACGCCGCAGGGGCACCAGTGCCCCAACGCTTTCACGCCCTCGTCGACGCCACGCTCGGCACTTACAAGAAATTTAACCTTTCCACGAGCTTCCATCAAGGCACAGGTTCAAATGTTGCGGTTATGGATTCCGACGAGAACTACGTGTCGCTTGTGACGTAAGTATTGCTAGCGCTAGATTTTCTGTAATCCCGCAGTTTAGATATTTGGTAGGCAGTGAAATTTGAACTGCGGTTGTATAACATCATCCTGCCGTGCAGTGTTGCCAAACTGCTATATTTATTCGATTTAACCAGGAAATTATACAAAATAGTAAAATTGTGGTTATATTAAACTGTTTCGTGAAAAATTCCATCTCAGATTAAAATATGGAGTAATAAAATTCACATCATTTTAGTTTTTCTATTTCACTTTTAAATTTAACGCATGAACAGAACAATGAGTGAAAAATGACATCAAATTTTTTTCCAACTCTTGCCATAAAAATTTTTTTTTTAAAAAGGAGTATAAAAGTATAGTATGATAATTGAATATTTGGCAACAAGGGGTGAAAAATTCCAAGGTTGCGCCAACTAACAATTTTGGTATCTATGTTGGTAAGACGTTTTCGTCTTCAGGGGCATGTACGACCTGTTCGGCGATAAAGAACAGAACGAGTTTGTTTACGTGCAAGACGTAAAGGAGAGACCGCGACCTTGCAGCCGCATCGCCCTCATAGTGACTGACAATAACTTTATCTGCGGCCGTAGAATCGTTCTGGGGGCGGACAACGTCGCGATGGCCACCCAACTTCTAGCAAATCTTGTAATTGGCGGACAAAATGTCACGGAGGCGATCGAGAGCGCCAGATTTCACGTTATGACCGATGGAACAATCGGAGTTGAAGTCGCTCGTTCGCCTACTTTTTCGGAATCGACCGTTCGGTACTTTGAGGAGATAACAGGGAACAAGGTTGTCGCAATTGACGAGCCTTACAATAGCAGTAACAGCGTGGAAAAGTGGAAAGACGATTTGGTTTCGCATTCCGACAGTCGTGGCGGTGGAATAGCGAGCCGGTTCTAGATTGTGAATTGTGATCTTGTGATTTGTACTTAATTGTTATTTATAATTGTTGCACAATTAAAAATAAATTAAGTTTTCTATCTTGTATATGGATTATCAGAAACTTTGTTTTTGGGAAGTGTACTAATAAAAGTATAGGAGAAAAGATGGTTTTCTTCGTAGTCGTGGCCGAACGATCCTCGCGTGTTTCCGATAACTAAGAAGAAGAAGAATCGGCATTGCCAGACTGTCATTGATAGCAATGTTTTGTTGACATTCGTGGGTGGAAGATGTTAGGTGTGCGTGTGACCAGTTTTAACGAAAACCTGGGGGAACCTGAACAGGATGCGAATTCTGCGCTTACGGAACTGGATAAAGGTAAGCCGAAATCAGCAGTAAGCCGGACTGCAGAAGATATTTGCAGGCTTGAGGTCGGGAAAGGTGGGCGAACAGTGCGAGGCCATAGTCAGGTTTCCGAAATTATTCGAAAAGTACCCGTTTCCGATTCTGATAAACGCGTCGTTATTGAAATTGGCCGATGTATTTCGCATGGGGTGAGTCGTTCAGCCTTTGAAAATTGTGCGGTTACCGTCGATTTGTCGTAGCAATAATTTTCTGCGGCTATGCGTTCTGAGAGTGTGCCAGCAGAGCGAAAAACACCTAGACAAAATATCAAACGTCGACGAGTTCGTCAGAAGGATATACAGCGTCATTCATAGCAACGACCCGATCGCTCGGGCCGTCACTCTAAGGACTTTCGGCGCGGTAGCCGCTATTATTCCTGAACGGCAACAGATTCACCACAGCATTAGGGGGAGCTTGGATTCTCACGACAACGTCGAAGTGGAAGCTGCAATTTACGCCGCTATCCAGTTTGCAGCTCAATCAAAGTAGAAACTATTGTGCGTGTTGTCACTAGATGACCGGGTCATATTTTTAGGACGTTTGCCGTGAGTATGTGCAACAAGGTGTCCGACATGATACAAAGACAAGCTACGACTGCTAACATGAAGCTGCAATTGATACCGATCTTGCAATATATGCATCACGACACCAATACAGCTGCCATGGTACGAACTTTGTGTTTGAACCTGTTGCCAAGCTATCCAGCTCAAGATTTCGTTTTGGTTACCCTAAACACCTTGACCAAACTGGCGGCCACTACCCTAGTTGACATTCCCAGTCAGGTGAGGTTGTATCAGAGAAATTATCCCACATATTACAGAAATGAATTATATATGGTGCAATTTATGTGATATTAAGTTTCACAAATAAATCCTAGATAGGAAATATATGGGCTGGTTGATGGGCTCCTGTTTATAGTGAATTTTTGCATGTGAAAGGTGACTTTGTTGCTGAAATACTTGAAAAACGACCCGCGTTGGGAAGTCAAGTTGAAGGCTCTCGAACATTTGTACGAGTTGGCGCGTCCGGGGGCGCACCTGTGGCCGCCAGGGGCCGTCGACGAGATCATAGAGTACGCGTCGTCGACCGAGCAAAACCGGATTTTAATGCCTGCCCTTTACGTCCTCCAGGTACGACGCCGCCGACGTTGTCAAATCCAGGCCGTTGAGCGCATGCGTTTTTATACAGGTGCTAGTCGAGTCGCCGAAAGTGTGTTACCATCACCGACACGCCGGCTCCAAGTTGCGGGAACTCTGCTCGAAGCATTCGTACTCGATGGAGGCGGGAATCGCCGCCCGCGCCATACAGATCGTCACCCAAATCTTGTGTTGTTGTTTCGATGAACGCCTCGACGTCGACGACGCCGAGGACGTCATCGTCGCAATCGAAACGCTGATACTGGTGCTCACGTTCGGTGATCGCGGCTGCTCGAAGGACCTGAAAGCCGCCCTAAAGTGCGCGGTGAGGCTGTGCAAGGCGGAGCCGCACTACTGTCAGACGTTCGTTGAACTTCTCGGTTCTAGGTTGACGGACGTTAACGGTAAAACTCATTGGGCTATGGGCGCGTACCGACAGACGTATAGAGTACAATCGCAGCTGAACCTTTATTCCCGCGACATTGTAGTTCTAGTAGTATAGTAGTGCCACTTTTGGCGGGAAAATTTGGATTGTCGTTAACCTACGGGTGTTGGAGTTCTGGTAATGCAACCAGAAAACCCTCAACGCTCAACTATGTTCATCTTTTACTAAAAGCTAGAATTTTGTTTTTCCCAACAACCTTCAGTTTTTCACCCCCTAAAAGGTAAAAGGTAAAAAAATATCTTTTCTAGCCCGAACATAGCAGAAGTCGAACAATTCAGTTTTTTTTGACAAAAGTGGTTTATTCTAATTGTAGAAACTATATTCCTATACTACTGATTTGCTTGGCATTGGCTATCTCACTCTCACAGAAGTCGGAACGTTTTTGTTGATTTTCGTTTTAAGTAAGCACCCTGCAGCATTAGGAAGTGCTGTTAATTACGCGATTAGGTTATTGTTTGATAAGTGAAATAATTTAGAAGGAGAGACGTATTTTATTCATGATACTTGGTTCTTTATTTTGAATATCGAAGTGTACAATTTATTTTCACTAAATCAATAATTAATATTGAGAAATACGGAAAATTTCATTTTTATTATTTTTTAAGTAGTTTTAGATTCAGGGTTATGGTTAAAAGAACGGAAAAAGTAATAGGAAGACTATTAGATCGAAGTCCTGAAATCCAATTCAAATATTTATTTATATAAAAAAAAGTTTATTTGTAAAGAAACGACATAATACGTAAAAAAATAATTTTATTTTTTTTGTTAACAAATTTAAAATCGTCGTTGATGGTTGACTGTGAATATTTTTTGTGATATTTCCAAACTAAATCTTTTTTTATGAAAAAAAAAAATAAACATAAAATTAACTGACTAAAAGTACACACAGAATAAAAAAGTTTGAGATGTAACTATAACTTATATGAACATAATTGCTGTAGTGTAGTAATAACACAGAGGTAGCGGGGATGGTTTGCTGCAATGTTGCATTCTAGATTTTCATATTCATTCAAAATTTAATATTTTGCTGTATATGTAGCTTAAAATATTGGAAGATATGAAAATATTTTAATATTAATATGACATGTTAATTGTGGATTTCATAAAACATAGCTTGACTTATTTTTCATATTTCCTAATGCCAACATAGGTTTTTGTTAAAAAAAAAATATTAATCATTTTTGCACAATATTCATTTATAATAATAGAAGAATAAAAAAAGAAGAAGAAAAGAATAAGAGAACAATAAATAATAGAAGTCCTAGCACGCAGTTGTTTGTTGAGGTTAGAATTTTGTAACTGCCTTCTATTTTTATTTGAAAACCGAGGGGTGGGGACGTTGTCATATAACCACTGTGCGGCGATGCGCGCGCCGCTGACGTTCTCCCCTCCACAGATTACACGATCGTGGTCTGCGAAGCCCTGGGGGCCATCGGCAGTCTCGAACCCGAAACGCTGCTGCCTCTGATGGACGTGACGCTGAGACTGCTGACCGCCGCTGGCTCGCTGAGCGATGACGTTCAGACGCGTACCAAAATCATGCTGTGCACGCTGCTGTTTCAGATGATGTCGGGCCGTGGATGGACCCGCGAGGCCGAGACCGCGGTGCTGGCCGCGGCCTCGGCCGACAACAAGCTGTGGGCGAATTACTGCATAGGTAACAATAAGAGTAATGGGCTGGGTTTAAACTAAATCAAAAAGACCAAATACAAGGTAATTTTATAGAATACATAAAATGGTTTAATAGTTTCCATGGCAATCAATTACCATTATATGTTACCTGTAAATTTCAAGTTAACTGAGTTGGGCATTAAATCTTGTAATAAATTTAAGTATCTTGACGTAATTGTTGACAGTCATTTGATGTGACAATCGTATTTAATTTACGGAATTTTAGCATGAGTGCTCCGACAAAAATAGATTTTAATGATTACTTATAAAAGGAATAGGTGTTATGCAACAATACAAATTTTTAATGGATCGAGCAGTCCAAATCTTTTAAAATAAAATTCCTATTAGTTTATTTGTTAGTTAGTTATATTTTGTTATTTTATGTTGATATTCTGATAGCAAAAATTTTAAACTTACGGCCGTCAGTTTGAAGCGAATTTATAAAATCATGTAAGTTAAAGTCAAGTTTAACAATGGCCTGTAGGTAATAATAAAAGCGCTTTGACTGGAAAATGGAATGGATGGAATATTTTGTGACAATAAATTAATACAATTTTTGGCTAGTAGTTAGAATGGTTGGGAGGCTTGTGCCGCGGGTGCCGAGCTATCATCAAATCAGTTTCAGGCAGCGTTTTGAAGAAGTTAGCAGCATGTTTGGCGAAACGTCATTGAGACGGTCCACGCCCGATAATGATAATTGTATCAAATTTCAGAAAACATAAAACAGTCAAATGTGGTATTACTTAAAACGTCCATAATAACCAACCGCGTTTAAGACTCTGACTCTGTTGACGTAAATGCAAAATGTTAATATTAAGGTAGCATTCAAAATATGATTTTTTGTTTTTCAAATCTCAATAACGTAGGGTAGTAATGTGGAAAAAATGGAGTTTAATATTAAATTATTAATAAACCCTTTTGCAGCCCGGGCCGCGATACGTTACGGCCACCACCAAATTGCCCACCTCGTCTTCAAACAACTGACCGAGCAAGTCAGCTCAGAGCATTTTCACTTTTGGCTCGCGTGCCTGCGAGAGATGTGCCGGGCCGAGGCCCTGCTATCCAGCGACGAATCCGCCCCTCTTGTCACGAGACTAGACAAAGCGATCATCCACTACAACAAGGCGGTGGCGGCCCTCAAAGCGGCCAGCACCCCTTCCCATAATCTCGCGTTTCAGACGGAGTACATGAAAATCCGCGTCGAATTCCTACAGTGCCTCGCGCAGCTCATCTACACGTGCAACATCCTGTGCATAGTGCCGCCGCCCGCGATCGCGGCCACCATAGTGCAGAATACGCGGGACGAGCATCAACGCCACGGCTACATCACCAACCAGCTGCGCAAGTGCGCGAAAGAGTTCAAGAACTGTGGCGACCTGCACTGGAGGCTCTACCAGACGGCGTTCGACGCTGACCCCGCCACTCTCGAGAACATGCAAATGTGAGTATACTAGGTTCACTAGCAATACAGTTAGCTTTTACAAGTGTCGTCTGCGATTTTCCATTATCTAGCGCTAACTTTGTTTTGGAAGCTCTGAAGGAGGGCTGTCAAGTTCATGTCCTCTGCAAAAATCCTTATAGGCTCAAGGTCGAGCTTCCTCAGGGATCCCATCTCGGGCCCTTTCTTTTCAGTGTTTATGTCGTCAGCTGATTGTTCAAAGTTGCGAGATGCACAGCACAATACTATTCCTTATGATGTGATCTGATTGTAGTGCGGACCACTATATAACTTTACATATAAAGTGCTTTTCATCTAAGAACTCGAACTAACTGCAAAGTCATATCAAACTTTGGTAAATATAAAAATTTGTACCAATAATAGCGATTTCGAACAAGGTTTTTTTCAAATATTGCGTCCTGTATAATAGACGAAAACTCGAATATTGTAGTTCTTAACTGAAACTACACCAGTGATTTAAACCAAAATTCTTTGGGACTTGGAACGCATCTGTATTCACGTTGATGGCATTATATTGTATTACATAATACGCTGTTCTCGGAGGGAATTTTTATTGGGTTAGGTTCAATATTTGCATATCCCTGTTGTGTTAAAGTGTTTATTCGGCCGGTGCTTGGTAGATAACTAAATAAATGAATTTCGTGCCGCCGGAAGACTGCAGCAAATGTGCGTACTGACTGAGCAGTGTGTCGAGTGTGTGGGCACGGGCGGTGCCCGCATCCGCGACGGCCCCATGGAATTCGGCGGCACCAGGTCCGTCCGGCTAGAGTCGCGGCCGCTGGTGAAGGGGTGCGCGGACGCGCAAGCGGTCGCTCAGCACCTGCTGGAAGACTCAACTGTGGCCACGATCACGCACAAACAAGCGGAGGTGCTGAAAAAGATTGCCGAAGTGCTGGCTAGCGCGCCGCTACCGATCCCGAGGTACTTTTTCCAAGTGTTGCAGTCGACCAGTGTGAAACTAGCGATCTCGCCGCAGCCGCGCGTGCTTGGCGAGTTTATCAGCGTGCAGGCGGGCTCCCAGCTCGCCGTCAAGGTGGAAGGCGTGATCCAGCACGGCATGAAGGCCGGACTATTCCGAAGGATCCAGGAGGTCGTCATCGCCGTCACGTCGCAGTTGCAAAGCGGCAGCAAGAACAAGGAGGCCATCGATGCCAAGGTGAGGCGTGACGGCGCCTGCGGTCGTATTTCGCTAAAACCTGGCTTTTGCGATATCGCTTTTATTTTTTGGAGACAGAGTACGGGGGAATTCTGACAACTTAACGCAAATTGTAGTAGTAGTAGTATGAACCGGCGACTGGAAGTTTGCAGTCCTAGCAAACTAAAATTTTACTTTAATCTGCAACGTTGCCATGTTTTTACGAAACCACCGCGCGCTCGCTTCTTATGGTAGTTCAAACGTCCCATCGCGATTAGGCGCTGGAGCAGGTGTCGGTGTTGTCTCAAACCGTCAGTCCGCACAAGGACTTTTTCTCGGCGCAGTTCCTGCTCGCGTTCCCTAGGGGCGGCCAGTACTCGCTGGCAGTCGAGGCGTCGGTCGTCGACGAGCAGGGAAACGCCTGGAAAACGGGTCCCAAGTCGTCGTTAACGGTCAAAGTTCCGGACGAGCAGAAACTCGCTCCGATTACGGTCCCCGGCATGGCCAACAACTCGAACGTGTGAGTACCTGGTGGTTGGCGTGACATTATATCCCACGGGGACGCGACGATTCATTCATAAAATGAAACAAACATTTATGAATGACGATTGAACAGATTTTGGTGCAGCCAATCACATTCTACAGTTAGAAACATAAGTTTATGCTGTGCGATGTCACTATACGTTTATCTATGCAATTTTAAATGTCAACAACAATCATCAGAGAAGGGCTTAGGAATTTACTTCGCAATTGCTTGATTACGTTTTCTTTGTTTTTTTTGTTGAAGTCGGTACGCCAATAAGACTTAGACAATACGTCGGAAATGTTATTAACGTTATAATTTTGGAATTTTTCGGAAAAATCTTGAATTGTAAGATATTACTCATATCCATTTTAATAATAAGGTCTAGTAGTTTCCCAGGTATGACAGTTTTTCACCCTTAATGAAACAGCCTGTATAATTTTCAAAGTCTAAAAATAATTTTAGCACCCACTGTCGGCTTTCTATTTTTTATGCGCACGTTAATATTAATATTTACTTTACGAGTAAAAATAATATACTGTTTGACCTTTTTTTTTTTTGACTCACAAAGAGTTTGCTGCCTTTCAGTTTTGATGCTAATTTATTAAAAATGGATGAAGCCGTAATTGATAACATTTTGTTTGCCTGTGGTATAGTGTAATAAACGTTTCTTGTTTTCACCTTTTTCATCAGGAACCACATAAAAATATTCAGAAGAAACTGCCATTTTATTACCCATATTTTTTGAATTTGTAAAGCACTCAAAAATGTTGTTCATATTGTCATATTAGTACCTAATCACAAAAAAAAACCTTTAAACAAAAGCATCAAAATTCTTCAAAGAAATATCCGCAGACTGTGGAACTTGCACTTACAGATCAAGATTAAAAAGATAAATACAAAAAGTATATATTTTAATTATAGTATTTTTATGTGTTGTGCTAAGACAGTAACGCAATAGCATTTCTAACAGTGTCTTAATTTGACAAAATGACCAAAACCACATGCGTCGCTTTGTTCCGCAAAAATTGATGGGGAATCAATATTCGTGCACGGACGAACATGCCCTGTGAAAACTGAAGTTAGGATTTTTGTAAATGGTTATTCACCACTCTTAAACAGCTCAAAACCAATTTTGAACCACAATCGAAACGTCAAAAATACCATAGCACCTGACGTCTCCGAGAGGTCAAAATCTAGTACCATCCTATTAACGTAGTTCAGTGGTAATCGTTTGCGTTTAGAATGTGATTGGCGTTCGGCCCAGAAATATTCAGAGGTTGTCCGATCTCTGAGATGTCTTTTGGCGGAGGACCCATTTTTTTAAAACAGAAACTTAATTCGTGTTGCAGAATTTTGATGCCCGAGGACAATCTGTTCGCCAGGCCCGCGCAGAAGAAGCAGTAAATAAACCATCGTTGGTAAAAAATAGTCTTTTATTGTTTGAAAAATGTACAAAAATAACAAGCCCCCAGCAAAAAAATAAAAAATAAAACAACAACAAATTAGCCTAACCTGGCGATTTTTTGATTATTTTTAAACTCGACCCAGTCGACATAGCCATCCTTGTTGGTGTCCAATTCCCCGAGTAGGGCGTCGATGAGCTCCGACAATTTCGCGTCCTCAAAGAGGGGCGCTTCGTGGTTCACTTTCTTTTCGTCATCTAAAATTAAGGACTCCCTTTCGTGATAAAATGTCCGCAGACGCCGACGCCACTCCCCCCACCACCGCGAACCCCCATAGACGCACACACCTACTTAATGGGACCCAGGCTGCTGCTGCGGTTGCCCGCCGGTCGCCTTTTGCTGCGCCCTTATAAATTCCGGATAGTCGATGTAACCGTCCCGATCGGTGTCGTCGACGTTTAAGATCGGGTCGATTAAATTTACCAGCTCGTCGTCTTTGAAGACCTTCTCCTCCACCCCTTGCTTTTCCTTGCTACCCTGCTCTGAGACAAAAACACGAGACGCCACTCACACGAAAGCCGCAACCGACAATTAAAACTCGACGTTAAAATAGCACCAAATCAATTGGAACCGGGTGAGGTTAAAGTACCCAAATTGGAAGCTTTTGCTTTCCTTGCGCGCCTGCACCCAAGTCCAGTTAATAGTCCTTTAAATACATACATTAAGATTCAGAAAAAAGCACATACAATGCAGTATAAATATTACATCGATTGTTTTTCTTTAGAAACAAATTAAAAAATAGGAAGTATTTCTATCAAACACATTATGAGAATGTCAGATTTAAGTTTATATTTTCCAATCATCTTGACACAAGTACCAAAGCCGCATTATTTTATTTGCTATAAAAACCGCCCACAGATTAATGAAACTCACCGTGCCAATGTATCAGTGACTTTATCAACTCACAGCCATCCAGTTTATTGTTGTTGTCTCCGTCGTGCATTTTAAAGTAATGAAATTGTAATTCTTGTTCTGTCATTTTGCTCGTGTCGATGGGAACTTCAAGGTGCTCCGCAATATGCCTAAAACAATCCATAAGTGTTAAATGATCCGCCAGTACAAATGGCTGGCTTACTCTTTTTCGTGCTGAATATTTGCGGCGTTGAGAATTTGTTGGGGTTGCCCATGATGGCCTCCATGATGATGGCCACCACCTTGCGGTTGATGCTGGATCGGTGGTTGCTGAGGCTGCGCAGGTGCTTGGTACTGTTGTTGGGGCACTTGTTGGTACTGAGGGGGAGGTGCTTGTTGGTATTGTTGTCCAGGTACTTGTTGAACAGGTACTTGTTGGAACTGTTGCTGAAACTACATTCACATAGCGCAAACCTTTACACAACCATAAAAATTGGGCTTTTAACCAAATAAAATCGTCCTAAACATATGTTACCTGCTGATGTTGGTAATGATTTGGATTTATTCCGGGTGGCGCCCGTTGCGCAGTGATAACATTCACACTAATTAAAATCGAAATAAAAACTAATAACTGCTTCATATCGTTAGCAATTTTTCAAACTGAACATCCAACTAATTTGCATCGTTTCTGGACGTTTCAAAATATCGACGGACACGTCGACGCAGAAGCGCTTTTATCTGTCAAAACAGTGCCGTGGGCATCTGAGTTTTGCGGAGGAAACAAAATCACTACCAATTCGGAAAGCTGCCAGCAGAAATTCAACAATATATTTAAAAATATAAAAATTACGTATCGGTGGGGCAGGTATTTGGTAATAAAAATACATAAAGGGGTTATAGTTTGGTGCAAAATGGTTTTAACAAAAAAAAGTGTTGTATGTAGGAATGGCCAAACTTGCTTTTTCGTATTCAAAAGACAAAGCTGGAAAATTGGTCAGTGACTGTCAGTACCTAGCGTAACCAAGCAATCGTTCGCAGACGCCATACAACCGTAGCCAATTATTTACTAGCGTGTTTATAAGGCTATTTACCCAGTTTGACAAGAGAAATTTGTTTTTTTTTTCGCCGACATCGGGGTAAAATATCCAAATCGTGGTCGATTTTGGTGCTCCGTGATATTCTAGCAGTAAACAGTGGCCGTTTTCATTTGGATAGAAAGCATTGGAATAGAGCAGTTTCCCGTTAAAACCCGGGAAAAATGGCGATTTGGGAATCAATTTGAATCTAATAAGAGACTGTTCGAAAGCGAAGGAAGGACAATTTGTCATCGACGACGTAGAGAGCATGATAGATTGTTGACTATTCAGAATGGATTGAGTCTGGATGCCTATACTGGTGGGCAAGATGTCCAGGGGTTATGGGAAATATCGCCGCGGTAGCGGAACGCATTCCAGCCTACATTTCGATAGTATTTTTAAAGAAAACACTAATAAGCCGTCAGCCGCGCGGTCCGCGGCCACTGTGGGTAAATGGGGCATCACCTCGTTTACCTCTATTCGTACCTTAAATGGCAGATCTGACACAGAGTCGAGGTGAGTAAATCTCAGAGTATCGCGCGTGTTTCCTGAGCCTTATTTCATGCAGGATATAAAACCCCACTGTACTTTCGCGTAAACTTGACATAGAATAGGGTTATGTTTATGTTATTTTATGTGCAGTGGTTTATCAATCATCAGTCAGTCTTTAAAGTTCACATTTTTAGATAAGTAAAAAATGTCGAGACACTTGCTTTCGCCTTTTTTGCGATGGCCCCTTAGGATCTACGACCACACTAAATTTACGCATTGTTGCTGTTTATTCTTTCATTTCTTGCTTTCTCTAGCAATTTTTGTTATGTTGGCTTCAAAAGTGCCCGTATTATCAGCGTAGGCCTAAGGGCTTAGGATCTTGAAAGGCACACAATTCTGATAGCGGGTCCGAAAATGGGATTTTAATTCTTTGCAGTGCTGCCTCCGCAGAATCGGCGGCTCCTAAACCAAAGAAGTTTTTCAAGAGCCGCAACAGCGAACCACCCGATTTGTCGTCGACCCCGTCCGCTTATTCGCCCCCTCCGTACCATTCAAAGAAGGCTCGCACGGCGTACGAACCCGGCAGCGAACGGCAAACCAGTCCTCGTAAATTCTTCTCTTCCAAAAACAACTTGAAGACGGTCAACGAGCCGCCGAAGCCGCCGATAGTGTTAAGGATATGCCACGGTAAATCTCAGCTACTGAACGATTCGGACGAGTCGGAGAGCACTCTTACGCCGTCGACGTCGACGTCTCCCAGGGCGTTGCGGGAATCGTCGTCGCGGCCGACGAACTGCAGGATAACGCGGAGCGCGAGAAGAAGTATGCAGCAGGACCCGAGCGGCAGCCCCGCGACCGCGGACACCCCCGCTGAACTGTCCATGTTTAGCGATAAGAACGACAGCGATCTGTCGCCCCAGTATATACCGGCGGAAAAGTACGAGCAGGAACGTAGAGCGTTGTACGACAATTTGCTGAGGCCGAACTCTCCGGAGGAAGAGGCGGATACCGACGCCGCGACGGAAGCGTCGGTCGTCGACCGCGACTGGAGGAACGAAGACGCGACGACGGAGGAAAGCGAAAAACCGATGGACCTGGAACCGCCTCCCCCCGACGAGGACAAAGAAAACGTGCACGCGGGGGCGCGCTTGGAAAACGGGGACGCTACGGCGGAGGAACCGCTCGCGGCGACGAGGGAAGAAGAAGAAGACGAAGACGAAGTGCCTAAGAAACCGACCATTGAGGAGGAGTGGAGTACCGATTCGGACAGTAACAGTACCGCTCCCGAAATGGAGGTCAAACAAGTGGTTCCGGAGCCGGAGAGGAGCGTCAATCAGATCGAGCGGCACAAAGAGCAAATCCTAGATAAAATTCTGGAGAAACCGCCTGACCCGCCGCCGGTGAAGCTGGTCATCACCAAGAAGAAGGGCAGCATCTTTAAGAGTAGGGCTTTGGTGAGTCGGTGTCTCCCTGGGTGTTAGTTCAAATAACTCACTGTTTCACTCACGAGTTTTGGGTGTATTTTTTGATTTGACACTGCGCCATACCGAATCTTACTTGAAAGACTACGTACCATGGGTATTAGGCAGTGGTTAATGGCCCCTTTCAGTCATTTGTAGGCGGAATTAGGTAAAAATTCAAGATAAACTCTGCACAGGTGACCTGTGTACCACAGGGTACCGTGTTGGGACGTTTAAAACTACAATAAAAGAAGTAATTAATTACTTGATTTTTAAATATTAAAACCATATTAAATTTGGTGGTCTGTTATTGGCATTTGAGGAATTTCTTTAAAATCAAATGATTGCGATAAATTTAAAGAAAAACGCTTTATCTACTTATTCAGTCTATTCCGTTTAATTAGTTTGATTCCTATTTCTTTAAATTAGGATGTCCCACGAAAAGTTATGTTGGAAACGTGAAAGTTGGCACATTTGTAGAAAACTGGAAAAAAGCATTTTCCAATAAAATTTTTTCGATATCTTCTAATGTAACTTATTTTTAAAATTATCATTTAGTTTAAAAAATCTGTTGAATATTGATATCTTCAATAATATGACCAGTTTGAATGACCTGAGTTTGATATTGGTCGATAAAGTTAGAACCTAACCTTAATCTATACAGGCTATTCGTATAAGTAGCTAAAATTTGAAAATTTTGAGTTTAAGTAACGTTGGTGGGGTCAATCCGCCCAAAGAATTTTCAAGATGGCAGCACATCCGGATCTACCGGAAGTGGGCATCAACTTTCTTATTTTAAATAGAACACACTATATATTTTTGAATTTCGTCGGAATATTCTAGGCATATTTTATGTATAATTATGCCTATCTCACATTCTTTTAAATTTTAAATGGAAACTAACCATTTTTATTAACCTATCTTATTTAGAATTAGAAATTATGGCACTTTGTGCTAGGCTATTCATTCCTAATATTTATATTTTTCGAGATATTACCGTTTAATTTGCTTTTACTTGGTCTGCTGGGGGGGGGGGGTGATTCTTTTTGGAAAATTAGTTCAGTAGACCAAAAATTTGCTGATATTGTTTAGTCTGCGAACGCCATTTTTCACATAAAATTAAAAAATTTAAAATATGTCTAAAACCCAAAAAATATTCAAAAATTTCAAATTTTTGCGACTTGTAGTTTTCAGATCGAGGTAGAAGGTCTGTTGTAGCTACAGGTGTAAGAGAATATTGCGAAATGATAGTTGTTCGCGAATATGGTGCTCATACGCGGTATTGATTAGCTAAAACCTAGGTGGAAGACGGCAGCAAGAAGAGGCGGGCGAGATACGTGCACAAGTGGATCGACGACAAGGACAAGGTCGGCGGGGAGACCCCCGCGAGACCGAGCGTCGAGAACGAAGCCATCGACGGGTACGAGTTTAAGGGAGAGCCTTTGGTGAGGGTGCCCAAGGTGGTCGACGACGACCCGGACCAGGAAGTCGCCAGTATAAAATGCGCCAAGAGCGACAAGGGCGTCAGTATTTAACCGGTTTTGTTTTCTTACCCGCCCGAATTGGCAACGTCGTTTTTCTAGTATTACATGGTCGTCCGGAACGTGAAGAAGGCCCACCAGATTCAGGAGATCGGCGAGTTTCAGGAATTCAACGACGACGTGGATTATATCCTCGACACGCTCCAGGACAACAATCCGATCAGCACCCGATGCTTGTCGGCTATCAGTCTGGCTTCTAAGTGCATGGCGCCCGCGTTTAGGATGCATGTGCGCGCGCACGGCACCGTTGCCAAGTTTTTCAAGGCGCTTCACGATGCCACCAAAGACCAGGCGAGTGTTTTCCTGTTTTTTTTTTTTTTGTTTTTTTTTTTGTAAGGGTCACTTCGCTAACAATAATCGATAACGTGCAGAGTTTGGGACTGTGCACGGCGACTGTGATGTTCGTCCTGAGCCAGGATCGGCTCAACATGGACCTGGATCGGGACTGTTTGGAACTAATGCTGAACCTGTTGGAGTCGGACGTCAGCTATAAGCACGCTCTCGACGTGTGCGGCCTGAGCTCCGGCCAACTGGAGAAGAACAAGCAGAAGGTGCGGGAACTGTGCGAGGAGATCCAGAGCAAGGGTCACGCGATGCATCTGAATCTGGAGAACATCACCGTGAGTTTGACCCACGCGGACGATCTTCCGGAAAGATCGATCGTTTTTTGCAGACGGGTCAGCTGGCGATGGAAACCCTTTTAAGTTTAACGTCGAAACGGGCGGGCGAGTGGTTCAAGGAGGAGCTAAGGGAGTTGGGCGGCCTCGAGCATATCATGAAGACGATCTACGAGTGCTGCAAGCAGGTGTCGGACTACGTCGTGTCGTGGACGGACGTCCTGCTCGACAAACTCAAGAAGGTCGACCGTTGCCTAAGGGTGTTGGAAAACGTAAGCATAAGTAGACAAAATAAATATAGGTAGCCTCATTCTTTCTTCATCTGTTGACCGCATCGCTTCAAAGAACACCCTCTGTTTTTTGATAGCCACTGACTTTTTGTTTGATGGATGAGATGTTAAATGCGGTGCAACCCCTTTAATCGGAACAGCTAGTTGTACGGATCTATTCCGATTTCTAATATATATTTGTGTATACAATAGGTAATATAAAATACTTAAAAAAAATAAGGGAAATATATACGGGTCTTAATTTAAAAAAGTAAAAGGTAATCTTGAAGCTGAGCTTTAAGGTTATGTGAAAGTCCCCGTTAAATTTCGTTAAGGTGAGGCGTTATTTGTCTTTTCTTCAACATCCGTGAGAATTTTAGAGGTTTCCATGTTTTTTTCTCGCCGTGTCATGCACTAAATATATTAGATTTAAAAAAATTTACCATACTGCAAACATATACTCGTGATAAAATCCCAATACAATGGAAAATATGTCAAATGTATCGATTATAGCACAAAATGTGCAAAAAAATAACAACAACGGAAAAAGTTCTGGAGATCAAAAAGGGGAACTTGTTCAAATTTGGTGCATGACCGTAACAGATGATAAACTATATTTTAAAAATAATTTGCAAGTGCAGCGTTGGCAGATCTAGCGAAAATCACCGGCAACATTAAAATCTCAAATAGATTGTGTCGCCAATCGAATTTGGATGACGGCCAGTTTTCAACTGTCAGTATCTCGAAAACAGTTCAAATTAAACAATAGAAGTGCCATCTGAAAAATATAACAAACGATAATAGTTTCGGTTAGTTTGAATAAGTTCCCTTTTTTTAGTTCTCCAGAACTTTTGAGAGACCGTTCAACGTGAATGCACAAGCTTTAAAATGTTGCAAAAATTTTTTCCGAAAAAATGAGTAGTTTTTATTGTATATTTTGCTGGCTGTCCAATGGTAACAAATTAGTTAGTATATATTATTAATAATTAACTACCTTTTGCTTTTTCTTGCAAGGAACGATGTAAACAATGCCTTTTCAACTTAGCACTAGACGGTCATCTGCCCAACACTATATTTTTTGATTTTCCAATGAAAATTCTATTTCCGGAAATTGACGTATTTGAACAAATTCAAGTGTTGCTCCCTATAACAACTCTTTGAAAAAGCTCAATTTAAAAGTTTTGTCTATAAAAGCTCCCTCTAAAAGTTCTCTTTGGCGATTCATGAAATTTGACGTCTGCCGCGTCGCAGGTGACCCAAAACAACGAGGAGAACCAGAACTACATTCTGAAGTATAACGACGGGATGATTCTGGACACCCTCGTCAACCTGTACAAGTTGTGCGACGGCGAGATCCCGCTGTATCCCGTGACCGACATCCAAGACAAGACCTCGACGGGCACCATCATCAGGGAAGCGTTGCTGGTCACGCTCAAGGTGCTCATCAACCTGACCCACCACTTTAGGCAACAGTGTAAGTTGCTGACGCCGCCGGCGTCCGTCGAAGACCCGGGGACTCGCGATTCTGCCATTTCAGCGTTCGGCAACCAGTTAATCGGCTCGAGGCCGGGCATCGTCGACACGAGCCTCCACCTACTCCTGCAGGTGCCCAATTACATTCCCGAGCAGAAAAAGTTCGAACTCGGCGTGCTGGTGCTGATGTTGCTCATCAACCTGATCCAGGACCACGACGGCAACAAGAAGCTGCTGATGGAAGCGAAAGCGCCATCCAAACAGGAGCGGCTATATTCGCGGGAGGAAAGCGCCGTGGAGGCGCTGATTTGCCAGTTCTACGAGTGGGAGGGATGCGCGAAGATCGCGGAGAGCAAGACGGACGCTATCCTGGACGGCGAGAAGGACGCGGAGGACGCGGCCTCCGCGCCGACCAAGTCCGGCGAGGAGTTTATCGAGGAAACGGTCGCAAAGCGTAAGTATGCCCCCGAGGCTCCGTCCTCAGACCGTGCGTTGATCTCGCGCGTGCGCGCAGTCCTGCAGAAGGCGGGCACGCACATGGAGTACACGTTCCTCGCCTCCTACATCGTGATGCTGGTCGGCTTCCTCATAATGGGCAACGCCGATTACGAGAACAACATCCGGCAGTTCCTGCGCGGCAGCAACTTCGCGGACATGGTCGAATTGCTCAACAAGTTCTTCAAGTTTATGAACCTGACCGCGTCGGTAAGTCGGGGCCGCCACGTCCGCTATTTTCCCCCCACTTCTTGTATTACCTATACTAACCGTATCTGCATACCCTTACCATTACCCTATATTTGTCGTTGTTTTTATGGAATAAATAAATGATAATAAGTAATATTTCGATTTACACTGAAAAATAAATCATTAAACAAACATACCCTAGCAGGTAAAAACGTTATATCTTTTTGCAAGACTGCCGACCATATACACTAAAGCGAATAACAACAGTGGAGACATTATATTACCTTCTTCAACTTTTAACAAAATATCTCACCGCCAATGACAAATGTTTCTGTTTTTTCGTTTCAAATTTAATAATAATAATATAATAATAAGTTCGGTGAACGTCATTTTAGTCGCGAGTTTGTTTCGGAACAGGCCATATATAAACCTAAATTTGCCCTTTAACGGATGAGTTAATTACAAATCGATTACAGAATCGAGAATCAAACATTCTCATTTTAATGGCAACATGGTTATGTGGAACATATTTTTCTTGTAACGGTCAAATTTATGTAGAAACATCAGGAACAATTGTCAGCACCAGTTATCGCAAACATTTTTATGGAAACTTTTGAGAAGGATATGTTGATGTTATTTGGTCTCATGGCCAAAAATCCCTCTGAAATTTTCCATTTAATATGCGTTTTACAATTATATTAGAAACTAATAACCATTCTTAGATATTCTTATTAATAAAAAATCAGATCCAATATTGGGTCATTTTGTTTACAGCAAACGTAGTCGCACAGTACGTTAATGCCTTGTCACATCCCGTCTTGTTTATAGAGCTGTAAAACTCTAACTCTAATAATTTCCACAATTACAGATAATAAGCGTTCAAAAGTTCAAAAGCAATCCCACACTTGCCGCTGTGGTCCAAAAGTAACCAATAGTTTCTCAAAATTTTCAATCATTCATACATATGCGGCAAAGAATACATTGGAGAAATAGGACAAAAACTATCAACTAGGCGAAAAGAACATGAAAGAGCCTTAAGACTCTAAAGATGAGCAGTTGCCCAACACGAAGCCTGGCATCAAGTCTTATTTGCCAAAATAAAATTCTAGGTAAATGGGAGAACCCATAGAAATCTCTAAACTGTTGAACAATCTTAACTGCGACTCACCAATATGGAAACCAGTCATCTGAGACAACCTTCATGCTCCTCCTTTAGCTTCGCCCCCTTCAGATAATATAAAACTTTGTATATATAGCTTTGAAGAAACCAAAAAAAAATGATTGACAAAACCTCGGTAAATTCCATTTATCAACAAACGACTCGGGAGGACTCGTAATGATTTGTAAATAGTTATAGTAATAATTCAATTTTCTGTAAAAGAAAGTATAGTGGAACCACCGATTTATGGAACTCATATTATAACCCCCTTTATGTAGCAGTTTTGTTATTTAATGTGTCTCCCGTAGACGGAGGCGTCGAGCGTTTGCGCCATCAAAGCGACGCAGAGAGTGATCAAGTTTTTGGAGGATTGCGACAAGACGGGTGACGAAACGTCAACGTAGGACGCGTCAGACTGACGTCGAAACATTCACAAATTAAGTTTAGTAGAGTATATATATAAATAAATATATTTACAAAGGTTTTTAATTTTATATTTGAGTATTTTCGATACGGGAGGCCCCCGGGTCCGCCGTTGTAAATAGCTTTAATTTGAGAACCGATCGACCGAGATGTTTATCTGTACATTAACTGTAGTTATTTGTTCTATTTATTAATTAGTTTAATTGTCCATTAAGGCTCTGGATTGTTTCCGAATGATTGTAAATAAACATGATCGATTTTTACCGAAAACGCTTTATTTTTAATTCCCAATATATTACAAAATTGGTTAGTTTAAACCAGGTAGCTATAAGTTACATAGGGGCTTCACGTGACCCTAGTAAAATGTAACCGTCATTAGGAAATATGGAAGAGCGAGAGTAAATATGCGCATGCGCTGGACGTGGCAGCTGTCTAGAATTCTTAATTTCAGCTAACGAGGGGCAAGGAGTCCAGAAATACTCGCCCATTCCCAATATCTAGGGATTTTCTAGGACCTTTAATTACCATTATATTGTGATCTCTTGATCTTACCTTTTAAAGTTACCACAACAAAAAACGTGGAATTTAAATTTGGCTCGAGAAAAAGGTCACAAATTCTTTAAAAGCATAGAAAATACCAATTACTACAACCGAGTAAAAATTATATATTAGGTTGGAGATTACAGCTCAATGTGCTTTTGCATGATCCTGGTTTCCAAATCCAAGTGGATTTTATCGACTTTGCGCGCCTGTTTTTTGATGTTTTCCTCCATCATACGCTGACCGTGGCTCTTTTCGCCCGCCACTTTGTGCTTCTCGCGGTACGTTTCCTCGTTTAGGGCATGCTCGGCTTGCATGTGTCTCAATTTGAGTAACCGATTTTCGTAATGGAGCAGCTCGACCCGCAACGATTCAAGTTCGGCTGATGAAAAGTTACTGTCTACCGCAACACGCCATAAGCCTTGCACTTTTGGTTCAACAAATTCCTTGCTCGACGGTCCCGAAGCCGATAGCCGATGGAGACGATCGTAGCCATCTTTAATATCTCTATGGTGGTCCCTGAGCATGTTCACTTTGTCTAGATAATCTTTATTGGGCTCCGCTTCTTCTAGAGTTTCAATTCTATTGTACTTATCCAACGAATCGTCTACCGAATTGGTGTCATAGTCCTCGGGTTTACCCTTAACATTCTCCAACAGGGAATAGTACTGGTCAATTTTATCTTGGTGGTGGTTGAATTCTTCTTTCAGAGCCGCCAATTCTTCTAGGCTAAAACCCGAGACTTCCGCCTTCTCCCAAAGCTTATTTAACTTTTTATCTTTAAATAAGCTCTTATTTATGTGCTTGTCGGAGGCTTCGTTCAGCGCCTTGTGGGGATGCAATTTCCGATCGTCATTGACGGCTTCAAGCTCATCCAACAAATCATAGTCGCCCATTATCCGCCTCAATTTCTTACGGAGCTCCGCCTCTTTCAAACCGTCCTTATCCTTACCCTCAGCCCGTAGATGCTTCCATGCGATCTCTTCTTTATCGTGAAGCTTCAGTTCACCAAACAGACTCTTTAACTTGGCTTCTGATAACCTCTAAAAACAAGAGGTTAAGCATCAAGTTAACATAGACATTCGCACACCTACGTTTACGGCTTTTGACCAGAGAAGATTTAATTTTGCCATCCTGAACGGCTTATTCAGGTGCTTCAATGAAATGGGGCGCAAATCTTCCGCAGGCCTATCATTTACGTCTTTGGAGTATTTATTGTGACTCTCGGCAGAAAATATCGATAAAATTACTATAAAAGCGTATATGTAGTTCATTTTTATTTTTGGGTTCCCGTAACGCGGTTTTTACATATTAAGATAAATCGGTTTTCTGTCCAAAACGTAAATACAAAATGACAAGAAAATTTTAAAACCACAAACACACCCACGCGCCGTCTATTGAGAGCAACAGTGTAGCGTTGTAACTTATGAGTGGCTTGTCTACGGCATTCAGTCCTAGATGGCACAACATGCCAATACTTCCATGGGTTCTTTTTCTAAAGAATAGATGGTAGCACTTGAGTAAACTGAGATTATCTCTCAAAATAAGGAATGGGGGGGAGTAAATTGAAAATAACAACGTCTAATGTTAAAAATTAATTTAATTATCTCGACCAAAATAACAACACTTCATTGAACACGGTTCGAGACGGAGAATAAATTTCAAATTGTTAAAAAGCGGCTTCACGACGTTTTCGGACTGACCTATAGTGTTAAAACTGTTAGAAAAGCTAACACCTCGCGGAGTACAAAATGCTAGGCCGGCGGATTGACTTTGATGCTAGCCCTCCGCTTGCTCAACTGCTTCCAGAATCTCCGATCTACCTGCTTATCCTGACGGAAATAACAACGGTTTAATTAAATAAGGGACACCTATTTCCATCATCGAGATACCTTTACTTTGCTCAAAGACACTGTCTTTTCGTCGTAACACGTCGGCACTGAATCCGAAACTACATTCTCCTTGCTAAACATTTTCGCCAGGCGAAAATCGTCCGGGAACTTTTCATAAATTCTTCTTTCTGTCCGGCGAACATTAAAAAACTCGAATCTAAAACGAAACGATAGTAAATACGCTCAAATATATAACATTCCGCATTGTACCGCTCAACGGCATATATTAATGTAAATCTGGGCATATTTTGGAAAAATAGGCAAAAATAAAAATGGCACACAAAAATAGCAAATGGTGTAATTCAGAAACTGACAGCTAGTGTTGTCAGTTTGTGGACGAACCTCGTCACTTTTTAGTGATTTTCTTTCCACAAAGGTTACGGAGCCGCTTCAGGCAATCCTCAAAATTCCCAATACTTTCAAACAATGAACAAAAGTGTTCCTATTTATAGCGATTTTTTGTTTGCATTTTGGCGCAACTTATAATGCAAGAATCGTCAATGTATTAAAAGATTAGTTGGCCCACATCTTATTTATTAATAAAGCTAGCGTTTTGCAGCTTGCGAGCAAGGCTAGTTTTTTATTAAATGAAGGGTGGAACAAACAGATGTGTCACAGTTATCTTAGATATTTAGTTACAGGTGTTCATAGTTATGCGTCAAATTAACCAAAAATTAAAAGCTGACTGGGGTAGGTTTTTTTACGTAGGATTCAGTGGCGTAGTTAGTTTTTTACTGAGACTAACAAATTTTGATATGCAGACTAAAACTTACGCTTTTTTTAATGGAGATATGCCCCTTATTAATAGAGCAAACAGGCGACTTCAATTTTACCTCGAAACAGGTTTAGACAAATATTACAATCATTACAAACGCAGATCGGCTCTTCAAAATTGAACCAATAACAGAATATTTTTTAAATAAATTTTGGCACAGTTTATGATACCCCACAGAGGACGTTTAAGTTTCCGAGTCTACAAGCCAGGCCAGATATTTAGGTATGGTATGCTTGTCAGAATGTTATGTGCATAAAACATTACGAACGGAAGTGGACAAAAGTTGCAAAATCTCGTAAAAAATATTTTAGATACATATGAAAATATTTGGTACGATGTTTACATGGATAAATATTATAATAATGTTGAATTAGCAGAGCAATTGCTTTCCAGGAAGATAAGAATATAGAAAGACAAGATATATGTCAGAAAGAGCTCAACGATACATCAGGTTCGGCTTATAGAAAACGGTAAAATAAATCGTAAAACTGGTGAAATTATTAAAAAAGCAGAAAGTATTATAATGGTTGTTTTTTTTCGATGTATAGAACTTTAAGTTGGCATTGCTGTTCAGGATGGCGACCGATCTAACAGCTGTCAAGTGATATATTCTCAGTTTGGTTTGGCAATTCATCATGAATTCATCAAGTAAGGCGTAGATTCGTCGAATGGGCAAAAAACGAGATTTTCGATTTTGATAAGCGAATTTTGTTTAGCGGAAACTGACTGTTTGGTGCGCTTTATGGGCTGGTGGAATCATTGGTCCGCACTTCTTCAAAAACGATGATGGCCAAAACGTTACAGTCAATGGTGATCGGAATAGAGCTATGATTACTAACTCTTTCATTCCTGAATCGAATAACCATGATGTCCAGGAGATGTGGTTTCAACAAGACGGCGCAACATGTCATACAGCTCGTGCCACAATCGATTAACTTAACGACACGTTTGGTGACGCCTAATTTCACGTTTTGGACCTGTGAATTGGCCTCCAAGATCTTGTGAGTTAACACCGCTAGACTACTTTCTGTGGTGCTATGTAAAGTCATTGGTTTATGCGGATAAGCCGGAAACGCTTGACTATTTGGAAGACAACGTTCGCCGTGTTATTGCCGATATACGGCCACAAATGTTGGAAAAAGTCATCGAAAATTGGACTACGTCCGCGCCAGCCGTGGCGGTCATATGCCAGAAATCATATTTAAAATGTAATGCCACAAGATTATCTTTCGGATAAATAAAATTAATGTCAATCGAATCGTTGTTTTATTGCAACTTAAAGTTCTATACATCGAAAAAAAAACACCCCCTTACATTACAATAAGATCCCAGATCAATACCTTTCTTATAATCCTATTATAAGAAAAAGTTTTACTTTTAAAATGACCCCAAAAATGGCCCAAATTAATTATTGACATTCACACTCGATACGGGTGCAGCGCGCTTACATGCGGACGCTCCTGGATCTAGACACCCTTGCAATATTTACAAAGCTGGCCGCCGGACGGAATTGCTGGAACAACATCGTTTCGTCGCGGACAATGGTCGTGTCTTCCGCCGCGTCTACTATGTGCTTGTAGCTCTCCGAACGCGGGATTCTTATCGGCTCGTCGCCGGAACAGTCTGACGTTCTGGGCTCGTCGCCACCTGATCAGGAAAAAGTATTCCCAATTAAAATGGTCGCTCATAGACTTCCCACAAGAAGAGAAGCGGAGGAGTGTTGCTTATTTGTCAATGGTTGCTATGGTAACCACGAAAGGTGGGAGAAAGTAATACCCGAGAAGGGCAATTGATCGATCAACAATATTGAAATTTCCATAATTATAGGAGCTCGTGTTTTCAGAAGTCCTTACCAAATTTTTACCATGTTTTTAAAATGTTCGCCGTTCGAGGACTTAACCGAGATCGTTTAAGCAAAACTTTATTTTTCTCGAAATAAAATCTTTTGCCCTAGGTCTTTAGGGAAAGTGGTGGGGGGGTGTACGAACAATTTTGCAAATAATTATCAGTAACTTTTTTTCAGAATACTTCTTCTTTCTCTGATTTTTAGGCCATACAGACACCAAATGATAATTCACATTCGGCATTTTGAATTCAATGATAGTTCACTCTCGGACAAAATGTTCAAAATGCTTGGAAAAATTCAAAACTACATATGAAGAGGGTGGGATGTATTTCATTCAATCACAAGCACCATCATAGATAATTTTCAGAAGACTTTCAAAACTTTCAAAAGAACGTATAATAGTCTTAGTAGCTGCCGATATGAGTGGGAGAGAAAAAAGAAAGCTAATCATGATCGGAAAATCTACTAACCCACGATGTTGTAAGAAACATCAAGCATTTTCCGGTCACTTACAAGGCAAACAAGTCTGGATGACGTCGCAAATTTTTGAAGAGGAGATACGAAAATGGGATGCAGAATTAAAGGGGAGGAAAATATTACTTCTTTTAGATAACTGCCCTGCACATCGTATCAGCATATTTAAAAAAATTCAAAAGAAAATGACGGATTATTTGAAACATTAAATGTAGTTCTTGTATAAAATGTTCCTAGGTATATGTTAAAATCCGTATTATAACTCTTTATAAAGAAAACTCTTTATAATGAAAAAAAAACTCTTTATAATAATAAAAAAGATGTTTTTTAAATAAAATCCTAACTCTAGGAATGCTATCTCTGTCGAGTGTACGACAGCGGGGCGTAATAGAGCACACCAAGTAGAAAACTACCAGGTAAACGGGTGGGCCTTGCCGTTCTTGGAATACGAGCAGAAACAGGGAAAATTCTGAGGGACCTTCTCTCTTGGTTTTACGACGAATTATATCTACCGACTCACCCGTTTCGCAATCGTCCGCCGTCGTGCCCACGTCCTCGGAGCTGCTTCCGACGGCGAGGCTTCCTTCGCGGACGGCAGCATCCAGAGAACGAGCGTCAGCAGCACTCCCGGTCGGCGGGTTCCCCTGTCCGCAGTGTCAGGTTCTCAGATGTCAAAACCGCCCCCCACCGGCATCGGAAGTACTCACCTGCTCCGACGAGTCGGACGCGTCGTCGTCGTCGTCGTCGTAGTCCGAATACTCGGTCGACGAGCTCGTCTCGGAAAAGTCTTCCTCTATGAGTGGTTCGAGCGTTCTTCGCGGCAACAGACCACGCATCGCCGCGCCCGTAACCGGTGGCGCCATTAACAGCTCGTCCATCATAATCTCGGTATCGTCGTGGTCGACGGCCGATCCGTTGTTGACCTGAGGATGATCATTTTGAGTGAGCAGGAGACCAACAAGAATTATAGGCTGGCCCGGTTATTATGGATTGACACCTTATCTCAGTGCCTGTAAAAGTTGATCTAGCGTGCGGGGAAGCGCCACTTTACAACATTTCCGGGATTTTACCGCCCGGATTTGACAGCAATCGGATGTATTCGGAGACATTTTCCACGCCTTCAATTTTGACGTTTGTCAACTCTGACGGTCATGTCAGTGAATGTATTCGTGTTGTTTTGCGAAAATGTACCCATAAATTAACGGTCGTAGAAAAAGTATAGTATGCACCACGTAATGTAATGTACATTTTATAAATTTTCTAATGACCAGCGAGCATTAGAGCAGGGTGACCAGGCCTGTTCATTTATTGCTCTTAGAGTTGTCATAACTCCATCCAGTCATGTGGTAGCTCGTCTCTCTCGTTCTCTTTTATTTAGTGGAGCATATTCAAAAGCTCTTCTTGGCCATCTATATGCCTTCACTCGTCTAACATGCCCATACCATACCGGTTGTCTTGTTCAGTTGTTCTTGTCATTTGATATGTGTTCTAACCTAGACATGATCTTCAAAAATAGCGGTTGGTAAATATCTGTACCACAGGGAAAAAGGTCTTAAAATAATAATTAAAATTATTGTATATATACCTCGGTTTAGGAACATTTTGAGCATTAATTTTGCATCGAATAGCCGCAAAAACGTGAAAACATGACTAGGGGTCAGCTGTGCTCTATGGTGAACGTGACAAAATTTACCATTTAGCAACACAATTACCGCACACTGTGCGATATTGTTTACAGGCGCTGAGATAAAGCGTGGCCCCATAGTGAACGGACCAGCCGGTACAACCTCGCAGTCTGGCGAATTAGGGGGCTCGTCCATGTCGCCGCCGCTGGTCGGCGTGCCCCAGATCTCCTCGCCCGACGTGCCGCCGGACGTCTCCTCCTCTTGGACGTCTTCGCCGTTGACGCTAGGCTTTAGGTAGCGCTCGAAAAACGCGCCCCCGCATTCCTCGCCAAGCCTCTCGAAGAAGGCCATCTTTTGCGCCACGAAATTGCCCGCTTTCGCGGTCCAACTCGTCAGCGTCGCACTATTAAACCCTTCGTTATCTATGCCGAGCTCTTCGTCGTCGTCGTCTTCGTCGGCGGACTCCTCCGAGTGCGCGTGGTTCTGTTCGACGCGCTCCTCCGAGTCGGCGCGTTCCAAGCTCGAGACGGTGCCGAATCTTCTGAGAGTCAGCGCGGAACTGCTGAGCGATCGATACGGATGCTCCTCGGTCTGCGGAGAGTCGTCGCCGTTTACGAGGGAGCCGTCCGGCGTCGGGGGCGTCGGCACCGCCGTCGAGGTCGACCGGAACGGGTCGTAATTTAGGAAACCGGCCACCGGCTCGGCGCTCAATCCCAAGAGGACGAGCGACTGCCAATCCTCGGCGATGCGGTCGTCGGTTCGCCGGTCAGCGGGGCGACACAGTCGCGTCGTCGCCGCGACGCTGGACAGGCAGTTCTTGTGGCACTGCTTGCAGACGGCGACGCTCTCCGGCACCACCGGACTCGACCTGACCGTCACCTGACTGTCGGTCGTGGTGCTTTTGGACGGACTCTGGTCGTGGTCGCTCAACTCTTCGGCCCGCGCCGCTCTGGAGTCTATCGAGTTGGTCACGCGGCCTGCGCCGGCATAGATAATAATATAACGATCCAAACAACACTAAATAAACTTATACTTGAGGATATTTCTCATTTAAAACTTCTGTTCTAATCCCCTTTTCTAGATGCTCTCTGTTTTCGATAGTGTGTACCTTTACACGATCTTTTAGAGTTCCCCATAAAACTGCATTTTTTGGCGCAAGGTTAGAACTGTTGTGTGGCCAGAATTTTAGGGAAATGAGATGCCATACAAGTATAAAACTACACTTTTTACACTCACACCTGGACTACTTTCCCAAAAATTTTGGTGCCGTGAGCAAGGAGCAAGGGCGATGAAACGTTGCAATGATTGCAGATTACCGCTGATCATTAAACAACATGGAATATGCAATAATATACAAGAAAATCCACTAAACGCATTTATTGTTTTCCCTGAGTAAATTTTGTTGTAGACAAAGACAAATTAACAAATTAAAAATGAAATTAAAAAAACTACCAAAAACAAATTAAGGCAATTTTATATAATATAATATGCCTAATATTTTTCCTTTTTTAAATGTTTTCTTTTAAACATTTGTCTATCACAAATAATATGCTGTTGCCATATATGTTTAGTTAGTGTTAAGTTGGCTATGACGGTGTTTGAACAAAACAAGTGCTACGAGGTCTGTCAATTATATTCCCGGAAAAGTGCCCGGACGGTCCGAAATATACATAAATTCTTAAAATTAAGCTATAATCCTTCGCAGTAGTCTCCCTCTAGCTCGATGCACTGGCGCCACCGTTGGATCCACCATTGGAAGCACCCCCTGAAGCCCCCTGAAGATAGGTCCCTCAGCACCCGTGTCGTGACACGTTGCACCTCCTCGACGCCGTCGTATCGGTTGCTCTTGAGGTAGGACTTCAATTGTGGAAAGAGATGAAAGTCGCAGTGGGCCAGGTCCGGGCTGTGGGGGGGGGGGGGGGGGGGGTGCGGAAGCGTTGGAATGCCGTTTTTGGTCAAAAAATCGCGAACTGCGAATGAGGAGTGGGCTGGAGCGTTGTCGTGATGCAGCACCCATCCACGTTCGGCCAATTCCGGCCGTGCACGAAACACACGGGCCTTCAGACGTTTCAAAACTTCAATGTAGAACTTCCCATTGACTGTCTGATCTGCTGGAACGTATTCGTGGTGTACAACTCCATTAATATCGAAGAATGCGATGAGCAAAGATTTCACTTTTGATTTCGACATTCTGGCTTTTGTGGGGCGCTTCCACCCCTTTTCCACCCACTGCATGCTCTGTCGTTTGGTCTCAGGGTCATACTGGAACACCCAAGACTCGTCTCCGGTAATAACATTTGACATCCAGTCTTCTCCTTCCTCCTCAATTCGAGAAATCATGTCTTCACAGATGGATAAACGAAGCTCTTTCTGCTCAACTGTGAGCACTTTGGGAACCATTTTCGCGCACAACTTGCGCATCCCTAAATCCTCGTGTAGCATCTGTCGAATGGTTTCCTTGTTGATACCCAACTCGTCTTCCAACATTCTAAGGCTTACCCTACGGTCTCCGAGCACACGCACGCGCAGGCGATCGACGTTTTGTGCCGTTCGAGAGGTGGAGGGAGCTCCCTCACGTGAATCGCCCTCCACCGACTCCCTGCCTTCCCTGAACCGCTTAGCCCACTCGTAGACAGCTGTTTTTTTTCAGGCAATCATCCTTGTACACGTCGATTAACTGTTTCATAATTTCCGCGGAACTTACACCGCGTTTGACCAAAAATTTGATCACTACTCTTTGTTCAGTTTTTTTAGCACACATTTTCGCGACAAGGGGTCCAAACACGCCGATGATCAAAGTACTGTAACACACGAACTGAACAACCGATCGAGACGAAACTTGCACAGACTGACGCAGAAATGAAACCTCTTTCGAATGACACAACGCGAACGCCGTAGCATAACGAGAGTCGCAGTGTTGCCACTTTTCCGGGAATCTAATTGACAGACCTCGTAGAACGCTTGCACGCGTGTTTTGTTGTTGATTACTGTCATAATTGAAATATTTGTTGATACATCATTTGTTTATTTATTTGTCATTTATAAATTTGATTTGGTCGCTTGCTTGCGTATCATGTCTACTACAGAGGAAAAGATTGATACGTTAGAAAGTTACATAAGGAACAATAAAAACCGGACTCTGGCTCTTAGAGAAAAAAAGAACTCGACAGGATTTACCAACACTTTAGAATATATGGAACGCTGAAGAAATAAAAAAAGGATGAATGATTAATATTTTGCTGCATTTTGCAGAGACCCCTGAAGATTCAACCCGAAATGCGTCTTTAGGTCTAGATGTCAAAAGAACAACGCTTCGAACGTGCCCTCAAATAAACAACTGGAAGTCCTATAAATTTTGTCCCGTGCAGAAATTAGAGCAACGGGTTTACAACATCAGGTTAGATTTTTGCAACAATCTTATGGAGAGACACTTTTACCCATTACTCGAGCAACAAGAATAATAAAAAACATATCGACGTTATTAGATCAGGTGGAACTTCTATCAAGGTATGGTGGAGGCTCGGAATAATACATCCAGTATATTTTGATCGGAATTTAAATTCCCAACGCTACATACAGCTTTTAAATATTATTCATTATTTGTCGCGTATTCGTGGTCCTATTTTAATGGTAAATCATAGTGGCAGCATTTGTTTTGTTCAAACGCCGTCACAGCCATCAAACTTGTATGGAAACAGCATATTATTTGTGATAGACATATGTTTAAAACGAAATATTTCAAAAAGTAAAAATATTAGGCATATACAAAAATTTCAAAAACAGTTAGATTAGGTATAGAACATTATACACAAAATATGTCTAGAATTTTGTACAGAAGTTAAAGTAAAAATGTTGAAATAAAATGCAGGGATCATCAGCGATGCTACAGCTCGCAACCGTGCACTCTATAAGACTCCGCACTACATTCTCCGCGTGACTTGGACTATAGTTGATTTATATTTAACACATTTTTCTCTTCTTTTTTTTTTAATCTTTACCCGAGCGTATATCTCGTAAAGTCTGTTCACAGATATAAAAAGTGACTAACTGATACAAATTAAGGAAAGACCCGGGCAAGCTGTAAGATTGAAATATGACGGAACAGGTCGCCCTAGATTTTTTGCATAATTATCGCAGAAGTACTCCTTCTGTAGGTTCAAGTTTTGTAAAACCTCAATTAATTGCTTATTGGTATAATCTTCGTGAAAATAAAAAATAAATGTCGTTATTATACGCGTAGTTTTGCATTGTTGCTTTTGTGTCACATGGGGAAGCGGTTTTAGTCAACTGTCTACTGTGATAACTTGCGTTGTCCATTACAATGACGCTATTAGGAGGAATGTTTGGAACTATTGGGTTGTTCGGAAAGTCATTTCGTTTTTTTTGGGGAACATGAAAGACAGTTTTCGTATAATGAATAAATATTTTGTTAAATTATATATTGGCCATTCTGGTCCAACACCTTTTGCCATCTTTCTGGCAGTAACATAATTCCCCTCTCATAAAAGTTTTGGTCCTTGCTGGCAAAAAACTGGTTCAGGTGGTTTTTGACATCTTCATTTGAGGTAAAGGTTTTGCCATCCAAAAAATTTTGCAGGGACCGGAACAAATAGTAGTCGGAAGGCGCCAGATCTGGAGAATATGGTGGATGTTGCAGTACGTCCCATTCAAGCTGTAAAAGTTTTTGGCGAGTAACCAAACTTGTGTGAGGTCTCGCATTATCCTGGTGGAACACTACACCCTTCCTGTTGATTAATTCGGGCCTCTTCTCTTTAAGTGAATCATTCAATTTGTCCAGTTGATGACAATAGACTTCTGAATTAATCGTTGTATTGTCCCGCAAAAGCTCAAAAAAAACGATTCCTTTGACATCCCACCAAACGGAGAGCATCACCTTTTTTTGGTGAATGTTGGCTTTTGACACGCTTTGAGCCGGTTCATCTTTTCTGCTCCATGACCTGTTGCGTTTAACATTGTTGTATACAACCCATTTTTCGTCCCCAGTAATATCCGCTTCAAAAATGGATCATTTTCTTGACGTTTGAGGAGCAAATCACACACGTCAACGCGACGACACAAATTTCGCTCCGTAAGGACATGGGGCACCCACACATCGAGCTTCGAGGTTAAGCCCATGCCTTTCAAATGGCCATAAACGGTCGAATTCGACAAATTTAATCTCTCACCGATCTCTCGTGTGGTTATTCGCCGATTTGCATCAACTAATGCCTTTATCGCATCTTCGACCGGCCTTCCAGACCGTGGTGCATCTTCGACATCAAAATTGCCGGATCGAAATTTTGCTAACCAGTTCTGGCACGGGCGTACTGTTAACACGCCTTCTCCATACACATCCGTCAATTTTTTTCTCGCTTGGATAGCATTTTTACCTTTTCTGAAGTAAAAAAGTAAAATATGACGAAAATGCTGCTTATTGTTCTCCATATTTAAAAGGGCACCAACCAAAAACTACTGCGTAGAATTAATAGAACTTTTTCACACACAAGCCTTGCAATATCAGCTCTTAAGACACATAATGGTTATGCGGCTTAAGTGTGAAGTTGGTTTCGAAAAAACGTAATTAAGTCCTCTGACGGGAAAAAACGAAATGACTTTCCGAACAACCTTATAGTTTGTTTTTAAACCAACTTTCAAATAAATCAGCGGTGATGTCTTCGTGGTAATCCAGAATCTTTAATATTTTTCGCAGACAGAGAAAGTCCATTTAGTTTATGTTGGAATTTTCGTCAATGTGTCCGTTTCCTCTAAAGATGGGCTGGCACCACGTTCAATGAGAGTCAAATAAACATTGTTTATAACTTCCTTAGTCTCTATAAAATAGTGTTTTCTATATTTGGGCGGGAGCATCTCCTGAGATACACTAGACTCGCACATATTTTGCATAATTCGCACACGGTTCAACACACGCCGTATTACACACGTAATAAGAATGATTACTAATAAACTTGAACTAAATAGTATACCAAACCAAAGAATATTAAACACAGGTAGGTATAAAATTATTTTCTATTACGGACCACAATTTTACCTGAATTTAATTTCCGAAACTTTAGGTAATAATCTTGTTGCATGGTACGTTAATGACCACCCTTGGATAATCCCATTCAAAAGCAATTGGTCACTTTCTTATATCTACGAACAGACCATACCTATATAGTCGGGACACACGCACCTTGTCGATCGATGAGCTGCAACTCTTCCGATCGCTGGCGCAGCATTTCGGCGGTCCACTCCACCTCGATCTGCTCGTCGGGGCTGTCGGCGGGCGGTTCGTCGCGCAGCTGCCCCTTCATCCACCGCTCCAGGTGGACGGCGTTGCATTTGCCGTTGACGCTGCCCTTGCCCATTTGTTTGCACTTGTGCTCGATGAGGGATTCGATTTGCCTTTTGGCCGAGTCGTCGTTACGACAGTTTCGCGCGGTTAAATCGGGGGCGGCGGCGGCGGCCGGCTGTGCAAAAACGTCTCGAATTAAAAGGGCGCGCGCGCGCCCGGTCCGGCCGACGCACCCGCGTCGCGACGCCGCGAACGCGTCGATAAAGCGCGCGCGCCGATCTAAGCGCCTATGCCTATATACAAATACCGGCCAAAAAATTTGGAACAAATTCACGTAAAAATCATTTAATGGATTTCGAGAAAAGTGCTCGCACACGTTCGTCATCGTTTCGTATGATTTTTGCAGCAAACAGAAAATATACGGGTCGGGTCATCGCCATCTACTTTTTGGCAGACCCCGTATATTTTCTATTTACTGCCAAAATTGGGCAAGAAAAAGTGTGCGAGCATTTCTCTTGAAATCCAAAAGCCAAATTTTAAATTTTTAAATGAATTTTTTCCAAATTTTAGCTGTTCGCTGTTTAGGGTATTTTTTGATAATTGTACGATATTTTAAAGGCACATTTTTCCCGTACAGTGTGTTCCATAGGACCCAGTGAGGTAGTTTTTACAAATTGTGGTAATATAAACTAAACTTGCGTTTTTTTAAACCTTTTTATTATTTTATTTATTTATTATGACTTATTATTAGCTTTTAAAAAATATGCAAATGCAAAGCATACTATATCTTCAATTTTATTTTTTTTATATTTCATAATTATCATATTTGGTTAATATGAGCCATAGTCTTGTATTCCGAATAGATCTGATGTATATATTTTTGAGAAGCTAATAACAAGCATAATAAGAAAAACCGATCCACAATGTGTATTTAGGTAGTATTTTGAAAAAGTTTCTCCCATTAAAAATTACTTATTAAGGCTAAATTTTTTAGAAAAAATATTTTTGTATAGTAATTTTAAAATTACTTTACGGTTATATGTATTTTTTTAAATTTAAATTTTGAATTGTTTTTTAGGTAAAATATATTATTTTAGACTGATCATTTTTGAAGGAAAGAAAGACATATGGTACCAGTTTTTCCAAAAATAAACATTTTCTTCGATAGTCGCAGTCAATTTTCGGATGAAAAAATAAACGCTAAAATTAGTTTTGGTATATTCTTGAAAAAAGTAAAATCAAGATCAAAAAGCCTTTCCAACAAAAGACATTGAATTAATCGTAGGGATTATTAAAAAACATTTTTGGTCTTTCCTTCGAATTTCCAACACCCTGTATAGCGAAGCTGTTGCAGACCGTTGGCTATATGAAATTTTGTTATACTATTTACAAATCTTTGGATTCTTCTGCGTCGGTTGATGATGAATCGAACTTACTGATGTTTCGCCCATCATCCTGTGGACTTCTTCAGGGCTTAACTAACCATCTAACCTAACTGACTAACTAACTAAACTGAAAAAAACAATGAAATATTGTTCTTCAAAATAATTGATCAACAGGCCTGTCAAATATCGTGCACTTATTAAAAAAGGCCCTGTATAGGTTCGTTTCAACCTCAAATCACAAACAGGTTTCAAACATTTTACCAGAACCCCTTCAGCGATACAGATAGTTCTTTTAAAATAAAACTTTTTTTATGAAATTTGCTTTTCAACGATATGGCACACAATCGATGGCCTATTAGAAGTAACTGGGAAGAGGAAGAGGGGGTATATTCTTAAATTCTACGCAAAGAAGTGGATTTTGTTCAGGCTTGCCTTACCCTCGAAATCGATTAGTTCATTGCTTTAATCAAGCGGAAAGCCGAACTCTTTCAGACAGTTCCTGGCATACCATTTTAGGAAAATAAGGATTCCTGTACATTCTTTCATTTTCCAATTCCAGGAACAATCGCAATTTTGTTCAAGTTTCCATATACCTATCTCTAACCGTATTTGAAATAAAAATTAATTTTCATGATTTTAACATCAACATTCAACATTCAACACATTTTATTTCTCTGTCACTGTCAACAGACAACTGAATTATTTTGAACTATTTTTGGAAATTTAGTCCAAATTTCCAAATTTATTATCTTATTTTTTGTTTTGTTGGAGTTCAGATAAATAACGTGCCTCGTTTTTTCTGCGCCAGTTCAAGACCATTTTTTAAGAGTTCCTGCTTCATAGACAACGGTTTGTGACATGATGTTTGCTGCAGATACAGCTACAGGCTGTGTAACAGGCTGTAACTGATATTAATTGTCGACACCGAGCTGAATCTGACCTGAGACCAGCTTTAACTTCAGAGTATTCTAGAGAGCATTTTAACAGAAGATAGGTACATAAGGGAGATCCTCACATGCACATTTCAGCAAGATAATGCTCCACATGTTGCTCAGATAGTGCAAAATTCTCTTAATGAGGTAGGACTTTGGATTGGCCAGCAACCAGTCCTGATCTCAACTCAATGGAGAATATTTGGGATATGTACCTACAAGCCTTTCAAGAACCCTTGCGCTTACTGGATATATTGTCCAAATATAGAATAATTTGGATCAAAAATATTTTTCGAAATATGACCACAAAGAAGCAACTAAAATTAAATGAAAATGAGGTTCTAAGAAGCTTTTGTTTAGGGGCGAAACTTTCTTCGTTCGATCATGAAAATTAACTTTTATTTTCATTACGGTAAGAGATACAGCACCTTTTCTTACATTACCCTGTCTAAGTCAAAGATCCGTTGACCGTCCACTTTTGCGTCACCAGGGTTGCTTTGCCATGTTACCAATTTTTAAAATAATGAATTTTGGAATTAGGTTTTTGATCGGGGACAACTTTGACCCCCTTGGATTTTTGTTTTTGGAGGAAAATCAAAACGGAGAGTAACTAAAAATTGCATCCAGTAAAACTTTCACGCGTTTCGAACTCATTAACAACAACAGAGTTAGAAAGTGGTCAGTACTTGGGGTGCCACGCGATGCTCATTTCCTAATAGCATTCGGTTCTTCGAAACTCTCGATACGTCCAATGAACAAAACGGAACAGAAAACTAATTATGATCCAACCGTCTGTGACTGTGTGACTGTAAGAAATTGTTTCTGATTATGGTTGTAACGAGCCATGTAACAGTCTAAAACCCCGCACTATGACCCCGGACATACATCTACGCGCTACTTACAAAACGGCTAAGCTACAAAGACCCCGTCCCGAAAAAAAGGTCATTGAAAAGCGTCGACTAAAACATAAAGCTTTTATTTAACGTATGCAAATATAAATACATATCGACTTTCATTTCTTGAACAGTAACTTATAAATCACTCCATTACATCTACCCTAAGACTAAATTAGATTCGTGTGGTTGTCGTTTTCGCGACTAAACGTGGACAGTCGTTCCGGGTCCGGGTACCGGAAAGGACGCCTCCGACGCGCGAAAACACCGGATTTTTATTATTATCGTTACTCAACTATTTGTACTCCGGTAGTTGTATATCGGTAGCAGTTAACGTTACGACGTCGATTTAATTAAAAGACAAAAAAACGGCGTTGCCAAGTTTCTGTTACTTTCTGAAATACAAGGCAATTTATAAGAATTGGTAGATTTTAGAAAAAAAGTGAATATTAAAAATGTTATTACACTTAGATTTTACCTACGACGCACACAGGCGAATTTTCCTCAAAAGCTGGCCAGAAGTCAACAACTCCAACTTAAAAATCTTGAGCTAAATCCATTATATTTCAATAATCTAGTTACCTGGCTATTATAAATAAACAAACTTTTGTTTTGATTCGCGTTGCTACTCGCCATATTGTTATTGAAACTTGGAAGTTTATTAATTTGTATTCATTTAATCAGAGTGCATCAGTGTGTATTTAACCATTTTTCCGAAAGTTGGTGATTGAAAAATAATAAAATTATAGTATGGATCCTATTGCTGGTGGTAAGTGCAAGCAAATAATTATTATTATCTACGCAATTATTATCATCTATGACAAAAAGTACATTCCCCCGCGTTTCCCCATCTTCAAATTAGCACAGAACTCTTATTTAATATGTTCTTAAAAAGACATATTTTTTTATTTTTGCGATAATTTGCGATCTTAATGGGTATATATTTTTTAAGAAAATTTTGGTAAAATTTACTATTGTAGGGTTTTTGAACATGCAAAATTCAAAAATGCTAATGGCAATGTTGCCAGATTTGCAGCTTTTTGAGAAGAAATATTTATATCCTAGACTATTAAGTGTTTTTTGACTAATGGATGACATATAGCATACATGACAGTTTAAAACCTGTGTTTAAAAATTTGTGACACAGAAAGTTATTAGGTATCTAATGAGATTTTTTTTATAATAGACCATTAATTATGAGATACGTTTTCGTACTAGATTTTCATAGACGCAACTGTACAAATTTCAATAGTCCATAAAAAGACTTGTCATAAAAAGTTCTGCTTGCTTATTGTCATAAATAATAAGATTATACTTGCGAAATTCTTAATACTCAAAGTACTCAAATATCAATATCTCATCATCGTTTTTACCCCTTTTCTCTAAAATATTTATGATTATCTATTTGTAATATTGTTTTTGTAATTACATATACATTATCATAATTGAAGGTTAAAATTAGAACTGTTTTATGTTTTTCTTCAATAATGCACATTGTTGGTGTTGTTAAAATAAGTTTTGATAACTGTCACTGAAAAATAAATGAATTACGTAAAAATGTGAACAAGTAAGAAACTAAATTAAAAATGTTCTAACGTCATTCTAAAAAAAAAATATTAATCAGTATTTAATTTAGGTACGACTTTTCGACCACACTGTATAATTTTACGTGTAGCGGAATAATAGTGTAAAGTACTGTATTATCATTAAAATTTATACTTTTCTTAAATAAATTCATTATTCATCATTTTTAGATATTTTTTTAAGATACATAATATTGGCCGGCAGCATTTTGATCAAATTCGCCTGTGTGCGACGTTTCGTTTCCGGGAAACCATCAATTTAGTAATTATCGATCAACTGGATATACTATCCAGCAAAAAGTGCACCGTCCATGAAAACCTTCTACCCTCAATCTGCGAGGTTGTCGAAGTTGATGGTTTCACGCAAACGAAAAACGAAAAATCCAAAAGGGTACCATCCCCGAAAGTAAGATTTCCAAATATAAGGTAAAAGTATATGAAAAGGAAATTTGAACAAGTTTTACTGCAATCGACGCCTTTATTCTAATTCATTCGTCATCATAACCTTAACCGTTCCCGAGGGACAGTGGGTCCTACTTTTGATGGTCTTACACCGTAAAGCTGGCACGTCACGCCTTTCGTGATTCAAGGCTGATTATTCGTGAAATCAAAGGAGAAATAGACAGCTGTCTTGAACTTTTAGATAACGGGTGATTTTGGAAATTTTAATTTTTCAGACACCCTCTATAGCTCGGTTATGTTTAAAATTATCAAAAAGGTGAAAACTGGTCTTTTTTTACATGGGCTTTTCTTCTATATCTCACAAATAAATAAACCAAATTTGATCTTTTCTATTTTCTTCTTATTGCTTTCCAGAAATAAATAATATACAACAAAAAGTCAGTTACTTCTGAAAATAAACCTGCGCGACTGGATTCTACCTAAAACCAGTGGCGGCTCGCGGGAAATATTTTAAGGTGTTCTGCAAAAAAACTCGCCTTAATCGAGAATGGAGAATTATTAATTTTGCTTTTAATTCTAACTTGTCTATTTAAAAAATCTCCTCGCATTAATCAAATTAAAGACTAACTCTATAGTTAACAGATAGGTCGATTATAGGTTGGTTATTCCACTGGTCGATATTAAAATCCAGAGCAATTGTGCAGTTACGTCATAGCATGACATCTGAAGTGGCCTTTTTTTTAACCTATGAACAGAGATAAAAGTTTTATTTTTTGACAATGGACAAGTAAACATTGGAAAATGTCATCGTGTTTTGCAGCTTCCGTCTTATTATTGTCAATTTAATGCGGTAGCGATTTTAAACGGTATTATTAAAATAATTATAATACTTCTGATTGAAAAACTATTCTAGGCGCATAGACCGTCGGGCAAGTGAGGCTTGAGAAAGGTAAAATTTGATGGATGCATCTGATATCTTCCCAGTTGTCATCGATATGCATCAATCAGGCTCGAAAGAAGATACTTTTTCTGATTATAACTAGTTTTTGTTCTCCTTCTTTGCTCTTTGCGTTATGGGTTTTCGTTGTTTTTGTCGTTGAAGCATTAATTTAATTTAATATCCGAACGTACCTAAAACTAATGTATTAAATAAAATCGGAACGCATCTAAAAGCGGTAGCAATATAGCCAAGACATACGGACCATATAGCTTTGCAGAATCGTCATGGAATACTAACACTAAATTGTATGTTTGTTATTTTTTTAACGCATAGTTGTCCGTTACATCAGTTTGTATTATACATTGCAATGTAATATGTAATTTTTATTTTATATCCTGGACCGTCTCATAATGTATTGTGTTATTTAACTGTATGCATTACATTGAGCGGAGCTAAGAAATATCGTCGGGATACGAGAGAAAGTGACCAAGTCCAATATAACTATACCTATTATTTTCCTATTCCAAGGAAATTAAGGTCAACATTTATTAACTATTTAAATAACAAATTCGCGATTATAACAAATTATTAAACAATAATAATTACTAATAAGAAAAATTAAGTAGTGATTTTCTCTTGTAAGTTTTTTTTACATATGGACTTCAACAATTGCAAAATATCAACTTATGTTACAAATTAAATTCTAGAAAATTTGGATTTGCCCACTTTCTCTTGTGCACCGACGATATCTGTCTATCTCTCATTTTTGATTAAATCACTATACGTGACGTAACTGCACTACTGCTCTGACCGCCCTTGCAGTATTTGATACTGCGAATACGAAGTATGGTCTGTTCATAGATATAAGAAAGTGACCAATTGCTTTTGAATACAACGCAACAAGATTACTACCTAAAGTTTCGGAATTTAAATTCAGGTAAAATTGTGGTCCGTAATAGAAAATAATTTTATACCTACTTGTGTTTAATATTCTTTGGTTTAGTTTTACTACTTAGTTTACGTGTATTAGTAATCATACTGAGTTCGTGTGTAATACGGCGTGTGTTGAATCGTGTGCGAATTATGCAAAATATGTGCAAGTCTAGTGTATCTCAGGAGATGCTCCCACCCAAATGTAGAAAACACTATTCTATTGAGACTAAGGAAGTTATAAACAATGTTTATTTGAACGTGGTGCAAGCAATCTTTAGAAGAAACGGCCACATTGATGAAAATTTCAATATCAACTGTATGGAAAATTGTGAATAATCCCATTTCAGCGAGGAAAAAAAGAAGCGATGCTGACAGTTTCTCGAGTGTAGATGTGTAGTTAATTAGGAGGATTGAAAAAGATACAACCGGGGTTAAATGTGGCAGAACTACCTTAGGGAAGTGTATTCAACACATGGGTTTTAAATTGACAAAAGGCAAGTTTCAATGGAATCTTTTAGAATTCGGAAATGGCGACTGCAATATCTAGAAAAAATTAGGATTTACAGAGAACAACAAAGGCCAACTATTTACTTGGACGAAACCTGGTTCGACACTTATGATATCCCGGAAAAGGGTTGGGCTGACTCAACTGATAGCGATAGTGATACTGATATATTATGTGAATATTTTTAAGTAATTTAAGTAGGCAATAAGAATAATTAGTAATTTTATTTTAGATTTAAACATAAATACATACATAAATAAATAAATATCGTTTAGTATCTTTCCTAACAAAACCCCAAATAATTAAATTCTAAGCAAAGTACGGACCTGTTCGGCCATATTTCAATCTTACAGCTTGCCCGGGTCTTTCCTTAATTCATAACAATTAGTCACTTTCTTATATGAACAGACTTTATTGTTTACAAAAGAAGATATTTTAGTAAGACTATTTAATTATGAGTTTTTTCTGTATGTTATTAATCTCTATAAGTTAACTCGTGAGGTATCTAAAAAATTCAAGAGGCTCAGCAGGCTCGCGTAAAACCATTAAAAATTGTTCCGTTGCTGTCCGTACGAATCAGCCGGGACCCGGTACGGTGGCAGTCTTGTAAATCGTGAACGGGCGACGCGTTCCGGGATCAAAAGTCGTCGGCGCCGCTCGTCTGCGACGTCCCTTCGACGTTCAAGCAGCTCAAATCGTAATCGAACTGGGTGACGTCCCAGAACTCGTCGCCCAAACCGAAGAACTCGCTGACGCCTTCGGAATCGTCGGAAACGTCTTTGAGGGGGGTGAGGATGGGGCTGGGACTCGGCGCAGAAGGAGGACAGTGGGAAGCGGGTCCGTCGGAACTGGAAGCGGAGGAAGGCGACGAGGTGACCGACACGCGGGCGCTGGGTGTGTCGGGGGTGCAGGCGCTTGTCGGCACGGGTGGGGGGACGGGATCGGGCGGGGCGAGGGGACAGTCTAGTATTGTCGCGTTGCCATGTAGTAGACGCACCTGGCGGCGCAACGAGCACGTCTCCGCCGACTGCAGCGTAACCACGGAGGAGGTGATGGGCACGTCCGGGGATTCCGGAGGGGAGCTCAGCGAGCTACCGTCCAGTCCCGAGTTGAGCTGGAGGCTGCTTGCGCAAACCACAACGGTCGCATTCAACGGACGTAGCAAAGCGCTGCCGATATTTAGCGGTAGAGATTACGATTGGCAGTGTCCGACGTTCGCTGTCAAGTCATTTGCCGTTTCCGTTTTTGACATACAGTCTGTCAGTTTTCTTTTAGTTTCTTCTTTCACTTATGTTTAATGGGAAATATATTTGAGAAATTGTGCCAAATAAGTCTCCATACGCTTTCAGAAATCACTATGCAGGTAGAACCGTTCAGTATCAATATTTTATCAAGTCAGCTTGTATCGAATTTCGTTTAAACAAATGAGTTACACTTGTTTCTTTTTGACGCCACTTTAAGTCGGCGGTTTTCAAGTAAAAGCAAAATGAGCGCCAAAAATTGCGAAATTCCAATTGCGCTTCGAAAAATCATAGTAGATTAATGGAAATTATGGAAACTCTACGGTATATAATAAATCAATACCAGTCGATCAATCAAACAATAGTCGTCCCAGGAAGTTAACTGCACTAGTCGTCTGTTGTGAAAAAAAAATAGAATTAATCCTAAAACAAGCCCTACAAAACTTGCAGAGGAAATAACGGAATAGTTCCCAAAAAACGTTAGCCCTCAAACATTAAAAAAAAATTAAACTTTTTGGGCCAGATACACCGCTATAGTCTCCGGATGTTAAATCCATAGGAGCACCTGTGGGAAGAATTAAAGCGACAAATGAAAAAACATCAAGTTACGAGTAAAGAAGACCTCAAAAATAGAATGAGAGTGAAAAAACATATCGCCAGTTACAAGAAAACTTGTTTTAAGTCTTACAAGAAGACTGAATGCCATTATTAAAGCAAATGGCACATACGTGTGTGTGTATTTTATTAATGAGATTGTCAATATTTACTTTAAATACATTTCTCATTAAATGTTAGTGAAAGAAGAAACTAAAAGTAGAATAGACTAGGCACTAAAAAAATGCTTTCGTTAAACACAGCATAAGGAGGTAGGTACGATTTCTCAAAATTTGTTCGGAAATAAAAAGAACGCATATCCATGTTTGTTAAATTTATATAAACATTTATATTTTTTAACCAGTTTGTGTACCTATTACATCGGGAATTAGTAGAAACGGACGTTATGATCATTTTAATTGAAAACGAAATGACTGAGGATAATATAAATATAAATGTGGTTGGTGAAATGGCTTTGGAATTAGCAGAACCAATTCGAATATTTGTCTAGAATGAAGGTCGTAGGTGTCCAAAACCAAAAAATCGGAAGTAATACGCAAAGGCTATAAGGAGATATGAGTTATGTTATTATTCTTAGAGTATTTTCCAGGCCTAGCACGTTTCGGAGCAGCGAGACATTCGATAATATGTTTGTGGATAATGTAGATGAGGGTGAAAACGATATATGCCTTTATAACAAATAAAACACATTTTTGAATTTTTGCTCTTTTTTTTTGTAATTCACATAATCAGTGCAAATTGCATTTCTTTCCTCCTGGATTTCGTCGCTTCTTTTATTGGCGCTTCGTAAGAGGTTAATTTCTTGTATACTCGAACCAGAAATATAGTGCTTTTCCAATCCTGAGTAGACCCTGACCCGTAACCATTCCAGGACCGTCCTAGGAATTTATCTACCCACCAACAAACGACATATAACTTTAAATATCTCCGTAATATTCGTTACGGCCCATCTCAGGCAAGACCCACTTAATGCAGAATAAGCATCCGTTGAAACGTCAAAGCAATAACTGCACTATATTTTTGGTCGTATTATACTCTGCCTTCTTCGTAGATAAAACAATCCACTCTTTGACTCTATAGTCTTGGAACTTCTAAAATGATAACACGTTATGAGCCTCTAATTTTTTGAATTATACAAATAAACATAATTATTGAAACTTAACATACCATGATTGGTGTCCATCTGCGGAGTCACTGCGATAGTGAGTGGATCTTTCTTATTTTCGGCAAGGGGCTCTAATTCTCTTTTCCTTATAGCAGGAACTGCTGTCGGATTAGCGATGTTAACTGTTTTGTCCTCCCTATATATTTGCTCAAACTGGTGATAGCATTCCCAGTAAATTGTACCCTTTTCGGTTTCCCGTTTATTGTCTTTGACGCCTGTGTAGTTTTTTTTTCAATTTTCTCCATTTCTTATTCAATATTTCGTCCGTTTAGTGAAAACACATTCAAATAACAATATCAAATAACTTAAAATAGCATATCTACTTCATGTGAGTGTAATTTGTTTGAACAAGGACATACCTTGATCTTCGAAAACTCGAGAGGTTTTCGTTAATTGAAACCCTACTAACAATAATATAAGTAATAACAAATAAAATATATTTATTATGCTGGGAATTCATACTCACCATGATCAAATTCGTCACTTTCAAAACCAAATTCTACCATTACAGATCACTTCGCTACCGCTACCTAGCACAAAATTAACCCGCTACCAAAAATGGCGTCCATTCCGCAACGTGTTGGGTTTGTAGCGCGTGCGCCACCGGACGTTCCCGCTACGGTTTTGTAAGTCCAAACGTCCAACACTTTCCCCACCCCACGCGTTACCGCTACGTATCAGGAGCGCTTCGCTACGTCCGTTGAACTACTATTAACGGCCCCGAGGGGGCGCCACGCTACCCGCTATACTTCGCTAGGAGCTACGCCTACACTTCTATGTCCAGGTGCTAAATATCTACGGCCGCCCTTATGGCGCCGCTAGCGACACTCTACCCCTCCCCGGGAAACGAGGTACTTACATTTGCCTTTGCAGTAAGTTTTGCCATACCGCCTTCATCTCGAGGGTGGGCGCCCGCAGAGCCACGGTGCACTTCTTCGCGGCGTTTTTCCGTGGGGTGCGGCTCAGGTCCGGCCCGCAGTGGACGGTCGGGCTGGACGCTTCACTTTTGGCGGCGGCGTCCACGCATATCCGAAACTCGGTATCTGGAACGCGGCGGTGACGTCACGTCCAGATTTTGTTAAAAAGATATTCAGGAGATTTACACTTAATTTAAAATAGAATGTAGCTCGGTTTAACCTGCACATATTAAGCCAATCCGAAACAGCCAAGTGTTTTGTGACAATAAGATACTTTAATGATTATTGTTGGACTGTATTCTACTATTTTCGACGGTAGTGAATGTAAAGAAGGACGACAGAGGCAAGTGTGCCGTAGCTTTCGAACTCATTTTCTTTGGCAGGTTGCGGTGACGTGTATTTTGTGAGTTGATAACCGATGACTTGTGGACCGGATGGTGATGTGGGAGGAGGCAAGGCCGCGGGTCCGGATGAAATCCCAATCGAATTAATAAAGCTCATCGATGAAGATGTAAATGATGTCTCGACTGACCTGTTTAACACCATATATCGGACGGGCACAATACCTAGACAGTGGCTCCATTCGACCTTCGTTGCCATCCCCAAGAAGCCAAACGCCACAACTTGTGCTGATCATCGAACCATATCTCTAATGAGTCATACGCTAAAGGTGTTCCTTAAAATTATTCACAATCGTATTTTCAGAACCCTTGAAACGGACATGAGTAACACCCAGTTTGGTTTTAGAAATGGATTTGGTACAACAGAGGCACTGTTTGGTATAAAAGTGTTGGCTCAAAGATATGAACCAAGATATATACCTGGGGTTCATTGATTTCGAGAAAGCCTTCGATAAGGTGAAACAAGAAAAACTAATAGAGATTCTAATGGCTAAAAACATTGAGAAGAGCGACATCAATATAATATCAACACTGTATTGGAACCAAACAGCTAGGGTCAGGTTAGATCCAAATACTGAGGGAAGCGTTGGATGATTGCTCAGAGGGGATAAAGATAAAGTTCTCAACAACTTTCGATTCGCCGATGACACAGTGATCACAGCAGGAAACATCGACGATTTGCAACAAATACGGGTTAAAGATCAACCTTAACAAAACAAAAATTATGGTCGCCACCAAATCACCACGCATAAACTGCCACTTAGTTATAAACAACACCATCATCGAAAGAGTGAACTCATACAAATATTTGTTCTTCACCAACAGAGACCTAAGCTTGAGTCTGCGGCTAAGAATGCTAAGGTGTTTTCCGTCCTTTTGTATGGTATGGAAGCATGGACGCTGAAGCAGGAGCATACAAATAAACTGGTCGCATTTGAGCTCTGGTGTTACAGAAGGATCCTGAGGATATCGTGGACGGAAAGGGTCTCAAATGCTGAGGTGCACAGAAGGATGGGATGTGAACCGGAAATTCTGGTGACAATCGAAAAACGAAGACTTGAATACATGGGAAATCTAATGAGGGGCCCGAGACATGGCTTGCTACAACTAAAGGAAGAAGAAGTGTCGGAAGGCGAAAAATATCCTGGCTGAGAAATCTGAGGGATTGGTTCGGATGTGGCAGCGCCGAGCTGTTTAGAGCGGCTGTCAACAGGGTCCGCATCGCCATGATGGTTTCCAACCTTCGATAGAAGATGGAATTTTAAGAAGAAGAAGGTGATGCGGGACGTGGGTGTGGGAGGCCAAATAACAAAAGTGTCATCAACGTAGCGTTCCCATGATTTTGGTTTTAGATCGAAGATGGCGAGGGTTTTCTTCACAAAAGCTCCAATAAATTCTTCGTATGCCTCGAGACAATGAAGAATCCATAACCGTTCCTGACGACAGATAAGCATTTTTCAATTAACAAGGTTTGATTCCAAATTCACGGATTTTTATAAATTTGACTTAATGTTGAGAGGTTCAGGAATGGGGACCTAATATTCATTGAAGTGAAAAAAATGAAGTACGAATCTATCAGTTTTCGCTGTAAAGGATTTTAATATGGAGGCCGGATATTTTGCTAGACAATAAGTTCGAAGGAGTGATATTGTTGATGTTGACGATTCGTCTCCTGTTGACCGCTCAGAACAATTCCACGGAGGACTGACCATACCATTGACGTAAGTTTTTCACCCAGGACTTTTTGATTACATGTAGCAGTCCATACTTTTCGGGGTGTCGCATGATGTGCAATAGCCACACTTATTTCTGGTTCATAGTACCGGACGATCCTAGTATAGCAGATGTGACGTATTATTATAATAATAATAATACCGTGTTCTCGGCAATTCCTTTCTATTATTGTTATTCTTATTATTATTATTTTAATTACATGCGATCTAATAATTGTGACGGTTGCGACGGTCTGCTTACCTTTTTTCCGGACGCTGAAGAACATGTCGGTGACGTAGGCCAACTGTATAGGATCGTCGGCGACGAAGAGCACACGGTCCCTGGACACCTTCGCCAACAGCAGGATGTCGCTGAAGAGCAGCGCCCAGTACTGAGCCACATCGCGGCCCTCGACGCGGCCGAGCGCTCCGCCGAATATCCAGTGACGGCCCGGCTTGTTCAACACGAACGGTCGGCACTTGGTGAACACCAGCCTGTTCTCGAGATCCTGCACCGACAGCAAGGGTCGGCCCTCTCCGGTCGGCTCCATCAAGCCCGCCTCCGCGGTCATCTCCCTATAGGACACCTGCATCTCGTGCACTACGCGGTTTATGACGACGTAGTCTGGGTGTTTGGGTTTCGTGGCGCTCTGCACCGCCATCAGCGCCTTGAGGACTTCGCGGTAGTGCTCCAGGGGCTTGTGGATGAACGCCGTGAGGTCGGGTCTGCGTCGGGGTATCGACGGCGACTGCACGAACCGAACGAATTCGCCGCCGCTGTTTTTCAGCTTGTTGGCGAGCACGCAATCGGCCTTTTTGAGGCCCGCGCAGTAGCGTCGATACGCGCACGTCACGTCGCTCAGCTTGGCGCTGTAGACGCGAGCGAGCAGCCCGACCTCGACCTCGCCGTCGTCGTGCACCAGGTGGTCGAGGATGTCCTCCGTGATGCGGAGCAGCTGCGGACAGATTGTTGGGTCGGCGAAGGCGGCGGCGCGTGCGCGGTTTCACCTCGTCGCAGTTCTGGAACAGTATCCGGTGCTCCGACGGCGAGATCAGATCTCTGCGCTCGGCCAGCGGCGACACGAAGCGGCCGACGCCGAACTGCATTGCGGCGCAGTAGTGCTGCTCCTTGCCGATCAGCTGGTACATCGTCCTCTTCCGCCCGTCCTCGGGATTGTTCGGGGTCGTCTGCGTACAGAGGAGATGGTAGCAGAAGATCGAATGTTCAAATGATCCCGATCGGCGTTCTGGTATAGCCGGGGAGTGGTTTGTAAATATTATATAAAAATTATATATATATATATATATATATATATATATATATATATATATATATATATATATATATATATATATATATATATATATATATATATATATATATATATATATATATATATATATATATATATGTTTAGCTTTTGGTTCTTGGGTTATAGGTCTTTGTATTAAAAGCGATTAAAATTTTTTTTGTCCATATATTGACGTTTCGGTCTTCTATGACCTTCTTCAGAAAGGGGTACAGTCTAAAATTATGTTATAGTACAGTTCTTTTTTTTTATACATATACACAACGGAATTACAAAGAACCTTACCAAAAAGAGACAAACACAAATCTTAAAATTGAAGAGGTAGCATCATATGGAAGTTTATACTTTAAAAGCGTTTGGTTTTGTCATAGTGCCTAGAAATATTATTGTTTTGGTTTTTTCCAACTATGAGAATAAAAAAGTCATACCCTTGATAAAAGATAAAAGTCCAACAAAAAATGATTTGTATACGGCACTCACACACATAATACACACAAATTTAACGAAACAGTTAAAATATATATATGAGTTTAAAATAATAATAATAATAATAATAATTCCGATACGCGAGGTTTGCTCGCGTCGACGTTACTGTAAAAACATCGTACGATGCACGATTGTTTTGGTGCAAGGTTCAGAGGGTATTTTTGTTAATTTATAATTTTTTTCTTTTATTTATTTTAAATTATTTTTATATATTATAATTTTATATTAATATATCCCTATGTTGTTACTTTCATTGTTGTTTTATTTCAGAATGTTGCAATATAACTTACTGAGATTGTTGGTGTCTGTTTTCGAATTTATAGAGTTCTTATTTTTTTGGATCTCAACCATTTCCAGAATTTCCCTTTTTTTTGTATTATTTTCGGTTTTTAGAATTTTTACTTTCGCAAAGTTGAAAGAATGCTTGGTTTCCGCGCAATGACTCTTCAGGGCAGTCGTATTTTTTTTGTCGTATTTGTGACCATTAATTCTGTTTTTAAGATACTGGCTTGTTTGACCGATGTACACACCCTCACATATATATGTGTATGTATATATATATATATATATATATATATATATATATATATATATATATATATATATATATATATATATATATATATATATATATATATATATATATATATATATATATATACATACGATAACACCGTGTCTTGATCAAATGAATCAAATTAAATTTACATTTGTGGCTCCTTGTTTAGTCCAAGTTATTAAGAAAAGTTGCCTTTTAAATTTTTTTGCTACATTAATTTTTTCACAGTTCTGTTACCCCTTTCCGTGGCAGCGTTTGTTATAATTTTGGTTTTGAGAAATATTTCTGTTCCTGTTCCCTGTTTTAATGTTTTTTTTTGGAAACAGATACTCTACTAAATTTGCTTTTTAACGTTTTCTTTTTCGTCCGTCTTTCTTATAATGTGATAAATCAAAGTGGGTCCCGAATTATGAAATTTATTGAATCAGAATAAGAGAAAAAAAAAAAGAAAAATATCTTCCAATTTGGAAATTAGTCTTTAACCAGACAGTAATGAACCCTATAAATTTAATACGATTTTTTTGCAAGATGAATCCAGAAGTTTTGTGAAAAGTATTACAGTAGCCTGTGAAAATTTCTTTGAAAAATGAATGTTTTGAAACCAAATTCTGTGATTTTAAAGCGAATGTCCCAGTCATCCTACATTTCGATCCACTGTGCGCGTGGACTATTGTCGTTTTTTATTGTCTTGCCCTGCCGTACTTAAAAAATAAAACGAAAACTCAAACTAAAACGGTGTATTTACGTATATATCAGAGCAACGGGTAAACGAAAATGGGGATGGGGGATCGGCGGCGAGGAAGGGTGTTAACAAAACAGCGAACTTAACGTAAAAAATAAATAAACGAAGATTTGTACAAACAAAACGAGAGGGGGGCGGGGAGCAATGTCAGACGATGACGCCGCCACCAACCTCGGTACTGAAGGTGACCTGCGGCAGGTGTAGTTTCCGCCGGCCCAGGTCTTGCACGGAGGCGGTATTGGTCGAGCATATCGTCGACGGGCGGCGGTGCGGCGGCGGCGGCGGCGCCGCGAGGGTGACGTTGCTGTCGGTCATGGCGGAACCGCAGGTCAAGGGGCCGGCCGAGGAGGCCGGAAGGGAGCCGTTTCGCGACGGGTTCCGCCTGAATACCTCCAGCGTTAATTGACTTCCGTAGGACCTGAAAGAGGACGCTGAGTTTCAGCAGTATTTATGCGCAGCAGAGTTCCCAAAAAAATTAACTTAGATAAAAAGATCGTTAAATATTGAACTGAGGTGGCCTTCACTTGATGAAAATGCATTTATCAAAACAAATAAGAACTGAAAGTTCAGATGTTCACGTAATTATATATTTTTACATGACAATTGTTTCGACCACACCATCATAAACCTTCACACACGGACACAGTAATACATGAAAGCTCAAATCACCCTTATACACACAAAATGGATGCATTTCACTCTTAATACGCCACTCTCAACTGAAAATTACAATAAAAAACTTAATATCATTAAACAAATTGCACTCAACAACGGCTACAATCCGTCCATTAGTATTTATCCGAAATCTAATACAGAATACGAACAATTTAAAATGATTACATGCAGAAGAGAACCCAGTGAAAAAGTTTCAAAACATTTGTCAGAATGTGGTTTAAAAATAGCTTTCAGGACTAACAACACAATTGGGAAATTTTTAAAAAACAATAAGATGAAATGTCGAAAATGTCAAAAATCAGGTGTCTACAGGATGCGGATTTTGTCCTAAAATTTATATTGGACAAACAGGTAGATACTTCAAGAAACGCATTAACGAACAAAAATGAGCGTTGTAAACAATAGTCTAGATTATAAACACAGAAAAACACATTTTCGACGACAATTTTGTTATTTTACATCCAGCCGCAAAAAGTAGAAAAATAAATATATAATTAACAAAATGAGACATTCAAATGTATTGCTCAACAGTCAATTAGATTTAAATACCTCGCCTTTACTGAACGTAGCTGATGTATAGCGCGTTGTCTTGGTGAAACAGGATTTTTTTGCAAATATGGCCGTTTTTCCCCAATTTCTGTCCACAGTATGTCAATTAATGATGTGTAGTATGCTCCTGTAATGGCTTTTCTTTTTTGAATAAGACAAAACTGTCCGGTGTGTCATAAACATTCGATAGAAATATTAGACATTAAAATGAGTGGAAAGTTAAAGAAACAAAAAGAATAAGAATAACGATATAGTCCAGCACAGGATAAATGGTCATGACTTGCTGGCCTAAATAAACGGAGCAATAAACCAATAAAAAGCGTATTTACTGTGCGGGGAGGTATTTTTATTTTAATAGTGTCCACACCTTAAAAAGTTTAAGTTATGTTGCTCTTTGCCATTGCCATTGCAGTCAATATTTGTTTTGCTTAGAATGGGGATTGAAGACATTTTTTCATATGAATACTGAATCACAGAAAATACTAAACTTCTCATGAAATAAAGTCAAATTAAATTACATAAAGGTTGAAACAACAGAAAATCAAGCTTAGCTTAGGAACTTTACCAACAAAGTGATCCAGTGCGAAAAAAAATCATATATAGCAAGGTATATAATATATAATAAATTTAAACATCATAAAAAATTCAAAAAACGCGGGAAAAAGGATTCCCGACCAAATGTCAGATCCAGATTTAATAAACAAGGCTTTTATTAACTCTATTTCCATTTTAAATTCGACGTCACCAGTGATCAAGTACTATGTGGACTCTCCCTACCAACAAGACAAATTTCAGGTTATTGTAGTTGCACAATTTCTCGGTCTGTTGCCCTTTATATTAAGTATATCCGCCATCTTGTAAATGTTTGCATTTGCAAAAGTGTAACCAATATACTCCCTTTTTACCTGTTCATGTTATTAGAGAAGAGAGGTTTTCATCTTTTTTATATATACATGTAGGTACTTAACGAATATGAAATTTTAATTTTAATTATTATTATTATTATTGTTGTTATTATTATTATTATTATTATTATTATTATTATTATTATTATTATTATTATTATTGTTATTATTATTATTATTATTATTATTATTATTATTATTATTATTATTATTATTATTATCATTATTATTATTATTATTATTATTATTATTATTATTATTGTTATTATTGTTATTATTGTTATTGTTATTATTATTATTGTTATTATTATTATTTCTGTTATTATTATTGAACATACCTTTCTACATATTTAAATTTTATAAAAAAAACTCTCAACGTTTACTATAATATTGCTGAAATGTTAATATCTGCTAATAATTTATATATATAGTTTAATGGAAAATTTGTCTAAAAACGTCGACGAGCATGGAACCCGCGTAGATTCCTTGATAATGATTCACTAGAAAGGATAACGAAAGTGTTCAGGAATGGTAACGCAGAGTGTGTTGGCAGGAAACTGTGTGCAATGTACGAGAGTTATCAGATTCTGTCATTTGCATCATTGCAACAAAAATTAAATGAAAATTTGTGCACAAAATTTGATTTAGATTTAAAACTATTGACAAGCGTAGTTACATCAACGAGACCTAACGATTATAGAGGCAACATTCTTCATAGAACTGTATTTTGACTCTACCTCCATCTAGTGGAAAAACAATAAAGAGAAGAAAAAAGGAGAATATAAATTAGTGTTTGTTTCTAAATATGTGAGAACTAAGTTCGAGAATAAAAATACATGACTGATTCCATCTCAGGCCGGGCATGCTTTTGAAGACCCCTTCTGCTGCGACGGAAGACCGCAGAAGCAAAGCCCGTATCTCGGAACATTTTAGCATGATACACATTAATGACTCGCCTTGTGATTATTTGTCGTGAATTTCGTAAAAGAAAACACGATGACAAGAATCATCTTGAGCAAAAATGAATAATAGAACAATTTTTAACTAATTATCGGATTTGAATATGATTAATTTGTGTTCATTTGCCAAATCGCTAAGAATGTTTAGTAGTCTGTATGTATTCTCTCGCAACTGTGGAAGTAATATATTTAAAAGAAGCGATTCGGGTAGAATTATTTGGTATGATGAAATGACACAAAAAATTATGACATAGACCTATGTTTAAATTCTCGAACGACCAAGCTAACCTTTTGGCATAATTCCTCGACAGAATACCGTCCCAGTAGACACATGCAATGGCAAATCGTTTATTAACATGAGGAATAAGAGTGGACCCAAAGTACTACCCTGTGGCATTCCAGTTTCGACGTCACACTCATCACTCGTCATCACTTGCGCATACCCATTGTTTGGACCTTGGAGATAACGAATCAATTTACTAAGGTTTTATTTTTAGTTACAAACTAATTTACAACAGTTTTGGAGTTTTGGAGAAATGGTGCTATAGTTTTGGTTAGTTGATTTTTTTTTAAGAGGGAAATTATTACTTTGGGGTATTGGCTTATATTAGATCTTTCATTCCGTCCATTGTGCGCATAGCTACCTGATGAGGTTCAATATCTCGATTTCGGGCATGGTGACCACGTTGTGCTTGTCGACGAAGATGATGTAGTCTCCGGGCAATACACCGGCCCTATCGGCAGGAAGGCCTCTCTCCACCCTTTCTATGCGCGGGGGATGGGTCCATACTACCGAAAACCCGAACCCCGACTTGGGAGGCCGGGTCAGGCGCTTCGTCTGCGTGAACGGCGTCCTGCCGGATTTGTTTCCTGTGGCCCTGCGCTGGGTCGCGGCCGGTATTGCCTCCGGTCCCTCCATGGGGTCGAGCTCCAGGTACCGAAGGAACAGATTTTCGTCCGCGTACTTTTGCTGCTCGCTCAGCGCCGCCTTATTCGTCGACCTGTAACCCGTACCAAGTGAAAAACGCTCGACCAATACCCGACCTCCTCGCCCGTACCGTCTTAGCTCGTTGTCGACGCCACCGTCGAGGCTGGCGACGTCATCCACCTCGCAATTATGTTCGCCCATTTCGTTGTCAAGCTCGCCGCTAGGCTCGGGCGCCGCTATCGGCACGTGACCGACGACGCGGCCGCCGACCTCGGGGAGCAGTCGGTAGGATCCGCAAGTTTTCTGAAAAGTGTCCGATAATTTGCATTCGGAAACATCGCGGGCGGTTACTCACCTTATCGGACACATCGCCGACGTCGAGTGACATGCATCCCAGGAATTCGCTGGTCCTAAAACCGAATAAAAATAAGGATTACCGAGTGTCCCAGTAAGCGCAACGGGGTACGGTATTATAGAAATTTGAAAAAAAATTAAGTAAGTCACTCAAGAGAAAAGGCCGGAACTCATTTTCGAATTTCCGCACTGACCACCAGAACGCGTAATTGCCAGTTGGATGTTTAAAACCTGCTTTAGACAAATACATATGTAAATGTGCCTCTGCGAATCTCAATTAATAAACATTGTTTCGGTGATTTGCTGTTTATAGATTAAACTGTACAAAATTCATTACGATCCACTCTAACCTAACCGTAACGTAACCGTATAAAGAAAATATATCAAAATTACTAAGCAAAGTATTTGGATTAAGTTTCGTTTGTGCTGCCATCTATCGACAAGTGGCTAAATTCCATCCGAATATTCGGTTAGGAATCTGTAATTTTGATTTTCCAAGATCTGCGGGTGACGGGGATTGTAAAAGTTAGGCATTCCTCCTACTGAGACAATTCAAATAATTTTGTTTAATGCCGTTTGCTCTTAACATGAAAGGAAAATGGTGGAGATTATTTGATAACTCCAAAAAGGCTTAACACTTTTTTAGTACACTTATAGTGATTTAGAGAGTATTACCATTGCGTTAGTTTGCCTCGCCATCACAATTTCCTTAATCTCTTTATCTTAACCCAAAATACAACCAAAAAAACTTAAAGATAAAAAAAATTGAATTTTGGGAAGCTCTTTTTACATTACTGGATATTAACGTCTAATTATCCCTGATTTAGCAAATAGCACGCTAATTTGTTATTTGGGATGCCAAATGATATTTAAATTCAAATTAACTTTGGTGAATTACTTGTGTTACTTTTCGTAAAATACCCTGTACAAAATATCTAGCAGCTGATATTAACAATGCGTTTTGACAGCGTTACTCCGTTTCCAAATATTTGGTATTATTATTAAGAAGCTTTGCTTTATTCAACTTTTGACAGAAATCATTTTTAAGATTGCCATGAAAAAATTCTTCCTATTTCTGACAATAAACTTTCATATAACTTATAAATTGTGTTACTGTGATTGTATATATTGCATTAAGAATGAAGATATTGTAGAAAAGATAATAAATATAAATAATGAACATTGAGTTCGATACTAAATATCATTTGGCGATAAATTAGGCACAATTTTTAAAATTTAACTTACTTTTTAACTTTTATTCGTATTTTAGGATCGGATAAACATAATGCGGTGATGATCACCGAAACCCTACAAGACAGGCGCATATTGATGCGGTTGTTGAAGTTAATGAGCATGGACTATTACTAAACACAAATATAATCAAATTTATGCTCATAACATAATCGATAAGGAACATTCCCAATTTATATACGTATATATACGCCGTACTTATTGAAAGAGCTGGAAATTACAATTACTCTTTCTAATGAAAATACTGAACCTCTCAGGAAATAAAAAAAAAGGATCGAAGTCTGGAGTTATTTTATGAAGATGAGATAAGTATTCTGTAGTAGAGATCTTAACTGAAAATACGACTCATGGGATATATATATTCAGTGCGATGCCAAGAGAATAGAACTTTTGGAGCTTTGGATGTATAGCAGAATTTTACGAATTTCATGGTACGACAACAAATATCAAATAATGCATTGAAAAATAAGTGAGAATGAAAAGACATTCGAGGTTAAGAAATCTACGTAAACACCACCAGTACCAACTTTCGGTACCGAGACGACATCTGTAGAAAAAGAAAGGTAGTGAGATGCGGTTTTCATTGGGCTGCGGACGCCTTATTTGATAATATAATGGTTGCATTCTTTTTTTTTCCAAGCGACGTAAGCAATTTTAAGATAGGGATTAGGGTAAGCTCTTGTTAACGACTCCAAACCTATTAAACTTCGTTAAATATTTTCGAAAATGTTCCGCCAGCCCCCGCCAGTTTACTTTAAGAGATATGGTGCGAACACTTGCTTATTTTATTTAACTTAACAAGATGTGAATCGCGCCCCCTGACGGCCGTTTCGGGCAATAATTTATAGCGGTTTCGCCGTACCTCGTTGCACTTGACGGGACACCCGGTATAACGACGAATTTCGCGGTAATTATCGGAACCGAAATGAGGACGCGACGAAAACTTCCCGGCACCCCTTAACGCGCGTCCCTATCTCTGACAACATCGTCGCGTCGACGGACACAGACCTCGTCGGTTAGCCGTCCGTGGGAAAATCTTCGCAGGGCCCACTTGACCGTTTTCTTTTAGAGATCGATTGTCGCCGGGCCGCGATACGCAATCGTTTCCATTTCAATTGTTTCGGTTACGCACGCACGACCGAAAGTAGCGACCGGGGGCCGGAAAACGCGCGCGCTGACTCCCCGAAACCCGATCAAATGTCAAACGGACGCCATAAATCCGTGCCGGCGCGATATATATATGACTGCGGTATATATGCGGCACGTGCCGCGCGCGGCGTTCGTTCGTTGACCCGTTTTTTCGCAGTCCCGGGCGCGGGGGTGACTTGGTGGACCCTACGGCGACGCGGCGTCTTCGATCACTAACCTTCGGGCGTCACTTCCTCCAAACGGACGTCGCTATACGTCACACGGACCGATATGCTCGAGCCGAAAGTGGATACGCGTCCATTTAGGTCCCGCGTTGCCGCCGCGATTCGTTTTCCCGTAGAACGGAGCAGGGTCGTCCGCGAGGGGTTGTTTTCCGGCGCCGTCTCGCGCAAATACGTCCACTAAAAACTACGCGCGCCTAAAGACCCCGCGGTCTCGGCGGTGGGGACGACGCGACGTTGTCAGATGGTGCTTTAATAATAAGTGGTTTTGTTGCCTTCGATATGAAACTAATTTTAGATATATTTATGCTCACAATTCATGAAACTATCAGTGAAGAATTGCTCCTAATTTTGTTAAAAATGTTAGAAACTCTCATTTTAAAGACCAGCGGTAATCTACCATTATGTGACAATCCCAGCGACCCTGATACCGTTCTTCCATCACTTTAAGATCCTGGTGGAACCGCTCTCCCTGTTCTTCAATATAATTCCCTAAATTATCCGGGAATTTATCTAGATGATTGCGAATGTAGTGTAACTTGATACTCATATTTGCTCCTAGAAATTTTCGACTACCAATACAAAACATTCCCAAGCTTTGCTTTCCGGAAATCTGAGTCTTTCATCATTCGCCGTATTTGAGGACCATCAAATATTCCACCTTTCAACTTTTCGTAAACAGTTTTTGAAAAGTGAAAAATAATTCCCGACTCCACAACCCCACCCCCCAATTTTCACGCCACGTGGCGGAACCTATTGAAGTGGATGGCTTCAAATTTCGGACACTTATCGCGTTTCATAGCAAGGTCCAAAAAACAGTCGAAAATCGCGAAAAAAAGATGGATACCGGCGTCGGATCCGGGCCATTTCTTACAAGCTTATGTGCCTCGAGGGGGGTTAAAAAGGAGGCCAATTTCAATTTTGTAGCTCCAACGGTTCGAAAGTTATTCGGGAAAATCCAAAAGACGAGAACGGAGAACGGAAAAACAGAAAAAAAAATTTTTTTTGATGGTGATCATACTTTCGAAAAATTCGATTTCATCGATTTTCGACAGTAACACGAGCATCGCGTAAGTTTTTTTTTTAAGATTTCGAGTTAGAATATGCCTTTAGTTTTAACGTAATCTACACTAGATAAGGAAACTGTTTTGTTGAAACTATTGGTTCCTATCTCGTCCAATTAAGGGTGGCGGAATGGTAAATTTTGGTTAATTAAACAAAAATAATGAAATACAGTGGTTGGATTCCAGAAACATAGTAAGGGAGTAGTATAGTAGTAAATAAGCGTGAAACCTACTCTGTATATGTTCAACTTGTGTGAGAGCATTTTTTTTTAAATCCAATACCTGACATTAACTTGATTAATTACCTCCAATGAATTTTTAGTTGAACAGATATATAAAAGTTCATAAATTTTATATTCCTTTCGTCATAATTTGTTGCTTAAACGGAATTTAATAGTTTCCAATCCGTTGTCCTATAATAATCCTATAACAATACCATAGGTTTAAGTTATTTTAGGTTATTTTTCAAAAACACTTTCAGACAAAGTAACGACAACATTCAAAATACATCAATTAAAGTTTAGTTTTGTTATTTATTGTAAACATTTTTTTGCATAGGCAGGTAGAAGTTTATGAGAGGGCGGATGGTTTTTAGGTCGATTTTAAGAGAGGAGAGTTGGTACTAAACGTAACTGAAAGTAGAAGCAGAAAAAACCCGAGCGTCAATTAGTCTTCGTAATACTAGAGCGGATGGATATAGAAGCATCCTGATTTCATCACACCGTAAAAACGGAAACTGAAATCGAACCGTCGACACGAAAAACTGCAAACACCGGCAACGTCGCCGGTAGTGACCCGGGGTTCCGCAGACGCGGGTCCAAAAACTCTCTCCCCTCCGCCGTTTTCCGGGCCGGCACGGATCGATTTTGCTTTCGCTCGCGCGCGCGCGCCTCTCTCCTGGAACTCGCGATTTCGCGGTTTCTTGGCACCGCGTCGTTCAAGGACGACTCTCCTCTCCCGTCCCCGCCCCCAAGAGAAGACGGTACTCACTTGGTGACCCGGTCCCGGTGCCAAATCTCGATGCGGACTCGCTGCTGGTTCGCCGACAGCCGAAACGTGTGGTTGAAAATCGGCTTCGACGACTCGCCCTGCACCGGCGTCCGCTGCAAGGCGACTCGGTCTCCTGCCTCGTCGGCGACGTCGCCCGACGTTACCTGGATATAAGAAGATTTTTATGGATAATTTGAAAAATATTATACTAAAACATCCTTTAAATAAAAGTTTCCTATGGTGGCATAGATACGTGGATGATGTCTTTGCTTGCTTTGTTGGAACGGACAGACCATTGAATTCTTTTTTAAATTACATTAACTCATTACATAATCGTATAAAATTCGCTATCGAGATTGAACAGGATAACTCTATTAATTTTTTAGACTTAACTATTACGAAAGCGCAAAACAAATTAGATTTTTCAATTTATCATAAACCTTCACACACGGACACAGTCATACATAAAAGATCAAATCACCCTTATATACACAAAATGGCTGCATTTACACAGACTTCTTAATACGCCACTCTCAGCAAAAAATTACAACAAAGAACTTAATATCATTAAACAAATTGCACTGAACAACGGCTACAATCCGTCCATTATAGATAAAATTATAAACAAAAAATAAATCCAGACAACAGTAAACACTATTTATCCGAAACCTAATACAGAACACGAACAATTTAAAACAATAGGAGAACCCAGTGAAAAAGTTTTACAACATAATTATGCTACACACTTAAACACAGAAAAACACATTTTTGACAACAATCTTGATATTTTACATACAGCCGCCAAAAATTAGAAAATTAAATATTTAATCAACAAAATGAGACATTCAAATGTATTGCTTAACGATCAATTAGATTTAAATACCTCTCCTTTATTGAACTTAAATTCTCGCAACAACATTAATTAAGGTTTTATGGTCATATTTCGGTATATATAGTAGCAGGTAGTTTGTAAATATTACATTTGATAAAGACACGGTGTTGTCGAAACAATTGTCATGCCATAATATATAATTTCGTGAAAATCTGAACTTTTAGTTCTTATTTATTTTGATGAATGTATTTTCATCAAGTAAAAGCCACCTCAGTTCAATATAAGGAAACCTTTATAATCTAGATCGCGTCTGCCATTACAGTTTAGGTGATGCATGGTATAAACACCTAATTATACTTACCACACCATCTCGTTTTATCTATGACCGTTTGTTATATGTAAAGTCTCTTGAAACAAAGATATTTAAACTTAAAATGAAGCAGTACCCCTTAGTTAGATCTTTCAATAGAAATATGCTATTAGACTGAGTTGTATTCGATGGACTTTTATGTTAAAATTGTGTTGTAGGTTGGCCTCAGTCGTAAAATCTAATACCGACGCCATTTGTCTACAATTAGGGCCAAAACGGAGACGTTTTTTCGCAAGAGCGCCGCCCGATACACGCAATCCGTAGTCCTGCGTATCAATTTCAAACGTATATAACACAGGCGCGCACACGTGTTTCCAATTTAACCGTAGAACTCGGTCGTGCGTGATTGTCACGTCAGTCATATGGACGCGAGATGACAGCCCGAGATACGCGTCTGAACGGATTAACTTGTTCGGACGTTTTGGAGCGTGTGCAAAATAAAAAAGGACGAGCCGGGAAAAAGCGAAAACCCTCGAACATTGGCTACTGTGTATGAGCGATGACGTCGAAAATACCATTTTTACTTGTTTTCCAAATTTCAAAGTTTCAATGGACTGTCATTTTTGTACAACTAATATGCTACTGTCACGTGAATATTAGAAAATTAAGATCAGATTACCTTACCTTAACGTAAGCGTTGATCTTGTCGCTCCCGTTGGGCCTGCAAAGGTCCCTGCACCGTATCACTGCAACGAGTGTATCAATTACAAATCTTTTTAATAAGTTAGAAGAATTCTTGATAATAGTCTTCTGCTCTTATGAGTAGGACGACTTAGAGACAGTTCCTTTGTAGTTAGACAATACCAATTTTACAAAATTTTACACTGGACGGTGAAAGTTATTCGCGCACAATTTAAGGAAAAGAATAGAAAAGTCCTTGTTCGGTTAAGCATGGGACGCGCTATAATAATAATATGATTTTTTATTAAAATTTGGAATTTTTTCGGGAGGTGCCCAAAATTTTGAATCGGTTTTGATTCGAGGTTGGGGGGGAATTTTTGATATTTCGCAAGGTCGTCACTTTCCCTTGAAAGCTACACAATATTTCAAATTGATTCAGAGATTTGAATGGCACAAGAAAGTCTTTATTTGACTGAGGTAGGGGGAAAATTTTGAAATTTTGGATTGTCATAACTTTCTTTAAATTTAAAATAGGTATAGCATAATTGAGAGAATTTATTTATTCATAAATAAATAAAAAATAAATTAAAGGTCGTAACTTTTGCGGGAAAGCTATGCAATATTTCAAACTGATTTAGAGATTTTAATGGCACGAAAAAGTTTTAATTTTAATTTAATTTGGTTGTGGAAGAGAGAGGGGAGTTTTGAAAACTTAAAATGCCATAACTTTTTCCCAGGAAGGTGCGCAAAATTTCAAATTCAAGTATTTTATTAAACATTGAAGATTACTGCAAAATTTTGTTTGAGTTGCGTAAAATTAGAAAGAAAATATATCGAAAGTTGGGGATTTAATGGTAATGAATTCAGAAAACCGGAATTTTATCAAATAAATGTAGAAATTATATATTTGTTATTGTGTCATTTCATCCTGTGTTTTTATAGACAGGGTTATTCAGCCTTCAAAATGTGGAATACATATCCAATTCTCTGGAGTTCACTTTCCTTATTGTTAAAAATGGAATTATGACAGTTTCAAAACTTTACCGATACTAGCTACTTCTACTGTTCATTTGAAAATTTAGTTCCTATAAGAGATAGCTTTAGGATATGCATGACATTTAACGCAGAAATCGAAAATTGGATTTAAAAAATGGGACCTGGTATCGTAATCAAAGGGAATTTCTGAGACCCCTAGCAGATAAAGCCAGTACAAATATCTGCAAGTATCACGTTAATTATAATCTGGTATGTGAGCCTTTTATGATAGATGGTCTGTAACTTAGAACCTTCCATTGAGTTTCATATCTATCAAAGATGTCAGAACTCCTCAATGACCATTTAAGCCAGAATTTAAAGAAGTAGTTGATATATATAATATTTTTTAAATGGTAATTAAAAAAAAAGTTTTAGCCTAAGTTGAAATTGAAATAAATAATTATGGCCTGGGTGGTATTTCTTTGACAGGGCATACCAACTTCCGTGTGTTTCGTGGGGGCTATGTGAATGCTCGTCATTGTTTGGGGGACACTAACCATTGCGATTTGCCAAGGGCCCGAATTTATACCACAACACAACACTGTCAGAATAGTAATCGGATTTCTCCAAGAGCAAAATATCGAGGTGATGGAGTGGCCAGCAAACTTCCCAGAACTTAAACTTGAAAACATTCTCCAGAAGCAGTGGCGTTACATCAGGAGGAAGACAATTAGCAATTTAATTTTTTAAAAAAAATTACTTTATTTGAAGGCTCCGTTGGAACGCCGCAGTTTAATTATTTTGATTGGTTTTGTTCGTATTGAAGTTTCCTCTGTTCACGGCACTCACCAGTTAGCAGCAGGGAGTCGCCCTCCGTCCGCACCGCCAAGTCCACACTGCCCCCAACGTCCCTATGGAAGCCGCGAATTGCGCTCTCGCAGAAACTACCCGAGTCGTTCGTCGTCTTCGGCGACGCGAATCCCAGGCAGCGCCTGGCGCCCTCCGATATCGTCTTACTCTCCAGGTAACACCCACGCAACGGGGTGTTCTCCGTGAACGGAGAATCGTCGTCGCTGCAGCTGACCAGCTGCTTTCGCGCCGACCAAAACGGCGCTATCGTCTTCGACTCGATGGAGCCGTCCAGCTCGCTCAACTTCTTGCGAAAGTGGTCCACCTTTCGTCTGCGCCTCACGCACTTTTGCCGCCTCAGCGTGCCGTAATTCTCGTCCAGTTTAAGCCGTTTGCTGACGCCGGTCGCGTCGTCGTCGGACGTCGTCGTCGACGGCCTCTTGCGTACGTCCACGCACCTCTCGTTGTACGTCTCGTCGATCTGGATCACGGTCTTCTCCAGCGGAAGATTGTTGTTGCACTTGCAGAGGTAGTTGCCGTCGTTGCTAGTGTTGGTGGTGGCCGAGTCGCGGTGTCGGCCGTGGTCCGTCGCCGACTTGTCCAGGATCGCGTCCACGATCTTATCCAGAGACATGTCGTTGATGTAGGACGAGTCGTTGCCGTCGGCACATTTGCTGAACTGCAGGTCCCAGAATTTCCTCACGAGGGGCGTGATCCTCACCCCGTCGCCGTCGAACAGCCTTTGCGTGTCGGGATTGAGGATGAGGCCGGGCAACGCGAGCTTGTCCCGATCGGGCAGCAGGTCTTCGATGGACTCGATCTTGGATTTTTTAGTGGGCGGGCCGCTGCAAAACAGGTTCTTCTTGCAGCTGCGGCACTGCTCGGCCAGCACCGACTCTATGTGCGAGTCTACCGCCTCGAACGGTTTGAAGTACCGCGTGTGGTTGTCGAGGCACTCCTTTTTCTTTTTCATCGTCGGCTTCGGAGTGCCGGACCTGGGGGCTACCTCGGGGAGTTCGTTGGGTGTCAAATTGCTCACGTCTCGTAAGGGCGGCAGGGCCGGGTTGTCGCCCGACTTGACGGGCGTCGACGTGAATTGGTTCTCCTTGTCGTCGACGGATTTTCGAGACCGCCTCCGTTTGGCCGCCTTGTGTCGGGGGGTGCTCCGGGGGGACGGCGCGCAATTGGACGCCAGAGGGCGGCACTGGTTGTGCCGCGGCAACGTCGTCCACTTCAGCATGCCGTGCTAATTAACAAGAAGCGCGTATCAACATTGATCCGAGATGTAAGTCCATAAACTCCTTTCGCATTAGGGCATAGTTTGAGATATTATAAGTATAGTGGGCAATGTACGTATTGTTCATTGGTGCATTAGCCACCAGGATTGCCAAAATAAAAAAAAAATAAAAACATTGCAAGATAACGCAGGGTGCGCCAAAATTGCTTAAGACATCAGCTTTAGATGTTTTTTGGTGGGCTGGGATAATATTTTTCTTTTGTGAAATTTAATAGTATTACTATTCAATACAGATAGAATTAAGAAATGTGAAAATAGTGATTAAAATCCACAGAAAACATCGGATAGCTCCCTAACCTGTGATTAAAGTACCGGAAACGTCCGACACAGTGGTTAATGAAGTGTTCGTTTTGATCAGTGCATAATTGGGTATTTTAGAATAGAGAGTAGACAAAAAGTCCTTTCCTAGTCTATGTTAATATAAAAAACGCGTCAAAGGGTCGAGGCCGGTCAACGCAACGAGGGGAAAAAGCGCGCGACCCCGCCCGCGAAACGGGGCGGAAATAATTTGTGGAGAGATTTCGAGTGCCGGATCGGGGGTGCCTTTCATGGTTAAAAAGTGACACCGGCGCCGCTACCATATAGATCGTTTCGTCCACTCAAGCGCCCCCGAAAAGCGGGGTCACGCGATTTAAGTTAATTTAGTGCGCATTTTGATTCCGTCGCTGTTTAGCATACGTCAATCATTGGGGTGGTGCACGGGAAAAGGGGTTAGAACGGCCATATGTCGGTCCGTAACTGTCTGGCGCATATATTGTTACGCTGTTGGCAGTTTCGTTCGAACGGGACCCCGCAGCTTTTGTTTGCACTAATTTGTGACTTAATCGTATCGTGACATGTGCGCACCATTTTTTTTTTAAATATCCCTAATACACAGTTACCTGTTGGAGATACAGCTCAAACTAAGAAAAAGTTGTTTTCTTTGAAGCTTATTTACATGCGGTTTAGAAAATTGTATCTCGGATTGGTAAAAACTTCAGCAACTCCCCAATTCGGAATTTTGAGCGATCTCTTCGTTTGGAGGATTGGTTTCATGTTTATTCCGAGACGGATCTGCCTTTCAATTTTAGTTTACATTTTCCGGGTACGAGAGTGCGTCCTCCAAAAAAAAAAAAGGTTAATACTGAAATGAACGCGTCTGGTGCTAATTCAAAAAAATCCACTATTGAATTGAATTTCATTCATAATAATTTCTTTTATCGAGGATGGTTAATGTCCGGTTGGATTTTTTTGGAAATTGTAGATTTAATTAGACATGGGTGTCCCTAAGGTTCAGTTTTAGGCACTGTACTCTTCTTATTATATGTAGATCGTTTTTATGAAATGACGATGACCTCTCAAAGAAGTGCTCGGGTACTGGGGTACTCGATAGATTGATGACATGGTTTGAAAAAATTAATCTACATTTCAAGGCAAGCAAAACCCGCTCACATTGCTCGATTAACATCTGTTATTGTATGTCTTTAACAATTAATACAGGACAGAGCGGTAAGCTGCATGTTCCCCACCATATTTTCGTTATCCTAAACATTCTATGGTCTAGAAGAATTTCTCTGAGTAAATGTATTTTGAAATCCCTTTAAGTATTTGGCAAATCCTAAATTTACAGGGATGATATCCGTTTTGACGCAAATTAAATGGATCTGTGGCTTTGCTTACTCCTACATCATCCTCGATTTTCCTAGTTAATACCTTAAGGCTGTCAAAAACTGCTTGTAGAACATAATTTTGGGTTTATTCTAAAGATAAAACAGCACGAACCGTGTTCTTTTAAATTGCAGCTGTATTCACAGCATTTTTGTGGCACAAGAAGTAGCATATTAGCACTTTTCTTCATGACTGTAATGGTTACCCGATGCATTTTGCGATAATTACACAACATTAAATATTCAACAATAACTACAATTACTCTAAAATCAACAACTCCACCAATAGGATACGAACGACGACAATTGCTGTTTTGCCATGACATCAAATAAACATAAAAGCATTGTTTTTCCTTTAAACAAAAAATTTGTAATGTAAGTTTCAAAAAACCACAACTTAACCTAAGTTGTATCACCAACAGGTACTGAGATTTCTACGGTTAGGATCCTTATCCTTATCTTAGCATTTTATACTCGTAGCGCGCGACCAATCTGACAAATAAAAACGCCAGGGTGTCCTTTTCGGGAAATTAAACGAACACAATACCAATTTACGACCCCTTGCTTTTCTACCACGACCATAACGTGTTATAGCGAAGTCTGATACTATTCGATTGATATTTCCTTAGGTAACTTTTTAAATTTATGACCTGGTATTCTTCCAATAAAAAGTTGCTTAACTCATTTTTACTGGTTATTTCATGACTAGTGCTCAATTGGATTGAGATCCGGACTTTGAGGAGGAGTTTCAAGCTTGTGGAGGAGTATTGTAAAGTATAAGGTTGTTCGGAAAGTCATTTCGTTTTTTCCCGTCAGAGGACTTAATTACGTTTTTTCGAAACCAACTTCACACTTAAGCCGCATAACCATTATATGTCTTGAGAGCTGATATTGCAAGGCTTGTGTGTGAAAAAGTTCTATTAATTCTACGCAGTAGTTTTTGGTTGGTGCCCTTTTAAATATGGAGAGCAATAAGCAGCATTTTCGTCATATTTTACTTTTTTACTTCAGAAAAGGTAAAAATGCTATCCAAGCGAGAAAAAAATCGACGGATGTGTATGGAGAAGGCGTGTTAACAGTACGCCAGTGCCAGAACTGGTTTGCAAAATTTCGATCCGGCAATTTTGATGTCGAAGATGCACCACGGTCTGGAAGGCCGGCCGAAGCTGACAAAGATGCGATAAAGGCATTAGTTGATGCAAATCGGCGAATAACCACACGAGAGATCGGTGAGAGATTAAATTTGTCGAATTCGACTGTTTATGGCCATTTGAAAGGCATGGGCTTAACCTCGAAGCTCGATGTGTGGGTGCCCCATGTCCTTACGGAGCGAAATTTGTGTCGTCGCGTTGACGTGTGTGATTTGCTCCTCAAACGTCAAGAAAATGATCCATTTTTGAAGCGGATTATTACTGGGGACGAAAAATGGGTTGTATACAACAATGTTAAACGCAAGAGGTCATGGAGCAGAAAAGATGAACCGGCTCAAAGCGTGTCAAAAGCCATCTCATTCACCAAAAAAAGGTGATGCTCTCCGTTTGGTGGGATGTCAAAGGAATCGTTTTTTTTTAGCTTTTGCCGGACAATACAACGATTAATTCAGAAGTCTATTGTCATCAACTGGACAAATTGAATGATTCACTTAAAGAGGCCCGAATTAATCAACAGGAAGGGTGTAGTGTTCCATCAGGATAATGCGAGACCTCAGACAAGTTTGGTCACTCGCCAAAAACTTTTACAGCTTGAATGGGACGTACTGCAACATCCACCATATTCTCCAGATCTGGCGCCTTCCGACTACTATTTGTTCCGGTCCCTGCAAAATGTTTTGGATGGCAAAACCTTTACCTCAAATGAAGATGTCAAAAACCACCTGAACCAGTTTTTTGCCAGCAAGGACCAAAACTTTTATGAGAGGGGAATTATGTTACTGCCGGAAAGATGGCAAAAGGTGTTGGACCAGAATGGCCAATATATAATTTAATAAAATATTTATTCATTATACGAAAACTGTCTTTCATATTCCCCAAAAAAAAAAAACGAAATGACTTTCCGAACAACCCAATAGGCATTCATGAAGTGGAAATAATAGTCATCATCTAACCCGAGTTCGCTGTTGCCGGTTTGCTCTTAAAAAATTTAGGTACACGTTTTTATCCAATGTGCCTTCAATTATTCCTAAATTACCAAGTGTATACTTATATACGCTTTGGTCGAGCAAAATTTAAAAAGTTAGACATTTTTGCGGTTAAAACCTTATTTTGTAGTAGGCAAAATGCAGTTTAACTTTTGAGGCTATTTAAAAAAAATCTATACTCGTCTACATCAGCATCTTTCAAAAGCGAAATTGGAAGGTTCCCTCATTAAAATACGGACTTTGGCCGAGCGCAGACAAAGCCGCAGGCTTTCCGTCTAGTCATAGAGAAGAAACCCCTGGCCTAGTTTACAATAGTGTCGTAATTGGGAGCGGGTAGGAATTCCGTGAGAAATCGGACCGAATTTCTCCGAAAAAACACCTCGAAGTATTGTGCCCGTTCAAAATTAGATCAGGCCATTGTCGCGGCGGACCCTTAGGGAAGGTTAAGCATCACCTGGCCCCCGTCTTATTATCGCGGAAGTGCGAGTGAAAAGAGAGCGGGATTTGCGACGCATCTGCGGCGAAAAAACCCGGGCGACTTTGGCAACCGTCGGGACAAAACTGCATTTACTGGTAACGCGATATTATATACCGTTGAATCGGGTCCCCGAGGTCGATATTGCCCTTGGTTCGAAAAAGAAATCGGCCGCCCCTTAACGTCAAACTGAAGTCTTCCAGATAAAATAAAAATCAAAAACTTTAATTGTAGCACAAGCATTTGAAAAATGGAATATAATCAGAGTTAAAATTAGAATTGCTTTTGTTTCCGTCAGACATTAAAATGTACGGAAAGAGTAATTAATTCCGTAGCTAGTAGATTAATAATTGGTATTCCTCATGACACAGGAGACCTCCACACAGTCTAGACTCAATTGTGAACTGTGGAAGACGATTCCAGAATGACAAAAACCATCAATTTTACTCGATCTTAACCATCCGTCAGTTCAAGGCATTTTTCGATAAAATATCAGCCAAATATAAGAAAGGAACCTATCATTGTGAAATCAGATAAATGAGCAAAGAATGAGTCAAAATGGATATGTGACTTAGGATTTCGGATAGATCTTACAGGCTATTTGAATGATTTAAATAAAAAAACGAGTTACTGTCAAAAACATGTAAGACTGTTTTAATTATTTGCTACTGCAACAACAAGTATT